CATCCTGAACTGTGATTGGCTATTTGCCATGTCAGAGGTGGGACTTGTGATGAGAAATATTTGGGGGAAATAGAGAGATGTAGTTTTATAAACAACATTAACTTGTGATGTGATACAAGTACCCTACCATTTGCTCCAGCATGATGCAATGGGATATGATAAAATACGATTAAAGCAATTCAAAAAAATATGATACAGACATAGACTTTCTATTTGTTCATCTATATTTATCTGTGATTCATTGATTATTCATTTAGGCCTCTGCTTGCTTGCTTGCTCGCTCTGCCTTGTCCATCTTTCTCTCTTCACCCACTCTTTGTCCGCAGGGTCTTTGTCTCCAAGGTTTTGGCACGTAACTCTGACTTTTATCTCTCTGCCCAAATGGTCCAGTAAGCTGATCAAACACACACACACACACCCACGCACAAACACAGACACAAGCACCTGGACACACACACACACACACACACACACGAATCTATCCAAACACAAGTCATTAATTGGCGGGGAAACCTCATATCCTCTGCTAATACTGTCCCCTCCTTTAAGCTGTTAAGTGCTCTCAGCTCACACGACCAATTAAGCCGGTGGAATATCACTCACCCCTGATATTTGCTCTGATTTGACTTAAGTGAGAGAGTGGAAACTGAGTGAAAAATCAACCACAGTTATCTAAAATATAGTAACATAAAAGTAATGTTACTAGTACATAGGTTAAAGCTCCTGTAGGGAGTTTTTTAATGTTTATGAAACAAACTGAAACTCATACTGCTGCTTTGTTTTGATATCCAAAAGGGAACAAAATCATCAGAAACAAGATTGATGATCTTTATATTGTAATTTTTAATGCCTGAATCTGGTGTGGGAGGGTAGGTGTCAGTGTAGCAGCTGGAGAAACAACCCTGTTTTGATCATTTTCCACATAAAATACCCACAATAAATGATAATAAGTCAGCTTTTTAACCTTTACTTCAACAGACTGTTTTGTCCGCAGTGGGAGCCAAAAGTTCCTTAGAGGAGCTTTAAAAATGAGCAAGAATTAACAAGTAAACAGTTTGTACAGTTTTGAGTATGGAGACAGCTTTCACACACACGCAGTGAGTAATGGGACTGAGGGCATTAGCATATAAATAAAGGGCTGTATTGTCACTCATCTCATCTTTATCTGCTAATAAAAGTGAGTGATGGGTTTTATTTCCTAAAGCTTTTACTTGGTAATTATTCAATCAGGAGAAATAATGCAGTTAGAAGAAATCTAATCACGCAAACAATCACAGACGGAATGTGATTGAGTGGACACTGTGTTTGATCACGAGGATATCTTATCGGCTTATTGATCAGGTCGAACAAAGACAACACACGTTTCCCTTTCCTCATGATTTTGAACTGATTAAAACGCCGTCCTTGATATCACTGCTGTAACATTTACACCGATATTCTGTGACAGTTAGAAATAGCTTTGTGATAAATGTGAATAAAATACAGATATATTGCATTTTATTTTGGCCAAACCTCTGAAACAGTATTTTAACTCTCAACTGAAGCCTTTGGAATAAGGGGTTATTAATATATTAAAGATAAATTTGAGTTTTATTGATTAAAATACCACTAAAGTGCAGTCTACAAGCCGCAAACCTGTGTTTATTTACATCCTGAAAGTAAAGCAAAAAAAAAAGAAGAAAATTTGCCTAATCAAACAAGAAATAAAAATAATTAAAAATTTTAAAAAAGGGGAAAAAATGGAAACATACAGAAAAGAATCATTTTTATAGAGGGAAGAAGAAAAATAGAATGTAAAAATAAAAATGATAAATAAACAAAAATAAAATATTAAAAATAGAGAAAATTAAAGAAGATGAGAAAGAAAGAGCATTTTATTTTGGCCAAACCACTGAAACAAGAAATAAAAAATTGTAAAAATTATAATCAAAAAGAGGGAAAAAAAGAAATGAGAAAAAATGGGGATAAACAGGAAAAAATACAGAAAACAATAAATTAAAAAAAGAAAGAACAGAAAGAATCATTTTCATAGAGGGACGAAAAAAATAGAATGTAAAAATAAAATTGATTAATAAACAAAAATTAAATACTAAAAAATGGGGGGAAAATAAAGAAGAAAAGAAGGAGAAAAAGAAAGAGCATTTTATTTTGGCCATACCTCTGAAACAAGAAATAAAAAATTGTAAAAATAAAAATTAAAAAAAAGAAAAAAATGGAGACAAACTGAAAACAGTTAGAGAAAACATAATAAATAAAAATAGAAAGAACGGAAAGAATCATTTTCATAGAGGGAAGAAGAAAATAGAATTTAAAAATAAAAATGATAAAAATAAATTAAAACAAAAACTATTTTAACTATCACTAGAAACCTTTGGAATAAAAAGTTATTTATATCTAAATGAGAAATATAGAATTTTCTGGATTAAAATACTGCTAAATTGCATGCTACAAGACGCAAACTTGTGTTTATTTACATCCTGAAAGTAAAGCATCCAAAGCTAGCATAACCAAAGCAACAGCCCTAGCTAGCAGTAAAACGCTGAGCTAAATTATAAAGAAAAATCATCTCTGGCATCATATATGGATCTGATTTGGGATTGGGAAGCTTTTAAAGGAAGTTCATCAACCACAAGACAACAAAAACCCAGCTGCACGTACTGACTGAAGTATGTTCCAGAAAGGTGTTGTATGCCAGCAAAGTGTCAACAAACTGGCCCACTGACCTGTTTCCTAATGGTGGAGCATGTGTGCCGTGAGTGAGTGAGCGCTGTCACCACAGTGTGCACAGTGTTCACTGACTTGGTACATTTAGAGCTATTTCTACACCCCAGAACCCAAACCTGTCAGAAAGAGAGAGAGAGCAGAGAGTCAAAGACAAGAATCTGGGTCAGGAGTAGTTAGACGAAAGTGACAGAGGCATGCAGGCGGTATTTCAGAGTCAGTCGAGGTGATTCAGGTGACTTTGTTGTTTTTGACCGTTCAGCAAAGCACCAAATTAGAGAGCTCGGTTTCGCAGAGATTAGTCGTCTATGTTATGTAATGCCGGGCTTTGTTCTGGGCCAGCTATCATGAGTCGACAGTTACTGAGGAAGTGTGGGGGACTTTCAGGTGAATCTGAAGCTAATACAGTAAATATGTTCGTCATGAACTAGTGGGAAGTTCAAGGCCTCTTGTTCCTGCCTGTTCAGGATCCTTGAATGTAACGCGAAAACCCCCTGAAGGGAAAAACAAACATGTTAACATAGACTTCTTTTTGTTTTCATCAATCAAGTTCAGCTGCAAGTCTTTCAGGGTCAAAAATTTATTTTTTCAACCTTTTAAAATCTGTGTTTAGTTCAGAGGAAAAAAATAGCCTAATCAAACAAGACATAAAAAAAAATCAGACATCATTGTTAAAATTCTAGTGAAGCAGTGTTGTAAAAAAGGGAACTAAGAAATGAGAAAAAATGGAGACAAACAGACAAAATAAATAAATAAAGAACCAAAAGAAACTTTTTAATGGAATAATGAAGAATAATAGAAAACAGAGAAAAGAAAATGTAAAATAAAAATTATACACAAAAATGAAATATTGAAAATGGAAAGTAAGAAAATAATTGAAAGTAAGATGAAAGAGAAGAAAGGAAAGAAGATGGACAAAAGCAAAAGATAGATACAAGAGAGAAAACTAGTTAAAAAAAAGAGAGATGAAAATTGTAGTATAAATACTACAAAAATAAAGGAGAAAAAACAAAAGAAAAATTAAAGAAAAAGAAAGCAAAATGAAAAGAAAGAAAAAAAAAGAAATACGGAAAGACAGAAAAAAGTAAGAAAGAAAGAAAGAGAAAGAAAGACAGAAAAAAGTAAGAAAGAGAGAAAGAAAGACAGAAAAAAGTAAGAAAGAAAGAAAGAAAGAAAGAGAGAAAGAAAGACAGAAAAAAGTAAGAAAGAGAGAAAGACGGTGAAAAAAGGAGTCAAAACTTACCAAGATAAAGAAGCACAAAAACGCAGAAAAGAAGGAATTTAAAGAACAGCCTGTTTTTTGAACACAAAAGATCGATACATGAAAGAAAACTTATCAAAAAAAGAGAAATGAAAAATGACTGAGAAATCTACAAAAATATAAGAGAAAAAACTTAGGAAAAGTATGAAAAAAGAAAGAAAAAAGAAAAGAAAGAAAGTAAGGAAGAAGGTGAAAAAAAGAAGTCAAAACTGACCAAGATAAAGAAGCACAAAAAAAGAAGAAAAGAAGGAATTCAAAGAACAACCTGTTCTTCATTCCCATCCTCTTGCTTTTGTCTTCTTTAACTTTACAGCAGTGATGTCCCTGTACGTGGTTTTACTGGTTTTAAATGGTTGGTAATCTAATTTAGGTATTTAGCCCCAGTAGCAGTGACGTTTAAAGAACAGTATCTTCATCAGGAGAGAAACACACAGCGACAACGTCGGTAGATGAGCTGGATAATGTATGTTGTGTAATATTCAAACAATATAACACAACATACATTCATTCAAATAATAAAAAATAATAAAAAAATAGACACAGAAGCTCTTTCAGGAGTTACTGAACCAATATTTCTCAGTGTGAAAGCTTTTCAGAGCCTGGGTCCAGTTTCAGAGCAGGAACAAAAGACACAGAAACAGCTGAGGAACACCTCCAGGGAGCAAATATTGGATTCAGAGAACAATTGCGAGGCTGTAACAACAGACACAAGGTCCTTTGTATGGATTTTTTAAACTGCTGCTAAAAGCTGCTACCGGGGGCATGGGATGGGTTGTACGTGATCTAAAGGGGATTACAAGCACACAGGATGGAAACACACTATCGCTCTGGCGTCATGCTGAGCGAGGTCTAGTTTGAGGGGCTAAATTTAGACCGGTTTCTGCTGCATCTTGAATAATAAGTGTGAATGAAAGAGAGAGAGAGAGAGCACATGAACCCTAGAGACAAAAACAGGTAGAGGTGGAGAGAAAAACAAAGAGGGAGACGGATTGTATGACTCCATGTTTTGGGAGGATTTGTGTTACAGGTGTGCGGGGAAGCAGCAGGAGTAAGAATTTGAAAGAACAGCTGATGGTTGGGATTGTGGAGAAAAATAGGAGGGTCTTTGCAGGAGGAAAACAAGCCCTGCATGAGGAGAAGGAGGAGGTAGAAGAAGAAAGTGGGCGTGGCTACTGTACACATAAGAGGGACACCATGTATATTTAGTCAAACACAACCTCTCCGGTACAAGGCAAACAGAAGTCAGGTATCTACGAAGCAGACCTGAAACAAACCCTGAGACAGAGAGAGAGAGAGGACTTTTGTGTTTGAGCTTTTTGGAAAGGATGCTTTTGGTCACACCTGGAACAAGGAAGTGGTGAGGGGCTTTTTTTGTGTTGCAGTTTTTGTAGCCCACGTAAAGGACCAATTTTGGTTGGACTATGCGTTTTTCCCTTCACAAGAAACGGACATTGTACGCACTGTAGTCTTACTTTTTTTGTACATGTTTTTGTACTTCCTCACATCGCTCCTAACCCTCACGAGCATAGGCTGCTGACAGCGCACGAGCTATACAACTTCCCTCATCAGATAACGACTCCACGTCTCATCGAGCGTGTTTTTTTTTTACGCACACGGGAGACGTTTGAGCTCGAGTTGAGGTGGGAGCGCAGCCGGCATCAGGTGCGGCAAGGCGGGTAGAGAAAAGTAAAAGAAAAATCACCGACAGCCGAGACAACAAGATGACAGACGGAGCCAGGCAACGTAGCAGCACGGCGGGGTCCGCGAAGGATGCTGCCGGCGGGGGAAAGGACTCCGGAGGAGGTGTCGCGCTCAAGAAGGAAATCGGGCTCGTGAGCGCATGTGGTATCATTGTCGGTGAGTAGTTTTGTCCGCATTCGTACCATAGAGTTACAAACTTGTCTAAATGTGCGTGAACAATCCTAAATTATCTCTAAAAGTGCATCAATATTAGCGTTTTTTAAATTTCCTACAGCACGTGAATGCGTCTTAGGCAGTACCTGAGCGTTTTGGGGTGCAAATGGATGAAATAATGAAGAGAAATAATGTGAAGAATGAGTCAAGGGTTAAAAGTTAGACTTGCATTAAACTTTGGCAGGTTCAAATTTTACATAGATAGAAAAAAAAAAACTATGAGATAAAAATGTGCAAATAATGAGTTAAAACAGCAAAACAAGAACGTAAGAATTCACATGTGCAGCCTTTCATCAGTCACTCTTTCATCATCTCTCTGGAACCTGCTCACTTCTGATGAAGGCGATGACAGTCATGTCGTCAGCCTCGCTCATTCAGAACAGGTAGTAAGGTCACATGACTGGCTTGGACTTAAGTGAGGTGGCAGGCTGGCAACACGTGGACTGTCATAAATGTCTCCACGCTTTTGATTGCATCATTCTGACTGACATATAGGCCAAGTCGTCTCACTATAGAAACAGTATAGAACAACCTCTTTAAGACATGCTAATTAAAGATAAGACTGATTGACTTCATTGTGATTAACTATAGATTGTAAATTTATACATTTTTGGTAGTTTTGCAGATCTGTATCTGCTAGGACAAGGATTGTTCTGTGTATGGAAGCCCAAAGCAGACATGCAGCTGTAGATTTTTTTTAAATTTTATATTATTTTTGTATTTATTGCAAAAATATAAACAAATTCATTTAAAGGGATAATACGGCGTAAAATGAATTTAGGGTCAAACACACGGCAACACCGAGTTAGACACCCCCTCAAGAGATGAATGTTGCCGACCGCTTCCTTCTGTAGTTATACCAACTTTGGTAACGACTGCAGGATAGCAAACCACAGCGGTCTGAGGAGCCATACTCAAACCTCAACCAAAACGCCACTCTATAGTCACAAATAATGCTCAGAACAGCACCTAACTTCATCAACAGGACATCTAGGGTCCCAGCTATAGTACTAGCCACCAAACATCTTTTTAACTTTGTCTATTTTCTTTCGCAAAGAGACTAAACACAACTCACCTACTCTCTTCCAGCAGCCGCTTGTTTGTAGCGAGACCTCGGGCCAGTCTATTACGGACTGCTGCGGGGTGCCGCAGCTCAAGGAAGAACATTTTTGATCATTAATTTATCATTTTCTTAAAGTAATAATCACCATTTTAATATTTTTGCACTGCAGACGCGGTAGTTCTTCTGCCTTAGCGTATCGGTCTGATTGCGTTTCCATTAAGAAATGATCACAAATGTTCTTCCTTGAGCTATGTCACCCCGCTGTAGTCTGTAATGGACTTGCCTGAGGTTTTGCTTTTGTGAGTTGCGTTTAGTCTCTTTGCTAAAGAAATCAGGCAAAGCTAAAAAGATGTTTGGTGGCTAGTACTATGACTGGGACCCTGTATGTACTGTTAATGAAGTTAGGTGCTGTTCTGAGCATTATTTGTGGCTATAGAGTGACTTTTTGGTTGAGGTTTGTTTATGGCTTCTCAGACCGCTGTGTATTGCTATCATGCGGTCATTACTAAAGTTGGTATAACTAGAGAAGCAAGCAGTTGGCAACATTAATCTCTCAACAGGGTGTCTAACTCAGTGTTACGGTGTGTTTGACCCTAACTTAATTTTACTCCGGAATATCCCTTTAAGTTATTTTTCTTGAGATCTTATTTTACATCAGATGATCTGAAACAAGTTGCGAATTAGCAAACTGTAACTGCCTAGTGGTCAAAGTGGCTCATGTATAAAGTCCCTGAAGTGGTCGCTGTTTCGATTCCTGACCGTGACCTTTTGCTCCATGTCCCCCCCTCTCTTAACTCTCCATATTTAACATTTATGAAAGTCAAAATACCTTAAAATATAGCTAAAAAACGTAGAAACAGGTTTAACCTGCCTAATGCTTACTCATTGATGCTGACCAGCCTTGTGTTGTGTTGATTAGACCTCAGATAATTATTGTGTAATCATGAAAAATCGACTTTTGTTTCCTCAAAATTACATAATTAATCTGATGTAAGTGGAAACCAGCCTTGTTATCTAAAGAAGTAAAGAAGTGCCTTTAAAATTTCTACTAATCAGGGAAAGTTTCGATCATTTTGTGGAGAATAGTAGAAACGTGTGTTGCAAGTTGTTTTGAAGGTTTTGAGTCCAGGTCTGAAAGAAAAACAAGACTGAGGGGCTTCAAAGTGAGCTGAAATGAAAAATCATTGAACAACATAATTGCCATTTACCTGTCAGACAGCGGTTAAGATATGAGTCAATGTCAGGCAATAAACCTGACACGATCAATGTAACGTTGCGACACGAACGCAGCGGCTTTTCATCATTCAATACAGACGAGTAACGACATCAGCGGGACGAGCCGATCGATCAATACAAACACAGAGATGAAATGAGGCTCAGGTCGCACCAGGTGGGCGCAGCAATCGTACGGTCGACATGTTGACCTTGTCAGGGTGAGGAGAAAAGAGAGAGGAGGGGTTGTTTCCATGGTAACAGGAGGGGGGAAAAGTAAGAGTGAGTGAGAATGAATGAGTGTGGGAACTCCAGGGAGATAAGGCGCAGCCTTCAGAAGAAGAAGAAGACGTTCGAACGCTTTATCGTCCTCTGATACGACTTAAAGTATTGACAAATCATAAAAATCCATAAAACGCCTCATTTAAACCACAAACTACAACTTATCCCCCCTTAGCAGCGCCACCTTTGGACTGTAATATTTAGATAGTTTGATTACTTTATGGATCTCTCTTCATTTAATGATTAAAAAAACATGTTTGCAGAGCGCTCATGCCGTCTTAAGGGACGGTTTTATGGCCGTCCAGAGTTCACAACATCTCCTCCGGCGGAGTCACCGGACTGATCTTGGCGCGGAGCCTCGTTATTTTCTGTCCTTGACATATCATGTGGGAGAAAGACGTGCGCTCAGGTGACTCGTCTGATCCTTTCCCTGGGAACATGCCCTACTGGGTTTCCATGAAAAAGGCGGGGAGTTTTGTGTGTGCATGTAAGAGTATGTGTGTGTGTGTGTGTGTGTGTGTGTGTGTGTGTGTTGGAGGGGGATATCAAACAGTTTTTACAGCCCATTGTACTGTACAGCAAAAACATAAATGCAGGACAAAAGGCGGGAACTGGTATCAGGAGTGATCCAGTTTAGCCAAATATGCTTGTTTCTCATATCCTCATTTATCAGCCTTGACTTTCTGACTGAAATCTTTGGTATTGAATTGTTATTTTAGATAAAACAGATCATTTTCTCTCTTGTTTACTGCGTGGTGGAGTAATAACTCGCACTCATGCGTGTACAGAAGCAGCCTGCCGGGTCTGAGAGGTTCTGGCCTCGGGCCAAGCCGCACATTGCCTCAACTTGTCGGCTGTTTGAACAAAGATTTACGGCTGAGAGGAAATGCAAGAACTAATCTTTGAGGCTTTTATAAAGGCTGATTAGTTATATCATAATGCTGCACAAACACACACTCGCACAAAGACACACATGGCTCATTAGTATTCGGTCTGCGGGGGGTGTTAGCGGACTGATGGAGAATAACGCATGCCACATTCCTCTCATTGGTTCAAGCTGTTGGGTAAATGATTGTTTTGAAGCAGGAATTTTAAGGTGGAAAGTTTCCTAAAATTAAATAAGAGGCTGTCACAAGTTACCCCCTCAAACAGCGAAGTCAGGGCCGACTTATAGCGAGCAGGTGGTTATAATAACAGGGTAAAAAGGCTCAACCTAAAGGGATTCCCCGTCAATAACCACCTGTTCACTATCTAAATGATTGTATGTATTTTTTTATGAAGTATTTGTGTTGCTAAAAACAATAGTTTGCCTGTTTTCTAGAATTTTATCACTTTTTTCCAGTATATAATAGTTTGATTTATACATAATGAGAAAAAAAATATCAAGACAGCATTTTTAAAAAGTTCAAAATAACAATTAAACTCATGAAAAGCCGTCATTTAGGGACAGTGGAATTGAGCTAGGCTATTTAAAGCTCCTATAAGGAGTTTTTGGGTGTCCATGAAACACCCTGAAATTCATAAGGATGCTGTTTTATCTTATTCTAAAGCAAAAAAGACCGTTACCATCAAGATTGACATTTCTGATATTGTCATTTTAATTCCTGAATCTGATGCTAGGGGGTAGGTGTCCGCCCTGTTTTTACATAAACTTCTCAATAATTAGTAATTTTTTTCTGTCAAAAGTCAGCAAGAAGAGCAAAGGCTGCTTTGTCCACAGGGGGCGCCAAAACTAACACAAACCAAAAATTCCTTACAGGAGCTTTAAAGGATCTCAATGCCTAATAAAAGAAGTTATGTGTTGTCCGCAGAGCCTTGTCCATTGCATGAAATGTGCGCATGCCTCAAACCAAGCCTCTTCCTTAGAGAAACAACAATCCAACAACAAAGGAGCAAACGAAAATATCCTGCGACAAAAGCTTTGTTACTCGAGCATAAGTTACTCCAGAAATTCGTCTAAGAGCTGTGGACAGATTTGACCCCAAGATATCACAGTTTAGACGTTATTAAGCTGATACTAAAAAGAAAGAGAAAGAGAGAGAGAGAGAAGGTTTGACAGCAACAGAAAAAAAGTCAGGTTTCCCTCTTGGCCTGTTTTGGGACAAAGGATGTAAAACCAAGCACAAGAGCAGGAAATCTGAGCAGATTCCACGTTAGTCAGCATGTCTCGCACACTCAGCTACACTGCACCCAACTCGAAGCAACGTTCACGTTCACTCTTTATTTTTCAAATATCCAGCAGCAACAGGTTCCCTTTTTATTTGCAGCAGCAGTGTGGTCAAAAGTTGCTCTTGCAGCAGCGCATCGGGGAGTTTGTACCGTCGAAGTGCTGAGTCAGCGCATAGCTGATTTTTCCCTGCTGTAACGTCAAAGGTCACATACTGAAGACCACTGCAGCCATAAAAAAGTCCACATCATTGGGAGTGTGATAGTGTTTTTGTCGTACTTTTTAACCCTTTACCTTTAACTGGAGTTATGTAACCGTCCCTCGTTTGCACGTGATGCATATGGAATACGTTAAAGCTGAACGAAACTGCATGTCCTCACACCAGTTTGAGGACTTTCCTTTAGATTGAAGTGTTTTAAAAGAAAGCAGATGGTGATTTTTTTTGTGCAGAGTGGCAGATCTGAACCTCTTTCCTTTTGATGTTGCAATATCATCATTTCCTTAAAAGACAACAGGATGGTGCGTCGACATCTGCGACTGGAGATAGAAACCGTTTCTTCTTGTGTTTATTCAAAGATGTGTAATTTAAAAGGATTTAAATGTGGAAAAAAGTTGCAGGACAATGCAAACATTTGCAATTTGGCCATTACTAAATTGCCACATGGTGCGTCTATCTTGAGGTGTAGCAGAAGGTCATAAACGGTGCTTCACTGGAAGTAGTAGCAGGAAACAGTATCATTCATACCTTTGACTTTTGTACTGTAAAACACCACCCTGCCTATCACCCTGTTATGATTTAAAGCCCTCGACCTTTGACCCTGGCGCCAACTTTATTGGCCGGTGAGTCCAAGCGCAGCCAACCCCCAGTCAGCTGAATCCCCTCCGACCTCCGACCTCGGCTTTGTCGACCAAGAACAAATCGGGAGCGTTGTTTCTTTCATGTGGGACCAGAACCCGATCGCCCGTCCCTCCGTCTTTCACCTCCTCTCACTCTGATTCTCACTGAACTTGTCAGGGCGTCCCACCACCTCCCCGTCGATGCACTCTTTCACCTCGCTCGTTCTCTTGCTTCATTTGCTCATGAGTCTTTGCAAAGTCAGCAGGTTACAAGTTCCCAGATTCGCCGCTGTTCTCTCTGGTTTTTCCCTTTTTGAATCTGTCTACTCATGACCTCATTCTTTTTCCTGCTGACTTTCTCTGTCTGCCCTACATACTCTTAGCAGAAAAAAACTATTAAAATTGTACTTGTTAGCAATTAAAATATGTACGTCACAATATTAGATTTTTACCTCATGGTTTTTAAACACTAACCTCGTATTTATGGAAAACTTTAAAGCTCCAGTGGGTAATTTTTTGACATCTAAAGGTCCTTAAACACCAAATATACAACCCAAAATTATGAAATATTCAGGAATAAATAAATAAATTTGTTAAATTTTAAGGACAGTTTGATTTTTTGATTTTCAGTACATTTCAGGTCCAAAAATATTTTTGAATTTTCTGGCCATAATTTGTGGTGTCAGGCATTAAAGGGCTACACTTTCCCCCAAAAAGCTACAAAGACTTTCTTTTTTTAATCTGACGTCTCCTTTCTCCACCAGGTAACATCATCGGCTCAGGTATCTTCGTCAGTCCGAAGGGAGTGCTGGAGAACGCCAGCTCTGTGGGCGTGGCTTTATTCGTCTGGATCATCACAGGTGTCATCACAGCCATCGGGGCGCTGTGCTACGCGGAGCTGGGCGTCACCATCCCCAAGTCGGGGGGAGACTACTCCTACGTTAAAGACATCTTTGGAGGGCTGGCAGGGTGAGTGAAAACTGAACTCTCACATACGACACACAGTCATCTACATATATGGACACGATCCAGGGGGCGTTTTAGGTGTTATTTCTAAGAATGATGACTCAATTAGCAGGTCATTTTGAAACAAAGTGACACATATTAAAAAAAAAGAAGAGTCTGACTCAGTTCGTTTTTGATGTGCAGGAAACTCGCACAGGTTTGTGGTTTTCCGTCAGGTTGGCTGGGACTTTTTTTTGTACAGTAGTTTGACACGATCTAGTGGTTTTAATCAACTTTTGTATGTTTTTTGTAAAACAGTTTGGGTTTTGGCTTTGAGCCGTTAAAGCAGTTTACATAAGAGTCAGGGCTAAATTTTTGCAAAATGTTTATTTAATGAATAAATCCAGAATTAAACCCAGTTCAGAAGTACTTACCAGAGGTGGGGGAAAGTCCCTATGTTGCAAGTCCAAGTCGAGTCTCAAATCTTTGCTCTCAAGTCTCGAGTCAAGCCCAAGTCCTTTGCTCTCAAGTCTTGAGTCAAGTCCAAGTCAACACAGACAAGTCTCAAGTCAAGTCCAAGTCCTGAACTTTTTGTTTCGAGTCCCAACCAAGTCCTTACCAAGTGATTTATGTTCAGTCCTCCCGGTGTTGTCGTTATGAGGGAGGCTAGAGTTTGAGACAGTGTTGCCAAGTTTCGTGGGAGAAATAAGGAAACAGACCTCCAGAAACAAGCGAATTTTTTTGCGGGAAATAAGCAGACTTGGCAACACAACACGGTGTTACCAACAGCCGTAATTCCTGACAATTAGTTGATGCGACACTTTTTAAACGGTTTGGGCTGTAAGGTATTAAGTGACTTGAAAAGACTTGACTTGACTTTTCAAGTCACTGGGCTCAAGTCAAGTCAAGTCTCAAGTCTTTAGCAATCAAGTCCCAAGTGAGTTCAAGTCATTTCTTGATTTCATCAAGCAAGTCAAAAACGGGACTCAAGTCCAAGTCGAGTCTCGAGTCGAGTCATCAAGCCCCCACCTCTGGTATTTACCATTAGCCATGTAGCCAAATTTTCAAGAAAAAGGGGCCTCTTGAGCTGCCCTAGATAACTTGACAAGATAAGGGTGACCACAATGACATATATTGAGTTACTGCTCTAGCAATTAATTTTGTTTAAGAGGACATAATTGGTTAAAATATAAAAAGTCGCTTTAACTGTCAAAACTACTTTTTTAATTCTTTTTAAAAGTTTTTGTGAGTAAATTTCGTCACTTTTGTTAAAAATGCCTCTTCTGTCAGAGAATAACCCCTTAAAAGAAATCCCATGAAGTTCAGGCTTTAGTTCAATTAAAAATTAACTATAAAGACATTTTCAGTCTTAAGATGATGGTAATTTTGTGCTTTTTTGGACCATACAGAGGTATATTTTTGAAGCAAAGAGCAGTGACGATAAGCTGTGTTATAAGATGGGAAGGCATCAAACCGTGACTGATCAAAGTGTGACCCACAGTGCAGTTTCACACAGAGTGAAAAATGTCAGGCAGCTGTGGGGGGTTTACCGGTCTGAGTTTCCTTACAACCCACAGCATGTTTTCATTCATTCATAAATAGTCAGCTCTAAGGTGAAGCCGCTTACAGTAAACGCTTGGGAACCACACTGGGGTAATTTCCTAGCAAAACAATGTCGTTTGTTAGCGTAGATTTCACACACTGTGCCTTTTTACTCAGACTGTAAACACAGATTAGACCATTGTTTTAATAACTATCACAAAGGTAAATATTATCGGGGTATTTCGGGAGAGGAATTCACCCAGACAAAACAGTCATTGATTGTTTTTGCGCCTTTGTACCGGAGCTATCAATACACATCAATGAAGTTTTGGGTCGGCGGACTTTGTAGTTTGTGGCGACAGAAGTGTCGGGGCCACGACGTTTCCGTGTGCCCTCTGTGTAGGATAAATAAGCTGCTTTCAAGGGTGTGTTTGTTGTAGTTGTCTTTCTCCTCATGTTTGTGTTTTCACAGGGATGTGCTATATTTGCAGGTGTGTATATGAACAACTGTAGTGACAGGTATTCTTACATCGCCTTGTTGCAGCGAGACAAAAAGTGACCCTGTAGAGGAGGGTGAAGATTTTGTACAGACACAGTACAAAAGCTTCTTGTTATGTCAGAGTAATAGAGGTTGTGTAAGACTCATTATGTGAGGTATATAGACTAGTGTCCAGTCATTATATGAACTCGGTCAGAGTATACAAAGGGAAAGAACAGCTGTTTGTGCTATAGAGGAAGCTCATTTCCACCTTCTTCTCAGTAGCCTATTTGGACTTCCGAGTCCTCTACCAGTACTTTTAAAAGACAAATGTAACATCCAATTAAAGGGATATTCTGGCGTAAAATTAATTTAGGGTCACACACACTGTAACACCAAGTTGGACACCCCAATCGAGAGGTGAATGTTGCCGACCACTTGCTTCTCTAGTTAAACTAACTTTAGTAATGTCCGCACGATAGCAATACACAGAGGTCTGAGGAGCCATAAACAAACCTCAACCAAAACATCTTTTTAGCTTTGCCTAATTTCTTTAGCAAAGAGACTAAACACAACTCACCCACTCTCATCCAGCTGCCGCTTGTTTGTTGAGACATATGTTGATCATAAATGTTCTTCCTTGAGCTGCGGCACCCTGCTGCAGTCCGTAATGGACTGGCCGAGGTCTCGCTACAAACAAGCAGCTGCTGGAAGAGAGTAGGTGAGTTGTGTTTAGTCTCTTTGTTAAAGAAATTAGGCAAAGTTAAAAAGATGTTTGGTGGCTAGTACTATGGCTAGGACCCTATATGTACTTTTGATGAAGTTGGGTGCTGTTCTGAATATTATTTGTGGCTATAGAGTGGTGTTTTGGTTGAGCGCGTGGCTCCTGGGACCGCTGTGTATTGCTATCGTGCGGTCGTTACTAACAAGTGGCAAGCGGCTGGCAACATTCATCTCTTGTCATGTCTAACTCAGTGTTACAGTGTGTTTGACCCTAACTTAATTTTTTTATGCCAGAATATCCCTTTAAGAGGTAATAGTGAACAGGCGGTTCTGCAAATTTGAATCCTGACAGGGTGCTAATTTGCATGAGCACCTGTTCACACTTCATAATCCTGCTTATTACACAGCTATGTAAAAAAGAGGGTTTTAATATCGCTGATGCAACATCCTGCAGGTTGTGTTCGACTGATGCAACACTTTGATGTGTTGACTGAGGTGCTGTTAGGTCTCCAGCCATGTGTTGCAAAACTGGAGGTTTCAGGCACGACCGAAACATGATTTTCAGTTTCAGATGTAGACTTAAGATTTTCCCGTCGTGTCCAGAACTCAGGTTTAAATTTCTGACATTCTAGCGAGATGCAATCCCATTAACGCAGTCAGGTGGACTGATCCCTCCCTGTGAGCTTTCAGAGGATCTCATGGAAAAACCACTCGCCTGGTCTCTACTATGAAAACCCTCTCTCTCTCTCTCTCTCTCTCTCTCTCTCTATGTTACCTCTCATGTCACCTCAAACACCCCTCCCCCCTCCTTATTAATCTGTTTGTTCAGGCTTTATTGAGCGCTCATGTCACTGCTGACGGGGCTTGCATCATTGTGTGACTCATCTTTGCCATTTTGCGGCGTTGCCTTGTTCCCTTTTTTGTGTATCTATCTTCTTTTCATGTGTAGATACATAATCTAAATTAATATTAAGAGTTTATTAAATCCATCCATCAATGTCAGCTGCAGTCTAGGGGCGATAAAGCATTGGCGTCTGGAATAATCTTGTCTCCAACATTAGGAAAACGGGCGACAAATCACGGCAAAACACAAAACCGGTGATTAAAAATGGTGAAACTGGCTAATGTCAGTCGTGTGTTGCTCTATTTTTGACTCATGTTGGTCGATGACTGTGCTGTGAAAACACACCAGCAGTTTGTAAGGCTGCATGAGTCACCCCGTGTAAACCTGCCGCCAGACTGGAATTAGTTTGGCTGGTTCACGGTGTTTGCCACGGCTTTGTCTGAAGGAGATTCAGCTGTGTTTTTGAGACGGGCCCCCGAGGCAGGAAAACCGTCATTAGTTTATTTCCTTTGTTTAATCCAGACTGGAGAATATGAGAAACAAAAATTAAAACTCTTTTTATAAAAACACTTTTATTTCCTTATTCCACCTCAGGGCTTCAGTTATTTTCCATCGTGACACAAAACGAACTCCTGAGGATTGTCGCCTACAGAAAAGCACATAAAGAACTGAAACTGAGGTCAAAGATATGAGTCAAGTGATGAGATTTAAGTTTCAATAAGAGTCGACATGTAACAGCATGGGTGTCTCCTTTTGTGGCTTTGTCTCGAGATTTATGTGCAGATTAATCTCCTGAATTTGTTGACTAATTGTTCAACTGGCTTCAACAAACAAAAAAGATTCAGAACTCAAGATGGAAAACCAAAAAATACTTCATACTTCATAACCGTGTCACTCTACCCGCAGGTTCCTTCGTCTCTGGATCGCCGTGTTGGTGATCTACCCGACTAACCAGGCTGTGATCGCCCTGACGTTTTCCAACTACGTCCTGCAGCCTCTGTTCCCCACCTGCTTCCCGCCAGAGAACGGCCTGCGTCTGCTCGCCGCCGTCTGCCTCTGTGAGTAACACATTTTCACGGTCATTTACTCTGAAAGGGTTAAGCGGTCTCTCTTCCACTGTCAGCAAATAAACAAATAAAAACAGCTCCTTTCCTGTTTGACAAGTATTGTGGTGTGCCAGCTGTGTGCCACGACAGTAATACTCATCATAGGAATGTAAACAATGAGAATCTAGTTCATGCATCTGTGAGAGCTTCCTCCCTCTCTTCTGAGCCAAAGTAAGTGGTTCAAACCTGATTTCCCTTTATGGGAAATAATACAGAAGAAACACAACTATGAGATCAAATGTATAGGAAGAAACAGGGGTAACACAGCCGGGGCTTAAAGGGATATTCCGGCGTAAAATTAAGTTAGGGTCAAACACACCGTAACACCGAGTTAGACACCCCTGTCCAGAGATGAATGTTGCTTCTCTAGTTGTACCAACTTTAGTAACGACCGCACAATAGCAATACAGAGAGCCACACGCTCAACCAAAACGCCACTCTATAGCCACAAATAATGCTCAGAACTGCACCTAACTTCATCAACAGTACATATAGGGTCCTAGCCACAGTTCTAGCCATTATGGACTACAGTGGGGTGACACAGCTCAAGGAAGAACATTTATGATCATTACTTCATGGAAATGCAATCAGACCGAGACGCTAAGGCAGAAGAACTACCACGTCTGTAGTGCAAAATGATTAATATGATGATTATTACTTCAAGGAAATGATAAAGAAATGATCGTAAATGTTCTTCCTTGAGCTGCGTCCCCCCGCAGTAGTTCCGTTATGTACTGGCCCAAGGTCTTGCTACAAACAAGCGGCTGCTGGAAGAGAGTAGGTGAGTTGTGTTACAGTGTGTTTGACCCTAACTTAATTTTACACCGGAATTTTCCTTTAATATTGATCAGTCTTGATTAGGTCAAAATCGTAACTGTGATTTAAAACGAATTAACGGCCCAAATCGTAGAGGATTGACAGCACGTCAAAGAAACAGCCTTCTTTACGTTTTGAAAACCAAATAATCCCAACGAGTGACACTTTTGGCTTGACTTTTAAAAATGTAAAATAATACTTAACCATGCACACGATAAGATCAGTGAAGAAGCACTGAATCAACACAGATAAGCTCCTCACAGCAGCTTTGACAAGCCTGGCTAGATAAGATGAATACCTCTGCACTGGGCCGTTAGAGTTGAAGTTAGCTAGCTTAACTCAGCTAAGCTCGGCTAGTCTAGCGATGCTAAAGAACGAACTAAAACAAGAAACAAAAAAACACTTTCAAGACTTCTTTACAAGACTTTGGGAACTAACTACACAGTTAAGGTCCATGTGCGGCAGCGAGCTTTAAAAGCGCTGGTTTTGAAACCACTCGCCTGTTTCCCCCCACTTCCAGTCTTGCTCGTTGCTAACTGCTGAGCTTGGAGACTTGGTTTTAATCCTCTTATCTAACTTTTGGCAAGAACGAAAATAAGCCCAAAATATGTCTAAGTATTATTAAATATAATAAAGACTTAATTCACACTAAAGCAGGCGACATTTTTTCCTCTTTTGCTCTCCGTTAGCATGAGCTGACAGCTTCCCCTTCACAGTGGAATGGTCTGAATGACTGATCTGAAATAGCGAAGATAGCCTGCCTGTGCCTGTCGAAACCTGCTCTGACATTCTTAAACTAAATGTAAAACCGTACTGTAAATAAAAAATGACAACCTAACAATAACCGTGCACAGAAGTGACGCCGTGATAGGACGTTCAGGTGTGACACCTGCTGCTGGACTCATTACTGAAGTGACTCACATGCTGTGCGGGTCTTTGTGCACTAACCTCTCAAGCATGCGCTCCCCTGCAGCAGCGTGGCTTTGTCAGTTGCATCATCAAAGCTATTAAGATAATTTTAAGCAGTCAAACCGGATTCATCCAGTTTATGTCACTCTCTGACCCACTTTCTCTCTTTGCCTCTGGAGTCAGTCTGCTGCTCAGCCCTCAGTCAGAGAAGTGTAGAAGTGAATGTGTGACAAGATGAATGGATAAATGTGTTGCCGCTGACATGACGGCGGTCGATTTGAATCCCTCGACAAAGTTCACACACACAGACCAAATACTGCAGGTAGTCTTCAGACAGGATAGGAGAAGACTGCGTGTATTGTGAGTGTGAGAGGGGATGACAAAACCAGACTGTTCACTGTTGATGCCGTAATCTGACCTGTTAAATAACATCTAGCTTTAAGATTCACAAAAAACAATCACTGCTTGTTGTGGTAGAAAAGCGGATTTATTTGATGATGTTTTTTTAACATCATCTTCTGGTTTTCTGAGTTACTTCTTCCAAAAAAAAAACATTTCTCAGAGCCAATATTGAAACTCGTTTTTCAGTTTACTGATAAATGATGCGTTAAAAAACGGTGCTGGCAGATACATCTTCGCATGCACGATTTCGCTTTGACTGGCAGCTACTGTCACTTTTGCTTGACGACATATCACAGCTGCAACTATCTAAATCAATCAATCATGTTTCATTCATGCCGTGCCAAATCGCTTCAAAAGTGATCTCGGGACGCTCAGGACTACTCTAAGTGAAAGAAAACAAACATAACCCACCTGTAAGCAAAGACTTGGCAACAGTAACTTCCTTTAAACAGGCAGAAAACCTCCAGCAGGACCAGACACACATGTGTAGAGCCATCTGCAAGGACTGGTTGTTGACTCCTTGTTGTTTATTTGCCCTTAAAAGACGTCCTGTAACAAGCTGCTGACTTGGGTTTAGTCATCTGTACTCAGTGAACTACGAGTTCAACCGGAATGGCAACATCTGCTGAGAAACAACTAGTGTTGATCAGAAAAACTTGAAGTAAAACGATAAAATGTTATGAGTATGGCACACCTCATACAAAGTGGTAATATTTTACAATAAATAAATAACAGAAGAGGATAAATCAAATAAGGAAAAACAGACTAAATGGACATAGAGGTGGAGCTGAGGCCGTGATAATAACAATAATAGAGAAATAAGTCAAATAGAGCAAAGATGTTTATAAACCAGATGGTGAATGTTTCATTTTTGATGTTTCATTATGGGCTCCAATGGGTTATTTTTGGTGTTTGGTGCCAGCCTCAAGTGGACACTCAAGGAACTGCAGTTTTTGTGCAAAACCAAGCAAACAGATGACTAACAGTGTCACAGTCCAGGGTTAAACAACAGAAAAAGGACCCAAACGCAGAACAAAAAAGGATTTAATTAAAAAGAAGTAAATGAAAAAACAACAAAAACTTTTTTTAAAATGTCCAACTAAAGGCACAGAGGAACAAAAACACAAGGAGACTAAAGGTTTACACGTAGACTACACAGAAGCACACACACATATCGATATACAATTTACCAACAAGGACAGAGGGGAAGACAGGGACTATATATACACACTGAGTAACGAGCAACAGGTGAGGCTAACGAGCAACAGGTGAAACTCATGAGTGATTAACAAAGGAGGGAAAATTAGGCAAGTATAAACAGACTAGAAACAAAGGGAGGAAATACTACAAAATAAAACAGGAAACACTGAAAACTGATATTAAGAAAAAAAAAAGAAAAACACAGATAATAGGAGGGAAACAACACAAACTGAAAACTCAAGACTGGACTACAGGGGAACAAAACAGAACATATCATGATAAACAGAAAATGACATTTAATCACTGAAAAGAAGTTAACACTCTAATCTAATCCAACTCTATTGTCTAAAAAAACAGGTGAAGGAAAGTTGAAATTTTGTCAGTTTTGCCAAATTCAAAGTGTCAAAGAGCCTCCAGGTCTTTGAATTGGAGTATGGAGGAGTTTTTTTGGGGACACACATCAAACTTATCCGCTTATCCTCACTCAAACTAAAGGACTGAAATGCTCCCTCTTTGACAGATGTGGTATTGACACATTCATGAGACGGCACAACCTTGGCCACCCCGAGGGCTTTTGTGGTATTTTCTCTAGATGATGGATGCTGTGACCTACATTAAGCTACCTTCCTTTGTCCTAGTTATGGATGCCTTAGGGCGAAATATGCTAACTTCAGCTAACCGTCATTACTCTGGTTTGTTTTTAGCCAAATGGCTCAGACCGGTTTGTTTTTGTCTCAGTCGCACACGTGTTGTCAGGCAGAAAACTTGTGTCTTTTTTTTTTTCATGGGCTTGCAGTCTTGTTTGTCTGTTGTTGTTCTGGCAAAAATGGGTGAGAGGTTAGCTGTTTCTCCACTCCTCCCATGTCATCCTTGTTTATCTGAATCCGTGGTCGGCTAAACTGGTCCCCTTGCAGAATATTATATAATGGTGTTCAGGCTATAACCTTACCGGTTTAAATCATGACGAAGTTTCTTGACAGTGAGACCAGACGCCGCCGGTTCTCTAGGGTCGTTTTAATCTGCAAAGCATTTCCAAGGTGTACAGTTACAAAAACACGTGTGCTTGGGATGGAGGGTGGAGGGGGTCTCCCTGGGGTCCGTCTCTTCCTACAGATGGCAAAGGGCGAGGTCATAACTCAGTCATGTTTTCCAGCGGGCTTGCAGTTAACTCAGCAAGTTTCCTTCACACACACATATACACATTTTGTGTACTCAGCTTTCCGTCAGCCGAGCAGCCCCTTTGGTTTCTAAGAATGTGTTCTCAGGTGTTTACTAGCAGCCTGTCAGTCAAAACCGAGGGACAGAAGGAACACGGCTTGTTACTGTAATGAAGCACGTTTGAAAAAGATCAGCTGTGGTGGTTCACTAAGGAGGTTTAAAACGATTTGGACCGGCCAGTTGTAGGTTAGGTAATTGTGCTTGTGTGTATCAAATCAAGTCATAAGCCGATCTAGATGCATACTTTCTTATTTCCTGTTTTTCTTTGTGCACAATGAAGCTCCCCCCCTTTCCTCACTTACTTCTGCTGTCGTATTTTTTTCTTTTTTTTTGCAAAGGAAGTTTAAGTCACAACTTCTCCCTCTTTTGCCCCCTTAATACACCCACTCGCAAACATCAAAAACATCTGCACAACATCCACAGTTCATGTGGCTCTGCTCCCCCGCAGCTAAACTCAGAGTTACTTAATGTGAGTCAAACAGGCCAATTACTTAATGGCACCCCATTGGACTGAACCCACTGGCCTGTTTCACTCAGCGGTTCGGATCAAACCCATTAACTTTGTCTGTGTTAGGTCAGAGTTGAGATGGGTTTTGAAATTTGTTCTCTGGTTTGATTCAAGCTTAATGAGAGGAACGTGGTTAACAGCTTTATTACTCTTATTACCTAATAATGAAAACAGCCCTGTTTCATCAGGCAGACTAAGTAGGCTGTAATATGTAAGAATCAGAGTTAACCTCTGCTTAACTAGGACCTATAAAGATCCAGATCCAAAACAAAAACTGTCTAATGCTTCATTTTGAGAATTTAATTAGCAGAGGTCAGTTTAAACAATTTAGTTAGAGTACAGTGTCATCAGGATGCAAGATAATGATGAAATGGTACTACAATAAGTTAATATTATCATGATATGTTGTCAGGGTAGTTACCACAACATCTATTGTAAAAAAGTGCTTAAACTTTACCACATAAAAATGATGCGGTATAATTATGATTCATTACTGCAATACAAGGCAATACTGTATTATCATGATACAATCTTATTACAATACAATATTATCATGACAGGAAATCATGATACAATGTTATTACAGTAAATATTATCATGATTCAATGTTATTACAATACAATATTGTCATGATAGAAAATCATGATTATATTATCATGATACAATGTTATAACAATGCAATATTACAGTGACAGTATTATCATGATACAATGTTATTACAATCCAATATTATCATGACAGGAAAGCATGAAACAATGTTATTAAATACAATATTATCATGACAGAAAATCATGATACAATTTTATGACAGTACAATATTATCATGATACAATGTTATTACAATGCAATATTATCATGACAGTATTATCATGATACAATGTTATTACAATACAATATTATCATGATACAGTATCATCATGTTTAAATGTCACAATACAATGTTATAATTATACAATATTATCATGATACAGTATCATCATGTTATAATGTCATGACACAGTGGTATTACACTACAGCATTCTCACTTTCCAATGTTTACACAATGCAATATTATCATGCCACAATATTTTTATGGTTCAACATGATCACAATACATAATTATCATGATACATCATGAATAATTTAGAATTTTGTATTGTTACAATGTTATCACAATACAGTATTTTTACACTACAGATTAATTATGATGATATATTGTTTTCACAGTATGTTACTTTCTAGTTCTGACATTTTTTAAATTATGATCCATTTTTACAGTATAGCACCATCAAATGATGCAATGGTGTCACCATGTAGTATTGTATCACAATATGTTATCATGACACAATAATATCCCAAAGCAGTATCTTCATGTTGCAAAATTATAACAATGCAATGTAATGATGATGCAACATCATTGTTACATAATATCATCAAGACGCTACTTTGTCATGGTGCAATATCATGACAAAATACAAGCACAATATATTATATGATATAATTATGTCACAACATTATCATAATACATTTACTTTACAATATGCCCTTGCTAGAATGCAATGATGTGAAAAATTCTGATATGCTTAGTTGTGATTACATGCGTTACATTATTAGCATTTAGAAAGAGAACAAGTAACCAAAGAAAACAACCTTTTAGTATCTATTAAGCAAACTGGGTTAACCTTTGTTTTAATCTCATATCAGTTATTTTTATTGCAGTTGAATGGTATCGCTAACACTGCCATAAAACCTGCCAGGTATCTGACTGTTGAACCTGAAACACAGGTTACACAGTCAAACTAAACTGGGTCTAATGGAAGTTAACACAAATGATGTAACTGCAACATAAGATTTAAAAAATTTATTTCAATAGTATTATATGCAGTTATGATCTGAATATGTACTATCTGTCTTTTGCATGAGATGGATACAGGGACAGGTTTGCGGTAGCTCCAAAGAAAAGATAACTTCTGTCTGTAAGTCACAGGGCGTAGAGATAACGGGTGAAGTTCAACGCAACAATGCAGCGGTGGAGTCAAAGGTCGGATGTTCGACGTTGTGACACGTCGCGTTGTTTGTTCAGCTTTTAATCTTCCTTCATCCACTGACCTGAGAACAGTTCACTCTCCATTGTGAAAACTTCAAAGCCTTTGACCTTAAAGTTTGCGTCCAAACGGTTTATCATGCGGTGACGGCAGCCAGTTGTGCAATTCTTGGAGATAATCTACAGTTGCAGACAATGCATGGAGCGGTTTATTTGCAACAATAAAACACTGAACACATAAACCTTTAATCTCTGCAACATTACCATCAGTGTAGTCAGCACAGTCTCATGTATTCAAATGACCCTAGTTATCTTCTGTTTCGATGAAATTAACCGATCTTTTTCTTTCTTGTGCTTTCAGTGCTGCTGACATGGGTGAACTGCTCCAGCGTCCGGTGGGCCACAAGGGTGCAGGACATTTTCACCGCCGGCAAACTCCTGGCCCTCGCCCTCATCATCATCATGGGCATTGTGCAGATCTGCAAAGGTACGTCTCATCTGCTGGTTTTTGCGGATGCGTTCTTGGAAAATATTAGACACACACACACCAAACTCGGTCACCGGGGACGTCTTCGTTCATCCGGGCTCGCCTAACGACGCCACAGGGGTCAGTGAGTTGTTAGGGGCCCTCACATTGCTAACATCAGCACGCCTGCGTGGGTTCTCTATCACAACACGGCTGAGAACCTGTTGATTCTGGGGCCACAACGAGCGGGCCCCTGAAACAACAAAATCCGGATTTTTGTGCAAGTATTTCAAAGTAAAGAAAGAGTTTCGTGGCGGATTTGCTCGGGGGACTCGAGGTCATACATGTGGGGAAAGTATTTAGCGGGGATTTCAGGAAAAATGCAACAACAAAGGCTAAAGAAAGCAAGCCGATTATTCGGTGGATTTTTCATGTACGTCACATTACACAGATTTAGAGGAATGACTTTTACGATGTGTTTTACACACATGGGCTGATTAAGAAGATGGTTTTCAGCTGGGGGAAGCCCAAGCTTTAGTGGAAACAGATTAGTTTACCCCCACAACAAAACAACACTTGCAAAAACCTGTAAAAGTGGTAAAAAAACTGACTCGTGTGTCTGGAAACCTGAAAAATTAGTAGTTTTAAAGAACTTCTTCTTCTGAAAACTTGACTTAAGCTGTTTTATCGTCTTCTTCACTTTTAGGAGAGTACTATTGGTTGGAGCCAGCCAACGCCTTCGAGCCTTTCCAGGAGTACGACGTGGGTTTGATAGCCTTAGCGTTCCTACAAGGTTCCTTCGCCTATGGAGGGTGGAACTTCCTCAACTACGTCACAGAGGAGCTGGTGGACCCCTACGTGTAAGAGAAAATGCTCTTTAGAAGTATTTGTAGAAAAAAGCTGCCTCTGCAGTTTTCGACCGACTGGTTTTAAAGCTGCTTCTCGCTGATTTAGTGATTAGCGGTTGCATACCAAATCGGCTTGCCGGTTTAATCCCTGATCCTTTTTGTTTGGGCCTTCTGAACTTTGGAGAAGTTCTCACTATCATGCCAGAAACATTTCTTAAAGAGGGATTTTACTTATTTCGTAATTCACAAGGCTTCATCACTTCTTCTCAATCATGGTTTCATTTTCACGCACATCCTCTGAGCCTCAAATTTTAATCCTCTTAATTTCCTCTTTTATAAAATCAACTCTTTTCATCGTTTTTCAGGAACCTCCCTCGTGCCATCTTCATCTCCATCCCCCTCGTCACATTCGTGTATGTCTTCGCCAACATCGCCTACGTCACCGCGATGAGTCCCCAGGAGCTGCTCGCCTCTAATGCTGTCGCCGTGGTGAGTGTGACATCATTCAAAAGCCCTCGCACGTTGACGCGGAAAGACTCTGTCGCCCTCTAGTGGTCAAACTAACTATTATCCGCTTTTTCATCTCTGCTCCAGACGTTTGGAGATAAGTTGCTGGGAGTCATGGCGTGGATCATGCCCATCTCTGTGGCGCTTTCCACCTTCGGAGGGGTCAACGGTTCCCTCTTCACGTCTTCACGGTTAGTCTGCTTGATCATGACTTCTTCTTCTTCTTCTTCTTCTTGTGGTCAAACTCAGGAGCATGTATCAGACTGTGCAGTACGTGACTTTGTGAATTGAAGTGCATCAGAAATAAAGAAGTCGAGATGAACTGGGCGTTTGTTTCCCACAGTTTGTTCTTCGCCGGAGCCAGAGAGGGTCACCTCCCCAGTCTGCTGGCTATGATTCACGTTAAACGCTGCACCCCCATCCCTGCTCTGCTCTTCACCGTGAGTGCTCCTCTCCACTCCATGTTTTTCCCACTTTCAAGTCTTTTACATCTCTAAGTATTCTCCTCGTGTTCCTCCTCAGTGCCTGTCCACCCTGCTCATGTTGTGCACCAGCGACATGTACACCCTCATCAACTACGTGGGCTTCATCAACTACCTCTTCTACGGAGTCACTGTCGCCGGGCAGATCGTGCTGCGGTATAAACAACCTGACATGCACCGACCAATCAAGGTTTGTTTGACGCGCTACTGTCAAGGTGTAAAAATCAAGTCTGCTTTAAAGGAGAGCCTGAAAATAAACTTGTAAATGCTGCCCCCAAGTGGTGTAAAGAGGGAACTACCAGTGTAGAATGACTTGATTGTTTAACTGATGGTTCCTCGCTGGTTCCTCTACAGATCAGTCTAATCTGGCCGGTTATTTACCTCCTCTTCTGGGCCTTCCTGCTCATCTTCTCGCTCTACTCGGAGCCCGTGGTGTGCGGCATCGGCCTGGCCATCATGCTGACCGGCGTCCCCGTCTATTTCCTGGGAGTCTACTGGGACAACAAGCCGCAGTGCTTCGATGCGTTTGTCGGTAAGTGAAACATGAACTTTTCCAAACTGGACAAAGTTGCATAAAGTTTGACATAGGGTGACCATATTCTGACACGACTACGCGGGGGTGGAGTCACGGAGTCACACTAAGTTTTTTGGGTTGGATGGAGTGTCTTTTACACGCTTCTAACTCAGTAAGTCCACGTGACACAAAATCGAAACTTAAGTTCAAATCTGTGGACATTTGAAGGATTTTATAAACTTCCAGACGAACCCGGACGGCCTAGACCTGATTTTTTTTTTTTTTTTGTAGGATGGTAGGGCAAAGTCCCACCTCCTTCGCCTCTGATTGGCTAGAAAAGCTGGAAACGTCATCACTTGCTCAAGTCAAACGAGGGCTGTCGGCTCTGTACATCGAACAGATGATTACAGAACATTATCGCACTTATCAATCTCCTAACCCTAACCCTAACCTGACAATGACGATTCACAGCCATGAGGAATAATTGGAGCCCAGCTCTTCTAGCCAATCAGAGGTGAAGGAGGGCGGGACCTTCCCCTACCATCCAACAAAAAAACAAAAAATCGCAGCCCCCCAAAAAGACATGTCCGGGTAAAAGAGGACGTAAAGTCATCCTAGTTTTACATCATTGCATGAACTTACTGTGGTATTAACCAACTCTTAGACATTTAAGGTCCTTACACACCGGGGCCAATATAGAACGTGAAATTGCGAAATATTCGGAGGCGAGTTTTGACGCGCCTTACTATACACATCAAGCCCGATGCGATTTTGCGACTTGTCCCGCCTCCTTTGCCTCTGTTTGGCTAGAAAAGCTGGAAACGTCATCACACACTCAAGCCAAACGGTCAGCACCGATCAGAGGCGATAAGATAAGCGCATGAAACTATGGTAACAACCGTTAGCTTACGTTAGCACAGATGAAAGTTAAAACAAAGACGTTTAGCAAACTGTTAAAGCACACAAACCATCGTCATATGAGAAATCCGACGCTATGACTCTCCACAAGTTGTCCTTGATATACCGATGAATCTGACGTCGCAACAACACAAAATCTTATTGGTCAGAAGTGGACACACAGTATGCGAAACTTTAGAAAAAAATAAACGCTGCAATATTGCAGGACAGGAAAACGTCACTGATGTGAACGCTTGTATTGACAGGATACGGGTTCAGAAAAAAATACTGACGTCCGAAATAATCGCACGAAAAAAACGCTCCCGGTGTGAAAGGACCTTTCGGCATTTAGAAACACTGTTTTGCACATATGTTTCCCTTCTCACGTCACAGAACTTCTTCCTCCTCCAGATAAGATGACGTACTTGGGTCAGAAGTTCTGCGTGGTGGTTTACCCGGCTGAGGATAAGAGCGGCGGGAGCAGCGAGGAAGGAGAAGAAATGACGGAGGCCCGGTCTCCTCTGTCTAAGGAGGACGGCGAAAACCACAAATCAGCGGACTGCTAAAAACACCCGTCTTTGACCTCTCACCTGTACCCCCCCCTAAAACAGACATGTCCAGACGCACCTGTGGGCGCGCACACACTCACGACACACAGGCAAACATATCAAAGTGGATTTGCCGATCAACACTCTGTGCTCGCACACTCTGTCTTCGGTGTTTGTTCGGGTATTTTTTTTTATCCTTTTCTCAGTTGATTTCTGTGCCAAATACCTGAAATGAGATGTTTAGAGTAACGTGACCTCAGGTTGCTCCTCGAGGTCTTTCAAATGTGCAATAAAAAAAACAAAAAATAAAACGGTAGCACCTTTTAAAACCTTCACACATCTGAAACAGACACATCGAACCTTTTACTCTTCATCATCTTCATTATCATCTGTCTCTCCACACACTCCCTGCACACTCCTACTGTAAGAGAGTCGACGTCTTTTTTTTTTTTGTTTTTTTTTATTAGTATTTTTTATTTTTATCAATGGACTGTGACGGCTGCGCGAACGCTTTTTCTTGTTTTTGTTTTATTTTTCTTCTTTTTTTTTAATTGTAAAATTTTGCTTCTTTTCAACACCAAAGCTGTATTTTGATTGGTTGAGGCAGAAAATCAGATTCAGATCAAGTCATTTTACGCGGAGAAAGTACACTATAGTACTCTGTTTTGTTTTAAAACTGGCTGTGATTCCCAAATGTTTCTCTTTTTTATATATATATATTTGTAATTGTGGTAATTGTTTGTATCTTTTGTTTCATAGTAGTTTAAAAGTGTTTAATTATAATTTTATCAATATTCTTTTTTTCTATTCGACATCATTTACATCTGGGTCTATTTTTTACTCTTCAATCGTGGAAGCTGATGTGTGATCTGGTCTTTATCGCCTTAATTCGAAGATTTCTGTATTTGGGTGCCATCGCGGTTTGCTCGGAGCAAAGCTTAACGCTCACAACTTTTGAGGTGTCTGTTTATATGAACTTCCTGTACGGACACTACACACGATTAATCCGTTTCAACTTCGAGAACAAGAACGAAAAGAGAGGATTAAACGACAGATCTCACCGCATTTGGAAAGAGTGCGAACCCGTATACCGACACGCGTGAATGCTTGTGTGAGAATCAGTTTTGACGACATGTTTTAACAGCGGAAGTATTTTTTTAACTCTCTGTCTAGCTGTGTTAAAATCTTTCTCTTTCTTTAGGGTGTAGAATTGAGAACTTATAATGAAAAAAAGGCAATTTTTTTTTATTCACTAGAAGAGATTTTAGTGCAATATTAATGTAAGCAATAGCAAGGAAAACTGAACACGCGCCCCTGATTGAATAACTGTGTTGTCTGGTTCAAATAATGTATCTGTGTGTATGCTGTATATTATAGTAACAACACTCTTACGCCTAACACTGTGTACTCTTGTGTCTTTCTATAACCTCTGAGTGTCTCAGGGCATCCCCACTGCCTTCTCCTTCTACACACACTGCCTAAAACCTCCGAACCGTGAAAACTCAACTCTTCGACTGATTTGCCTCTTTGCTAAAAGTCTGTACGGATGCGTTTACAGATTGATTTCCTCAGGAGACTCCATCTCTGAAGCTATCCCAAGTTAACTATCAAGAGTATGATGAAGTTAGGCCAGTATTGTTTCGGTTTCTCTTGTCAGACTTTAAGGGGAACAGGGTGTCTTGGATGTCTTACAAGTACAATGACTGTGTTTTTGTGCCTGTACGGTTGTTGTGTATATACACACATATCATGATGATCTGTATATTGTCTCTTTAGTGAATAAAAACCACTGACTCATGTTTGAATCTGTAATTCAAGGCCTCATTTATGCTTGTAATAAAAAAGTGCTCCTTGTATTATATCTTTTATTTCATTTTGCAATCATTCAAGCTCAGCTGGACCTGTTTCTGTCCATAAATGAGGCCTGAACATGATCCACTTCAAAAACCTTTTTAATTCTTAACTGTAAACAAAGCAGAAAAGGTTTAACACCTAAAATAAATCTTAAAGCTCTGTAGAAGTCATGTTTTATCTATTTTCTTGAGGTTCCTGCTCTAACTTAAAGCCAAACAAGCCTTCAGTGCTCTCTGTTTGTCAGTTTTCTGTCAGTAATCATGTTTCTCAATAATATCACAAAACTCTGATCCGTCATTTCTTGTATCTGATCTGAGTTGCCTTTTTCAGTCCACCAATCAGAAAGAAAATCTTGACTGACGTGATGATCACAGTTCGGCGTATTTTTTGTACAAAAAAAAAAGATAATGTACGTACTGGTGGTGAGAGTGTGGTGAGAATAAATACCATAAAGTGGAGGGATTGATTCATGAGTCTTTTGTGCTACTGTTAATGATTTTCACCCACACGTGAGAAGTTTGAGAAGACTGTAAACTCAAGTTTATTGTAGAGACACAATAATCCGGCGCAGGTCAACTCTTCACACAGGAAAGCCAGAAGAGCTTTTTCATCACTGACACATAGAGAGCCCCTAAAATCGCACATTTTTTTCTTGTGCGTGCGCAAAATAAAATCTTATTTCCAAGTGAGAATTTTTTGTGCACACAAGATTACCAGATATTTTGACAGATATCTTAAGTACAAGAAAGTCACCCATTTCCATTTCCTTATTTTAAAAAGGTAACATCATGAGTACAAAATCATGATCCTGAGCGCGTAAGATCATCACTTATTTTCAACAATGAACATTTTGGGTACATGATCATCACGTGGCAACAAGATAATCATCTTGTCTGCACAAGATCAGCACATTTTTTTAATACAAAACATCTTAGGTACAAGAAAGTCACCCATTTCTACAAGATAACTATCTTGTCAGCACAAGATCATCGCTTATTTTAAAAAGGTAACATCTTGAGTACAAAATCATGATCCTGAGCGCACAAGATCATCACTTATTTTCATCAATCAACATCTTGGGTACATGATAATCACGTGGCAACAAGATAACTATCTAGTCCGCACAAGATCATCACTTATTTTAAAAGGGTAACATCTTGGGTACAAGATCATGATCCTGAGCGCACAAGATCATCCCTTATTTTAAAAAGGTAACATCTTGAGTACAAAATCATGATCCTGAGCGCACAAGATCATCACTTTTTTTCAAAGATCAACATCTTGGGTACATGATAATCATGTTGCAACAAAATAACTATCTTGTGTGCACAAGATCATCACATACACCCATGATAGTAACCTGCCACCAAAGACAGGCACTCCTTAGTTCTAAAACATCTCGGTTCTCACAAGATAAACAGTCCCGTCAGGATACAGGAGCCAAAACTGACGTACATGCTCATCCTACTAAAGTGCATGTCGAGCAAACTTATGATTAACATAAAGTGATTTTCCTTTACAGTAACTTTTTGACATTTGCAGATCATCTCTCTCATTAATCGTTTTGTTTAAAGCTACAGTCAATTCATGTGAGTTTAGCTCTTGGTATTGCAGAGGGTCTGGAACCATTACCATCCAGGCCACCGGCCAAAACATAAAGTAGCAAATAGCTTTCGATGAGCTATAAACAAGATAAACTTTGGTCTCCATACATATAAATAAAATTTAAGTCCGTATTTAAAATTATGTTAAGAGACCTGTGTTGGATTCACTTAAACGACCAGTCTTAATGCTGAGCTAGGCCAATTGCTGGCTGTTAAAACAACAGTATCAATAATAAACGGGGACATTTTAAAAATCATCAAATTACAAAGAAAAAGTAAAAATACTACAAAGGTAAAGACTGAAATTTTTAGGATGTTTGTCATGTACACTTATCTCTGTTTTATAACCAGTTGATCTTTGTCGAAGCCGCCTGGTTAGATCTTTGTAGTCAATCTTTCTGAAAGCCATGGAAGCTTTAATACATACAGTGTTTCAACAGTTCAGTGATACTTATTTTAGGAGGGGGGGTGTCAAGCCCACACAAGCAGAACCGGATCTAACTCTTTCCACCAAAAGCTCAAAGCCGTCAGGTGACTCCAGAGCTCTATGGAGTCTTTGGTGTATCTGCTTCTTCTTGAAGGCATTGTAAGGGCTGAGGCATGTTTCCAATCAGGAGCTACAAAGCGAGCTCGGAGTACGGACTTCTAGATGAGCACAGGGTTTGTCCTCCTCGCAAGGCAAGCACCAGATGAAGGACAGAGCCTCCCTGGATTTTATAGTCTGCCGCTGTTTTCTCATCGTTCCTGAGAATGAAGAAACAAATCAAGTGTTAAAATCTAGACCTCATACTGTTTTATCACCACAGAAACAGTCAGAATAAAAGATTAAGATCTGTGTAAATCACTTTGTACTACATGGTTGTGTATGAAAAGTGCTATATCAATAAAGACTGATTGATTGATAAAAATCCAGATCATAAAACAACAAAAAGGCCTTTTTAATCTTACATCTGTTTTCCACTGTAGATCAGCCTTTGCTGCTGTGGAGGGATCCCCTCTTTCTCCTCCACTCTCTCTTTAATCCGCTCCACCTGGATGGAAATAAAACAAACTCCTTTACACTGAAAAATCATAATTTACTTCATAATTCCCTTATCATCAAGCAGCACAAAAGAGGAAATAGAAATGTATTATTTTACCTTATCTGTGGGCTCTATATCAATCTCTATCTCTTTCCCTGTGAGCGTCTAAAACAAAATAGAGTAAATTTAAGGTTATTTTTAGTTACATTACAGACTGCACACAATGGTTGCTGTTAAAAAATCGATAATAGTCACAATTGCTGTGCCTTACCTTCACTTTTATGAGCATATTTCTTGATGTTTCTTTGTCAAATGCACTAACGCGGCTTTACCTCCTAGATTATGTTGAACAATATATGACACAAGAAGATGATAACACTCTATTTTGGTATGACTGGTCCCAGCTCCCCCAAATTTCAATGAGTGTTTCCGGTGTTTCCCAGCAAATCCCACCGCCTCTTTTCTGGTGTTAACGGTTCCGCTTCAGTTTGTCGCCGGACTACAAATTTTCCTCCTTCTCCTGTTAAATTAGCATAAAATTTAAAGAGATAATCATCCAAACGCAGAAAAAACCGTGCGTGTGGACTACACAAGCGCAAAACAACTGTATTTTCTCCGAGTACACAAAACTACTATCACGACAGCAGCGTAACATGGCGTAAAGCGAGATTTGTAGTTTTTAACAGCCCGCCGCCAACTCATCGAACCACTAAAAGAACTACAAAGTGGATGTCCGTTAGTGTCCGCCCTCGTAAAGTTTCCCGCGCAAGGAGCCGATACGGAATCAGAGGCGCAGCCAGAATCAATTACACTTTTCTAAAGGTAATAACTTCATTTTCTCCACCTTGTCGGTAATTCATAACGGTGTTAACTTCGTAGTAATGTTACGTAACGTAAATGCGTTTGAACTGTAACGGTTAGTGGTCCGTTTTCTCACTTTAAACCGATGCTAACTTTGAGTCGTAAAGGAAACAGTGCCCTCATCTTTGTGGTGAACAACATGTACAAAAGCCTCTACGTAGCCAAATAAAAGCCACTTTTCCTGTTTTCACAATAATAATTTACCTCTACTCATTTCCTCTTATTGTTTGACTGCAAAGATGTTTGTCCATCGAGGCTTCCGTCCATATGGTAGAGCCAACAACAGAAGGGTTATAATTTCCTCTATGTGTCAGAGTATGTATAAAAGGATGAGGAAACACACAAAACCAAGGCAGAACTTTTAAATGTGTGATTTATTTCCCCCCACAGATTCACATTCAAGGAGAAACGGCGCCATTCGTTCACTTTTTAGGTTTCATTATCCGCACATCTTGTCTCCAAAATGCCTCGAATTGAGAATGACATCAAGCTGGACTTCAAGGATGTCCTCCTGCGTCCAAAGAGGAGCACACTCAAGTCTAGGAGTGAGGTAGGTTTTAACACCAGACTGACACATTTGAATTATAATTTAATTATTTTCAAGAGGGTCCCTAAACATACAGAACTCAGGACACATGACAATTAGTGCTGTGTCGTTCGCAAACCATTCGTTCAAAAGAACCGAATCTTTTAAGTGAATGTACCGAACCGAATCACTTCATCAAGTGGAATCAAGCGTCCATTTAACCGTACACAGAAGCTCATTATTCAGATCCTGACAACTCAGAGTCTGAAGCAGATTGTTTCCTAGCTGACAAGAAAATATGTTTAAATCCACTCAAAACGCTTATCTCTCATTTTTCTTTTCCCTACCAGGTGGACTTGATGAGGAGCTTCACTTTCAGGAACTCTAAAGGCAGCTACAGAGGGATCCCCATAATTGCTGCCAACATGGACACCGTAGGAACCTTTGAGATGGCCTTGGCTTTAAATCAGGTATCTCATGCAAGAGCATAACGGGCTTGAATGTACATTTAGGTTTTAACAGTGCTTTTAAAATTATTTTAGCTAATTTAACCATCATATTAAATTGAAAACAGCAAAGCCAACATATGTCGAAACTGATTTTTTTTTTTGTTTATGAAAAATATATGCCATATTTTAGATGTGATGCTAGTACCACTTTAAAATTAGTTGCACATTTACCTTTTCGAGTAACTCTACCGGTCTATTAAAGCTGCCCCTGGTGGCCCTTACATGTAATTGCACCTTCTGTAGATATCAATCTGAATTCGAATGTTGTCTCTCCCTCTAGTTCACTCTCTTCACCACGATTCACAAACATTACTCCGTGGATGAGTGGGCGGAGTTCGCAAAGAAGAATCCTGAATGTGTGAAGGTACTTTTCATTCTTTTCATATTTCATTCTTGTTTTGGAGTTTTTTTAATGCTGGATTTTTTTTCAACACTTTTTCAACACCTCTGTTTTTACCCACAGAGTGTAGCAGTCAGCACAGGCACCGGGGACGGTGACTTTGAGAGGATCTCAGCCATCCTGGCGGCCGTCCCACAGCTTCACTATATCTGTGTAGACGTAGCTAACGGCTACTCCGAACACTTTGTTCACTTTGTTAAAGATGTCAGGCAGAAATTCCCCTCACACACGATCATGGTGAGCACATGTCTCCTTCTGAGTGGAGCTAAATAGGGAATTTATGCTGGGATTGGAAAAATAATTACAGAACGGTTTCTAAATGTTGCTCAGGCAGGAAACGTGGTGACAGGAGAGATGGTGGAGGAGCTGATCCTGGCTGGTGCTGACATCATCAAAGTGGGCATCGGACCAGGTAAACATGAACCTTAAGTAGATGTCTTTTTCTACAAAAACACTGAGGGTACAGACAAGGACTTTTTATTTAATGTGAATAATGTTCAAACAAACAGCATGTACACAGATGCTTAATCCTGTTTGCAAATGAAAGACCTTGAGAAGCTGATCTCTTACTCTTGTCTTCTTCTACAGGTTCTGTGTGCACCACCCGTAAGAAGACAGGAGTTGGATACCCCCAGCTCAGCGCTGTGATCGAGTGTGCAGATGCAGCCCATGGCTTAGGAGGCCATATCATCTCTGTGAGTGTCTCTGATTATGTCAACATAGTTCTTGTTCTGTTCTCTCTCTTTATTTACTTCATATACCCCACTGCGCAATGCGACGTCGAAATGACATCTATTTAACAGATTTTTTCGACGATGAAGAGGTACAATAATGACGTTTAAATCTTGGAACCATTTTGCACGTTGTGCCGACGTCTATATTTGGTCTTCAGATGACGTCCAAATTCTAAACGTCAGACAGACGTCTAAAAAAGGTCCAATTTGGACGTCGAAATTTCTAACCTAATTTACACATCGCACTAACATCTAGATGTGGTCTTTGACGGACTGACCCAATACTGACTTGATCTGCACGTCTCTTTGACATCCGATGTTTGGTGGGACCGTATTTTTCGCACTATAAGTCGCACTTAAAATCCTTTTGGCTTGTCGGAGCACTGCAGCTACCATAGCCTTGCAGAGTTATTGGATGAGTTAAATAAAAAAATGCGCTTTATAATCTGGTGCGCCTTATAGACGCAAATAGTTGCGTTCATTGATGGTGCACCTTATGTATGAATAGAGACGCGAATAGACGCGTTCATTGATGGTGCGCCTCAAAGTCCGGTGCACCTTATAATACTAAAAGTATGGTAATTCCAGTGTCTGTGTGGGAAATATGACATTATATACTGTATGTATAGAATCAGAATCTAATTCGAGTCTTATTCATACAGATTGAAAAAAAGCGTCTGTTAAATTACATTGTGAATTAAAGGGGAGGGTATCATGCTTATTATTCTGCTGTTGTATTGTCCCTTTAATATATTTCAGACCGCTGTCTTCGAAAAATCCCAATTTCAGCCTCTGTCTGAGGAGCCTTATTTAAGCCACTGCCCTTTTAGAGCCCACTTAGCATTCTGCGGCCTAGCATTCTAGAAACCTCCTTCACTGTTGCCATGCAGAAAAGTTGTGTTTCTTAATCCAAAAAATATATAATATATATATAATATAAATATTAATGCCCTTTTGACGTACCTGGTTATACCAATTTGAGCAAATCTTACATTGATCTCATGACTTCTCGAGCAGGCTTACCTCGCTCTGGATGGAAAGAACTCGATGTTTTTGCTTGTCTTGCAAAATGATTCACAGCCTTTCCTACTGTGTTGCGCCGATCACACCCCTCTTCCCAGGACCGGTGTGTGAAGTTCAGACATGCATTACACCCTGAGAGAGTAAAATCCCATGCATGACACGGTGTTCTGTTATGTGTCTTCTCTTTCACACAGGATGGGGGATGTACTTGCCCAGGAGATGTCTCAAAGGCTTTTGGTAAGGTGTCAATTTCACTGTTTTTATTTGTTAAAACAGACTTCTCGTAACGGGCCTCTCTGTTTTCTCTTGGGAAACCTCTCAGGTGCTGGGGCTGACTTCGTGATGCTGGGCGGTATGCTTGCCGGCCACTCAGAAAGCGGGGGCGAGGTTATCGAGAAAAACGGCAAGAAATACAAGCTGTTCTATGGTATGAGCTCCGACACGGCGATGAAGAAACACGCAGGAGGCGTGGCCGAGTACAGGTCAGAGACGCAGTAACTCGAGTGTTTGAGGAAACTCTGCCTTTGGTGTTTGTGGATGTCGATGATAATCTTTGAATCCGTCATGTCGTCTGTGTATGTTTTTCACCTCCAGAGCCTCAGAGGGGAAGACAGTTGAAGTTCCCTACAAAGGTCCAGTGGATGAGACAATACGAGACATCCTGGGTGGGGTCCGCTCCACCTGCACTTATGTCGGGGCGGGGAAACTAAAGGAGCTGAGCCGCAGGACCACCTTCATCAGGGTCACCCAACAGCTTAACACTGTCTTTGGTAATGACAGCTGAATCCTTTTCAGAGTTACCCGGAGTGAACACACACGTTGGTTTAGTCTCATCCATCGAGGTTTGCTGTCTTTGTTTGCTTTGCAACTCGTTGAGGTTTCGTGACCTTAAATTTTAATGCAGTTTTAGTTAGATGACTTTTAATTCGGAGTTTTCCGAACGCAAGGCCTTGATTTGTTCTTTTAACATCTGTGTTTCTATGCATTGTTTCACCCATGTTTAAAACACTGACACTAATTTTCATGGACCACATGCCTTCTTCTTCTCCCATTTAGAAAGCGTAAATGCTTCCTAGATGTGCGATATTGTTTTGAACTGATGACGTATTTTGGACCCAAGATATGCGTCAACACACGACTTCTGGGTAAGGCGGCAAACATCCCTCGGGTCTACAAATGAGGGAATGTTGTCCATATTATTACAGTCAGTGAGTCTACGGTGTCAAATATGGCAAATGTCTTAAATTATTCCAGTCTGAATCTAAAAGTAGCTGCTGCTCGTCATAGACTCTTTTAGAAATGTGATCACTCCATTTTCAAGGAAGTTTTGCACTTTAATGATTCGTAATTTTAGAATTAAAAGTAGTTTCTTTTCGCTCTCCATGGATTTTAAACTAGTGTCGCATTGTTTCCAAAAGCCTCTACTGCTGTAAGTTTATTTCCAAATACAGGGAACTTACTTGTGGACCAGTTACTTACATCACAGCAAAAGTGTTCTTGAATTTAAACTGACATGCAGCTTTTTTTTGCTGCTCGTGACCAAAGGTTTTTTGGATTATATATACATTAGTAATTCACACATCCAAAACATGTTCAATTTATTAACACTGTCAAATCAGCCTCTTGAGATTTCATCCGTGTGGTGTCTGTCGTCACTCCATTTTAAGTTTCTCTCGCACACTTCTATCATTCCCCCTTCACATCTGTTTGAAAACGTCATATTGTGAAATCAAAATACAGTTTTTAAAATTATTAAAGACACTCCACATCTGATTGCTTTCCTTTTTTTATTTTAAACCAGTGTTCACTATGCATGCATGGTACAAAAGTCAGCAAGTGCTTATTTCAGGTCTCACTCAATTGCATGGAATTGCTCGGAAGCTCTACTACGAGGCTGCAATGACACTTTAAACCACTAGATGGCGAACAAGACCTTGAGCTGGACGCCTGACAGAACACAGGAAAAAAAAAAACCAAGCAAATCCGAAATCAAAATAACAAAATGAACTTTAAAAAAAGGTGAAGATAGTTAATAATGACATGATAAGAAAACTACATTTTAATTCAAAGGCTAAAACTACAAAGATTGATTTTATGTTTCTCTCTCACAATTACAAGGCACAGTTGATCACAGTCATATTTATAGTGCTGCACTTATTAGTCATAAGGAAATGAAAGCAGGTCAACGATGAAGTAATACTTCTGGGAAGCCCTGGTAGATTTTTTTTTTAAACCTTATTATAGAAATGAAGACTAAGCACTTATTTGCGTGGGGTTTTTTTTTGTTAATGTGAGCCACAAATAACACCATGACTGCTCATTAGAGAAGTTCACAAAGCACCTCTGTGACGCGTTGGACACCAATATGCTCCCCACAAGAACAAGTGGACTGCTGAGCCATGTGACCAAAGCCAGCTCTGTAGAAGTATGAATTTGGGTTCCAAGGATAAACCTTCTCACAAGAGCACCTCCAGCGCTGCCCTCGTTGAGTCCTTGAAAACAGAGATGGACCTCCATAAGCGTCTACAGAAGTATAGCTTGACTCCTCTAATTCCACGTAAACAAAAGGAGTAAGGTCCTGCTTAGTGGAGGTGATTGGTATTGTGACTATTTTTCTTCTCTGGTGCTGGCTGGTCAGATTGTAGAAGGACAACACGTCAGGAGAGCTCCATTCCACTTCCACTATTTCTGGGTGGGCTGTTTGTTTCCCCACATCTTCATCAAGAGGGTCGATCGTCTGAAGAGAAACCCTTTGCTCTGAATCATGTCTGGGCCTTTTGGTTTGTTGCTCCCCAGATAACTGCTCTATTTTGAGAGAGCTGAGCTGGTTTCCTATCCAACACAGTCCGTAGACGTCTCTATCTTTTAACTCTTTGGTATAATTCTGGTCGGATAAACCAACAGCCCAGTCACAGTCCTTGGAGAGAGTGATCCCCCATCTGCAAATCTTCGAGGAATCAGAGGACTTTGTACGCTGAATGTGTAATATGCCTTTCCCCAGCTGGCTGCTGCTGAAGACCTTCCTGTCATCTTCAGAGAGTAACATCCCCGGACTGAAAAACTGAGGTTTAAAACAAAGGTCAGCACTGAGTGCCCTAAGCTCCTGGTGGTTCTCTGGGTCAACATGAGTCAACAGGGATCCCCAGAAGTGACTGGCCTGCTCCATCATTTTCTCACCTCTCTCTTTTATCTCTTCAACCAATTTGTCACAGTCACCACCAGGTTCTAACCCTTTTCTTAAATCCACAGCATTGGCCTTTTCCAAATCCTGATGCACCTGAGAATACATCTGCAGGAATCTGACAGTGTCCTCCTCAGTCTTTGCTGTTTGCAAGCTGGTCAAACTAGTTTTCATAGACACCATACGAGCAGAGACTGAACTCTGGACACTGGTCAGTGCAAGGTCACGCAGATTAGTAACAGCTTTAATGAGTCGAACACTGGAGCGACCCAGCTTCTCCCTCTCCTTCTTCTCCCACTTCTCCAAACTGACATTTTTACCATAAGTTTTAAGCTGTAAGGACTGCTGCTCAGCTGTGACTTTTTCTAGAAGCTCTTTTTGTGCTGTGGGAAAAGTCTTCATATTGTGTAGGCGGTGCTGGTCCTCTATGGCGCAGGAAACACACACACAGATTAGGTCATCCAAGCAGTAGTACTCCAAGACTTTTCCGTGTTGGGGGCACTTAGTGGTCCCGACTACGCCCCCATCCCCTGAGGCTATAGGCGCAGTCAGAGGATGAGTCTGCAGTAACACCGGAGTGGTCAGGTGGGCCTGGAGGTGCTGCACGCACATGGAAATCTCACATTTCATGCAGGTCTTCCGAGCTGGTTTTCTGTCCTCCCCTATACACATGTCACAGAGGATGACTTGAGGGTTCTTGTCCAGACTGTCCGACATGTTTTCAAACAGGAAGTGCAGAAATTATTTCGCTGCTGTATCAAGTCCTGAGTGTCCTCTTGAAGTTTTGTTGTTTTTGTATCAGGTAATGTAAATATTCATTCAGCCGAATATTCTTGTATGAGACGGAGGTTCTCTTCCACACAAGTGTTGCGCAGTAGTTTCATTTCTGCATAACGAAATATTAAGAGGGTGGAGTCAGAATGATTTGAAGCAGCCTCTATTGAACATTTTGTTTGGTTAAGCTGATAAGTTCTGTCCTACAGATAAAAAGGAGCCACACACAAGGAAGTGCTTGTGTATTTACAACCCTCAGAAAAGTTCCTTGTTTGCTATCTTGATGATTTCCTTTGCCAACACCCACCATCTTTTGACATTGAAGTGACCAAGTGGCAGTTTTAACCAACTGAAGAATCCTCTGCTGGGACCCCTGCAAACTTGAGGGGTTCAACCAGTCTGTTGTACCTTGCCCCTGACACAAGAGTCACCGACCAACCATAATCATGAGCTATAAAGAGGGTTTTATAACTGTGTGAGAGACTAAGTGGGTCATTATGCTAATGTCAACAGTAGTAGAGTGGTTGCCAAACTGGTTAGTCTGCGATACAGACTTGTCACCTTTTGAAAACTTGAGCGAATCTTGACAAGAACAATACGCCAAAAGAATCCTGAACTGTTAGGCAGCTGTAATCTGTGATCCATCAATATTGGGGCAAAATGTCACTTTGACCAATGTCCCATCTGTTAACATGGAGTGGGTGGGTTGTCATGACTCCTCGCAGGCAGTCATCGGGGGAGATCCAAAAAGTTTTAATTTCACTTCAGGAGAGCAGTTATGACATCCAAACCTTTATACAGTTGACAAAACCTTTGACTGCTAATAGTTACTTCTTGATTCAAACTGGTATGAAAAGACGAATAACGTTAAAAAACATTTTGTAAATTCACTTTATTTTGTTAATCAACAAAAACATTCCACATCAGATTTGTTTAAATTTCATTTCTGATCAGAATATTCACAATGTTTGCATGATACATAAGATTCCACATCCATGTTGCCACTCTAAAACACTTGAGAGCAATAACACATTCTTTACCACTAGATGGCAACAAACACTTTTCAGTGGATGCCAGAAAAGGAAAGAAACACAGCAGAGTAAAGTTTTTTTTTATTTTTTTGAGAATTTTGAGAAGCCCTTAAACAAAATAAGCGATAATTATCCCTAAAAAAAAACTCTCGGTAGGTTTTATGTAAGTATGAGAACAATACATTTTCATTCAGAGAGGAGAAATAAACCTCACTGCAGAACTAGTTTTGTTGGTTGCTTATAATGCTGTTTGGGCTCTTTGTCTTTTACCTGTGTATCAAAGCACTTTGTAAACCACTGTTTTTATAGGTGCAATAGAAATCATGTTTTTGTTAATGAGAAATATTCATCTATCTCAGAAAGACAAGATACAACTGATTAGCATCAGCAGATATTTGTAGGACTGCACTCAAAAGCTTTGTACAATGATAAGACAGGAGTATAGAAGAAAAGGTCTACTTTACAGGATTGACAACGACATTAACATTACTGCCTAAAACACCTGCTTCACTTCGATAATGTTGGTAAAGTCCATTTTTTGTACATTCCCATAAAAAAAAAAAAAAAAAACAAAGACAAATTTGAAGCTGTTGGAAAAACAAAAAAGACTGTAAAATACGTAAGGCATACACTCAGTAATTAAAAGAAAAGATTTCAGCACTTTACTATTCCTTTAGAAAGCCTTTTTGTTGTTGTTTTTGTGCTATTTCCAGACATTATACACATAAGTGTTCTTTCACATGCAACTCAACTAGCTGGCATACCCTTGTTTTCTCAGCTCTCTTATTAGACAAACTAAACTGATCTACATCCTTTCTGGCTGGTACAGTTAGCAGTGATATCTAACTTACACAAACCTCACCCCAAAAGTCGTGAAATATCCCTGTCATGAGGGCTAAATACCACCTCACAGCTGTCCATCAGAGAAGTTCACAAAGTATCTCTGTGGTATGTGGGACTCCAATTATTTTTCCACAAGCACAGGTTCTATGAAAAGAACCATCTATAAGGCCATCCTTATATCTCCCAGGATGCACTCTCCCACACAAGCATTTCCACCCCTCCTGTGGTTGTTGTTGAACATATGAGCCAAATAAGCCACGGTAAACCCCAGCCAAGTTTCTTTGTAACATCTCCATCCACAAGCTAACAAAAGGAGTTAGTACCCGGTTAGTGGACTTGGTTTTTATTGTGACAATTTTTTTTCTCTGGTGCTGTGCAGTCAGGTCGTAAAAGGATAACAAATTAGGATGGCTCCATTCCACTTCCACTTTCTCTGGCCGGGCCAGTTTTGTCCCAAAGTCTTTTTGAGGAGAGTTCATCTGTAGTAAAACCTTTTTTGGTCGTTTGGCAACTTGTCTTTTCTGCCTCATACCGGTACGTCTCAGAGCTGCATTGTAATCATCATCTTCATAGTCTGTCATGAGGAAGCTGAGCTGGTTACCTTCGCAACACAATCCATAGACTTCTCCATAGTTGGAATTCCGTGCATAGCTCTCATCACATACACCAATGGTCCAGTCATAGTCTTTCGAAAGGCTGATTCCCCATCTGTGAACTGTTAAATCTGTGATGGGTCTCACACTCTTAAGGGTAAATACGCTTTTCGTCAGGTGGCCACCATTGAAGACCTTCCTGCGGTCTTTGGACAGTGTCACATCTTGGCCCACAGACTGTGGTTCAAAAATCAGGTCTGAACTAAATGACCCAAGTTCCTGGTGGTTCTCTGGGTCAACATGAGTCAACAGGGATCCCAAAAAGTGACTGGCCTGCTCCATAATTTTCTCACCTCTCTCATTTATCTCTTCCATCAGTTTTTCACGATCATCACCAGGCTCCAACCCTTTTCTTAAATCCACAGCATTGGCCTTTTCCAAATCCTGATGCACCTGAGAATACATCTGCAGGAATCTGATGGTGTCCTTTTCAGTCTTTGCTGTTTGCAAGCTGGTCTTACTGGTTTTTATAGACACCATACAAGCAGAGACTGAACTCTGGACACTGGTGAGTGCAAGGTCTCGCAGATTAGTAATAGCTTCAATGAGTCGAACACTGGAGTGACCCAGCTTCTCCCTCTCCTTCTTCTCCCACTTCTCCAGAATGACATCTTTACCATCAGTTTTTACCTGTAAGGCCTGCTGCTCAGCTGTGACTTTTTCCAGGAGCTCTTTGTGTGCTGTAGAAAAAGTCTTCATATTGTGTTGGCGGTGCTGGTCCTCTATGGCGCAGGAAACACACACACAGCTGAGGTCATCCAAGCAGTAGTACTCCAAGACTTTTCCGTGTTGGGGGCACTTAGTGCTCCCGACTACGCTTCCATCCCCTGAGGCTATAGGCGCAGTCAGAGGATGAGTCTGCAGTAACACCGGAGTGGTCAGGTGGGCCTGGAGGTGCTGCACGCACATGGAAATCTCACACTTCATGCAGGTCTTCCGAGCTGGTTTTCTGTCCTCCCCTAAACACATGTCACAGAGGATGACTTGAGGATTCTTGTCCAGACTGTCCGACATGTTTTCAAACAGGAAGTGCTGAGTGGAGAGTTCCTGAGTTCTTTTTGACACTGTACAAAGTCCTGAGTGTCCTCTTGAAGTTTTGTTGTCTTTCTATTGGAATGTTCTTGCATGAGACGTAGGTGCTCTTCCACACAAGTGTTGCGCAGTAGTTTAATTTCAGCATAACGAAATACTTAGAGGGTGGAGTCAGAATGATTTGAAGAAACCTCTATAGAACATTTTGTTTGGTTAAGCTGATAAGTTCTGTCTTACAGATAAAAAGGAGCCACACACAAGGAAGTGCTCATGTATTTACGACCCTCAGAAAAGTCCCTTGTTTTGCTATCTTGATGATTTCACTTGCCAACACTTATCATCTTTGGCCGTTAAAGCAGCAAAGTGGCAGTTTTGACCTATTTAAGAATCCTCTGCTGGGACCCCTGCAGACTTAAGGGGTTCAACCAGTGAACAGGTCTGTTGTACCTTGCCCCTGACACAAGAGTCACTGACCTACTATAATCATGAGCTATAAAGAGGGTTTTATAACTGTGTAAGAGACTGAGTGAGGAAGTAGTCAAATAATTCCAGCAAAATCCAACAATGCTGGAATTTATTGCTCACTATGCTCATGTTGGCAGTCAAAGAGTGGGTGCCAAATTGGTTTGTCTGCTATACAAATTTGTCACCTTTTGAAAACTTGAGCGAGTCTTGACTAGAAAAATACGCCAAAAGAAACCTGAACTCTTAGGCAGCTGTAATCTGTGATCTTTCAAGTATGGGACAAAATGTCACTTTGACCAATGTCCCATCTGTTAACATGGAGTGGGTGGGTTGTCATGACTCCTCGCAGCCAGTCATCGGGGGAGATCCAAAAGTTTTAATTTCACTTCAGGAGAGCAGTTATAACATCCAAACTTTTATACAGTTGACAAAACCCTTGAGTGTTAATATTTACTTCTTGAGTCAAACTGGTATGAAAAGACGAATAACGTTAAAAAACACTTTGTAAAGTCACTTTATTTTGTCAGTCAACAAAAACATTCCACATCAGATTTTTTTATTTCATTTCTGATCAGAATATTCACAATGTTTGCATAATACACAAGATTCCACATCCATGTTGCTACTCTAAAACGCTTGAGAGCAATAACACATTTTTTACCACTAGATGGCAACAAACACTTTTTAGTGGGTGCCAGAAAATAGAAGAAACACAGCAGAAAAAAAAAAATTGAGAATTTTGAGAAGCCCTTTAACAAAATAAGCGATAACTTTCCCTAACAAAACTCTCGGGCAGGTTTTATGACAGTATGAGAATAATACATTTTCACTCAGAGAGGAGAAATAAACCTCACTGCAGAGCTCGTTTTGTTGGTTGCTTGTAATGTTATTTGGGCTCTTTGACTTCTACCCCTGTATCAAAGCACTTTGTAAACCACTATTTTTATAGGTGCAATAGAAATCGTGTTTTTGTTAATGAGAAATATTCATCTATCTCACAAAGACAAGGTACAGTTGATTAGCATCAGTAGATATTTGTAGTACTGCACTTAAAAGCTTTGTATAATGATAAGACAGGAGTATAGAAGAAAAGGTCAACTTGACAGCATTGACAAAGACATTAATATTATTGTCCATTGGAAAAGCAAAAAACACTTTGTAAAATATGTAAGGCATACACTCAGTAACTAAAAAAAAAGGTTTCAGCACTTTACTTTGTCATCAGAAAGCCTTTTTGTTGTTGTTTTTTGTGCTATTTCCAGACATTATACACATAGGTGTTCTTCCACATGCAACTCAACAAGCTGGCATACGCTTGTTTTCCCAGCTCTCTCATTAGACGGACTAAACTGATCTACATCCTTTCTGGCTGGTACAGTTAGCAGTGATATCTAACTTACACGAACCTCACCCTAAAAGACAATATCCCTGTCATGAGGGCTGAATACCACCTCACAGCTGTCCATCAGAGAAGTTCACAAAGTATCTCTGTGATTTGTGGGACTCCAATAATCTGTCCACAAGCACAGGTTTTACGATGAGAGGGACGGTTAATGCTACCTTCATATCTCCCATGATGCACTTTCCCACACAAGCATTTCCACCCCTCCTGTGGTTGTTGTTGAACAGCTATGCCAAAATTTAAACCACCAGATACCCGAGCCAAGTTTTTTTGTAACTTTCCCATCTCCAGGCTAACAAAAGTAGCGAGTACCTGGTTAGTGGACTTGGTTTTTATTGTGACGATTTTTTTTCTCTGGTGGGGTCCAGTCAGGTTGTAAAAGGATAACAAATTAGGATGGCTCCATTCCACTTCCACTTTTTCTGGTCTGGTCAGGTGTTTCTCAATAGCTCCACCAGGAGAATGAACAACCTGTAGTGAAACCTTTTGTCGTTTAGCGCCTGGTGTTTGCAGCCCAAAGTGAAAAGATTTCAGAGCTGCATTGTAATCTCTCTCAAACGTTGTTGCAGAAGCCACTTCACAGTCTGTCACGAGGGAGCTGAGCTGGTTACCTTCACAACACAATCCATAGACTTGTCCATAATTGGAATCCTGTGCATATCTCTTGTCACATAAACCAATAGTCCAGTCAAAGTCTTTAGAGAGGCTGATTCCCCATCTGTGAACCGTTAAATCTGTGATGGGTCTCATATTCTGAAGGAGTAGAACACTTTTCCCCAGGTGACCACTGTAAAAGACCTTCTTGCGGTCTACAGACAGTGTCACGCCTTGGCCCAAAGACTGTGGTTCAAAGATCAGGTCTGAACTAAATGATCCAAGCTCCTGGTGGTTCTCTGGGTCAACATGAGTCAACAGGGATCCCCAGAAACGACTGGCCTGCTCAATCATTTTCTCACCTCTCTCTTTTATCTCTTTAACCAATTTATCACGATCATCACCAGGTTCCAACCCTTTTCTTAAATCCACAGCATTGGCCTTTTCCAAATCCTGATGCACCTGAGAATACATCTGCAGGAATCTGACAGTGTCCTCCTCAGTCTTTGCTGTTTGCAAGCTGGTCAAACTGGTTTTCATAGACACCATACGAGCAGAGACTGAACTCTGGACACTGGTCAGTGCAAGGTCACGCAGATTAGTAACAGCTTCAATGAGTCGAACACTGGAGCGACCCAGCTTCTCCCTCTCCTTCTTCTCCCACTTCTCCAGACTGACATCTTCACCATTAGTTTTTACCTGTAAGGCCTGTTGCTCAGCTGTGACTTTTTCCAGGAGCTCTTTGTGTGCTGTGGAAAAAGTCTTCATATTGTGTAGGCGGTGCTGGTCCTCTATGGCGCAGGAAACACACACAGAGATGAGGTCATCCAAGCAGTAGTACTCAAAGACTTTGCTGTGTTGGAGGCATTTAGTTGTCCCGACTACGCCTCCATCCCCTGAGGCTACAGGCGCAGTCAGAGGATGAGTCTGCAGTAACACCGGAGTGGTCAGGTGGGCCTGGAGGTGCTGCATGCACATGGAAATCTCACATTTCATGCAAGTCTTCCGAGCTGGTTTTCTATCCTCCCCTATACACATGTCACAGAGGATGACTTGAGGATTCTTGTACAGACTGTCCGACATGTTTTCAAGCAGGAAGTGCAGAGTGGAGAGTTATTCATTCACTGTAGTGTTCTATGAAGTCCTCGGTATCCTTTTTACAGCCCCCTTGCTGACTCTGTTTTGTGAAAATTGGATAATAGCGTTCTTATGCAATAGCTCAGTCTCTGCCTCAGAAGCACAACAGTTTCGTTTCTGTCTAACCAAACAACATCTCAGGGGGTGGAGTCAGATTGATTTGGCAGCACCCTCTTTCCTGGCTTTTCCAGGGTTGGGTTGTTTTGTTCACTTCACATCTGAAGAGGAGCTCAAGGGAATTCACTTTATAACAGTTCAATAGATTTCCCCAAGAATTAAGTGAACTATAGAATTCAGATCAGTCAATAATGCCCAACAAATAAACGTAACAATTTCTTTATGATGTCAATTCACATTTTCTTGATTTGGTAATCATCATCTCATGATCTCCTGTTTAACTCACTCCTATGAGAGTCAGGATGCTGTATTCAAAATGTTGACAACAACAGAATTTGATCATTTGCAACTCATGTAACCCTATTCAATGTAAAAGTACGAAATGAGGGGTTAGGGGCAGGTTAGGGTCAAATGTCTTGGACACGACTTTGTGGTGGAAATCACCAAGGAGGCTTCAAATCACAAACAAAATCTCTCTTTTTTGTGAACAGTTAGTCCCTGAAATCACAAAAACAGGTTAAATCTATCAAATGCAAAAAGCACATGTTATAGAGACATGATACACAAACAACTACTCTGGACTGAGCCTATTTGATGAGCCTCTGACCTAGTGTTTGCTGCTCAAAGGTCATAAATTTCAGAGCTGCATTATAATCTCTATCAAACATTGTTGCAGAAGCCACTTCACAGTCTGTCACGAGGGAGCTGAGCTGGTTACCTTCGCAACACAATCCATAGACTTGTCCATATTTGGAATCCTGTGCATAGCTCTCGTCACATAAACCAATGGTCCAGTTAAAGTCTTTAGAGAGGCTGATTCTCCATCTGTGAACCGTTAAATCTGTGATGGGTCTCATATTCTGAAGGAGTAAAACACTTTTCGTCAGGTGACCACTATTGAAGACCTTCTTGCAGTCTATGGACAGTGTCACGCCTTGGCCCAAAGACTGTGGTTCAAAGATCAGGTCTGAACTAAATGATGCAAGCTCCTGGTGGTTCTCTGGGTCAACATGAGTCAACAGGGATCCCGGAAAGCGCATGGCCTGTTCCATCATTTTCTCACCTCTCTCTTTAATCTCTCCAATCAGTTTTTCATGATCGTTGCCAGGCTCCAGTCCATTTCTTAAATCCACAGCATTGGCCTTTTTCAAATCCTGATACACCTGAGAATACATCTGCAGGAATCTGACGTGTTTGCACTCACATTGTTTTCAACTTTTCTCATATCTTTTTCTTGATTCAAACTGGTATGAAAAGACAAATGATTTAAAAAACATTTTGTAAATTCACTTTATTTTGTCAGTCAACAAAGACATTCCACATCAGATTCTTTAATTTGATTTCTAATCAGTTTATTTACAATGTTTGCATGATACACAAAATTTTACATCCATGTTGCGACTCTAAAACACTTGAGAGCAATTACACATTCTTTACCAGTAGATGGCAACAAACTCTTTTCAGTGGGTTTCAGAAAAGGGAAGAAACCCAGCAGAATTTTTTTTTATTTTGAGGATTTTGAGAACCCCTTTAACAGGATAAGCGATAATTATCCCTGAAAAAAACTCTTGGTAGGTTTTATGTAAGTATGTGAACAAAACATTTTCATTCAGAGAGGAGAAATAAACCTCACTGCAGAACTAGTTTTGTTGGGTGCTTATAATGCTGTTTGGGCTCTCTGTCTTTTACCTGTGTATCAAAGCACTTTGTAAACCACTATTTTTAAAGATGCAATAGAAATCATTGTTTTTAGTAATGAGAAATATTCATCTATCTCAGAAAGACAAGATACAACTGATTAGCATCAGCAGATATTTGTAGGACTGCACTCAAAAGCTTTGTACAATGATAAGACAGGATTATAGAAGAAAACGTCAACTTGACAGCATTGACAACAACATTAATATTGTTGACAATCATTGACAACACCTGCTTCACTTCGATAATGTAGGTACAGGCCATTTCTGTTTTTATATTTACATATGAAAAGAAACAGACAAACAAATTGAAGCTGTTGGAAAAGCAAAAAAAGACTGTAAAATATGTAAGGCATACACTCGGTAACTAAAAAAAAGATTTGGGCACTTTAGTTTGTCATTAGAAAGCCTTTTTGTTGATGTTTTTCTGTTATTTTCAGACATTATACACATAGGTGTTCTTTCCACATGCAACTCAACTAGCTGGCATACGATTGTTTTCTCAGCTCTCTCATTAAACGAATTAAACTGATCAACATCCTTTCTGGCTGGTACACTTGGCATTGATATCTAACTCACACAAACCTCACCCCAAAAGTAATGAAATATCCCTGTCATGAGGACTGAATACCACCTCACAGCTGTCCATCAGAGAAGTTCACAAACTACTTGTGGGATGCGTGAGACTCCAATTCTCTGCCCACAAGCACAGGTTTGCTGATGAGAACCAAAGAGAGGGCCACTTCCGTATCTCCCAGGATGCACTTTCCCACACAAGCATTTCCACCCCTCCTGTGGTTGTTGTTGAAGAGCTGAGCCAAATAAGCCACCGGAACCACTAAATACCTTTTCCATCTCTAGGCTAACAAAAGGAGCGAGAACCTGGTTAGTGGACTTGGTTTTTATTGTGATGATTTTTTTTCTCTGGTGCTGTCCAGTCAGGTTGTAAAAAGATAACAAATTAGGATGGCTCCATTCCACTTCCACTTTTTCTGGCCTGGTCAGGTGTTTCTCAATATCTTCACCAGGAAAAGAAACAGCCTGTAGTGAAACCTTTTGTCGGTTGTATTGTTTGGCACCTGGTGTTTGCTGCCCAAGGGTCATAAAATTCAGAGTTGCATTAAAATCTGCATCAAACGTTGTTGCAGAAGCCACTTCACAGTCTGTCATGAGGGAGCTGAGCTGGTTACCTTCACAACAAAATCCATAGACTTCTCCATATTTGGAATCCTGTGCATAGCTCTTGTCACATAAACCAATGGTCCAGTCAAAGTCTTTAGTGAGGCTGATTCCCCATCTGTGAACCTTTAAATCTATGATGGGTCTCATATTCTGAAGGAGTAAAACACTTTTCCCCAGGTGACCACTGTAAAAGACCTTCTTGCGGTCTACAGACAGTGTCACGCCTTGGCCCAAAGACTGTGGTTCAAAGATCAGGTCTGAACTAAATGATCCAAGCTCCTGGTGGTTCTCTGGGTCAACATGAGTCAACAGGGATCCCCAGAAACGACTGGCCTGCTCAATCATTTTCTCACCTCTCTCTTGTATCTCTTTAACCAATTTGTCACGATCATCACCAGGTTCCAACCCTTTTCTTAAATCCACAGCATTGGCCTTTTCCAAATCCTGATGCACCTGAGAATACATCTGCAGGAATCTGACAGTGTCCTCCTCAGTCTTTGCTGTTTGCAAGCTGGTCAAACTAGTTTTCATAGACACCATACGAGCAGAGACTGAACTCTGGACACTGGTCAGTGCAAGGTCACGCAGATTAGTAACAGCTTCAATGAGTCGAACACTGGAGCGACCCAGCTTCTCCCTCTCCTTCTTCTCCCACTTCTCCAAACTGACATTTTCACCATCAGTTTTTACCTGTAAGGCCTGCTGCTCAGCTGTGACTTTTTCCAGGAGCTCTTTGTGTGCTGTGGAAAAAGTCTTCATATTGTGTAGGCGGTGCTGGTCCTCTATGGCACAGGAAACACACACACAGATGAGGTCATCCAAGCAGTAGTACTCCAGGACTTTGCCGTGTTGGGGGCACTTAGTGATCCCGACTACGCCTCCATCCCCTGAGGCTATAGGCGCAGTCAGAGGATGAGTCTGCAGTAACACCGGAGTGGTCAGGTGGGCCTGGAGGTGCTGCACGCACATGGAAATCTCACATTTCATGCAGGTCTTCCGAGCTGGTTTTCTGTCCTCCCCTAAACACATGTCACAGAGGATGACTTGAGGATTCTTGTCCAGACTGTCCGACATGTTTTCAAGCAGGAAGTGCTGAGTGGAGAGTTATTCATTCACTGTAGTGTTCTATTAAGTCCCCGGTATCCTTTTTACAGCCCCCTAGCTGACTCTGTTTTGTGAAAATTGGATAATATCGTTCATATGTAATAGCTCAGTCTCTGCCTCAGAAGCACAACAGTTTCGTTTCTGTCTAACCAAACAACATCTCAGGGGGTGGAGTCAGATTGATTTGGCAGCACCCTCTTTCCTGGCTTTTCCAGGGTTGGGTTGTTTTGTTCATTTCACATCTGAGGAGGAGCTATATTTAAAGGGAATTTATTTTATAACACTTCAATAGATTTCCCCAAGAATGAAGTGGACTATAGAATTCAGATCAGTCAATAATGCCCAACAAATAAACATACAATTTCTTCATAATATCAAATCACATTTTCTTGATTTGAGAATCATCATCATCATATGTTCTCCTGTTTAACTTACTCCTATGAGTGATGCAACCCATTTAACCCTATAAATTTAAAGTACAAGTATGAAATGAGGAGTTAGGGGCAGGTTAGGGTCAAATGTCTTGGACACGAGAAACCACAAGAACAGGTTAAATCTATCAAATTCAAAAAGCACAGGGTATATAAAGATGATACAGAAAGAGACAACTATTCTGGACTGAGACTATTTGACCAGGTTTGAAAATTGTCCCGTCATCTGACAAATCAAAAACTGACATTCTTTTTGGAAATCTTTGGACAGTGCACCCCTTAGGGCCCAAAATCCTGTTTCAGGCAAGAATAGACAGCATCACTTTCAGAACTTCCAAAAACTGATGTCGTCGATTCACAAACGGTTACAGGGTATTGATAAAGTACGTGGTGATGCTACATAATGAAAATATTGTTGATCTGATGTTTAATCTATTCCATTTCACCAGGAAATCCACTTTCCTCACGAGACTCAACATCACAGTCCATAAACGGCTGATCTTGTTTTTGAATATGAAAATAAGTTAAAATTCTACATTTTATCTATCAGTGTCACTGCAAAATGATTTAGGACTAATACCACTTCAATCGTATTCCCCTTAACACTGAAATAAATATTTGAGCATAACAATTTAAAGGTTTCTTAAATGTTGACTTATTTGGCTAGTTTAATAACACTCAAATGGAGGCTATGGAAGTTCAGACTTAATATCAACCCGATCAAAACAAATACCAGGGTTTGATCCTGGTTAGTGTTTACTTGAAATAAACTTATGATCAGGGCTAAGTCATGGATATCTATGGGGTTTAGTGATTTACATTTTGGCTATTCCGTACAACAACCGAAAAAATCCAGTCACTTTTACGGAACACCCCTGACTAATAAACTGAGAGTAAGCAAACCTACAACGGCATTTTTACTGCTGTGTCCATTAAAACTGATAAACTACCGTTTTAAAAACGGTAAATTCAAGATCTTGACTTGGCAGAGTAAACCGTGGGTCTATTTTTGAATCAGACATTCTAACCGGACAAGAACTCTTCAGTCATACAGTGAACACCTCACTTTCTCAAAGGTATGAGCTCTAACCCCTTCATTTACAGAATTTATGGTTTTATCAGTGTCTTACCTCTTAAAAGATGAAAATTTCAAGGCTTAAAAAAACGACCTCGTTGACCATAACTTAGACGTAGCAACGCCGCTAGCTAACCTGACGAGTGCTCGCTAACGTTGGAGCTCGTGCCGAAACGGTCAGATCTGCAGCCGCAACTCTATTAATCGCTAACGGTAATTATCAGTAGTTCACCGCTTTACTGTATGTATGTAACTGTTAACATATAAACCACGTTAAAAATTACTTTGCGTCGAAGCTATTCTACGGTAGCGAAACAAGGCTAACAAGTCGACATGAGTTTTGACCTAATGTATGACTGGAGACAGTCCGTTTTAAGGTTATATCCTTACTGGAGTAACTAAATTGCCTTTTTCAACCGTTAAATTCATTGTTTAATTTGTCCTAGATATTACACCGGCCATAACATTAGGAACACCTGGACAATGAAATAATTCAATACAACAGCAGCAACATTTACTAGAAATTCTACTTTCAGGAAGCTTCTGAATTGTGTTTTGATGGCATGATCAGAAAGGAGATTTTTTACACTTTATTTCAAGAGACCTAGTGTATGGTGCCATGGATGCCATGGTGTTCATGATGTTATGATTGGTCTGTGACTGTAGAAATGCATTATCTGAATAACTGGCACAAAATACTGAAGTTTTGCACATCTCATTTTCTTCCAAGCAGCCTGAGGTGATGTGGATACACTCTTTCACTGCTGTTCCTGTCTTTTATTAAGTTAAATGTGTATCACTATTTTCTTTATCACTTCCACAGATGAGCAGAAGGCAAACAGCTGATAATAGACACCCTGCGCTCAGTCAAAAAACACCTGATGCTCTTGGAAAGACTTAACCTACAATTAACATTAACCTGGCAACATTCGATCTGAACCAGAGCAGCGCTGTGTGTCTGCCCATGTTCTCTGATGGTGAGAGGCTTAAATGGGTACTCTTGAACCAGGCTGATCTACCACTGGCAAGCGCTAAAGCTCTCGGTGAGGCCTTCAACAGATTCCCATACTTGACACAGAAAGAGACAAATGCACTGGCGTGCTGCTGCTCGCTTCACCCTGACCAGGTGAGGGTGTGGTTCATTGTTCAGAGGCTCTGCCATGGCATCATCTGGGATTACACAGACATAATGGCTGTTCAAAGCAAGCTCAAGTCAAAACAGGGGAAAGAGGAGCCTCAACAAGGGGTGAAGAAAGAGATGAAAGCTGATAGCAGGGTGGAAAAAGCCTGAAGCCTGCAGGTCGGCAGATGGTCGATATCACATTGGTGTAGTTTTGTGCATTTGATATAAAAAACAGTTTAACAGTACCGACACTTCAGTTGAGACACAAATTGTTAAACTCCATTAGAGTCTTTCTGTTAAGCAATAGTGATTTCAGAATATCCAAAAACTACTGGATTAATGAAAGCAGAGTTCCAGATCAAATAAGTATGTTCTTTCAGTGGTTTTTAATCACCTACATAAGTTTGAACTACATAGTTCACACAGTGTAATTCATATGTATGTTTTTCAAATATATTGCACATTAATTCAAAAAGTGCATTTCTGGTTATGACACTCTTTCTCCAACATTGTGTGCTACCTCGGCATGAAAGATTTTGTTGTTTTTATGCCAGTTACATTCTTAAATAAAGTCATAGCTCAAGAGATGTTCATGTCAAATACTTTTTTTCTTCTTAAATTTCATGGAGGTGAACTGCAGTAAACATACCGACTAATATATTTCCAATTAGTTGCGATTTAATGGGGAAAGTCTTCAAAGCTCCTGTAATGGTGTCAGACTGGTACAGCTACATTTGTGATTCATCAGTTCCAGCTGGCTGTGTACTCCGCCCTCTGAGGCTGCCAAAGCTCAGCCCCTTCGATAATCCGGCGGATCATGGAGGCTGAAGTGATAAGCAGGTGTCCTGCAGCTTGTAGAAGGGCGGAGGCCACACGCAGGGTTTCTCTGAAAAACAACCAAGATAGAGTGCCATCAGAATGATAAGTGAGATGTTTTTATTTATTTTTTCCCCTGGCAGTGCGTGCTAAACTTAGACTTTGAACAAGCTGATCGCCCTCTGATTTGAGAGGATCTGTTGACTTTATCAAACTATTTCTCTATTTCAACAAACCAAACAAAATCAAACGAAGTTACAAAGGTGAAAGTGTGGCGGGCTGAAACACAAACTAGTGTTGAAAAGTTCCTCTTGTTTTGATGAGTCTTGTCCATTCAAATTATGTTAGTTGATTTACGTACAAAGTGTAATATAACACAATGACACACACCAACATGAGAAAAAAATCCAAGACTTCATTTCACACTTGCAGACAAACCTGAAACCTAAAGACCTTTCCACTCTACTAACCAAGGCTCCACCTAGTGTTCAAAAATGGTACTTTTTTACAATTTACATGCACTGATGCATACACTCATTTCTATGAATTTTGATAGAAACTAAATGTAGCCTTTCAACTATGTCTATTTTTATATTGACCTCTAAACTCTTCCCCTTCATCTTACCTGAGGATCTTCTTGGGCCCCAGGCACTGAAAGTCAGCACTCACAGAGTACAGACCTTGAAACGTGGCCTTCACACTCAGGGAACCAAACAGATCTTTGGGGCTCATCTTGTAAAGGTCAAAAGTCACCCGAGCTATGTCTCTCCCGGTCCTTGGCTTGTTTTTGTCTTGAGATTTGATCATGACCGCACCCTTTAGGATTGAAGATGACAGACACATCGATTAAATGCCATTACAGTGAATCATAAATGTTGTTTTTTTTTAATCTACTTGGTTTAAACATACAGCTGGTGGTTTCCATGTCTGTTTGGGCTCCAGCGCCATGAGTATGGTGTTGTCCGGCAGAGTCGTAAGAAACTCATCAGAGTCGACCTCTGTGCCGTCCTCCTCACAAACCAGCGACAGAGATACCGCAGACAGGGACAGGAGCAACGCCTGGCACACCTGCAGCACAGAAACAAAATACTCAACCCTGCTGGGTAAGACTGTACGCTGTGTCCCCCCTTGTACTCCCACATTTTAACAAGGGGAAAGGTATTTTTCATCATTTCACACGGAAGACTTTAACGATAAATTGATATTTGATTGTTCCAAACATTTTAATACATACAGCAATCACTTCATTCATGATGTCATTTATCTGAGTCATCAGATCCATGAGATTGTGAAATAACCCTTGTTGTGATCAAAGAGGATTCATTTAATCGAGTCAATCCATTGGCTTTTGTATTTTTGTGTTTCAGAGAAGCTAATTCAGAACAAACAGCTGTTTTTCTTTCTTTTTTAAGTAAAATCACATCATTAAGCAACAACTTTCATTACAATGTAAATATGTAAAATGCTAATTTAATACCCCGCTAATCTGACCTTATGGAAAGTCCCTTGAATTAGTATGCAACAAGCTTGAATTCAATGCCTACGTTTGGATATCTACGGCTCAGAGTTGTTTACTCTGTAACAGCATTATTTTATCTCTCACAGTCGGTCTCACCCTCTCTTTCAGCTCCTCCAGGGTCCCTGCTGTGATGCCCTTCCTGGTCTCCCTGTCATGACTACAAACTCGGAAAGGCCGCTGAGTTGGAGACCACACTCGCTTTGTTACAGATCTGAGAAAAAAACGACAGAAAGGTGAAAATATACTCTGAGAGTTCAACTGGTCATAGTAGGAAAAGTACAGATGTCGCCATTTATACAAATATTTCAATTTCCCCCAATAAAGCTGTTACCCTAATCTATATGACAAGCAAACACTGAATCTTTCTCTAGTAACAAAGCTGAAATGTATATCTTGTAGCACTGAGTTGACACAATCTTGTTGATGTCGTCAAACAAACAAAGAGACCACAAATCAATAAAACAGCCAAAACTTATCCTCACTTACTTGATGATTGAAGAGGTCGTTTCCATGCTTGCTGGTTTCTTGATGTCCCTCCTCACTATATTATTTTCTAATTATCTTGTTCCGGTGAAGAAAAGTGAAGTATAATGCCAGCGTTGCCTGTGTTTGACCCAACAGCTGCACTTTGCTCCTGACTTGGTGATAGCTCAGATACAGAACAGCAACGGGGCAAAGTTCATCCAGAGTGAGGTGTTTTTATTACCTCTTCAGTCTGACAGACGCTGAATATCTGGGGTTGTTGCCAGTATTGATATTTGGTAGTTCAAATCATCTGTTCTTTACAATATGCAGGTACATTATACATTGTATATTTGGTAAATTATTGAATAACTTTATAATAATATTAAGCAATAGGTATATTTGCACATAACTAGGTAGTTTTTCAGTACCCAGGTGATAAAAGCCTTAAAGCCACAGTGTAGTGTAGGGGCAATAAACAGCACAGAATTGTTAGAAATTAAGGGGAAAGGGGGAAAAGTTCATATTTGCACCAAAGTGTGATTTTTTTTTTGCATTCTTTTTTTATTTGCAGCAGTGGCGGTTCTTGGGCCACTGTACAATGTACTAAGAGAGCTTAAATTTGAATGATTGAGTTCTCTTAATTTTGAATCCAAGCCACTAATTTTGTTATTTTTTGGGCAAATTTTTGATTTTAGCGGTGTTTTTTGGTCAAGGCGGGAGAAGCAGCTGAGTGTAAAAACGTCATATCCTGGAACCATCTCAGGGAGCGCTTGCGTAGTATAAACCGTGGTGCGCGGTGGCGGGGCTTCCCTACAGAAGCCATATGGAGCAATCTAGTCACCGCCATTTTGAGACACGCTAAAGTAATGTTTGATGATACTCTGGTGAAAGCGGGAGGACGAGTAGCAGAACTTTTGATAGACGTATAGTTAGCTTGGTATCGAAGTGTAAATAAAAACAGCGACTAGGACGTGGGAAGTAACGAATCGCAGAAGTTTAATCTTTTCCTGCATATTTTTTCGGGTTGTGAGCTTTAGAGTTTATAAAGACCAGTGTGAAGTTGGTGTTTGGCTGAGTTTTAGTTTCCTAACGTCAACTTTGTCTCAGTCAACCTGTCAGGAGTTAGCTTAGCTGGCTTTGGCTGATTCAGGGAATGGCCACAAGAAAACCAAAGGATAATGGTGAGTAGAAGTGGCTTTAACTTAAAGTTTTTGGAGATGATATGAAGAGTTAAAGCAGATTATCTACTAACTAACCTAACAGCTGACAATTTTTTAACAGTCAACACAGAGAGACATGATAATTCTGTGTCAACCTAAAATGAGTTGATGGTGATGATCTGCTTTGTCTCTCGCTCAGGTGGCAGTATCCCCTTCGCTGCTCTCCAGCTGCTGGCCCCGCCGGTCCGTCTGGTGTCTGCGGCCCTCTGGAAAGTGATGGAGCAGAGGGATGTGATGCAGTACGGGGTGGTGGAGGAGTTTGTGACATCGGCCTGTGAGACTGTACCCGGGCTGCTCACTGTTAGACACCAGAGCAAGCTGGCTCTGGGGCTGAGAGGACGGGTGAGATCAACGTTATATTCTGATATCCTTGACTTAAAGAAAATATGGTTATGCTGTATTAAAGGACGTACAAATTTAAAGGGATATTCCGGCGTAAAATTAATTTAGGGTCAAACACACCATAACACCGAGTTCGACACCCACTCTCTTCCAGCAGCCGTTTGTTTGTAGCGAGACCTCAAGCCAGTCCATTACGGACTACAGTGGGGTGCCGCAGCTCAAGGAAGAACATTTATGATCAATTCTTTATGGAAATGCAATCAGACAGAGATGCTAAGGAAGAGGAACGACCGAGTCTACATGCAAAATGATTAATACAGTGATTATTATGTCAAGGAGGGTGGCACAGTGGTGTAGTGGTTAGCACTCTCGCCTCACAGCAAGAAGACCCTGGGTTCAAATCTGGGTCAGGGTGTTTCTGTGTGGAGTTTGCATGTTCTCCCTGTGTCTGCGTGGGTTTACTCCGGGTGCTCCTGATTCCTCCCACATCCAAAAAGCATGCAGAAGTGGGGTTAGGTTAATTGGCCACTTTCAAATTGTCCGTATCTCTTAACATCTCTTACATCTCTTAACACAACAACTGAATTCTTGTTTCTTAAAATCTCACATTTTTCCTTAACTCACTCTTTCTTTGCAGTTAATCTTGGAGCTTTGCTCTTCAAATCCAGATGAGAAAGTGATAAAGGCGAACCTGGAAAGAATCTGTGCTCCCGCCGCTCTGTCATCCTCCTCTTCACATGTTATGGTAAATTATATTTCATATCCATGTTGTTCATATTGCTTTTGTTATTGTGGACTTTCATACAATAAGGAATCTGCCAATCCTGAATCTAAAACCTGTTATTTTTTCCAAAAACATTTTGAAAAAATAACAACTACGTCCTTCTTGCCAATACATACGGCCTATAAGATGATGCATTATGCATACACAACTACAGGTGAAACACACCTACAATGAGTGACACTGTGTTGGCTGTGTGGAGGAATTTAGTAGTGTCAAAATGTGGTGGCTGAGAACTGCCACTGCTGCAAATAAAAAAGAATGAAAAAAAACAAACAAAACCCAATGCAAATAAAAAAAAAAAAGCAGTGCAGATTTTTAAAAAAAGCTACAACGGAAGTTAACAACACACAAAAGAGTGGCGATGCAAAAAAAATAAATAAATTACTTGCTGCAAAAATTTGCATCCTTTTATTTTCACAGTAAGAAATTTTTTTTCGCCATCACCACTTTTTTTTTTTTTTTTAGGTTTTAACTTCGTTGTGGCTTTTTGAATTTGCATCCTTTTATTTTCACAATCAGTGTTTTTTTTTTTTTCTATCGCCATTTTCTTTTTTGCGTTGATAACTTTCGTTGTGGCTTTATTTTTATCTGCACCATTTTTTTTCTATTTGCAGCGGGCTTCGGTTTCTTTTTTTTGCATCGGTAACTTCTGTTGTTCTTTTTTTTTACATTCCTTCTTTACTTGCAGCAGTGGCAGTTGACGGCCATCGTATCAAAAGAGGAAAAATACTGCATACTGCATCTTTAATGTTTTGGCTTTTTTGCTGCTATTGTTCAAGACTGTTAACTGTCTGATTTTCAAAGTTTTGTGTTGTTTTGCTGTTTTATCTTCTAGAAAAGAGATGTCAAAATTTTAAGAACAGTCGAAAGTTTCCACTCGTTGGTTCACATACTGCTGACAGACGCCGCAGAGAGAGAGCATTTCTTCAAGGTTAGTCTTCCTGCTTTAATCTCTGTTGTTGTTATGTCCCAGTTTTAGCCTGTTGGAGCGTCAAATTTTCTACAACTCTCTGTTCTGACAGGAGGAGTTTCCTGTGGATTACGGTCCGGAGTTCGACCGAGAGCTGGGCAAGCTGCTGTGGGAGTTTTTAATGCGATTGGATCAGCTGCTTCCAGTTCCCAGCCTAGCTCAGGTAGATGTTTTTTCTTTTTCTGCAGCCAACAGAACCGGATCAAATAAAGAAAAATCTGAATTTGAACGATCTTTGATTTTTTTCCCAGACTGCTTCATGGCTCAGTGACGCCCCTCCTGTCCTGGAGCAGTGTGCGCAGGCGGCCACCCAACCCCAGCTCCTGAAGATTTTGCTGCAACATCAAACATGCCTGGGTCATCTGGAGAGTGCAGGCAAGCTTCTAAGCTTCTTGCTAGGTTGACAGAAACGGTCTGATGTTTTTCTAATGAGTCTAATCCTCCACATGTTTTTATTTACAGCCTCTCTCCCTCCAAACATGGGAGACTCCATCCTGGACTCCCTGTCTTTGCTCCCATCTGGAAAAGTCCCTTCAAAACAGTCAACAGGAGCAAAATTAACTCCTGTAGATAGGTCTGCAAAGGTGCAGACACAAGACAAAACACCTTTTGTTACACCTGTTTTCGGACTTCTTTCCAGCGAAGACGTTCCCGTCATGATATCTGCGAAAAAAAGGACGGAAAAGACGGAAAAAGCAGAAGAGGAGAAAGACACTTTACGAAGGAGCTGCGAGATGAAACGCAAGCGAAGCGACGTGAGACAAAGTGAATCTGAGGAGGAAGAGGAAGTGTCGGGCAAGACCAGATCTGGGAAAAAGCGGGTGAGTGCGACTTTGACAAACGCAGCAGAGACACTCAAGAGGGGTAGAAGTAAGGGGGAGACGAAGGAGAGCAAAGAAGACGGAGCAATAACCCAGGATGTGGACGCCAAGATGCTGAAGGATCCACCCTCCTGCCCCACTTCTCTCAGCTTCTGTATGAGCAGGCAGCCCAGAGTCGTTATCGAGAGACTGCCGGTGGCTTCTCTGTCCACTCATACGGCGAGCAGAGGAGGGAAACCTGCGCCAGTCAGAGCTTCGCCGCTTAAAAACACAGACAGCCAACCTCAAACGCCTGAATCAGACTGTGCTGAACAGGATAACAAAGAGTAAGGAACAAGAGAAAGCTCTGTGCATGACAAGAACTCAGCCTCGAGTTTAGCTAACTTGAATTACGGACAATAGACTTGACTTTTTTTTTGGCTCTACCGTCCTTTTTTCTGGATTCCTGCATTTCGATTTCATCAGGAGTCTTTTGTTTGATCACTGCGGTAATACGTCTGAAAACTGACATTTAAAGGTGAAGACATTTGGTCAAAATACGCAGAATAAGTTTAAACACTTATGATCTTCTTATTTTATCTTATCTCATGAGATTGTGGTTCAAACCCTGAACAAATAAAAAGGCACTTTGTTCTGGTTCCTCTTGCTTTTTCTGTCTTAACCTGAGAGTGACTTAAAAATGTCTTTACCTTGTTTTCCCTGAGACGTCACCATTCAGTGTAATCTTTAGAATCAAGAGTATAGTGTTTAGATGACTTGCTAACCTTATTAAAGAGATAAAAACTAACCTGATGTTATTTCTACTCAATAGAAATCACCCTGCAAGAAAAACCAGCTCCTCTTCTCCTCAGCGCCGGACGACTTCAGGTGATTTCATTAACAAATGATGTGAAATGGACTCAAACACAAAAAGGTAGAATGTAAAAGGTATTGTACAGCGTTTCATCTTACTATGTTTACTTCCCTGTACAGAGATGGTGGCCCCTTCAGGAGATGGTGAAGACTATGTAGCGGATTCAGAGGACGAGGCGACGAAGAACTTCAAAAGCAGGGTATGTATTTGAAATAAGAGCAACCAAATCCTAAAGTCAAATGGATGACGGACATGGAAACAGCTTTGAGAGGACTTGATTTCTCAAAAACCAATCTGATAACTGTCTTTTGAATAATAAGCAGAATATACTGTGAGTTTAGAGTTCTGATTCTGGCCTCACATCCAGTTAAAGGGGAATATAGACGAAGAAGAAGTAGCTGCCCGCTTGCGAGCTAGCTGAAGCAGCCGTCTTAGAAATGATTCAGCATTTTTAAAATCTAAACGAGAGCTTGTGTCTCTTCAGGTTGATAATCAGCCAAACATTTGAACTTTTTTGACAGGTTTTGAACTGTTTTCATCCAGTTTTGTTCTTCCGCTCTATTTGAATCACTTCAAAATAAAAGCATAATTTTAACATGCAGGATATAAAGCAGATGCCTACAGTGGATATAAAAGTGTTTTCAACTGTTTTTATTTGAAAAGCCCCTTGCTTGAGTGAATTCCCCTGTAAACTAACCAGCTCTGTCTCCCCCAGCTGTTTATGAAGTGCTACTACAAGACCAAACACGGCACATACGTCCCCACTCTGAGGGAGTTCAGGAAGCGGCCGTTGTCGTCTGCTCACGGAAAACAAAGATGGAGAAATGAATTTTCAGCCAAACCTTAATTTCTAAAATATTATTTTTTATATCTCATGTTTGTCTTGAGTTTGACTGTTATTATTTTATCCTGTAGTTTGTGATCGTGGAACAGAAATGGTGTTCTCACTCATTACTGGCATGCTTTTAAAAAAATAAACAATTTTTTTAACTTTATTGTACATTTAGCTTAGATGAAAATGTCAGAATGTAGATTCTGAAAGTGGAAGTTTTTTTTTATGAATCAATATATATATTTTATTTGGCCAATAAAGGATGCTACAGTCATGTTTTAAGTTTAAAAAAATCTATTTGTATTTTATTCTGCATTTCAATGACGTGTCACTGTATCATGCTGTTAAACTGCCTTTATAATAAAGATGTTTTTTTCTCAGTAGGGTTGTGTGTCGTACAGTTTCATCATAATCAATATATCATTAAAAAAATTCAGCACAAATATGGAAGAACAGTCCTTATTTATTACAAATTCATGAACATAATTTTGTCACAAGTGCAGGATGTTAGGTTTGCACAGTCTATAGAGGATTATTGCAAAAAGCTGCACTGTACAAGTTTTCATATTTTGATTAAAAAAAGCTTCAGAGTCAGTAGACGGGAGCAGAGAGGATTAAGTGCGTCTTTATTTTCGTGCGGCTCAGAGTCGACAGTTGATCCCTCCAGTCGCTGTGATAGTTTCTCCGGTGATGTAGGAGGCTTCGTCAGAGCACAAGAAGGCAACGACTCCACCGATTTCCTCTGGTTCACCAATTCTGGAAGAAGAAACGATCCGGATCACTCTCAGAGGTTAATAACAGTCAGTCATTTCTATGCAAGTTCTAGCTTTACCTTTTAATACTCAATAGCTGTTTGAACCCGTCCATCATGTCCTCATTTTGCCACAGCTGTAAAATGACATCCACAGGTGAGATTTATTCTGTGTGAGTCATACAAAACAGGATTGGAGCAGAGGACTGTTTTTCTTCTCACCGAAGAGCTGAAGCGGGTCTTAATAACTCCAGGGGCCACACAGTTGACTCTGATGTTATCATGTGCCAGCTCAGGAGCAAGTGCCCGGGTCAGACCCAGTAATGCTGTCTTACTTACACTGTAGGCACCCAGGCCCTGTAGAGACAGAGATATACAGACACAGATGGTTAATTTAACCTTTCTCTTCTTCATTTGTACATAAATATGTTGAGACTGACCTGAATAGGCTGATATCCTGCTATAGAAGACACAATCACCACACTGCCCCCTCTACAGGATGAAATACAGACACATCTGAGAGTTAGCTTCATCAATCATCCGATTACTCAAATTTAATACAGATAATGATTTTGTCCATGTTTTATTTTGTAGCTCACCCTCTCTGTGTCATATGAGGCACCACCAGCTTCGTCATGAGGTACGCTGCTTTGACATTTACAGACATGATCTAACGGGGAAAGTGAAAAGTACCAAACGATTTATATTTCCAGGCACTTTACATTTCCAGGATGTTGCATCAGTTTTTTTCTGTGTACCTTGTCCCAGACTTCCTCTGTGGTGTCCAGTAGGTTTCCAAAGAAAGGGTTTACTGCTGCGTTAGATACGAGTATATCAATGCCGCCATACTGATCCAGAGTCTGTCCCAAACACAGACTTATGCTGTTAACAGGTTTCAAGCCCACTGAACAACCTCATATCCGTGCATGCAACTATGAAGTAGTAATGCAGTAACCGCTCACCGTTTGAACCAGTTTTTCTCTGTCTTCTTTTTTGTCGATATTACAGATAGTCCCAATCACTTGGATGCTCTGACTCTGCAGCAGGGCCACGGCTTTGTCCACATTGGCCTGCCGCCGGCTGCTCACCACCACCTGTGCACCTTTCTTCCCCAGAGCCTGAGCCGTAGCCAGACCGATTCTGAGGAAAATGAAGAAAGAGAACTATATTGATATGACACCGTTAATGTGCCATACTGTAGAATATTCTTTAAAGAGATGTTCTGACGTAAAATTAATTTAGAGAGGGGGTAATGTGCTGATTTGTTTGGATCTCTATTGTTTTAGCAGCTTTACATGATTTACACTTCAACAAACTTTTCATATATTTCAAACTGCTGTCTGTCAAAACCCAAAAATGACAGATTTGCCCTTTTAAGGAGATTCACTGTCTAGTGATGTCACAAGCTGAGCAAATCTCACATTGATCTCGCTGAAATCTCGTGTAACTTTTTTCTTAAACAAAAGTCTTGGTTCATGTCGTGTGTTTTTATGTTATGTAGTGGAATCACGTCATTCTTACCCATCTGTTGAGGCTGTGACTATGGCTACCTTTCCAGCAAGGCTGCTCTGAGACATGCTCCTTTGTCCTGCGACAGGATTGATCCTAAGGCACCTGAACACACTCCTCAACATCACCTGTGAACAGAAAAAGTCACGGGTAATGTTTGATGAAGCTACAGGGTAACTAGGGTAGAGGTCATCTCGGATCTGACAGCAGTTGTGCAAGAGAATACAAGCGCAGCAAAGGTGAATGAAGCGGGAAATTATTTTCTATAGACTCTCAAAGCAATAAAGAAATGTTATTAAACAAAGTGCAAGTAAAAAGATTGAAGTAAGGATTGACATGTACATAGAAAAGTAGCATATGACACGTTCAGGTGCTTTACCCAATGCTGTACGACTATGCAAATGTGTCTACAAGAGTTATATCGCCCTGCAGACAGTGCGAAATTAAGATTGTATGAAGACAGATCAAAACACTTACAGAAACTACAACCTGGACCTTTGACTGTGGCCGAGTGCAGTGTTGCTGTTATCAATGAGTATTTTCCGGGTACTGCGTCTTGCTGTCAAAATAAAAGCCTCCCAGAAAAATTGTTTACGATTCAAGTCCAATTAACAAGTCAAGACAGTCAACAAAATCATGCTTTTTAAGTTGTTTATTTGAAATTTTCTACACCGTTTGAAAACAATGTCACTCTGAGTCGTTATTTGTAATTACTTATCGATTTTAAGCTTATTTTCTGATTATCACAAAAAAAATCACGACGTCCTTAAACGCAACCTTCAAGACGAGCCAATCAGAAGAGCCGTCTCCTCCTTGCTGCGAATTCTAATGCGATCTCACAAGTACTGGATTAGGCTAACGCCATGATATCACAGTCTTATTACGCTTGTAGATCAGCGCATGCGCATACACCCAAGGAGGCGGGGGGTAATTTTGTTGTCATCGCCGAAGATGATTGAACGGCCATGGCGTCAGATTTTCACGCCTGAAAAGAAGTGATTTTACGTATCGCAGGCTGCACCTCGATGCGAAGTTTTTCAGCGAAAAAGGCGAAGTAAAGGGTAAATATTTAGAAAACGATGACTCTGTGTGCTAACGTCGGCTAGCGTAAGAGTGAGCTGTCCTGGTTTTTACCCGGCGGTGCCATTGTTGTTTTGAACTGAAGTTAGAATAAGGCGATGAAGAGTAGGCCGCTTCAACCGAGCGGACGGTCATTTTAGCTGGGGGGTAGCCCGAATGGATGTTAATTTAGCGTGAATGACGGTTACACACTCAGAAAAGACACACCGCTTATTTATTGACGGTGCTAAGCTACAACGTTAGCGCCGACTGAACGGGTCACATTTAACGTAACGTTGCTGGGCGTGGAAAAGACAGGTGTTGGCGCTCGTGCCTGCTAAGCTTTCATTTCACATGTGTCGAAATAGGTACGAGTTCAGGTCTACTGTGTGTGTGTTTTTGAACATGTCATGAAAGAAGGTGTTTTTCATTGATTTCAGGGCCTTTATGAAAGCGGAGACGACAAGACACCCACACTTGGAGATGTGTACTACCCAGACCCAGACCCAGCTGTGCTCCAGGACTGAGTCTTTCTGGCGACCAGCACCTTCACCAGAACCAGAGCTGTTTTAGATGGATGACCCAGACTGATGAAAACGCTTGAATCATAGTTTCTGAGACTCAGCTGTTACATTAACAACAATGTCTGTCTCCGTGAGTACAGTAACTATCTTAATATGTGTGTTTTTACATTTACATGACTAATGAAATCAAGATTGTGATCTTCTTGGCTTGTTTTTTCCCCTTTTATCGTTTACTTACTATGTGGTTTAATGTAAATGTATTTTACAGGGGTTCTCATTGCCTCCATTACTGTCCTGTGAGGGTCCCACATGGCTCAATTGAGCCTCAGCGTCCCCAGGGGGTTGGTTTAGAAAATGAAAGGGGGCCTGACTCCTTGGCTTTGGGTTGGCAATTAAATCCTAAACGGCAAGGGACAGATGTGCCTCTTATCCCCTCCCCCCCTCCCTCTCATCTCGCTCATTACCATTAAGCCCCTGTGTCCATTTGATCATTGATCCTCCCTGACTGAGCCCCTCTTTTTCTTCGCTTCATGGTTGCTGACACAGCTGTGGATTTTGAATATGTCATGATGCCTTTAAATTTTAAATTTTGTCTGTGTGTGTGTGTGTCTGTGTGTTCACCCCCCTTCTTCCTGTCCCTCTGTCTTCCTCATGGATGTTTTACGGGATCTTCCCTATTCACTCCTATTCACTTTCCATTCAAAAGCCCCAAACAATCAGCCTTTTTGTAGCCCTGACTTGACTTAGCAGAGTCAATGTACTTGTTTGTTTGTGTTGCATTGACACAGGAGACTTAAGCTTGTGTGAATTAAGGCTTTGGGTTACTTCCATCTGTGATTTCTTCTCCTGTTTGTCCTCTTTCTCAGACGGTTTTGGCAAAGGCGCTCTTCGACAACACGGCAGAGAGCCCGGAGGAGTTGGCTTTCCGGAAAGGAGACATCTTGATGGTTCTTGAACAAGAGCAGAGCGGTGGACCGGGTTGGTGGCTCTGCTCCCTTCATGGCAGACAGGGTATTGCTCCTGCCAACCGCCTCCGACTCCTGCAGACCGCCCCTCCCCCAGGTTCAGGCCCCTCTGAGGACTCGGTCTACCTAACACCTGGACTGGCCCGGACTGCTGTGAGCGGCAGTACAGAGGACATAGATGGAGTCTATCGCTCTCCACCCAGTGTGGGTGAGGGACGAGGAGCTGGAGCTGCTTCTAGACCTGGGGAGCTTCGCAGGGTGGAAGGTGGACGTCCACGCTCGCACTCCAGCTCTGGCACTCGGCCCAGACCTGATTGGGATATTGGGATGGAGGGGCGTCCTCGCTCGCCCTCTCTGAGAGGACGAGGAACAGACATGTCAGGAACTCTTTATCAGTCTCCTGTTAGTCCTATGCCTCTAAGGCAACCAGGGTCTGTTACAGCTTCAGAGTCCGTGTACCTCGCTCCAACTGGAGTACCACGAGCAGCTGATGAACCAGAAGACACTACATATCTAGTCCCGAGGGAAACAACAGGACAATCGGATGACTGTTACTTGGTCCCCAAAGGGACACCACTTGCAGGTGATGAAGTTTATCAATCCCCCACAGGAGGTGCTGTCTGCTCTAACGGCCCCTCACTGGTCAGCGGATCACCCGGAACCCCACAGCCCAAAGTGAGCCAGGACACACCCGGGATGTACCAAACACCCACTGCTGCAGGAGCAAACCATCACAGGACTCCAGCCACGGTCTTAGCCCACCAGCACCCATCCTCACTGACCCCCGCTCAAGCATCTCCCAGACCTCTGCAGAAGGGAGTAGCCAGGGGCAAGCCTGGCCTAGCTGGTCACAGAGGGTCCCCTTTGCTGATCAGAGCTGGGCAAGTCAGGGTTCCCGGATCACCAAATTTCGCCCGCAAACCTCCTCCACCCGCACCTCCAGTGAGAGGGGTCACCAGGAAAGATGCGCAGCAAGCACAAGCCACACCAGTGGACTCAAACTCTGCACCTAAACCCGCTGCTCAGGTCCCCTCTCTGATCCTGCAGCAGCAAGAAGCGGACAAACAGAAGGGAACTCCTACGAGTCAAGAGGAAAAGACGAACAATGGTCTGGAAAACAACAGCAGCATGCCGAACAAGAAGGGAGAGAGTCAGGATTACTCAGAAGCTGTGGACGACCAGGTATGTGGTAACAGTCACTCAGTCTGAAACCCTGCTTACGCAAGAACGGCATCAATGAAGTCTGCCCTCTGTGTTTCTAAAGCAACCTCTTTCACTACTAAAATAGGTTAAACTAGTTAAGTATGCTTGGCAGGGCAGGACTTGTATGAATTTGTAATGAAAACAGAATCGAAGCGCGCATACGCCTGAGTTTTTATTAGGACAGTGAGTACAAATCAGGGCTGCACAGTGTTGGGGGGGGGGGGGGGCTGACAGTCCCACATTTCTCTCTGTGATTTTTACTGCGCTATGATAAAAAATAAGTAAATAAACCATGTATATTTTGTGTTTTTCCCTTGTGCATATATATAGTTGAACAGTAGAAGTCATCTGACTGTTTACTTCTGACAAAACAAACTTTTATCTTAGTTTTCCGCACAGCAGATCAAGGTTTAAAAGATGTGTTTTTGGTGTTTGCAACATGTTTCTCCTGAATCCAAAATATTTAATAGGCGGTTTATCCTTTTTTTCAACACTGTCAAATGCTTCTCTGCCTGATCGGTTCATCAAGTCTATTTACAGGAATATAAGAGTTCTCAGTATATGCAAATTTCTCTTGACCAAGACAGGCATTTCAGATCATTTATCTTTGTTTTGCCTTTGCTAGGTATATGATACCCCTCCTAGTGGCAGGTGGCAGCGTCCAGTCCCATCTGCCCTTGGGAACGATGACGGCATCTATGACACCCCTCGAAGCGTCCCACCACAAGCCGACTCTGAGAACGAGGTAAAGACACCACTGAGCCACGGATACACTCGTCCTGTTAGCAGCTGTTTGAGTTTGAATCCTCACGCCGCCGTGACTTTTATTGCTCGCTTAAACTTGTTTTAAATGATAGTTTTATGATTGTGATTGGCACTTAAAATGATTGATCAAGTAATTTCTGGGAACTGTCGTAAACTGGTGTGTCAACGTCATGTCTGGGCAAGTTAAAGGGTTTCCGCAGCAAGAGAGACGATCAAAGACTGTGTCACTATTTCTTCCCACATTCTCCTTCCTGCCTGCCCCTCCTCCTCCTCCTCCTCTGAGGCGAGGCCACACCTGTCTCTCTTTGCTGTGGGAGCCTGTCTATCCAGTCCAAATGCTGCTGCTGCTATTTTCAACTAGTCGCACCCATCTGTCAGGGCCATGCCAAGGCCATACCACCAAGCAGCCCCCTCCTTAGCCAGGGGACCCTCCCTCTAGCCAGCTGTTGGATTACTGTGTCCTGTTAAGTTGCTGTTGCTGTTGCTGGGCTTGTTGCTTTTACACTAAGCACTGTAAGAGGACATATTAGCTTTAAAACAGTTTCATCCACCAGGTTGAAGTCCTCAAAACTCTCTCTGTATCAATTCTCCCACTTGTAGGTCTATGACGTCCCCACTAACTCCCATAATGTGTCCACATCTGATGCCCAGCCTGACGAAGTGGACGATGAAGTATACAGTGTCCCTACACTTCCAGGTGTGCCTCTTGGACCTGGGGAGTCCATCACCAGCCTCTCTGGAGAGGAAGTCACCCAGATCGGACAGCTCTATGGTGTCCCCGGATCCGACAAACGTGCCAGTGGAGGGAGTCACAATAGAGACTCTTCTGAGCCTGACTGTGGCATCTACGATATGCCTGCTTTGACCTCTGAAATCCTCACCCACTCCCTGTCGTCCTCCTCCACGTCCACACGCCGACTTTCTGTGTCTAGTAACGGCTCAGGTGACGTGCAGTGGCGGGTGTCTCTTTCAAACCTCGTCCACTCGGTTCTGAGTGCAGCCACCTGCCCTGCTTCCTCTCTGTCCTCTCGGGACCTGGCCACCTCGCTGGCTGAAATCCTGTCCACCTGGAAAGCCAGCCACTCGGACGATCCTCCGCCACCCCTCCAGCAGGCATGGGCTCGCCTGTCGGACCTTCTGCCAGCACTATCTGCTATCGGCAATGCCCCTCCATCTGAAGGACTCTTGTTGCTGGTCCAGCGCTCCCTCGAGGAGAGCTCCCTCCTATTGCAGGCACAGGGCCGCCCCCGTTTGCCTTCCCAGGATTCCCTGTCACGCAGGCCGCTTCCTGCACTCCCTGGGTCTGATGGGAAGTCATCTGGAGGTGGGATGGGGTCCCGTAAAGGCAGCTGGATCCAGGAGAGGCCCCTGCCTCCAACCCCTCAGCCTGCTTTCCCCTTGCCTCCCACTCCGTCAACTGTGACACTTACAGTTGGCCCCATGGATGGAGATGATGACCCCAGTAATGAGTACGCTGGGATCGGCTTGACCCCCATCCCTGTACCCGTTCCTACTGGAGACAGTGTTGGATATGTTAAGCTGCAGGTCAGTTTTCAGTGTGAAATTGAGGATTTTTCAAGAAGAACATGCATGAGAAAAACCAGTCAGTCAAATTTATAAGTGCAAGACGATAAAACGGTTGTGTGAAATATAATTTAGTTTATAAACACTCAACCCCCGTACCAAGTTTTTTTTCCAGTATCCGTCTGATACTGGTATCAGTATTGGTAAATGTATTTGTATTGATAATGGCAGATCCTTAAAGACTTGCACTGTTTTTTGTGTTAGCTGCATTCATCTTCATAGTACGACACATATCAGTAACACATATCTGTGTTAGACACCCCATTGAGACTTGAATGTTACTGACTGCTTGCTTCTCTAGTTATACCAACTTTAGTAATGACCGCGCGTTAGCAGTACACAGCGGTCTGAGGAATCATAAACAAACCTCAAGCAAAAAACACCTACTCACCTACTCTCTTCCAGCAACCGCTTGTTTGTGGCAAGACCTCGGGCCAGTCCATTATGGACTTCTTCTGCCTTAGCGTCTCAGTCTGATTGCATTTCCATGAAGAAATGATCATAAATGTTCTTCCTTGAGCTGCGACACCCCGCTGCAGTCTGCAATGGACTGGCCTAAGGTCTCGCCATAAACAAACGGCTGCTGGAAGAGAGTGAGTTGTGTTAAGTCTATTTGCCAAAGAAATTGGGCAAAGTTAAAAAGATGTTTGGTGGCTATTGCTGTGGCTAGGACCCTATATGTACTGTTGATGAAGTTAGGTGCTGTTCTGAGCATTATTTGTGGCTATAGAGTGGCATTTTGGTTAAGGTTTGTTTATGGCTCCTCAGACCGCTGTGTATTGCTATTGCGCGGTCATTACTAAAGTTGGTATAACTACAGAAGCAAGCAGTCGGCAACATTCATCTCTCGACAGGGTGTCTAACTCGGTGTCACAGTGGGTTTGACCCTAAATTAATTTTACGCTGGAATATCCCTTTAACCGTCAACTCTTGATACCTTCTATGTTGTTTTCTGTTGATGACACATTTAAAACAAGACTGTAAATGAGTCAGCTAACACGGTAACCATTCCCACACCAGGGTAAACCTGATCCACCTCCTGATGGCCTGACTGAGAATGGACAGACTATCACCACAGAGCCGAGGGTGAGTATTATTCCATCTCTACCCGTTATCCGCGGCTCCTACAGTCCAAAAGCTGAATGTTCATTTGTTATGTGGGGAGTCCCCACAGATAAGTCATTGATTCACACTTTGTTAGCTGTTTACTAATGAGCGCCGTGACTCATCAATCCAGCCTGCAGCAGCTCTTTGACTCCTGATGAACTCTACACCTCTCGTGTTTACCCAATACCACCTGACTTAATCTCACATGAACCTTTGTCACATCAATGTGTTCACACATCTGCGCTCGGAGCTTTGCTGTTTATGTTACAGCTGATGTTTGTTTCTCAGATATGATGAAAGTCTGAGATTTGAAAAACACACACAAGCCTCAAATTATCACAGTTTGTCTTGCGGTATCTCTTCTGTCAGTTATGCCTGCCGGCGCTTGAGAGTGAGGTCGTGTTTTCTTATCACTCAGTCTGCATTTCTCTCTGCTCCTTACGAGACTCCCTTGGTTACGCCATAGACGACCAACAAGAGGTCTCTTGTAGATCTGAACAGACTTCTCTCACATAGAAACGGAGGCTGTCGGACAATAAGAGACTGAACACAGTCATTCTTTTAACAGTGCCACTTGCTGAAGTACTGTATATGCATGTTTATGCGTGACTACTCCTCCTGCATTACAAGAACAAAATCTGTCTCACTTTTTCAAACACGTTTCTCTGAAAAAGTCGATTTTTACTTAGCTGAAAAGCCTTTATGCACAGATGGATGTTAGTGTCTGATTACAACAACTCTCCACGCTTGCTCATGCTTCGTCTCTATCACCTGGCCTTGTGTAACTGTAGGGTTGTTTCTTCCTTGTACGATCACAAAAGTCACACGAGAATTCAGCGAGACCAGTGTGAGATTTGCTCAAATTGTGACATCACTAGAGCGGAATTCTCCTTCAAAGGGCATGAAATGAAAAAGAAATGTAACTTTATTCAGAGTGCTTGGTTCCGGAATGCCGGAATGCCACTCTCCTTAAAGGGACAGTGACCTAAAGTTTACAAGCTTTTGTTAAAATTAGAATGTGTCGTTATCAGTGTGTTGAATTTGGTCCAGTGAAAAAAGACACTTTGTTTTTGGTAACTTGAGACGAATACAGATATTTGAAGATGTGCTCCAAACATTCACTTAACAATCTTCCATGTCCAAGGAAACATACACATCTTAGAACCTGGGGGTGGAATATTTTGGGAACTTTACTTTTAAAAATGTTATCAAAAAAGGGCTGATTTTTGTTGTAACAAATACACAAGTCAACTTTTCTTCTCCACTGACAGAAAACACTTGTGTTCCTGCGTTTTTATCTGTTCCATGTCCTTGTAAAAACTGTTTTTGTCCTTTTGTTCCCCACAGTTGAGCCCATCCCCTGCTCTCCCTGTTTCCCTCTCCCTGGAGGACTCAGAGCTGCTCTCCTTCTACTCGTCTCAGAGCCTCGCTCACCTCTCCTGTCTGGCAGACGCCATCGACGTACTCTTCAACAGCGTGCAGGGGAACCAGCCTCCACGCATCTTTGTCGCCAGAGGAAAGAGTCTCATCGTGACGGCGCACAAGCTGGTGTTCATCGGGGACACGCTGTCCCGCCTCCTGACTTCTGCTGACCTCAGAGCCAAGGTAGAGAAATCCATTCAGACGTCTGTTTCACGACTTCGTATGTGTGAAATCCAGAGATATGCATGGCGAGGAAAACATGCAGAAGTTGTAGCTGTTCGTCGGCGCACAGACAGGCTTTTGTTTTAACCCTGTAGACCCCAAAATGTTTCAAAATAATCTCTGGGAACTTTTAATAAAGTAAGCATTTATTAGTTTTAATTTGATACTTTGATAAAGAGATTTTTGATGGTAATAAAATAAACTAAAAGTCATATTGTTGTTTTTTTGATATCCAAATGCAAACAAGACAATCGGCATCCAGGATGAAACAAAAACTGAGATCTTTCTCTTGATAACCCAGGCTAAAAGTTGGAGGCTTATTAGTGTGTTCGTAATTAAGGGTTCCCAAACCCACAGTCGACATCCTTCTTATTTGTAAAGGCAAAAATGTCTTCTCTCCTGCAGATTACAACCTCCGGGGGACGACTCTGCCAGGCCTTGAAGTCAGTCGTTGTGGCAACAAAGGGTGCCGCACAAAACTACCCATCAGTCTCCGCGAGCCAGGAGATGGTTGACCGCGTGGCCGAGCTCTCGCAGCAGGCGGCCGGCTTCACCACGCTGCTGCAGCGTCTGGCAGAAGTATCCTCATGATACTTTAGATCACTCGACATAAAACGGAAAAACTTTGTTTACACTACACACACACACACGTTTTCTCTTCTCTTTGAAATGCCTTATTTGTCGTGCGAGTCTTTCTTCACCTTTGGTTGGAATGGGATTGAAGCGAGTTTTGCTGTCGCTGAGCTGGGATTTGACTCCTCTGTCCTTAAAGTGTGTGTTGGTTTGCCTTTTGTTTATATACTGACCTCTGTGCTTTAACGCCAGGCACACTTCTCTTTTGAGTGTTAACTTATTGAGTCTTTGAAGCTCCTCTGTGGCTTTCAGAGTCCGCGTGGACTGTTTATCTTGGGAGCTTTGCTTTATTATGTTTGCCATATTTTCCTCTCCTCATATGATAGCCATTTTTTCCCTTCCTTCCTTTATTTATTCAGCCATCCCCCCTCTTCCAAAAATAGCACAGATGGAGGCCTTACATCCTGGTTCTGGCCTACTTTTTTTTGCTGTGATACCTGAAAGGCCTTTTGTTGTTACCATTCTGAAACTGTCGAAGCAGCATATGGTTCGTTTCGGGGGCTCAAAACGGATGAAGAAGCATCCCTAATCTGTGCAAGTATGTGTTGTGTTTGTGTCGTCCATCATTTCTGCTGGAATGCAAAAGATTAACAGCAGCGTTACATGTCATCCCGAGTGAAATCTCTCCCTCTACGTTCAACTTTCACTCCTCCCCAGCTTGTGAAGACAGTAAAAATCCTGTCTGACGGAGAGAGAGAAAAAAAAAACACCTGAGATGATGTGACTGAGAGAGATTAACGATCGCTGGGTGACGAATTGCGTAATCCCTGTCTCTTTCCCACAGTCACATGGCGGCTTTTCGGCGGATAACAAACCAGTTGACCAAGCTCTCCTGTCTGCACTCGTCTTGTTGTGATCTGCATGCTTACATTTCTTTGCCGCTCATCTTTTGAGATTCTCACCGATGTCTGAAGTGCGTTTTTTTTACACATCTGCTATGATCGTTTCACGTTTGTGCTGTGAGGGTGCACAGTAAAAACCGAATGCTGGGTAAACACTTAAAATACATAATACATGCAAGCAAGAAGTGGAACGAACATCACTTTGACTGTACAACATGATTTTACTCTTTCCTTGTCAGGGTTCAGTTATGAATATTTGATGTCTCCCATGTACCTACCCCTAGTTAAAACTGTGAAATGAAGCAGCACGCTCGTTTTCATCGAAATGGGTGAAGTTTAAATCGTAAATCCAACAAACTAAATGCCTCTTGACCATCTCAGACTTCTTTTTGTACCATTTTTCCTTTTATATCATGAGACAACCTTATGTGCTCGACAAAGTTGGATTATAATCCTTTCTGTATCATATTTCTTTCAGGTCTTTTTATATCCAAATATGTGTTCTCAGTAATTGCATACTTATCCTTTCAGTTTTGAGGCTGACTTTAAACCTGTCTGTCCTCGTTTTTACATTTTCCCTGCTGCAGTGCCACCTTGTGGAGATTTGAAGTATTACCTATTACCTGCCTGCCATAACAGTCACTTTGACGTTTGTAAGGCAAGAGCATGACGGGCAAATAACATTGAGCATTATATTTATTAATGTTACTTTTTTTTAAAGTTATTTTCTTTCCAGTTTGCATGGCTTTAATTTTCTCGAGTTTTCTACGGTATATGCACATCCTTCATCAGGGGACACTTCACTTGGTTATTTGCAATGAACAAAAATGTTTTTTTAACTATGTTCCAGTTAAAAATGGCTGTATTTCTTTTCTACAAGAAGTTTTTTACACTATGTGAACTCATTTGAGTTTGGATTTGCTGAGGTTAAGACACTATGACTTTTCTCCTACACTAAGCAGACCTTAACTCCTTTACTTTTAACACTACATTTGATGTCTGTCTTGTACTCATGTTCCGAATGCACAAATACATCTTTTACAATTAAACCGATGTGTTTATTTGAGTGCTACATGACTATTTTAAAATGTCTGGTGTATGTCTGTTTGTTTTGCCACATTTTAGTTCAAAGTAGATTAGTTCAAAGTATATAATTTGTCAAATTTAGTCTTTAACGTGTAGGATTGAAGGCCTCAATTGGCCTGTGAACTGCTCTCAACTGTCATCGCACTGTTATGTGATTCGGGAAAACCCGAGTAGTGCCGGAAACTCCCGAGCTGTGACGCCGAGCAGCAGCCGTAGCGACGCTTGTTGGAGTTTAGACAAGCGGAGGGAGCAAAATGGCGGACGAAGATATTACGCTTGATGGAAAACCTCTACAATCGCTTCGAGTTGCGGATTTGAAAGCCGCCCTGGAGCAGAGAAACCTCCCGAAGAGCGGGCAGAAAAACACGCTCATAAAGCGACTCAAAGGGGTAAGCTTTTCGCTCGTGTTACGGATGCTTGTCGAGTCTGTCTAAGTTCAGCAGGAGGCGAGAGACGGTGGGGGTTAACAGTAGAGGCCGTAACGGTGTGCGGGCTTGGAAGCGGGAATACATAAACCGTCATGCACGCTTTATTACACATAAACAGCACTTCGTCTTTTCGGTTATTTGTAACTGACAGCGTAAAGAAACTATTTAGCCACCGAGTTCCGACTTAATTTGTAACTACCCCCAGAGCACCGTGTTGCACACAGTTGAAGTGTGCACCTGTCAAGTCGAGGCCTAAGCGGAGTGTAAGCAAGCGAACAGCCGCACATAGTGTACAGTACCGACGTGCCCGCGCTCCCTATGTGTTTGGATTGGGGTTACGGGGGCGCGCATTGCCATGTAAACACGATTATACGAGCTGAAAACAAACTACTGAAGCAATTGAATTTCTAGTCAGCGGTTAGAAACACCATTATTCTTGTACATAACACACTCAGCATATAAACAATCAAAGGTTTCAGGGCCGTGGACTGGATTTTCATTGACACTGAGACCACGAGTCCAACCCCCTCCCCCCTAAACGATAAACAGACATTTTTTTGGACCTTAAATTTTAACTTTTAAACATCTTACTTGATATATGTGAAATGGTTTAAAACGTGTTTGAGAAAGTGTAGTACACACCTTAGAGAAGTCAAGAAATCCAACTAGTTATACTATGTTAAGCAGCTTGCAAAAGTATTTGATGCGTCCCATTTTACTCTAAGATATGATGAAAATGTATAATTAGAGTGTCTATTGTGACATTCTAATTATATTAATATTCATAAATGCCACTATTGCATTTATCATGTTAATACTTTATTAAATGCTTACTCTTCATCGTGTCCTCTCAGGGTGGAGACCAGTGCCTCTGTGATTTGCATACATTCAAAGCGTTTGTCTGTGTTTTAGTCAAGCAGGACCAAGCCATGTAAAGTGTGTGAATAACAGTGGTGGAACCTTATAGAGTAGTTATACACATTGAAAATTTGTGCTAGCATCTACTTGTTGGACATCTAGTTGAACGTCTATGTTCCCCTTCATGGAGATGGGCTGTTTGTTCACATTCAATCACTTACAAAATGCTAAGTTTGGCTCCAGTCTGTAGTGATGGGCACGGCCGTTCTTTTAGATGTACTAAATCACTAGAATCAGTTCATTAAAATGATTCGTTCAAAAGATTTGTTTACCGAATCATGCAGCGCTCGGTGGGTGGAGCCTGCGACTCACTGAGTCTCACTCTCCTCTCATTACTTCCAGCCTAATGTCTTAAGTTTCTTTAATTGGGAACTAAATTAAAACAACAGGGAACAACGGTCACCATGAAAGTGCATCCCTCGGACAAAAATGATTCCAGAGAGTGTAGTTCACTGCGTGATTCGTTCACCAAGTGATTCAGGTGTTACCACAAGCGGTCCCTGGCTCGCTGGCTGCTCGCCTGGCAATGCTACATGCCATGTCAGCTGTGCTGCTGACAGCTCAACTGCAGTGAGAAATGAACGAATCACTTGAGGAAGTGATTCAGTTCAGTACGTTCACTTAAAAGATTTGGTTCTTTTGTACAAATCATTCGCGAACGATACAACACTACCAGTCTGCTGACAGCTGAACTGCAGTGAGAAATGAACGAATCACTTGAGGAAGTGATTCAGTTCAGTACGTTCACTTAAAAGATTCGGTTCTTTTGAACAAATCATTCGCAAACGACACAACACTACCAGTCTGATAGCTGTCACACAGTTGAAAGGAGATCAAAAGTACTAACTTGTTCAACCAAACATCAAAATCTCTCTTGTTCATTTGCAGGCACTGATGTTGGAGAATCTTCAGAAATCCTCGTCCTCTCACAGCGGGCTGCAGCCCAACTCACAGGTCAGAGGAAGATCCTGCATGTGAACAAGAATTTTGTTTCCAGCTTTATTCTCTGCTGTTCACTTTTGTTGATTTTAAAGTTTGTTAAAGTGTTGTTGTGTGCGCTTTTATGTGACGCAGATTGGCGAGGAGATGAGCCAGAACAGCTTCATCAAACAGTATCTGGCCAAACAGCAGGAGCTCCTTCGGCAGCGACTGGAGAGAGAGGCCCAGCAGGACGATGAGGCAGAAGGTAAAAAATGCACATCCATACAACTAATCGCAACTCAGTCGAAAAGTCTGAAAACTATTTGTTTTTCTTGAGTGAGTTGGTGCTGATTTTTCACTCCTGGTCCTGGTCTTTGTCTGACAGAAAGCCCAGCAGTCCCCGAGGAAGATGACGACCACTCTGAGGACAATGACAGCTCCTTTGTCTCAGACAAGGTCAGTAAGTGAGGATTGTGAAGAAGTAAATGCCTGAACAGGATGCCCTAAGCTGCCACACGTTATAAAGATAATATTTTGAGTGTATTTATATGTTTCCCCTAAAAATACACACATGAAAACGATCCTGGTGGTATATTTTTCAGATACAGAAATTGTTTTAAGGTTTGAGTTGAGGTTTTCATCAACTACAGAACATAATTTTATCAAAATTTAAAGAACCTGGAGAAATCTTTGCACAAATACACAATAATAAGCTCTGAGGTGGTTCTGCAATAAAAACAGACATGACTCTGTAGTGGAAATCACTGCATGGGCTTAAAAAACAACCATCTCTAAGCAGAGTTGGTTGCTGCATCCATGAATGCACGTTAAAGCAAAAACTTTGTGTACACAGGATTGAGAGATGATGTGAAGAAGCTGCAAAGCTTCATTTTTCATGCATCAAAAGAGCGTAGCCTCGTAGAAGAAGATGTTTGAGTTATTGGAAATATTTAGGTGCATCAGGATGCAAAAAATGGAAAGTTTGAACAGTCAACAAACTAACAACCATTTTAGTTCTAACAACATTTTAAAAAATGTCTCCAATCTTGGTTTCGTTGTCTCTCAGACTGACTGTAATTTTCTCCCAGCAGCATCACTCCCTGTCCTCTCAGCCCGCGATGACCCGGGATGATAAAGGAGGAGGGAACGTAATGGTGGGTCATGCAATGATGGCGTGCGCTGCCAGCATGGACCCCTCTGCTGCCTTCCACCCTCAGGAGTCCCTCGAGGTTCCTGGAGCTTGGATGCAGCGAGCCGCCTTTCTTCAAGGATGCAAGGAACCGCCGGCGCCCTCTCCTCCCCGCGCCGTGGCCTCCCTTTCGGTGCGTGTCCTGGGCCAGCCGGATCGCCAGGGGCTGCCCCCCGTCTTACCTCGAGCCCAGGAGAAAGAGGGCACCGCACCGAGCGAACCAGGATCGGCGCATTCTGTCCTACACCTTAGCCGATCCGCTGGGGTGGCAGCCGGGAGTCGTGCGTATGTGGATGACGATGAGAACGACAGCGGCGATGATGAGAGTGACGATGATGACGACTGGGGGCCAGGTCCAGGCGGGGCACGGAAGGGGAACAGAGCGCCTCCTCATCCGCAGCAGATGCCCCCCAGTTTACCGCCAGCAGCAGCAAGATCCAAACGCAAGCTTCAGCCTCCACAGCACATCCCGCCACCACAGGTACATCACACCCCAATGCAACTGCGTCACCCAACTCCTCCCCCTTCTCCACCTCCTGACTTGTTCCCCCTCCCTGATACTCCTAAGCAGAGTCCACCGGATGCAGATGGCCAGGAGAGGGGAGGTCTTGATGCTGCACAGGGTCCAAGGGTGGCATCTTTCCCTCCTTCCACCCTGCAGAGGGAGGACTCCGACTCCAGTTCTCGTTCCAGCAGCCCTGAGCCCCTTATGAAGCGCAAGCCTGGACCCCTCTCTCTGCTCGTCCACAAGATGGAATCTGAAGGTGCTTTCACTTCCACTGCAGGAGTATCAGGAGAGACGGCTCACTCCACTGCCGGGCCCGCCTGCTCCAGCGAGTCCCCGCTCCTAAGACTGGAGAGAAAGAGGCTTCAGGAGAGTCGGGAGATGGAGGAAGAGAGGCGGCTGAAAGAGGAAGAGAGGAAAGGACAAGAGGAGAAAGAGAGAGAAAGACGGAAGATTCAAGAGCAGGAGAAAGAGAGGAAACGCCTGGAAGAAGAGAAGGAGAAAGAAAGGAGGCAGCTCGAAGAAGAAGAGCAACGGCGCCGAAAGGCGGAGCAAGAAAGAGAGAGGAAACGCCAGGAAGAGGAAAAGCAGCGTCAGAAAGAGGAGCGAGAAAAAGAGAGGAAACACCAGGAAGAGGAAAAAGAGAGGAAGAGAAAGCAGCAAGAGGAGGAGAAGAGAAAAGAGCAGCAGAGACAGGAGGCAGCTCATAAAGGCAGGGTGTCTGTGACGGAGGCCCAGGACTCTTCATCAGACTCTGACTCCAAGTCAGACTCCGACTCAAGCTCCTCACAGTCCTCCTCGTATTCAGGAGGAAAGAGTCATCCTTTAAAACAGCCGAAGGTAAGAGAAGAAAGACACATTTTCTGACTGTTTTTAACTTCCTTTTGACATATTTTAAGCTTGTCTGATTATCTTGAGAGGCACTTCAATGCTGAATTATCTGATTCTTCTCATTCCTGATGATTATGTCACAGAAGCTTGACCAAGGACGAGCAGGACAGGATGGCAGAAAGAGTGACCCGGGTAGAGAGGCAGAGAAACGACACCCTTCGAAAAGGTCAGTAATTTCTATATTAAGAGGAGTTAAAGTCAGAGGAAATTCAGGTAGGATTTGTAAGATATGTTTTTTAAAACAACCACAGCAGCACAGGTTTGACATCTTCTTGTATGTTTGCTAAGTGTTGTAAAATTGAACTCTGTGTGTGTTTATAGAGCTCTGTTTTAAGCCCTTGCATGCATTTATTGACATTGGAGTGCAGAATCATCACCCAGATTGATGTGCAGCTGCAAAAGGATTTCTGTTGAATAAAGCATCCACAGTCTAAACCTCCTTAATATTCTGGCGTAAAATTAATTTAGGGTCAAACACACCATAACACTGAGTTAGACACCCCCTCAAGAGACTGAATGTTGTCGGCCGCTTGCTTCTCTAGTTATACCAACTTTAGTAACGACCGCAGGATAGCAAACCACAGCAGTCTGAGGAGCCATAAACAAACCTCAACCCAAACGCCACTCTATAGACACAAATGATGCTCAGAACAGCACCTAACTTCATCAACAGTACATATAGGGTTCTAGCCACCAAACATCTTCTAGCTTTGCCCGATTTCTTTAGCAAAGAGACTAAACACGACTCACCTACTCTCTTCCAGCAGCCCCTTGTTTGTTGCAAGACCTCGGGCCAGTCCATTACGGACTACAGCGAGGTGACGCAGCTCAAGGAAGAACATCTGGGATCATTACTTTATCATTTCCTTGAAGTAATAATCACCATATTAACCATTTTGCACTGCAGACGCGGTAGTTCTTCTGCCTTAGCGTCTCTGTCTGATTGCATTTCCATGAAGAAAATGATCATAAATGTTCTTCCTTGAGCTGCGTCACCCCGCTATAGTCCGTAATGGACTGGCCCAAGGTCTTGCTACAAACAAGGGGCTGCTGGAAGAGCGTAGGTGAGTTGTTTAGTCTCTTTGCTAAAGAAATTAGGCAAAGTTAAAAAGATGTTTGGTGGCTAGTACTATGGCTGGGACCCTATATGTACTGTTGATGAAGTTAGGTTCTGTTCTGAGCATTATTTGTGGCTATAGAGTGGCGTTTTGGTTGAGGTTTGTTTATGGCTCCTCAGACCGCTGTGTATTGCTATCGTGCGGTCGTTACTAAAGTTGGTATAACTAGAGAAGCAAGTGGTCGACAACATTCAGTCTCTTGAGGGGGTGTCTAACTCGGTGTTACGGTATGTTTGGCCCTAAATTAGTATGCCGGAATATCCCTCTAAGTCTAGACCAATGTCATTTCTCTGCATCCTAAATGTAGATGCTGCCAAACTAATTACTCCTCTTAATTACCATGAATAAATTATAAATCAAAAGGAAACTAAAGTGAGCTCTAACACAGTAAGAAAACAAGAACTGTGTCATGTAATGTCTTATTTGTCTTGTGTTTCCTGCCTCTGGTCCTTTGAATCGCCTAAACAAAAAGAAAACAGTCACATGAAATAAAACTGCTTTGTATTAAACACCCACATAAAAAAGTGCATCTTTGTTCTCACTGACCGCAGCCGAAAGCTTGTCTTAAACCTTGAATCACTCTTGCTCACACCCCAGCTGCTTTCTCACTCGTTTCTAAATATAGCAGCCGGTATTTCTTGTCAGGCATTCACTGCGGCAGCCTAAAAACCTGCGTGGCTGCTGCTGCTGAGAAAAAGGCGGGTCTTTAACCGCTTCACCAAACGGTCAGCTCTCGTTGTGTTTTTTCGCCTAATTTCTCTTTACATTAAGTTGAGGGAAACCGCACAGTCACTCGTTTGTGTTTCTTCGACCAAGTTTGAATGCGCTTCTTTTTGAGCCTTTTATTTTGGAAGTCCTAAACCGGAACTTGGCTTTTTTCCACTCGGGTAGGCTTGACTTGACACTAGTCTCGTTATCCAACATGGCCGCCATGCAGGCATTGCATCCCTGATACCGACGCAGTGAACGGATTTCAAGCTGTGGAGACAAACGCGGCCGTTTTTTTGTTTTTAAGAGCCGCGGTTTCAGTCGTCGTCTACCCGGAATAGACTCCAGCGGCGGGGTGTTATCTGTCATCCCCGGGGCTTCCCTTTCAAGGCCGGTCATAATGCTGTCCGAAGGCAACAAAAACGGGTAAGAGAGAGAGAGAGGGGGAGAGCCAGAGGGCGACTCAAGGCTTCAGGTTGCCGGTTGTACTTTAACACCTCTTCTACACAGAGCAAAGAGAGGAACATGAACCGATGTGAGTGTGAAGGGTCCTGTCGTGTTGTAGTTTCATTATGATGCTGCTCAGCTCGCTCCTGTCTGTGAAATATCATGTCATCAGATCACGTTGGCCTGGTTATGAGCGTTGCTGCGTCCGAACTGCCCGCTCGGATACTACATGCTACTGCTACGTGCTACTGCTAGATCCTACTCCTACATACTAAAAACGTTGGCCCAATTCGGACACACTAGACGAGCGGTGGGGAAAGACGACCCCCGCAGGCAGAGAGTAGGTACTGCGCCCGTGCAGACAGTGGTAACTGAAGCCCCTCTTCTGCGGGCCTGGCTGTAGTACTGCAGCTGTGCAGTTTAATGATGGAATAAGTGAGCTTTACCTCCATGATTTCGCCACTTGCTCATAAAATGATTACTTGGGCAAATATGACACCATGACATGACAAAGAGATACAACCGCACATTTTTTAGGACAGTGTGTGAAGTTACATGAAACTTACATCTGTACTGCTGCGGTCCCGCCTGCTGCTGCTGCTGCTCCGACATGGTGCGCGCTGCTGCGGCCAGCCGGCGTTCGCGACACATTTAAATAGGCAGAGCGGCTGGTGGCGCTAGCATCACATGCGCTTCTACAACTTTTAAGAGGACGAAGAAGAAGCCCGCGGTGCATTTTGGGTCAGTAGCATGCCCGTAGGATGCACCGAGACCAACCTACAATGTGGGCGTGTCTAGCATCTGAAGTAGTATCTGAAGTAGCATGCTACTCGCTCCGGTGGCCAATTCGGACATGCTAGATACTACTTCGACTACTACTTCGACTACTACTTGGCAATTCGGACGCAGCTCGTGTTTCATGTCCGCCCATGTGAGGGGGAGACCCGGGGCTGGTACGGTCTTTTGTTGAGTAATGGCTCTCAGATTTTTCTGGAGGAAAGGGGAGGGGGGTCCCCCCTTTCTTTGATCAGGGCTTAAAATAGCTCCAGCGTTAATAAATAATGGCCTCATGCTGTGATTTCTCCTCCCATCTCTCCTTCTCCTTGACCTCAACGTTTTCTAACACGCCAGGTAGGTGGTGTAGCTGGTCCTACACCGACTGGACCTTCACCTTATCACCCCTCTGACTGTTAAAACTGTAGAAAGTAGGGCTGCATGATATTGGAAAAAACTAACATTGCAATTTTTTTCAACCCTGCGATGTAAATTGCAGGGTTTCCCCTACATGCAATTGATCGTGGCGCACCACCACGGCTAAATAAAAACCGCCACACCTTAAAAAAAAATAGTTTTTTATCTCACGTAGTTCTACCTCGGACTCATATGTATCGGCAGTGTTTCCCCTACACACGATGTTATTTCCGACTTGTTATGAGTCATCAAGGAGCGCATCAAATCCTGTAGGACCCTCTTCTATCAACGTGAAAGGTAACGTTCAAGCTTATACACGGTCTATATAGCGAGTAGCGTTAATAGCATTAGTAGCATTATTATCAATGCGGCACAAATAATTTCAACTCGTGCTGTCTGAGCACAACAACACAATGTTATTTGCGACTTGTTTTGAGTCATCAACAAGCGTATCAAATCCTGTCGGACTCTTTTCCGCTTATGTCAAGGGTAACATTTAAGCTTATACACGGGCTGTATAGCGAGTAGCGCGGGTAACGTAACGTGAATGTAACAGAGTAGCTCCTGGAGCTGATCACTCACGATCACTTAAAAGATTCAGTTCTTTTGAACGAATCGTTCTCGCGTGACACAACACTAACTTTATGTTATGCTGCACTGCTGGGATGTTATTGTGGCTACAGATGAAAAGCACTGCCGACATGTAACGTGTGTTTGGTCGACATCATCCTTCTTGTAACTGAAATAATCCCAGATAACTGGCTTTCCTTTTATTTTTGGCTACAAGTCTTCATTTTCGGTTGTTTTCTCTTTGTTGCTCATTTTGCAATTGTTGTTGATACCGGTGTTGTGCCGAGAAACGCAATTCAGCCGAGAATTGCATGCACCTCGCAAAACATGCACCGCTTATAGTAGAGTGGTCAGCGGAAATGTACAATTTAAAACCCATACAATTCTAATATGTGGAGCTAAACAGTGATGAGTAATGTTTCAGAAGTAATTCTCGGCGGGTATTTGTTTCTCGGCTCAACACCGACAGCGACCCACTCCTCTCTGATTTTGATTGACGGCTCTAGTAGAAAGCAGAATTAGTGGTAGAGCTGTTGTGTTGGGTTGCATCAGACTGCCCCGGCGTTTCTAATGCTATGGCTGGCACATTCAGCCTGTTGTGTAGCTATATTTGTATTTTTGGATTTGTGTGGCTGTAGCCGTTAATGATCTCAATGTTGTCAAGGGAGATCATTAAAGCAGACATCTGTTAGCTGTACAGTCAGTGTGAATGGGCCCTTATGGTGTGATATAATTCTCCCAGCTGGCACCAGCACTCACACTCTCCTCTCCTGGGAGCTGACTACATGTCGGATTTGATTGGTAATAGTGTTTTAGTTAGTTTTATGAGTCCGGCTAGTTGATTAGGGCTATCATGAATGATTGATTATTGGTTCCTTTATTGGGGGTTTGTGGAGGACTAATCCTTTTTTATGCCATACAAGTGTTAAACCTTAACTGCCAGCTGACATGTAATACTGATTTGATAATAGTGTGAGAGCCGGAAAAGACCGGAATTTCAAGTTTTCTGATTTGTTTTTCGCTTTGTTGTTTTTTTTCTCCCTGTTTCTTGATGTGACATTTGAACACACCGTGATGAGGTATCATCCACTTTTACCTAATTCTTGTTTTACTGACCCAAACTTAAACACAGCCTTTGACTTGTAGACGGAGTTATTTCAAGCTGCAGATAGTTTGACGTTCCTCATTCTGGCTTGATTTGATGCATGCATTGTGTACTTTTACATCTGTTATTAGATAGTCTATTAATGTGCGTGCACCATTGATTTTATTTATAGGACCCCAGAGACTGGGTAGCAGACTCGATAAGCTCAAATGTCATTGGTTTCCAGGTTTTGAAAAACACTAAACCAGGTATTTAATCAACCCAGTTACCGATCCTTTTCCCTGTTTGTTTGACATTTGAAATCATGATTCACTTCATCAAAATTGATGTTAATTTCTAAAAAAAAAGACTGCAAAGAAATCCTGCAATTCGGATTCATTATATTTGGTGTTGAGAATTGTTGGTTCTGGAGTCATCTGTACTTGCTGATACCAAGTCTCACCACTCAAGAGGCAGGGGGGAAATTTACCTGATCATTACAGCCACTCCTGGCCTTTCCTCCCCTCGCTGATCCCCAGGGGGTTGTATTTCTAGTTGGCATCTGTCTCCCTTTATAGCCTGTGCAGGTGTGAGTCTGGCCTCGCCTAAAATCCACACACACATACAAACACACACACCGTCTGCACCTCTGGTAAATGAAGGGGAATCAGTGCGGCGTGGAGGAGGAGGAGGGGACGCAGCCCTCCTGCCCACACTCTTGCCAGTAACTAATCTCCAGAGAAGGAAGCTGAAAAGGCTCTCCCGACACTGTGGGGAGATTTCATTTCAAAGATTAACATTACCGGCCCCTCCACTCAGAGAAACCCTGCCAGCGGTCATGTGACACATCACGGAGAGAGGGAGGGGGAAAGCTGAGTTTGGCCAGTCTGAGTCGGTCCTGTGAGACTTTGTGAGTAAACAAAAGCAAGTCTGAGAATTTTTTTCAGCTATTAACACTCATGAAAGGAGGTGGAGGTTTCTTTTCTCCCGTAAGCCCAAACAAAGAGCTCATAGACCGTTGTTGTATTGAATCAGTGAATCAGAATCAATCGCTCATACTTTGAATAATTGATTCAAAAGGTGATTTTCCTTTAAGACGCATCTACTGCATTATGAACAAGGATGCTTGAGTTCTCCCGCTCACAAGTGCTGTGGAGGAGTCTTTTGAGGGGGATACTATATATACACCTAAAATGATGACATCTGCTTGATTTCAGAGGCTGTCTTATGTAACAGAGCTAAAATATATAACAGTATGTGAAAGTAGGTGTGGATGTGTGAGGTCTGATTCACAAGAAGAAGAGGAGGCTGCTTTTTCTTTCTGCTTTGGACCTAACGTGAATCAGTTGAAGACCACACACACGGAGTCAGCTGTGTTTGTGTGACTTTGAGTTAGTTTGAGGTGTGTGTGTGTGTGTGTGTGTGACTGTGGATGTCTGTTGGCTGGTGAGTTATTTATAGAAGAAGTGACCCAGATCCCTGCCCCCCCAGCACCAAACCTCAGTGATTTGACTGTCTTGTCTTACACATTAGTTTGCGTTGATGGTCTTTGATTTCTTTTCTTACCCATTAACAAGTTGAGTGCTCGCATGAATTGATTATCCCTTGTAGACAGAGTGTTGTTATTTTCTCATTACAGAGGTGGGGGCTTGACGACTCGACTCGAGACTCGGCTTGGACTTGAGTCCCGTTTTTGACTTGCTTGATGAAATCAAGAAATGACTTGGACTTGCTTGGGACTTGATTGCTAAAGACTTGAGACTTGACTTGACTTGACTTGAGCCCAGTGACTTGAAAAGTCAAGTCAAGTCTTTTCAAGTCACGTAATACCTTACAGCAAGCCCAAACCGTTTAAAAAGTGTTGCATCAACTAATGTTGACCGTGTTGTGTTGCCAAGTCTGCTTATTTCCCGCAAAAATTTTTTGCTTGTTTCTGGAGGTCTGTTTCCTTATTTCTCTCACGAAACTTGGCAACACTGTCTCAAACTCTAGCCTCCCTCATAACGACAACACTGGGAGGACTGAACATAAATCGCTCGGTAAGGACTTGGTTGGGACTCGAAGCAAAATTCCTAGGACTTGGTTGGGACTAGAAACAAAAAGTTCAGGACTTGGACTTGACTTGGGACTTGTCTGTGTTGACTTGGACTTGACTGGAGACTTGAGAGCAAAGACTTGAGACTCGACTTGGACTTGCAACATAGGGACTTTCCCCCACCTCTGTCTCATTATTTGAAATGATCCAGTGTAGCAGGTGTAGGACCTGTACCGGGTTGTTTGATTCTTCCATACGGAGTAAAAAGTGTCAAAAGTTAATATTGTTATCGATTTAAAGTCCTTGAACTCCTCATAGATCGCTCCACAAAAGGATTTATCAGAAGTAACCCACGAGCAGACAAAGATAACAAGCTTATTGAATCAGTGAGACCAAACACCGTCACTCAGACCAAAGCCTATTTTCTTCCACCTCTTCACCCCGTCGCCTTCTCTCTCTCACCTGCAGGGAGGTGTCGGAGCCCAGCGCAGCCGCCGTCACCGAGGTGGAACCCGACTCTGAAAGCTCTATGGCTCAGCAGCCGCCCTCAGGGGCCGAGCCAGAGAACAGCGAGGGCCGCCTGGAGGAGGTAAGGCCACTGAGAGGGTGGGGGGTGCCCGGCTCTTTGCTACATCTCTCACTAACCTGCATCCTACCTCGTTCATGAGAAAGCATGTGTAGTCGGTGGCTTCGGTTTAGAGGGTCAAATCCATCACAACCCCAACATTTGGATCCTGTGGAGGTTTTTTCCTTCTTAATCTTGTTAAGTTAGCGCTCTTTCAACCATCTAAATGCTCAAAGATGACTTATCATTGAACGTTTCTATAACGGCTCTCCGGGGAACAAACAGGGGTTGAGTTGGAGTTGGGTCCTTGGATACGTGACATTTGACTAATCCCTTCCCCTGCTGTTAACACAACTTTCTCATTCACGTAGATGATCTCTCACACACAGCACTCACTCGCCTGGTCTGCGCATATGGACGTGTAGTGTCAATGTCGCTGAGATGCAAATAGTCATAATGAAAGTGTGTGAAATGACATTTCTGTGTTGCATAAGGTGCATGGAAGAGGATTAGGGCCACTGGGGAAAAAAGGTCCAATATACTGTATATACTTTATTATTAGTCTGACTTTTTTTCTTAGTATAATAAAAAATGTATATATACTAGACCTCCTTTTAAGTGGCCCTAATCCTTTTCTGTATGTGTCTCATATTCATGTTTGTGTGTTTGTGTTCGGGAGGGAGGAAGTAAGAAACAAACAATAGCAATTCAGGCTTACGCCTCGTCATAGAGTGCCCTTGTCTTAAAAAAGATTTGGCTCTCAAAGTCGAGCTAATCAAGAGAGGGATAAGAAACTTAACGAGAAAATGCAACAACTTTAGCTGTGTTATGTATTACAAACTTTGTCCTTTTACATGTTTTATTAATCAGACGAAACTAGGCAGAAAATTAAAAAAGGGCATCAACCAAATTGAAGAAAACAAACACAAAGCAAGCACAAACCCAGAGGTAGTATGGGTTTTGGAGGCGTCATAGGACTGGTTAGGGTTAGGTAAAGGTAGAGTGACCATATCCCAACTTCCCAAAATGAGGACACGACTATGCGGGGGCAGAGTCGCAAAGTTAATTTTAAGAGTTTCTGGTTTGGATCGAGTGTCTTTTATGCGCTTCTAACTCACTAAGCCCATGTGACACAAAATCAAAACTCTCGTACAAAACTCCGGTCAAAAAAAGGGACATGTCTGGGTAAAGAGGACATATGGTCACCCTAAGTAAAGGTCTGTATGTAGGTGTGACTTCTTGCAGCTGACAGAAAAAAGGGGCATCAACCAAATTGAAGAAAACAAACACGAAGCAAGCACAAACAGCGAGGTAATATAGGTTTTGGCGGTGTCAAAGGACTGGTTAGGGTTAGGTAAAGGTAGGGTGACCATATCCTGACTTCCCAAAAAGAGGACACAACGATGCGGGGCGGAGTCACAAGTAGTTAATTTTGAGAGTTTTTCGGTTCGGAGTGAAGTGTCTTTTATGCGCTTCTAACTCAGTAAGAAGCGAAAATCGAAACTTTTTTGCAAAACGGCGAGCATTTGAAGGACTTTATTAACTTCCCCCAAAAAAGAGGACGTATGGTCACCCTAGTTAAAGGTCTGTATGCAGGTGTGACTTTCTGCATCTGTTGAAAACGTTAGCTTAAGTGCGGGGAAAGACGCTCTCTTCCATGTAGGTATCGGCTGCAGCTGCACTGAAGCAAAGGTTCGACATTTGTTTGCATTAGAGTCATTTCATCTAATCAGAGTAGCGCATTTTTGCCATCACAAGCACTTTCCCTTATCTGCAAAAATAAACCTCAACATGCATCTTCACACACGCTAGGATTTGCTGCCGGAGCTCATTAGGAAGCTTCTGAATAATATAGAGGATCTGGTCGCTCTGCTATTAGAGTTATTATCTGCATGTGTCTGTTTTTACCATGAAAAGATGAGTGCAAGTGTATGTATATTTAAATATATATGTGTGTGTTAGTGTGTGTGTGTGTGTTTGTTGGCCCTGTTTCCACTTTGGGTTTGCATGAGTAATGGACCCTAACAGTGTGTGCAGAGATGCATCAGGGCTCGTTTCTGCTGTCCTCAGCCTGTTTTCATTCTCTCTGCTCTCTGGCCTGCTCCTTTTCAGACCATCACTCTCTTTCCCTCCTCTTTTTTTATTCACTCTCTCTCTCTATCTCTCTCCCCTTTCCTCCCTCTACTCTCCATCTTTCGCCTCTTTATCCCATCATGAACGCTTCTCTCTCTCACTTTATATATTTATGGTGTGATTGCTGTTTAAAACCCCATTGATTGCTTTGTTATGAAGGTGCCCATGCCTCTTCCATTGCCCCTAATGGTACCTGCTGCGTACTACTACTACCACCACCACCAACACCAACACCTCCTCCACTCCTCCTCCTACTCCTCCTACAAGTCCTGTCTCGCTATGCCCAAGTGCGTCGCTGGTACCTGAGTTAGGCCCAGAATCTGCAACCACATGGCACTGAGTAAAGCCCGAGCCCGAGGCCTCCCTTCGTAGCTCACCACCCCCCCGAGCGACACGCTGAGCCAGCAAGAAGTGGCGCTGGCATCCACGGTAACTGCAGCAGCACACAGTTGCCATGGTTACCCAGCCTCGGGGGTTGGAAGCCTGCTTGCTGAGCTGAACCGGACTGGACTGTGTAACAGCGGTGGCGATGAATGACGGAGAAAGGGAAGACGAGGGTGTGTCGAAGCCCGGCACATCGCCTCCCCACCCCCTCTCCGATCTTCTGTTTCGAGGTGGTTCACGCTCGCCAAGTGTTCCCCTCCGACATCTCCACCTCCATCCTTCAAATGCAAGACGCAGAGCAGGGAAAAGACAGAAACCCCTCAGCTCTTCAGTTTTATTTTTACCTCTCCCTCCGACCCCACGCTGCCCCCTGCTGTCGAAGGGGGTTTATGACTCGTGGACTGAGAGAGCACTGAAATAAACCTGAAAGTGATCAAAGCTGGAGCTGGTGTACGATCGCTCTTTTGGTTTTCACGCTTTTAAACAAACTGACTGAGGAACAAAAGTGATTGAGAAAGGGGTGATGGGACATCTTTTGAAGGGACACCTGTCTACAACTCGAACATGTGGACTCTCACTCCCCCTTTTGGAAAAGTTGGACCGCTGTGTTTCTTGAGCTTGCTGGGCTGTCGCTAACAATCGGCCCGGACAAGCTGACCGCCATTGTTCAGATGAACATGTAAAACCTGTAAACGTGACCCAACAGGAGAAGTTCTGTTTGAAGGACTTTGAAAGGACATCACCAGCTTCTATGAATGAGTGCACTCTGACTTTGATTGTTGGACCAGAAATCTGGATTCACTCCGCAGACCTCTGACTCCCTTCCTCTGCGGTCAACAGTCGCCGTGACTCAGCGGATGTTTGACCTTGGAGTCATGCTATCCTGCTTCGCTGTGGAGTTTGCAGATGGACGAGTGCACTAGTTGTTTTTTTTTCTACATAAGTCTTTGCCGCGTCTGAGCACCTGGTTTGATTTCCTGTTTCTGCAGCGGCATTGACACTCTGATTCAAACCCTTTTTTTTGGGATTATAATTTTTTCCAACTGGCTCGTATTTGTCACTTTTTGAAGAGACCTTCCTTCTCTACGAACTTTGAACTGTGTTGCAAACCCTCTGGCCTTGAACTGCTAAAAAACCGGGACTGATATTCTTGGATATAAAACAACTCAACAACTCTTCTTCCTGTCGAAATCAGTTTTTAGACGCACCTCTCCTGCCCGAGAGGACAACACGGACTATTCCAACCAAAGACAATAACTTCACGCTTCACAAATGGACTTTTTTTGCACGCCAGATGAACTTCACAGATCGTGGACTCTAACGAAACATACGCCAGCGCCCCCTCCCCCCCGTCAGAACCCACCACCCGTCAATCTCAAAGTCATGAAGACTGAAAAGTGACTCTGATCAGCAGTCAGTCAAGAACAGTCCTCCTCCTCAAACCCCAGTTCAAGACATAAAGTCCAATCCAGTGATCACTTCCCGCCTGGTGGCTAATCTGCACACTCATATTGAGCCCAGCCCACACTCCTGCCTTCTCTGATTGGATCCTTGTTGCCTAGATACAGTGCACGCTGTCGTGCGGTTGGGCCATAGTCGAGCCAGTAAGGAAGCAGGTGTCAAATGGTACCAGGAAATGACCTGTGATTATTCCTCTGTTTTCAAATGTTTTTAAAGGAGTAACTGTTAAAAGATAAATGATCTCCACTTCTTCTTAAAAATTAACTTTTTTAAAAATACTTAATTTTGGACTCTCATGCAGATTTGATTGGAAATTGGCACCTTTTACATGCCAGCGTTCATCCTAAATTTGACTGTTGTGTTTCTTTAATAGTAAGAGTTTTACTACGTTTAGTCCTGCTGACAGATCTTTGAGTCCTCAACACTCTGAACTCCGCCTCTGCTCAAACTGTCAACAACGACAAATACTCGATCCAGTAAGATTTTGAAAAATTAACAGATCAGCGCTATGTCAGTGTCAGTACTCGCGATGTATGACGTGGAAGGTCAGAGACGATAAAACCGATCAGAGCAGGATTAATCCGGTTTGGCTGAACTCGGGATCACAGAGTCGGAGGTTAGCAGACCTTCAGTCCTCCTTGCAGGTTCATGTCCTCATGCCTGTGCTTTTTTATACATTGCTTTATTCAAGTGGGTCAATGCTACTTCGACCACACGCACCTTAAATGCAACTTGTGGGTCAGAGAACCGTCAAACTGCACCGTGCAATGACTTATTATGTGTCGTGTTTTGTTTACATCCAGGTAGTAGAGCATTAAAGCCTTAGAACAGCAGCTAAGAACCAGAGCTGTCAGCTAGGACAAAGTCAGACAGGCGGTGCAGGTCTAGGATAACAAAAATATTCATGATGTCTTTCTTGTGATTGTAGTGCCAAGTTCTGAGGGTGGGCAGTGTAGGACTAAAGTTGTCTAACAGAGTTGTAACTCACTAAAATGTCTTATTTTCTAAATGACACTCACTTTTTAAGGTTTTTAAGATCATTTTTAAAGCTCGTAGTTACAACACATTAACCATTAACAAAAAGATCCAGTAAGGCTGTGATTTGGATTTAGAGGTAAAGTTTATCGATACACACGTCCTTGAAAGTTTGAATAAGTGCAGGAAATAATCGAATCACTCATCGTTCAGAGAAAAACGCGCTAAGAAACGAAAGAGAGGAGCAGAGTAGTGATTGATCTTATCGTCCTGAGCAGAGGTGGAGGGCAGTAATGTGTCTGGAGTCTCTCTGTATCGACTGAGCAGCCTCTCTCCATAATGTGGTTCAACTGGAGCCTCCAGGCCTCTGTTACTTTAACCCCCCTCGTCCCCACCCCTCCTCCACTTTTCCTGTTTCACCTCTACTCTGTTGTTGCCTGTTTGGGTCCTGATTCGCGGTTCTCATCTCGCCCCACACCCCTGGGGTTTCTGTATGTTCTCTTCCTGTCTCTCTCTCTTTCCAGAGCACCACTCCCAAGGCTTTCGCTGCACGCAAGATCTCCCTGACAAGTGAGTATACGGGTCACATCCCTCAGCCTACACCAGGAACAGGAGTGGGACCAGAAAATGAAAACTCACTCTTCAACTTTTAGCCAACCCTTCGCTGTAAAAGTCTGGTCGTGGCTGCAGATCAACCCTCTCTCTCTGTGTAGTCACCGTTTATTTATATCACATCACCCACCTGACGTGACTGGAAACCTATCCCGCTGCGCAGATCCTGCAATGAGTCTGTTGGTGCCACCTCTTTATTATAGTGCAATGAAAAAAAACGGTGTCATGCTTGAAGGTGAATAAACCTGGAAGAGCACAGATGGAAGACAATTTAAAGCTTTTGTCTTTTAAAGAACAACAAACAACAACAAAAAAACAGGCGTTTACTGATGCAACTTATTTTTAGATTTTACAGTTGAGGTTAAAACAAAAAAAAACACGTTTTTTTTACACTATCATAAAAAATGAAGAATTTTAGCTATTTTAGTGCAGATCGAACAAATCATTCGGTCTTTTTAAGCTGTTAGATAACGGCCTTTAAAATGTCAAGACTTGAGCTTGTATTTCATTGTGATTTTGAACAGGGATGTCCCGATACGATTTTGATATCGGATATTGGTCTGATATCAGCAAAAACAGAATATTGGATTTTATCGGCCTGCATCTAAAATCTGCAATATCGGCTCTTCGATACAAGCAGTCCATTCCAGACTCCATTCCAGCACTGTTAGCTAGCAGCACACAGATCCACCATGTAGAGCCCATGTGATCACAACAACAGTGTGTACTAAGGTACAAACAAAGTAGCAAGGGATAGAAGTGATGTCGGCCATGTGGCAGTATTTTTCATTAAAGTCAGAAAAATATGTCGCCCCTGAGTGCAAAACTATTCATGCACAATTTTGTGCTGAGATCAGATCAATATCAGACAATACTGAGGGTAATAAAAATGGTTGCCAAATCATTATCGGCCAATACTGAAGGTTACCATTATCAGCACTGGACAATACTGAAGGTTACAATATCAGAATTGGTATCGACCAATATTGAGGGCTACAGTATTGTTATTTGTCAATACTGAAGGTTACAATATCGGTATCAGTATCGACCAATGTTGAAGATGCAGCGATACCCCGTTAATTTTAGCCGAACCTGTAACTTCCTCATACTCCCAAACTTTGTTTCACATCAATCTGGAAGCCGACTAGACTTGCCTTATTGTTAAACTTCTGTTAGCCTTACGACCTCAGAGCTCGTCCAACAATGCGCATCAAGTGCAACTTTTTTTTTACTATTTTGTCTGAAGAATGACGGTAAATTAAACTTAACAACTTGAGGTGTTTCGGCGCTAAAGATCCATCGACCACAGAGCAGCTCGTCCTCCTCAGAGTCTATGTTTCTGACTGATTTCTCCGACTCTCCTCTGCAGGCAGTAAGACGTCTCCGGCCAGCGCAGACGGAGGAGCTGGAGACTCTGAGAGCGGAGCTGCAGGAGGGAGGAAGAGGAGGTGGGGCTCCAGCACATCGGTGACTGCAAAGAAACCATCCATCAGCATCACCACAGACTCTCTGAAGGTACTGAAACCAGCATTAGATATGTGGTCTTAGAGTGACACCTACTGGTCAGGATGCTGCAAGTTCTCCTCCCCAACAAACCTTTCTTTTCTTTCTTTTTTTCTTCCTCCATCGTCTCCTGTCTTCAGTCTTTGATCCCAGACATCAAAATAAACCAGGAGGCGGTGGTGGAGCTGCACCCGGAGGAGCTGCAGCTGTCCGGCGACGAGGAGAGTCTGGACAACAACAGGAGCGACCAGGACCAGGGCTTGAAGATCCGCCGTACCGTCACACAGGTGAGGACAGACCAACGCTGATATGACGTCTGCTTTGAAAAAGAGTTTTTTTTACAGCATTTAATCACTTTTTCACCCAAGGTCGTCCCCGGTGACAATCAAGAAAACGGACAAACCAACGAAGAGGAGGAGGAGGAGGAGGTGGAGAAAACAGAAACGGAGAAAGTACGCCGGCCTTCCAGGGACAAAAGGAAGAGCAGCGTTTCTGAAGAAGCCTCGGAGGCGCAGACGTTAGCGACGCTCGATGGAGAGGCGCAGAAAGGTGAACATCCTCTATGCCTCTTTTTTCTCCTCCTCCCTCTCTTTCTCTCTCTCTTCACACCCACTCACTCACCCCGTCTCATCTTCCTCCTCAGTCACCCCGAGCGACAGCCTGGTGCGCCGCTCCATCAGCCAGCAGAAGTCCGGCGTGTCGGTCACCATCGACGACCCCGTCCGCACAAACAGGCAGCCCTCGCCTCCTCACGGCAAAGTCTCCAACATCCTCCACGTGACCAACCTGGTGGGTTTAGAAAATATTCACCCAGACTTTCTCCTCGGATAAGTTCAGAGTTTGTTAAAAAAGAGCGTCCTCTTAAACCGAAGCATGACTGAGGCGTACTGTGGTGATCCAAGCATCGCCATCATTCCTCTAATTACAGCCAAGGACCAGTACTTACCCGGGTATTACTGCTGCAGTCAAACATCACCCTAAATCAGGGGCGACCTGCTCGACCAAACACTGTGTGACTGTGACAGGACCAGACATTACACATTTAATCACTAGCATTTGCAGATTCTTTGGAAGTTGCGTCAAAGGAGCGAGACTTCAGATTTCTGATTTCATCCTGTAATTTTAGAAAAACCGAGTCCAAACTAAAACGTCTCCTGACTTCATCTGTGTTTGTTTTTTTACCGCTCAGGTACGACCGTTCACTCTGGGCCAACTCAAAGAGCTCCTGGGCAGAACCGGCAGCATGGTGGAGGAGGGCTTCTGGATCGACAAGATCAAGTCGCACTGCTTCGTCACAGTGAGTCACAGATCAGAGTGTCGTCTCTGGGATTAAAACCTGGAATCAAACACATCGAGCAAATAGAGTCTCGTTGTTCCTAAATCCATATAACACAGGAACCAACATCTGTTGTCCTGATGTGGACTCAGATGGCTCAACGGAAATCCGAGAGGTGCTTGTGGCAGATTTTACAGAGCCAATTATCTTTTTGTTCACATTTATTCATGGCTTGATACAAACTTTAGGGGCACAATGAAAGTCGATCAAATAATGTTTGTCTTATTGGTCGACATGAGCACTATTATTTGAAATCAATTTGAGGTCTTTTGGTCACATGACATGGAAGCTATTAAAGAAAATTTGCCTTTAAATTTACCAAAAAACTATTTTAGAGAACAAATTAGGGAAATAAAGAGGTGTGTCTTTAGTCCGACCTTAAGATCCTTACACACTGGGGCTGACGCGAATATAGAACGCGAAATTCCAAATATTCAGAGGCGAATTTTGACGCGCCTGTATTGACAAGATACGGGTTTTTAAAAAAAAAATTTGACGTCTGAAATAATTGCACGAAAAAAATGCTCCAGGTGTGAAAGGACCTTTATGTGTCAACATAAGTACTGTTATTTGAAATCAATTTTCAATCTTTTGGTCACATGACACGGAAGCTATTGGAGGAAAACAGCCTTCAATCAACCGGTAATTTATTGACGGTCCCTTATTCAACACTGGACATTGACAGTGAGGGTGCCGAGTAGATTTAACCACGCTGCTGTTGCTGTTCCCGGTTATGGAGAGTGAGGAGACAACGGTAGATCTGCAGTGAATGTCCGTCGGAAATCCAACCTAAAACTAACTTTGCCGCAGTATTTACATGAATTAACATTTATCGCCTCGGCTGATTTTTTTTTTTTATGAGCACATGTGCCCCTAAATACATTTTACAATTCACACACTTCTATTTTTAGTCCTAAATTTGAGTGAAACTGTCGCACTGTCAAGCCCTGCATTTATTTAATAAAACAGTCACTCAAGTTCAGCAAGTTTACGACTCATCTGAAACAACAACAACATCACTAAAACACATCTGCCGAGCAGCTCTCTCACTGTCAGTACCGACCTTTAAAATATCCACCTCTTTATATCACTGGAGTCCTACAGCAGCTCAGTTTTATGAAGAAGATCTGATCGTTTTCCTTCTTCTGTCCTCACAGTACACGACCACAGAGGAGGCGGTCGCCACCAGAGCGGCTCTGCACGGAGTGAAATGGCCTCAGAGCAATCCCAAAGTCCTCAGCGTGGATTTCAGCGAACAGGATGAGGTAAAGAAAGACACACTGACTGGATTTTTCCAGTCTGACACCCTTTAGCATAAATTTATACTTTTTTAATTCATGAAATTAAACTGTTAGGATTCATTTTAAGTCCCTTAAAGCGGATGAAGTTCCTCGTAGCCAATCAGTTCTATCCATTTAAAACTAACACACCTCATGCAGTGCAGATCAGGATAATAGAGATGAACAGTTTTTTTCAGGGTGGTGAATTTAGACACCTTGTTAGAGACATTAAATATGAATTGATTTATTTTTGGAGCTGTGACAGATGAGAAAACACAAACGTAGTCCTGCGTCACATCACCGATGAAGTTTGCTGTAACGTTAAAAATGCAGGAGAAGTCGTGTTGTGTGAGAGTGACGAAGTTTCCTCTAAATATGAAGAAGAAAAAACATTTTGTTGAGTTGAATTAAATTGTCTCTGCAGCTCGACTTCAACAAAGGAATCCTAAAACCAGAAAAGGAGTCGGAGCAGCCTGCCCAGCACAGCGCCCCTCAGGCCCGGCTGCCCCCTCTGATGCCCGAGCGAGACGGCAACAGAGAGAGAGACCGCAACAGAGACCGGGATCGCGAAAGGGACCGGGAACGGGAGCGAGGCAACGTCGCCGGGGTCGGGGGAGTGAGGGACCTGTGGGCGGAGCGGGAGCGCGAGATGGAGCGTCGGGAACGAGCCCGTGGCGAGCGGGAATGGGACCGGGATAAGATCAGGGAATTCGCGAGACCGGGAGAGGACGGACAACGATCCCGATCCAGAGACAGAGAGAGGAGGAGGAGGGAGAGGAACAAGAGCAAAGAGAGGAAGACGGAGAAGAAGGGTAACGAACTGCTGAATTTAAAAAACTGTTTCACTGAGTTTGTTTCTCTGTTTTCAAATTTCCTCTCGTTCTTATTTTGTGAACGACAGAAAAAGGAGACGAACCTCCTGCCAAACTTCTGGACGACTTGTTCCTGAAGACCAAAGCTGCTCCCTGTATCTACTGGCTCCCCCTGACCGAGGAGCAGGTTTGATCGTCTTTCTCTCCGTCTTAAGAACTTGTTAAAACTTCACGTTCTCCGGCTAAAATCTGCTTTCTGTCCACAAGGTGGCGCAGAGGCTCCTGGACCGCACGGAGCGGCAGAAGGAGCGCGAGCGACGACGCAAGGAGCAAGAGGAGGAGGACAAGAAGAAAGAGGAGGAGAAGAAGGAGAGGCTGAAGGTCCGGGAGAAGGACGGGAGCGCAGCGGCGAGCGGTGCGGCAGCAGGAGGAGGAGGAGGAGGAGGAGACAAACGAGGAGCCGACGGAGACAGAGAGAGGGAGCGCGGTCGAGACAGGGAGGGAGACAGGAGGAGGGACAGCGGCCACCGACCCAGACGGCCGTCAGCGGGCGCCGGAAATGGACGCCGCTCTCGTAGCCGTAGCAATCAGAGAGACAGACGCCGCTGAGGGAAAAATGAAGGGAAGAGAAGAAGATGAAGGAGAGGAGAGGAGAGGAGGAGGGGGCGTGGCCGAGGGGAGGAAACCGCAGACACAAAGACACATTTCTCTGTCCTCCTCTTGTGTCTGCTCCTCCCCGCCCGTCCCACCGCGCTCTCCGCTTTGACGCTGGCGTTGTCTTCCACACACTTCTGCCACCCAGCAGGTTTTCTTACAAGTCAAACCACGGTCCGTGTAGCGCCCTCTCTCCTGTCCTCTCCCTGATTTTGAAGTCCTCCTCCTCCTCCTCCTCCTCCTCCTCCTCCTCCTGGTCTCCGTAGTGCTGTTTGTTCTCCTGTGTGTCAGAAAAGAAGCAGAGAGGGTTCTGGTGGTTGTTTTTGTCCCTCTGAGGTTTCTGGGGGCCCGCCTCTTTATTTTAGTTCTGCGGGCGCACAGTTCCTTCCTCCTCTGAGCCCTGTAATAAACCCGTTCAAAATAGATCTCTGAACCTTCAGATATTTTCTAGGATCAGTTTCAGCGTTCGACTTTTCGGCACTGGCTGTATTTCTTTTTTTTTTTTTTTTTTTTTCAAATATTGTTGGACTTTAACTGAAGAGCTGTTAGTGACGTGTGGAAAGTTGCGTTTGTTTTTTAATCAGGAATCATTGTTTTTTTTTTTCAGCCTTGTTGTGTGAAGTCCCACCAAGTCACGACTCGAGTCTCAGCACTGTAACGTAGAAGAAGTGTGCGGCAGCCCGACTTTGTCCTCTAGAAATTAATTCTGCGATCATACGGGAAGCTGTCCTCCCCTGCACTGACCCTTCAATCAGATATATTTAAGAGGAGGTAACAGGAATTTACCTTCTGATAGAGTAATAGTTGCAATTTTAACGTTTAATTTTAATTATTTTAGTTGGAAACAGTGGATTTTTTTTTTTTTTTTTTTTTGCTTTCTTTTTTCTCCTCCTGTAAGTGCTGAATGTACCAAGAATTTAAAAAATGAATAAATTTAAATTGGTTAACAGATTGTCGACTTTGTTTCGTATTTGTTTCACACCCCCATCTTCTCCTCTCACTTCTTTCTGGTACTACATAGAAATCTCTTTCCCTAGCTAGGCTTCTGACTGGTTGAAGTGTCATTACATTGGCTTCTAGTCAGTTTTAGAATTGATTTTAAGATTTTATTTATTACTTTTAAGGCTGTATAACAGAACTTTTAATCCCCTATGAACCAGCCCGCACCTTGAGATCCTCGGGTGGGCGCCTCCTGGTCGTTCCAAAGCTGAGATTTGTAAGTAAAGGTGATGGGGCCTTTTCCATCAGGGACCCTTGACTTCCCCAATGAGATCAGGTGTGCAGAAACAGTCACTGCTTTTAAATCACGTCTTAAAACTCACTTTTATAGACCTGCTTTTATGTGATTTTGTCTTCTTTAAATCCTTTTACTTCTCTCAATGTTTTATAATAATCCCCTTGGTCTCAGGTTCCTGTGTTGGCCGGGTATCACGGGTTCTTATGATGTCCTCGTTTTAATGAGGTCTCAGCTCATGTGACACTTAAAAAGCTTTTATGTCTGAGTTTTAGTCTTATCTAGCCCCCCCCCCCCAAGTGTTCTCTTGTTTTCCTGCATGTTAAAGACCCGCTCCGATGAAAATCTTGTTTTTCTTATTTATATGTACATATGGCAATTTTTCTAAAGCTACAAAACATATCATGAGAAAACTAAATGCGAAATTGCTTGTGAATGTGTCCTCCTCCCCAAAACTAGGGGGTGATATGGGTCTTTTCAGTGGCGTTGTTTCCGGTTGACCCAACATCAACAGCAGGTCTGTGTCAGACGTAAGAAGTAGCTACAACTGCTGCTGGGCATTTTCAAGCGAGAAGATGGCGCATGCGTATATGCATTGTCTGATCATACTCCGACTACGCTAGTTACATGGTAGAGAAAATTGAATTCCAATCGCAGTATCCGGGTGTCTTAATCAGAGTTCTCAGACTCTAACGAATAATAGTCAAATTAAGGTGTTTACATGCGCTTCATTTGTCCGTTTTTAAGCAGAATAAGGTAATAATTGAGTGACATTTCATACGTAATTAAGCCAAACTCCGCCCCCAGAGCCCCACTATGCAAGCCACTGAGAAATAGAGAGGACGACCGCTGAAGAAGCGCGTGTTAGCATTAGCGGATTGCAACGTTCGTAAGAAAGCTAATTATGGTATTAGCTTTCATCGTGTCCCTTAAGACATCAGTGTGCGAGAGCTGAATATCTACTATCTATGTTACCTGCCACTTCTACTATACCGGCAATGCTAGGCTACAAGCTAGTGTGAAGATGAATGTGCAGAGCAGCGCTGTCTCCGCCTACGATTCAGAGGCGAATTGCTAATGAGCTACTGGAGCTCTGCAGAAGAAAAGCCCTTGACAATGATACAGGTAATGCGATTTTTGGTATAAACATCATAATCACAGTTTAAAGACCAAAGAACACTTTAAGTAGTAAAATAAAAACGATTGGAGTGGAACTTTAAAGCACTTTGTAAACTCAGGTTTTTTTTAAAGTTATTTATACTCGGTAGAGAAAGTCTGAGATCTCACAGAAACATGGAAAATATTTATTACAACATGCAGAAATTACAGTAATGTTTTTCCCCGAATTGTACAGATTCACGAAACAAATCTCTTACAGTAAAGTCAAATTTAAGTGCAAAATGTTTGCTAGCGGTAATATTTACAAAAACAGTTTAGCACAATCCCTTGTTCTTCTACAGCAAACAGTAGCCACATGGGTCAAAAAGCAGTAGTTTGTTTCCCGTTCCCTTATAACTATGGTACAGTAATAGTACAGGATGTACAGCAGGCAGTTCATGTGACAATAAGGACCGATCCGAATGAATCAGTGAAACGTCCTAATTACAGCAGTTTCATTTTAGAGGCGGAGCTAAAGAAAGCAACGTTAAGACCAGCTTCTCCGACGTCCACGGCTGCATCAGTGTGTGTTGTTGCTGTGAGGGGGAATGTTGTGTGAGGCGCACACTCTGCTCATGTGACAGGAGTGGCAGAGGAGATGAGAGTCCAGAGGGAAGCACTGCGAGCCGGGCTTATCGGAGAGCTGCTTGTGACACTCCTGAGGAGAAAGAGATAAAGACAGGAATGCAGTTGGTAAGAGAGGTCAGACATCCAGGCAGTGCAGAAAAAAAGGCAAAACAACTGCAACAAGTTTTTTTTTTTTCCTGAGCGAGGGGACTCACCTCACAGTGGTAGCACTCAAAGTGATAGTCCTTGTTCATGGACACGACCCTGAGGATCTCCTCACTGCCCTGAGACACAAAGACAGAGATTGATCGATGAGCTCTAAGACGAAAAAGTCAGAATTAAAGTCATAATGGATAAGAAGCCATGACAGGAGTTTCTTGATGTCTATGAAGTAGACTGAAATTCAGAGAGACGCCAATTTCTGATGCTCAAAAACAAACGAGACCATCAAGACAAGAGCAACACTTCTGTAATCTTAATTTTTGATGCCTGAAACCGGTGCGAGGAGGTAGATGTCAGCTGTTTCTACAATTTTTGACAAAAACGAAAAGAAGTTACACTTGTACTCACCTCAGCAGGTAAGATGGGTTGTAAACAGGCGGCACACTTAGGGGCAAAAGTCCTGCAAAGTTATAAACAAAAGGTAATTTAAAACACTGACATCCAGGATAACTTCCTCTCTGCTCTCTTTTAAAAAGGAGCACGTCAAGATGAGTCTCACTTGTTGTAGTCGGCCACGCAGTAGATGTTGCTGTGATGGTCCACAGTGAAAGGCACCCCATCCAGAGCCTTAGAGCAGCGCACACAGCGGAAACAGCCCGGATGGTACGAGTTCCCCAGAGCCTGCAGGATCTGAAAGGAAACCAGAATCGCAGGTTAGAATTTTTAAATTGTTAGAAATTAAGTCAAAACTTCTTTGGTGGCCATAAATCTGAAGCTGGATTAACACTGATGCCTTTTTATGTCACACTAAAACAAACAAGACAAAAAGAGATGATCGGTTTCACCACAGGGGACGCCAAAGTCACAGTTCCAAACAAGAGCTTTACGCAGAGGTTAGGTTTCGTTAAATATCTCTTTTTTTCGGTATCTCAACTTGGACAAATTGAGTAGCTTCTTCTTTAAGCTCTTAAGGTCCTTTCACACCGCGACCCTTTTTGTCACGCGATTATTTCGGACATCAATATTTTTTTTTGAAACTTGAATCCTGTCAATACAAGTGTTCACATCAGCGATGTTTTCCTGTCCTGCGATATTGCGGCATTTTTTTTTCGGATCATGGTAGATTTTTCTAAAGTTTGGCATACTGTGTGTCCACTTCTGACCAATCAGATTGCGTGTTGTTGCGACGTCAGATTCACCGGTATATCCAACATGGCCGACTGGCTGATTGTTTACATGTCGGAGAACAGAGTGCTTTTTGATAAAAAACACAAATATTACAAAGATAACGACCTGAAGGACAACATAGCGTCGGATCTCTCATATGACGATAGTTTTTGTGCTATAACAGTTTGCTAAACGTCCTTGTTTTAACGTAAACTAACGGTTTTTACCATATTTCCTAATTTCGCGTTCTATATTTGCGTCGGCCCTGGTGTGTTAGGACCTTTAGTTCTCAAGTAAAAAATGTTTCTTTAAATTAAATCGGCCTTCATTCATGGTCTAAGATTTCAAATCTTGCAACAAATTCATTTTTTTTCCCTTAAATCACCAGCAATCTTGAGCTTCCAATGACCTCAAACATGGATACGATTAAGTTTTTCAGATCGTGTACAACAAGATGGCTGTGTATCCCAGGCTGTATCTGAGTTTTCTATTTATATTTTGGGTGTTTTGAGGTTCAAATATGGTAAAAAGGTTTAAGCCGATCGCTCCCAGCCTTTATTTTTTTGTTGAAGAATAAACTCAGAGCAAACATTCCTCCAACAATCTGACATGGGAACCAGAAGAGGAGCCAACAGAAAAAGACGTCACTGCATTTTTTAATCCTCTGGGGGTTCTTAGAGGGCATTCTGGGAACTGACTACAAACCAGCAGCTTCACACACACATACACAAACACGCACACCGCCCTCACCTGTTCGAGTATAAGGTGGCCACACACACTACACTTCTCCGCAGCAGCCTGGAATCCCGAAAACTGTAATTAAAATAAGGAGATTACCATTAGAGGAAAATCAATCCTCTGACTCCAACATGTCTGAATGTTGTGTGTCTGTGTGTGTTTGAGGTGGATGACAAAACACACCCTGACCCCAACTCTTACCATGTAATCCTCTTTACAGTACACAGAGCCGTTGACATTGTAGAAGTCCTTGTTTCTCAGGGTGCGTCCTGCAGAGGGGAGGAAATGACTCAGCAAGATCAAAAATCTGGTATTTCTTTAAAGATCCTCATTAAATCAGAGAACAGAGCAAAGGAGTCATGAAGAAGAGGAACAAAAAGTTCAAGAATAAACTAAGATAAAAAGTCGTGACTGTGATTTTTTAAATGTCACAAGAAAAATCTGTCTGAGTCACAAAAGTCCTAAATAGAAGATGGATCAATTAAACTGAAATCACAACAACAGGATAAAAACTCTAGAAAAAAAGTCACAAAAGTTGTAAAGAGTCATAATAATGAGGCAGAAAAGGCATAAAAATACAAAAGAATTAGTTATAGAGAGAAGTGGTTGCAATAATGAATAGAAAAAGTCAGTGATCAGATAGTAAGGTCCGAATAAGAAAGAAAAAGTATAAAAAGTGAGACAGAAAAGATCATTAAGATAGGAAATCGCATTAATAGAATTTTTAAAAAGTTAGTAATGTAAGGAGGACAAAACTTAGAGATGGGAAAAGTTACAATAATGAGATGTAGAAATAAAAAGAAGAGTTCATATGTATGAATTAATGGAGCCACATGAATGAGATGGTGAGTCCGGATAATGAGATTTAAGGTCTTTACACACTGGGACCGTTTTTCCGTGCGATTATTTCAGACGTTAATATTTTTTTTTTTCAAACCCGTATCCTGTCAATACAAGCGTTCACATCGGCGACGTTTTCCCGTCTTGCGATGTTGCGGCATTTATTTTTTCATTTCGAATTTTCTAAAGTTTTGCATACTGTGTGTCCACTTCTGACCAATCAGATTTCATGTTGTCGGGACGTCAGATTAACTGGTATATCCAACATGTCCGAGCAGCTGATTGTTTACATATCGGAGAACAGAGTGATTTTGATAAAAAACATGAATATTACAAAGATAACGACCTGAAGGACAACTTGTGTAGAGTCATAGCGTCAGATTTCTCATATGACGATGTTTTGTGTGCTTTAACAGTTTGCTAAACGACTTTGTTTTAACGTTAGCTAACGGTTGTTACATAGTTTCGTGTGCTTATCTTATTGACCGTTTGGCTTGAGCGTGTGATGACGTTTCCAGCTTTTCTAGCCAATCAGAGGCGAAGGAGGCGGGACTTTCCCTGGCAAAAGTTTTCCCCGGGATACGTATTTTCCCCCTGGAAAGTCACAAAATCTCATCAAGCTTGATGTGTTTAGTCAGGCGCGTCAAAATTCGCCTCGGAATATTTCATACTTCCACGTTCTATATTCGTGTCGGCCCCGGTGTGTAAGGACCTTAAGTCACAATAATGAGAAAGAAACATAAATGACTGAGAAAGAAAAGTGTAAGAGATGAAAAGTTGTGATAATGGAACATAAAACTCACATTATTGAAGTGTTAAAGTAATTTTAAAAATGAAATAAAAACTTCTTTGGAGATAAAAAGTCAGAAATATTCAATTGAAGATCATAATTAAAGGATTTTTCGTCATAATGATGAGATGGAAAGCAGTCATTACGACATGAGAGGTTATAATTATGAGATCAGACGTCAGAGTAATGATAGAGAGCGTCATTAGAGCATCATAAACACAAGAGAAATGCTGAAAAATCCTCTTTTAAAGGCTGTTTGTGATTCAGTGATGACTGTTGTGTCTGCAGGCTGGGGTGGGGGAACTCACCACAGGACACGCAGGTGAAGCACCGTGTGTGATAGAGACTATCCAGAGCCTGGCAGGCATTATCCGCCCCGTACACGCCTTTCCCACACTTCACGCAGGTTCCTGCCAGACAACAGGGGGGCGAATAAAAAAACACACAAACACACATTTAGTGAAGAGTGATCGCTCAGCGGCTCTTAACACTTGGTTTACGACGCATTCCAAGAGGATGTGTCTGAAATCCAACTCCTCACTAAGTGTCAAAACTTGTAAATCCTCTCGTTCGCACCACCTAGGGGATTTTCACACAGTTAAAACCCCGGTTAGCCATGCCAGCCTGTTTGCTCATCCACACAAGTGTCTGCGCTCAGGCTCTGTTATTAAAGGGAAACTCCACCGGATCTGAGTCTTTGGCAGTCAGTCCACAAAACAGACGACTCTTTCTTCTGGAGTGCTTCACCTTAAGACTTTCCTTTAAATTTGACTGTAAAGCCCACAATTTGAGCAATTTGGAGATTAAAGGAGATAGTGATGTTCCCTCTTGATGTTAGGATGCTCCACTACCTCAGGGAAGGACCCAGAAATTAAATCAAAAACTTTTATCCAAGTTTGAGTTTTTTTCTACTCTACATTATGCTAAAGGACTCCTCTTCTGTTTCTGTAAAGTAAACAAGCGTGTCGCAGTAAAAATTAGCATCAGTTCGGGTTTTTCTGCTGCTCGGTTTCCCCTCTAACAAACTTCACTACAAGAGCTCTAAGTGTAAGGTGGAAAATTGGTGTGGTGGTCCGAGCCACTGCCTTTTTTTTTCCCCCTTCTTCCTGTGATCTATTTAAAGGGTCTGCCTACTGCGTATTTTCCTTTCTAATGTGGCCCAGGGAGTGCCACACAAACACAGAATTCCTACACTCTTGGACACTGGTTCGGATATTTAGGAACAAGCATCTCCGCCAAAGCCCGAACCAAAAAAGGATAAACACGGGGCTTTAAATTTTGCGCCTGGTAACTGCTACATATAGAAATATAACAGAGGGAACTGGTTTGAGTTCAACTTTGGACCTTTTTTCTTTCAAGGAAGAAACTTTTGAAGGTTGTTGACCTACAAAAGTTTGCTTCACATGCTTCTACTGAGAATTTCAGTGAATTTACGCGCTTAAAACTCATTCATTGTTTCATTTTTACTTTCTCTTTATTGGTACGTGACTGTGTGTGTGTGTGTGTGTGTTAACTGGTTTGAGAGCGTCTGCCTTCACGCCTCTCAGCCCCTGATTCCTCCTCTTAATGGCTGAGAGGAGTACAGTATTGTTTGTCCCCTGCGGGCACACATACCTGAGCAGAAAAACAGGCTGCAGCACACACCGCCTCTGCACACGCCAAGGCAGCATTACATACTCAACACACACACACACACGTATGACTCACACACGCTGCGTTATTGTGGCCTGAAGTCACTCTGGAGGGGGGGGGAACACACCCTTAATTCAACCAGGCACAGTTACACACTCCTGCCTGCCACACACACACAAACACAAAGATCCTGAGCCTTAATCTTGTGTGACTCATGGTAATGACCCGAGTTGTGTTTGTATGGAAGTGTGTAATTATTGTCTGAGTGTTAAAGCAGAATTTTGCAGTTTAATCACCGTGCAGTTATGCTGCATTAGCCTTTTAGGTGCAAAATGGTGTAACAAATAAGCATCGCCTTCAAACAGCTGACATCTCCCTTCCTCATGACCAAATATCTACCTGTCTGGATCTGAAGCCCGAGCGGTTTCTCCTTCCTCCTTTATGCTTTGCATGCGCCTACTCTGCATGTCTCTGCAGGTCATGATGCACCATCCATCCATACTCCGCTTTTAACTATTAATCCGTGCATCCATCCATACAACCCTTTCATTTTGAGAGAAACCTGTGATCTGACACCAGGCGGTCTGAGGACGGTAATAACACACTGGCGGCAGATGCTAGAATACCGCACATCAAAAGTGAAGCAGCAGAGATGTCTGATACCGCTTTACCGATACTGATTGGCCGATAAGGAGTATACATGGGGCCAACACCCATACCGGTACCAACATCGACTACCCTTTGCCGATTTGACCATCTGGTTTTAAATAGGTTATAAAAAAGGATCTCACCAAAGAATTCCTGGCGGTTCTCCGTGCCCTCCCTTCCGGTTCCTGGATCGTCCTGGGGTTTGCCTGGCCCCCCAGCTGAGCACGGCCCTATTGTTGTTGTGTTGGGTTTGGAGATGGCTGTCAGCGCCATAGATTGCTCCTTCAACATCAGGCCCTCCAGGAGCCCCCCACCTTCCAGCGCCGCATCTCTCAGGAGAAGTCTAGTGAGCTGTTCCTGGTACCAGGTGCCAGGCAGGTCTGAGTACCGGGCCCTGTCTCCCAGTACGACACCTTCTTTGGCCCTTGCTCCCGCTTGCTGCTCCTCCCACCACTCTGGTCCGGCCTGGTAGCACGCTGCTGCAGGACTTCCAACAGCAGGTGGGTAGGAGTGCCGGCTGTCGTAGGCACCTTGGCGCATCCCTCCATCCAGGTACTGAGTCCAGGCCTCTACAGGGGTCACTCCAGCCCTGCCTTGAGCGGCATAACCTGCAGCAGAGCCCCCTGTCTGCATGGAGGGGGACTGCTGCTGTGGAGGGAGGCCTCCAGAGGCAGAGTAGCGAGAGTCATAGCCCAGGCTGATGCCACTCGTCCGGTTGCTGCTGCAACGGCTTCCCATGGGGCTCCCACCTCCACCACCGCTGGCTGTGCTGGAGGCGAAGCTGGACCTGGGGCTGACCAGGACTGACTCCTGCAGACTGAATGAAGAGCATGGGCTCAGTGTTGGTCCTGGAGGGTAAAAGAAGCTTCCCCCTACGCCTCCTCCAGTCATATCTGATGTTCGATGTGGTGGATGAGAGAGGGATGCAGGCCTGGTGCTCTCCCAGAGTTCACTGCCATTGCTCAGGCGCTTGTAAAACAGAGCCTCCTGCAGGGAGAGGCGTTTGTGCCTCTCGGGTTCGGAGAGGTAGCCTGGTTCTGCTAGACCACCTCTGGGAGCCGACCCATAGCCAGTGGCAGCCGGGTACGGTGGGGGGACAGAGAGAGGAGGTGGTTGGGAGAGTAGCTGCTGCCGTCTGACCAGCTGTTGGAGCTCCAGTGAATAGCGGCGCTGATTAAGAGACCCCTTGGAGCCAAACACCCCTGAAGGATCACAGTCAGGGCCCAGGCCGGACTCTCGTCTCAAGTGAGAATCCACACCTTCACCCAGGTAACAGGAAGCTCTCTGCTGGGGGGAGCGACGCCTTAGTGGAGCCAGGGTGGAGGGGTGAAGCTGTTGCTCACCATCTTGAGGTACAGCACCCACAGAGGAGGAAGGAGGCGGTGGGGTGAGGAGCTGAGAGGGAGTCATTCCCATCCCTCCCCCTCCGCCACCTCCTCTTCCACTCACCGAAACACATGCATCACTTGTGGTTGCAGTAGCAAGCGAGAACTGGCTGGTTCTTGAAGGCGAGGCAGCTGCAGAGTTGGGAGCTGGTGGCAGACCGCTGCCCCCACTGCCGCCGCCTCCGGAGATGCCAGCATTGGCGTTGCTGTTATTAGAGTTGTTGGCAGAGTCCTGCTTTTTCTTTGAACTGTTGAATTTCACACTACCCGAGTCTGTTAGCTTTAACTTCTCCAACAACTTGCTTATCGGCCTGTCCATGATGAAGCCTTGTCGAGCGTTGTGCTTGTCTGGGCAAAGTCGGGTCCCTCTTTAAATTACAGATAAATGTGCTCAAATACAGTGTGGGTGGGTATACAGCAGAACAAAAAGTTTTCACTTAAACTCCTGACAACAAAATCAAAAACTGGCCTTGAAACTAGCACAAAAAAGGACCCTTTATGTACAGGCAATAAATACAAAACAGATAAATAAGACGTTTAAGACATCTCAGGGTGATTACATGACTTAAGTCCTCTGAGTCTTGCTCTCATGTGGAAATTTCACAGGAACAGGTTGGCTGTTGTGAGGAAGAATCCATTGGATTATCAGATTTTCAGTTCAAGTCAATCCAGCCAGGAAGCAAAGGAAACATACATCCAGGACACTACGGCGTGACCTATGGTCGGGGAGGGCCTCCTTTGTGGACCCTCATGTGGCTCCACATCTGCATCTTCTTCTCCGTTACTTGCACAGTCTCTCAAACACACCAGGGTTCAATATGTTAGAAATGTAGTCTTCCAGTGTGGCGTGGGGTGTCTCTCCGTTTCAATCCGCTTTCAAGAAACACAAAGCGGTGAGGTGCAGCGAGTTGCAGGCTATCACCGCTTCGTGTGGGTCCAGTGTAGACAAGAAAATAAATCCGTTTGTGTCCAGATAGTTGACTCACCCGTCTCCTGCCATTCATTTCAGGAAAAAAAAGGAAAACTCCGTTCACTCAAACTAACCTTTAACTTCTAACTCGATCAACAGAAAACAGACAATCGGCACCCGCTAGACTCCACAGTCTGTCCGTCCATCCGCCTGAGCTCGAAAGCTTTTATCTTTCCCGTTTTCAAAGAGAAGAAATCCTGTCCCGGATTCAGTGGAATAGTAGCGGAAAAGTTTGGTCGGAGGGGAGGATTTGAAGGGGAACCGGTGCGCCGTTACGCTTCCACCCAGCAGACCGGTGCTGGTTTAAACGAGTCACTCGAGATAAATAAAATCCCTCCCCGTGTGCGCTGCACGGTCGACAACTTTGTTTCTTTCTTTCTTCCCCCTAAATAATTACTTACCTCCCCCCTCTTTTTTACGGCTCTGTCATGTTCACTTTGTTTAAAGAAGGTACATCCGGTTGAAACCTTTCATGGACCATTTCTGCTCGTTAGAAAAGAACGATACAGCTTTTGTAACATCTTATTTGGACGCTACTTATTATATTCAACAAAACAATGTCGAAAGCAGCCTCGAAATTACGATTTTCTAGCTTTTCTTGACAACGCGGCAGAAATCTGTCTTTTATTTTGAAAGTACGAACACCGAGCGACCGTTAGTGTCGGTTCCGCTTGACTCATCACTCTGCCTTTATCAGTCAGCGGCGGCTCGTTTCCCCCACCGAGCCGGAACACCTTTCCTCCAGCCATTGCCTCTTTCGTCATTCATACGCAAAGTCCCTCAGGATGTGTCCACTACACCGTTTCCACAGTCAAATTTAGCTGAAAATAAAACAAAAAGAGAGCTCTTAGATATGTTTTTTTGACATTAAGAGTAGACCAGTAGTTTGACGAAATTGGCGGGACTTAAACCTAGTGTCCACCCACTCTCCTTCTTCGGAAGTGTTTAGTCACAGGAACTTCGACTAGCAAAATTCTTGTTTCCACAGTTTCTCCCCATGTAAACAAAGACATTAACTCACATAATAATATACCTATTAATACGTTATTTTTACCTCAAAATGTGCAGGACCTAATCTCTGTCATAACTTAGTTCTGAAACCAAACAAACTACAAAAATGGAAAGACAGACAACATTTAATGAGAGAAATTAGGTATAAAGAAGTTTTAAAAAATTACTAATTCTGCATTTTTTCATTTTTAAATAATGTATTCTGAGATATTTAAGTGTCAGCTTTGCCATACATTAGTGGTTCTCAACTGGTCACCCACATTTTCCCATGGTCCTTAAGTCACTTTTATAAAATTAAAACCAAGCTAATTTAGTTTTTATATAAAAAAAAAACCTTTAAAGACTCAAATCTTTTACATAAATACACCTTATTTTATTGAGTAAAGTGCATTTTAGAGTACATGAACTGTGGACGACAACTACTAAAGTTATCAACTAAATATCAAATATTAAATTGAACAAAATGGAGACCAGCAAAATGGTCATATTTAAAAGAACCTGAGGAGGACCATGCAGCAACATGGACAAAAGTGAATAAATATCAAATTGCACAAAATAAAGACAAAAAACATTTTTTTTGATTGGATGAAAAACTACAATTCTGATATGCAGTAGAGACAGTTTTTGTACAGCAGAACTGTAATCTTTTCTGTTCTGTCCATTTTGCACAATGTTATTTTCTAACTTTGCATGTTTTCATGTCATTACCTGGAAATCTCCCATTGCCTACCTAATTTGGAGATAACCTTTTTATAGCCTGACATGTCACACTATTTGGCAATAAATAGTGTTACAGTAAAGGATTAAAATATCATTTGCTGTCTGTGTTGAGCAAGGCCGGTGAAGAAACCACAGTCCTGTGCTTGGTCTTGATTTTGGGAATGGTTGCCTCAAATCTGGCGGATTCCATGATGGCACAAAGTTAAGTTTCAAGCACTAGAAAGATTATACTTTTGTTAAAATGTCTTGGAAAGTTTGTCTCTGGAGTACAAGAATAATAATCCTCAGGCAAATTGGAGAGCAGTAAGTTTTTCATTAATTGCCTGTTTTCATTTGGCAAACTTTCTAGTTCTGATCAGCAAGTTTTTGAAAATGATAGCTCAGCATTAGGTCGTCTAATGCTTATTAACATGTAATTATGTGGTTGAGAGTTGGCTCTGGCTTAAACAGTGTCAGGGATGACGACCGAAAGTTGGTCTGCTCATGTCGTTTGTTGTTGAATCAATGTAAAGACAGCTTTAAAGTTGGGAACTTGTACATCTACTTTCATATCTAATTTATAGCCTTCTCTAAATCATGTTTAGAGTTCTTCTGGCTCAAACGTAGGCGACTAGTTTGACATTTAAGAATTACAGACGTTATTATCTCAAAGAATTATACTGTTTAAAGAAGTATATTGGCCTGGTAGAATAAAGCAGTCAAATATTAGATGTTTCTTTCAAATACTTGCTCATAAAAGATTATATTTGCTGCAGTCAAATCTCAAAAAGCTGCGTCGTTGGGGCAACGGCGCTACTTAATTGTACCACCAGCCTGTGGAATGCGCGGAGGGACACAGCGGGGTGAGGCGGCTGGTGAATTTTTTCGGCGTGTCTGAGTTCACCAAGGAGGATACAGGGTAAACATCCCGCTACTATTTCAGGACCGACCGGCCTTTAGTCAACCCTAATTCCGGCCGTTTTGTGGCGGTTAACGGACACACCAAAACACACCAAGCGCTGATAAAAGTACCACAGTGTTTACTCGGGTGTGTTTGGATAGGCTTGTCGGCTTTCTGTGTGCCCCGGAGCCCCCTCTATACGGAGCCTTTCATGGCCCCTGCGGTTCACCGGAGTCCCTGCAGCAGACTCCAGCGTTTACCTCACAGGCTGCGAGTGGGAACTTGTCCGAAAAGCTAACATAGAAATTCTTCAGGGCTTAGTAGCGGAGCAGTTCATACGAAAACAATACTTTGAAGAGCTGCAAGAGCGCCTGAGTCCTGTCTGCGTTTCTGTTTCAGTGAATTATAGTCATATCAGCCGTATTTTCCTCCTCTGGCTCGGTGTAGCCTACATTTGTGTCATTATGTTAAGAAGGCAGACACGAATGTGAAAACTAGGCTTTTTTCAGTAGATTTATAGACATATTACCTGAGTTAAAGGGGCTTTTGTGTTAAATAGTTGTATAACCTATAGTTAGGGGATTATTCATTTAGGGTCAAACACACCGTAACCCCGGGTTAGACACCCCCTCAAGAGATGAATGTTGCCGACCGCTTGCTTCTCTAGTTATACCAACTTTAGTAACAACTGCACGATAGCAATACACAGCGGTCTGAGGAGCCATAAACAAACCTCAACCAAAACGCCACTCTATAGCCACAAATAATGCTCAGAACAGCACCTAACTTCATCAACAGTACATAAAGGGTCCCAGCCACCAAACATCTTTAACTTTGCCTAATTTCTTTTGAAAGAGACTAAACACAACTCATCTACTCTCTTCAAGCAGCCACTTGTTTGTAGTGAGACCTTGGGCCAGTTCATTACAGACTACAGCGGGGTGACACAGCTCAAGGAACAACAATTATGATCATTTCTTCATGGAAATGCAATCAGACCGAGAGGCTATGGCAGAAGAACTACCGCTTCTGTTGTGCAAAATGATTAAATATGAAGATTATTACTTCAAGGAAATGATAAAGTAATGATCATAAATGTTCTTCCTTGAGCTGCGTCACCCCGCTGCAGTCCATAATGGACTGGTCTCGCTACAAATAAGTGCCTGCTGGAAGAGAGTAGGTGAGTTGTGTTTAGTCTCTTTGCTGACGAAATTAAGCAAAGTTAAAACGATGCTTGGTGGCTGGGACTCTATATGTACTGTTGATGAAGTTAGGTGCTGTTCTAAGCATTGTGTTTGACCCTAAATGAATTTTACACTGGAATATCCCTTTAAGGGCGTATTACCAGTGGCTCCTGCAGGCATTGCTTCGAGTCCAAAGGTAGCTTTATAGCCAAGGAAGCTGGTTGAATCATGCTCCATCCTTCACTGGACCAGTAACTAAAATGCTAAGAATCAGTATTTGCTCTTCAGAATATAAGAAGTGGAAAGAAATTTTGTACTCGTGACTTCTCAGCCGGTAAAGTCAAATAGGCTGACCTCCCTAGGGTCCCAGGATATTGAGTGGGACTGAAAAACAACTGTAATCTTCCTTTTATAATAAATATCTAATTCATTATTGTAAATTTTGTGCAATTGTAAGTTTTAGATCAACTTGTGAATCAAAAATGTTATTTGATTATTCCTGCTAAAAATGTAGGCTATATGCATGAGGTCATTCCTCCAATCTAGAATGAATATTGTGAAGACTCTGCAACTACTACTACTCTAATTAGGGCTGTCACAATATAACAGAATAATCATCTTGATATCAATAAAAAATATTGGTATTCTGCTAAAAAAAAAAAAGCAAACAGTAATATCAGGAGTTCACAGTAGTCGTCTTTTAGTTAATTGCCATAATATCATAAAACCATGAAAATATCATCTGCATTAAAATATCACATCTGGCTGTAAAATGTTAAAACAACCTGCCAAACTGTAAAATCTGCTTAACCCTGATGACATCAACATGTCATCATTAGGGGGTTATTTTCTTTGACTTGACAAAGCTTGTCTATAGCCTCAGGAGACATTATATAACTGTTTTCAGAAGGTACTACTCATGTCTACTGAGCTGACTGACATATGAAATCACTAGAGTGCCCCTGTAGTAGAGGAAAACACTGATAGCTTCTTTCTACTTTTGGTGTTACTGTAAGTTAATGTGCTTCACTCATTTTCTTTAAACTGAGTAATTTTATATGTTAAATATGTTTGTTTCAGAGGGATTCCTGCTTTAAACACACTAATAAAATCAGTTTGAAAATTTAATAATAACCCAGGCTGAACTCTTTAGTTTGACAGCATTTTTTTAAATCAAATATTCACCGAATTAACAATAAATAAAGGGTTAAAAAGTAATTGTCATTCAAGGCTCTTACGAAGTATCTTCATCCCCACCTAGAGGTCGGCGCGAATTACTGCAAACAAAATGGCTGCCCCCGTGAGGACGTTGTGCTGTTCAGGTGAGGCAGAGGTTATTCACTCAGTCTGTAGAGTTTGAACCTTCATGAAACATTTAAAGTTGAATTATAAGTTTGTGAACACCTCTTTGCACCGGTCGCTTTTTCTGATGTTGTTTTTTGTTTAATTAACGCTCGAAAACGAAGCATGGGCTCCGAAGCTAATGCTAACACCACTCGATAAACATGTCAAGAAGGGTATTTATTGTCATTTTTGTGAAAGATTTGACTAGTAAACTCACCCGAAACACAGAGGGAGAATGAAGTGCATCATAAGTGGTCTCAAATATTAACTGTGGACAAGTATCTGTCTATAAAATCATAATAATGTGGTGAATGACTTGTCTTTTGCCTTTAGATGATATAAATGTGGTTTTGTTTGCTTTATTTGTGTCCCAGTATTGAGGTTCTCCAGCAGACAGTTCAGCACCACATGTGGAGTACAAGGTGGAAAAAAATGGAGACAAGAGTAAGTAGACAGGGTGGGTTTGGTTTCTAGGTGGTAGATGTCTTTATTATGAGATGCACCTAAACTTTAAATGCACTAAAACAGACAAAAACAGCTTCAACTTTGATGTTGTGCCGTTTGTCTACTCTATTGGAAATGTTTCATGTAGTCAGAAAAAGTAACATAGATTAAAAAAGAGGCATAAAAGAGTGAAATCAAGAAGTATCACCTTTATTTCAGACCTCGGGCCAGTCCATTACGGACTACAGCGGGTTGACGCAGCTCAAGGAAGAACATTGATGATAATTTCTTTATCATTTCCTTGACCTGGTTGTTCTTCTGCCTTAGCGTCTCGGTCTGATTGCATTTCCATGAAGAAATTATCATAAATGTTCTTCCTTGAGCTGTGTCACCCCGCAGCACTCCATAATGGACTGGCCTGAGGTCTCACTACAAACAAGCGGCAGTTGGAAGAGAGTAGGTGAGTTGTGATTAGTCTCTTTGATAAAGAAATTAGGCAAAGTTAAAAAAATGTTTAGTGGCTAGTACTATGGTTGGGACCATATATGTACTGTTGATGAAGTTAGGTGCTGTTCTGAGCATTATTTGTGTCTATAAAGTTGCGTTTTGGTTGAGGTTTGTTTATGGCTCCTCAGACCGCTGTGTATTGCTATCGTGCGGTCGTTACTAAAGTTGGTATAACTAGAGAAGCAAGCGGTTGGCAACATTCATCTCTCGACGGGGTGCCTAACTCGGTGTTGTGGTGTGTTTGACCCTAAATTAATTTCGCGCCGGAATATCCCTTGAGCAATATCAGGACAGAAAACTACCAAACTAAAATAATATCTACAAAAATCACTGATATTCAACATAAATCTGTGTGTAGAATATGAAAAGTGTAATGGGTTTTTACTAAACCATATGTTAGTAACTCACATAAGTGTGCTGCGTAAAATTGACCTCCTTTAACAGCTTATATTCAGGTGCCATTTCCTCCATGGTCATTGTCATTGCGAGATCTCTCATATTTGTTGCCTCTGTGTTTGTTTGCAGACATGGACTCGCCCGCAGTGGTACAGAATACGGCCCTCTGACTGATCTGCCTGACTGGTCTTATGCAGGTACTGAATTTCACTTCAATAAAGTTGTTGTTGTTCTTCTTCTTCTTCTTTTTAATGTCATATTCATCGGAAGTCATACTATGTACATTGCCAGCCACATCTGTTGTCACGTTTTTATTTCGGCACAGATGGAAGACCAGCGCCTCCACTGAAAGGACAAATAAGAAGAAAGCAGGAGAGAGAAGCTATAGCTGTGAGGATTGACACTTTCTTCTTTTGTCTGTGACTGTTTTTCTCTTTTTACTCCATTCTGCTTGACTCGTCTGTTACCCTTTTCTCACAGAGGCGTATCGTGATGCTGAACTCGGAGGTGGACAAAGGGATGGAGATGTGGAGGGAGAGACAGGAGGAGGCTAGACGAACAGAGGAGCACGAAAAGTCACTTTTACTGAAGCCTAAAGGGAGGCTGCTAATGGATAAAAAATCTCAAAGTTAGACCATTTTTTACTTTCCGTAGATGTCTGCAATAAATGTTTGTTTTCTTTGGATTTACAATGTGAAATTGTGTCTGTTGTCCTCTTTTTCGTTCAAAAAAAGTTCATATCCCTCTTCTTCCACCAGAATGCAGCATTTCTCCTCTCTCTGAGGCACCGTGAAGGCTCAAACGCCATTTTGTCTGGTGCCGGCCTCGGAAAAGTGAGGATTTTGGGGGTAGTGAGAGGAAAGGGAGGAGCGGGCAAACATAAAGCTGCTCTGAACCGGGACTGTGCTGTGTGTGTGTGTGTATATAAGAGAGAGAGAGAGTGAGGGGCTTACACCTTGGCTGATTGTGGCAAAGTTAGTTAAGTTTGGTCTGAGCTGCAATGAGTGAAAAGAATTCTCTGAATAATTTAGAGAATATGTTGTAAAAAAAATTAAGAATTAAATACAAGATTATAAAAATGGATCTTTTTAGCGCCTTATCGCTTCATTTTAGACGCCAGAGCAGCCGTAGAGTATGAAAGCTCTACAGTGGAGTCTGGAAAGATGATTAAGCAGCCAGCTCAGAGTTTCTTCCCACTGAAGCGATATTTCGATGGAGTTTTTGTGCCGCATCGAGATTTAATCAAGCTGCAGAGACACTTGACTGCAGCGTCCACTAAGTCTGCTGCAGCACAAACTCTTTCTGCATCTAAGAGGGGTTATTTTTTATCGTCCGTAAAACAAGGAATACGGTTGATTAACTGTAGAGGGACATTTGCAGCTGTGCCTTTTGTTAAGTCAGCACTAATTTCCAGTGATTTCAACCTATAAACAGACGACAAAATGAGGTAACCCTCTCCTCCTGCTTCTGCTCCCTCTCTCCTCACGTTTTTCTCTCTCTCCCCTCTTCCTCTCTCTTGTTGCAGACTTCAGCAAAGCCTCACTGTAATTAAGGCCGCTAGCCGCTGAGTTGCAGATTCTTTTCTGTGGAGAAGGCGAGTTGTCCCCCCCTCCTCCACTTCCCCCCGCCCTCTTTCTTCTTCTTCTTCTTTACCTAAATTTTCATACAGCTGACCAAAGGCGCAGACTTTGTGGTGTGTCAGAAGTGTGTGAGCACATAAAACAGGCCGCAGAGGGTGTTAAAGATAACAAATGCAGTTGTAAGAAATGCTGAAGTGGTTAATCGCACACACATCCTCACACCTGCACCTTCAAAGACCTCCAGCTGCACCTCCTCCTCCTCCTCCTCCTCCTTCACCACCACTGAGAAATGTAACTTCAGTCTTTTTCTTTTCACATCCTGCTTTTTCTGTGAATGTCTTTCTCCTCTCCTCGAAGACTCCTCCCATCTTCTCCCTTCCTCTCCACCTCCTCTCATGTTGTTTTGGTTTTGGGGAAATGAGAACCAGATGTTGCTTATTGTGCAGAAGTCAGCGATGGACTTGAGTGGGGGGGTGGGGGGGTTAAGGTGGGTGAAGGGAGCGTCAGTGAGGTCAGTCTGTCAGCATAGAGGATAATTAGCTGACATGCAGCTGTAGTTTCATCCGCAGACCGAAAACAAGGAGGAGGATGAGCAGACCCTCGCTGAAGAGTCGCAGGGTTGGGGAGTTATTAACGGGGGTTTGGAGGGGTCTGATTCAGCAAGTTGTTCCCAAAAACTGTTTCCTGATCTGGGTGTTCCTGGAGAATGGGGCGCCCTGGATAACATTTTTGAGAAAAACTACCCAGCCTGAACCGAACTCTGCTCAAAATGGCTTTTTTTTTAAGGAATCCTTGTATAGAAGTAAAAGTACTCATAGTTTATTTCAACGTAAGCAAACTTGAAGAACAACTCTAATACCATGAGAAAAATCTGATTCTTTAATTGAATTGTAAACTCACTGTCTTGAAAATGAACTGTTTATAGCTGTACTCGAAGAACTACTTAATTTAGTTTAGAAAGTTTGTCCATAATCCAACATGATGGTCAGAATTTAAACTAGATAGCTACATTTCCACCACAAACCTATCCTAGAAGGATAAACCAAAAACACCAACGAGCTGCCTATAAGACGTCACTTTTTCGAGGTGTCTCTCCTTTTCCAATTATTAAGACAAATATGCCAAAGCTAAGAGACGATCCCCTTAAATCAAATACGGTGACTGATTGGCCTAATGAAAGAAGGTCCCTGATTGGCCGGTGTGGCAGCGCTTACCACAACACCATAGGCCAGGCTTTATTGTTGAACTCATTTTTGGTCATTCATTTTTAACATTTCATCATGTTTTCACAAGCATACAACTCAAGAAAGTTTTAACCCTAATCATAACACCAAAGGCCTGCCTGGTGATACTTGACTTTTTAAGTGAAGCCCCGGCTGGGAATCGAACCCTTTACAATTTGACTCTTAGGCAGCGGCACTAACTAATCTTGACTTTTTTAAAAGACTTTAATCGAATTGTTTTATCCTTAAAGTTCTTCCCAAACTTCAGTATGAGAAACTAAATAATTCCCACCTCACACTGTGAAGTCCTGGCTGGGAATCAAACCATTTAAAATTTGACTGTTTAGCAGCAGCACTAACTGATCTTGACTTTTATTTTTATGTATCCTTAAAGTTCAAAAGTTCTTCCCAAACTTCAGTGTAAGTAAAAAAATAAAATAAAATTCACACCTCACATGGTGAAGCCCTGGCTGGGAATCGAACCATTTAAAATTTGACTCTTAGGCAGTGGGACTAACTAATCTTGACTTTCTTTAAACTTTAATTGAACTGTTTTAGTCTTAAAGTTAAAAAGTTCTTACCAAACTTCAATATGAGTTAAAAAAAATTCCCACCTCACACGGTAAAGCCCTGGCTGGGAATTGAACCATTTATGATTTGACTCTTAGGCAGCGGCACTAACTAATCTTGACTTTTATTTTTATTTATCCTTAAGGTTCAAAAGTTCTTACCAAACGTCAGTATGAGTTAAACCAAATAATTCCCACTTCACATGGTGAAGCCCTGGCTGGGAATTGAACCATTTATGATTTGACTCTGAGGCAGTGGCACTAACTAATCTTGAATTTTTTTAGACTTTAATCAAAATGTTTTATTCTTAAAGTTCAAAAGTTCTTCCCAAACTTCAGTATGAGTTAAAAAAGTAATTCCCACCTCACACGGTGAAGCTCTGGCTGGGAATCGAACCCTTTATCATCTCACTGTATGCAGCAGCACTCGCAGGCCTGCCTTGCTGCCATGCTTGTCCTTCAGTTTTGTCTAAGCGTTTTTATTTCTGCATCAAATGGAAAGCCCCTGGCAGGAATGTTAACTAAGGAACCATTTCACCAAAAGTCAGCATTCCAGTCCTCCACACTGCAGGCCTGCCTGGAAGTGCTTGACTGTGTGGGTCTATTTATTCCAGTGGGTTATTGTAGTATAAAAAGTTCAGCCCAGTCTTCAGTAACGAGAAAGTAATAAGTAACCAAAACCACCTTTCTTAGTACTGATCTTGAGTTGTGAAAACCACTTAAAAGTGCAAGACAGTGTTGCATAAATGGTACAAATATGTCACACTCCCACTTAAGTATGCCAACGAGGCACATGAATAATTATTTTCCAGCCCTTGAAGTCGGTCAGAGAGAGAAATAAAGAGAGAAAGGAAAAAAGTGCTGTTTGAGTTACAGTAGAAAATAAATGGTGCCATAATGTAGGTCACCCAAACAAAGTCTCAGGTTGAATTGCAAGCAGCTGGCCAGGCCACTTCCTGCCCGGTGTGGAGACAGAGTGCTGAGCTCGATGGTTGTTCCTGCACCGCCTACAATGACTGTACAAGTTCAGCAGTAAAATGGATGACAGAGACAGACGGAAAATGCCAAAAGTTTCATCTGTGTTAACGTCCGTGACCTGCGGGACAAGACTGGAGCAGCACTCCAAACAGACTCCCAGAATACTGCTTTTAAAAGGCCAAAAAATGAGCAGACGTCTCAGTCTGTTGAGTTTGATTTATAGTGCCGTCCAATCGCTGATCCAATTTGAATGAAACTCCAGTGTCACTTTTTCAGAGACAAAGACAGGGGTTCATGATTCATAGGAGCAGAAGATTCCCAACAGTTTCTAAGAAACATTCCTGAAAAGAGTTAACTTCTCTGTGTTTTGATCTAAAACACGTGTATACTGTTGTAGAGATTCCCCGCACTGGATGTTACGGAAGTCTTTCATCCTCCTCGGTACCCTTTGCCAAGAAACTCCTCTTTTTGTCAAAGAAGTTGTGAATGAATTCAAGTCAAGCAAAGTTTTCATCTGTGCAACAGGTTCAGTTTATCTATCTGTGATCCAGGGGAGCAGTGAAGTGGTTACTGTGCACGAGAGAGATCAACGTAGACGAATGGAAACACCAGGTGACACGGAGAGAGGCAGAGACAGTTTGTCGGTGGTGGCGGTGGAGGAGAGCGGACGAACAGATGTGAGCAGAGCAAAATAGAAAGAAAGAGGTCAGTCAGGTTTGTGGACAGTAGCCTTTAAGAAAAGTCACGATTTAAGCACGAAGAGAAGGAGATAAGCAAAGACTGCTTTGTCCACAGGGGGGCGCCAATGTTGACACAAATCAAAAGTTCCTCACACGTGTTTTAAAAAAACATCTTGGAGCAATTAAGTTGAATTTTGACCTGTTTTGACAGCCTGGTATAGAAACATCTGTTGGTCTTTATACTCATTTCTCTACATCCGTGTTGTTTTCATTAAGAGCTAAAAGTCGTGATAAGTTACGACTAACAGGTGGACGCATTGTCGGCTTAACTCCAGTGTTGGTTTCTAGAGTTTCTAGAGTGTTTCCAATATGGTGACCACCATCTTTGGGCCGTCCCTTGGTTGATCTACCAAGTGCTTCCAATATGGCGACCACCATCTTTGGGCCGTCTTTTGGTTGGTCTACCGAGTGTTTCCAATATGGAGACCACCATCTTTGGGCCATCTTTTGGTTGATCTAGCTAGTCAAATACCAAAACAATCGACAAACAAGGTAGCAAGAGGCAAACTTTTAATGAAAACACGGAAAACTTTACCGCTCTGTTCCTTTTGTATATATGTTACAATAACTTTGCCTAACTTTACCTCTCTTCTTCTTCTTTTGTCGAGAATTTGCTTACTACCTGGCATCCTGAAACATACTTAAACCTCTCTTCTTCACAGTTAAAGCAATACCATATACCTCCAAACTTTATCCAACATCATGTAAATAAACTTTTGTCTGTATTTATAAAACAAATCTTCTTAAACTGTATATAGCAGATTTTTATTTACACGAGACGTCTGGACAGACTTCAGGATATATACAGACCGACCAGATTTTCACTCATTGTCCTTTTTTATGGTGGTGCGTGTTAGTCCGGATCTTGCGGTCCGACCACTTTGTTGTTGTTTACTGCTGTAGTGTTATATTAACAGTATGTGAGGAGTTAAAACAGTAAGCATGAGGAAAAATGGAGGGAGGGAAGGGCCGAGAGAGAAAGAGCAAAAACAGAGCAGAGATACTTGTGGTGAGAAGGAGGAGTGGTTTCAGACTAAAGCCTCATAAAAGGAACAATTTTGCAGCGGGTGAGGAAATAAGGGAGAGGGAGGGAGAGGAGGGAGGGAGGAGGCTGGAAGGAGTTTTTACTGGGATAGAAATGTGTGGAAGGAAGAAATATCCCCCAATTGTGTTTACTCCTTTGTCTTTTGTCTTTCTCATGGTTTCATCTTGACTGATTTGAAGAGTAAAGAGTCAAAAGCTGAACGCACACATGCAGAGTCCAGCCGGGCTCAGTCGTGCACTTGAAGAAACACCAGATGCTCAGCTGGAAAGCTTCTCTCTGCAAATATGTGACCCTTCCATCATTTTTTCCGCTCGTTCCTCGGCACATGACTGCTGGCTCCGCGTCCAAAACAACCAGCAGAGGTGGTGTAACTGTATCCAGACCATCAGCTCCATCTGTGGCCCGCCTGAAGGCAAAAAGGAGCTTGAGCCTGGTCTGGAGGATTGGGAGGTGAACACACGAAGATGTCCCCTCATCGCAAATCACTTTTGTGTGTTTCTGCTTTGTTTTAATGGGTGGAGAAATTGTGTTTTTTATCGCTTAAAACTTAACTGTTACTACGGAAACGCCAGTTAAAAGTAAGAATGTGAAAATTATGAGATTTATAGAAGAATTTACAGTCATATCATTAAACTATTTGGCTTATAATCATAGTTATCAAAGTCGGGTATTTTTACAGTCTCAAGGTCAGGACTGATCTCTAATTCTTTTGCTCTGTGATTTTAGTTGTTGATGCTGTTATTAAAGTTATACTGCGTGTTAAAGGGATATTCTGGTGTAAAATTAAGTTAGGGACAAACACACCGTCCAGAGATGAATGTTGCCAACTGCTTGCTTCTCTAGTTATACCAACTTAAGTAATGACCGCAGGATATCAACACAGAGAGCCACGCGCTCAACCAAAACGCCACTCTATAGCCACAAATAATGCTCAGAACAGCACCTAACTTCATCAACAGTACATATAGGGTCACAGCCACCAAACATCTTTTTAGCTTTGCCTGATTTGTTGTTTCACACTACTCATCCTCTCTCTTCCAGCAGCCGCTTGTTTGTACAGAGACCTCTGGGCGAGTCCATCGAATGCAGCGGGGTGTCGCAGCTCAAGGAAGAACATTTATGATCATCTCTTCATGGAAATGCAATCAGACCGAGACGCTAAGGCAGAAGAACTACCACGTCTGCAGTGCAAAATGATTCATATGACAATTATTACTTAAAGGAAATGATAAAGAAATGATCATAAATGTTCTTCCTTGAGCTGCGGCACCCCGCAGCAGTCCGTAATGGACTTGCCTGAGGTCTCGCTTCAAACAAGCAGCTGCTGGAAGAGAGTAGGTGAGTTGTGTTTAGTCTCTTTGCTAAAGAAATCAGGCAAAGTTAAAAAGATGTTTGGTGGCTAGTGCTATGCTTAGGACCCTATATACTGTTGGTGAAGTTAGGTGCTGTTCCGAGCATTATTTGTGGCTATAGAGTGGCGTTTTGGTTTAGGTTTGTGTATGACTCCTCAGACCGCTGTGTATTGCTATCGTGCGGTCGTTACTAAAGTTGGTATAACTAGAGAAGCAAGCGGTCGGCAACATTCATCTCTCCATTCAGTGTCTAACTCAGTGTTACGGTGTGTTTGACCCTAACTTCATTTTACGCCAGAATATCCCTTTAATAATTAGTTTCTTCAGGATCCAAAGGTGATCTAGAGTGAAGAGTCAGCAGGTAAAAAGTCAGTATATCCTGTGAAAAAAAAAAAGTGAAAACAGCCAGAAAAAAATCTCATTCCATTTTATTGATATGATCATCATTATAAATATCATTACCATTATCATTGTTATTATTTAAATGAAATCACTTTTAGTTTTTGGTTTGTGTAGAAAATTAAAAAAACTAAACAATTGAGCACCATCAGAGTTTATAAATAGCATTGCTTGTTATTCTGTGCCGGGTCATTTTGAGACCAAAAACCCCCTGAACTCACATTTTCTGCCCTGATCTGATCGAATTCACCACAAACTGAGCGTAAACTGGAATTCATCTCCATCATCGTCACGTTATGCCTCTGTCCAGCAGGACTCCGAGTGACAATGTACAAAAACAAAAACAAAACAAAATATTATAACTTTAACAGGAGAACAATAATAACAATAACCATACTTATAATAACAATTTCCCATAAAAAAACGATAATTAAAAAAATTGCACCATAATGTTGGAAACTGTACCGCCTATTGACAAAAGCAGCAAAGATCAACAACAAACTGGAATGTTTTTAAGAGTTTTTCTCTCGTCTGACTGCTTACACTGAAGAGACTTATCCTTACACACTGAAATACAGCATCTTCATTATGTACCATGGGGAGCGTTTTCTCTAGTTTTAGCTAAAAACACCTTCATAACCTCACATTGAGTCCGACTTTAGCGGTCCAAAGTTCTTCCATAGTGGTACCATTTTAATCTTCGCTAAATGTGTTTTTTTTTTCAACATTGTGTCACTTTGGAAACACAGCTCTGTCTAGGTTATATATCCTAAAGTTGGGAAAATATTTGTGCTAAAGTTGAAGCGATTTCTTCGGAGATTGTAGCAGGATGTAAAGAATAGAAATATTAAAGATTTCGAACCTTCAGGACTGTCTTTGTTTTTAGATTTTAAAACAGGGGTACCTCTGAAAACCAACTTCAGTCCTGATTTAGCAAAACAAATCTGCATTTTTTTGAATCTATAAAAATAACATTTGACAGTCAGCTGATTATATTTATTGGTGTCGTGTTTCACTGATCGCTCATAAAATTAACCGATCAGTTTAGTTCTGTTTTCCTTCGCCTGTCTGTCTCACTTAAAGCCCCGCCCACAACACTTTCTGATTGCTGTAGGTGTAACTGTTCTGCTATCATAGACTGTATATAGAATGGACAGAGTCTGCCTCCTTGCTGGGTGAAGCTACTCTGAGAACAGCACCCTCTGTTGGCCGGCTGCAGTATAGGTCATAAATCCTGCCTCCACTAGCAAAGCTAATGGAGCTGTGGATTAACTTTAGAGATTTATTTGTTTTCTAAGACTGACACTTGATACAGCCTATGGGTGTACGAAGATTGCGTAGCTCAACCGGGGGATACGCTGTTTGAGCCGAGCATCATCACAGCAACTCTCCCGCCGAATGCGTACAACGCTACTGCGCAGCACTGGTTTCAGGAAGTGAAGAAAAATCCCAGAAATACTTCAAATCCGTATACTGGTGGGAGGCGAAACCAATTTGTCCATAGTATATACAGTCTATGGCTGTGACCTCCTGTGCAGTATGCTCTTAAGTTTCCTTTTTGATTAAAGCTCCAGTGAGGGACTTTCCCTTTGTGTCAATTTTGGCGCCCCCTGCAGACAGAGCTAACTTGTCCTCTACGTGCTTAAACAGCAAAAAAAATCCTACATGTTGCTAACATTCAACACTCAAATATCATTTGAGGTTTCTCTGCAGCGGCTCTGCTGACGCCTACCCCCTCGCACTATTTTCAGGCGTTAAAAATGTCAGGATAGGAATCATATTTTTGTTGCTGCTGGTTTTGTTTGCCTTTGTATATCATAAAAAAGCATCAGTATGAATTTCAGTGGATGTCAAAAAAATCCTCACAGGAGCTTTAAACCTTCATTAAAAGCCTTTAAGTTCAATTTTAACAGGAAAATGGTCATTTTCACTTTGAATGCAGAGATTCAAACCTGGTTATCAGTCTCATAAAACACGTTTGATCATTATTGGCCCAAAAAACGATCTCAGTCAACCCCTGGAGTCTTGAATGACCAGCAGACTAAAATCATCCTTGGAGTACCGCTTTTTAAGTACCTTATTCTTAGATTTGAGTTATTTCCGCTTGGACAGAATTACAACGATTACTCCTTCATAAAAGTGACCAAACTTTCCGAATTAAATCAGGAGGAATTTGAGAATGAAAACAAAAAATGCAACCAGACATTCAGCCGTGTCAGTTCAGCTGACACGTTTCAGCGAACACCGACAAAGTGTGCGCCTGATATCCAAAAAATATAAAAATACAGGAAATACTGGACCGGCAAATACCAATACTTTACCCACAGAATAGATGAAAGTCTGAACCTGTCACAATGAAATGATTTACCTACTCAAACAAAGATTTTCTGTCAGCCAATGTTTTCCCAGAGATGACGAATTTCGAGCGAGCCACAGGTTTCTAATCGTGGACATGAATCAGACAGCAGTTCAGCTGGAGTCGTCCAGTTAAAGAAGAGGAAGACAGGAGGGAGGGAAGTTGCTGATGAATGTGAGTCTTTGTAGAGATTTTTCGGTATGTTGTTGATCTCTGGACGCTGAACAGTACATGTAAATATTTAACATACAAATACACATTTTCCTGATTTCAGTTTCTAGGGCCTTTATCGCCTGTTTCTCTCATATGTGGCACATACAAACCACCCAAATTCACCCTCCCATCCCTCTTTTCCTGTCTTTTCTCCAGTTTCTCTCTCTTCTTCTTCCATTTTTTTTTCCTCCTCTCAGTTTCCATCTTCGCCCGGCCCTCGTTCTCCTCATTCTCCTCCCTCTCGTCTGCAGTCTGTCTGTCAATCACCCGTCGCTCTGTCTAAACCTTGTCCAGCAGAGATCTCTGGCAGTAGAGGAGGCGTCGAGGCGTGCCGTACTTCCTGAAGAACAAAAGCGCTCCCAGAGTGACCACGACCAGAACCAGCAGGAGGAGAGGGATCACCACGGCCGCCGGCCCCGCCCCGCTCTGCGCTTCGTCCACCTCGATGATGATCACCTCCTCTTCCCGACCCTTTTTGGGCTCCTCGCTGTCACAGCCCATCCAGTCGCTGAGCACAGATTTGGGGTAGCCGGACTCCACCTTCATGTACTGGTTGTTGAATTTCCAGTACTTGTTGGCTTTGTAGAAATATGTGTACGCTAGAAAAAGTAAAAAAAAAGGAAAAAAAAAATAGTTTAAGGTCGCTTTCGAAAGTCGCCACATTGTTGCATTTATCACTTGTTTCGGTTCTGCTTTCACTCTGTGATTTCTAAAGCGCACCGAACTTTCTGAGCAGCATCACGTGGTTGAAAGGGGCGCTCGTCGATTAGACAAAGTAGGAGGGGTATGTAACCTCACGGATTACAAACAGGGGTGGACTAGCCATCTTGTTTTGTGCTTCGTCACATTATTGCATGGAATGCTACAACGTTAGCGAACGCAACTGTTCCTATGATGCTAACGTAGCTTGTCAGGGATTGATCCTGTTATTTTTCTAACTTTGACGATCTAACACGTGACAACATATGAGCTCAGAGTTTAAGGACCGTGACTGTCGGTAGTTGTGATTTGATTTTGTTTAAATACGCCAAATTGTGAATTTATGGGTTATTGTTGTTCAGACAATTGAGCTAAGCTAGCTAGCAACTGCTAATGTCAGCGGTCACTTATTGCCATAGCAACAAGGAACCGAACAAACCGAACCAGGGTTCACTTGCAAGCGAACCGAGACCCACGTTTTCAGGCGGACCAGAGTTCGCTTGTTCGGTCCGCACCAGAGTTCGGATTAATTTTCACACTTGCCCAAACTAAGCGGACTATCCGAGGAAACGAACTCTGGTCCGGACCAAACAGCTCTAGTGTGAAAGCCACCAAAGTCTGATATTAAAAAAAGAATCATGAAAAAAATTCTTCACAGGAGCTTTAAAACAAAGAAAAACTTACATCCGTCTTCGCTCATGATGGCAGCTTTAATGTTTTCCGGCGCTCCGCTCCACATGCTAATAGGCTTTGGATAGCCGTTGTCCACGGTACGAGTCTGCTCATTAAAACGGTAATACCTGTAAATGAAGCAAAGGAATCAAATCACTGAAGATGTGGAGTTAAAAATAAAAACAAAAAGGGAACTTCGGGTGATTTATGTAGATGTCGAAGGCACAGCTGGCGTTACACCAGAGTTCATGACCTCAGTGTTGTTTCTTGTAACACTCTGAGGAAACATTTTTAATGAAGAGCAACACAGAAATGACAAATGCTGTTTTTTAGGACTCTTTTTAAACATCTTTCAGACTCTCTGTCTTCAAAACACTAGAAAAAACGGGAGGGGATGAAACCATTTCTTCTTCTTCCCTGTCAAACTTGCTGACTACATTCCCTAAAATGCAACCAGCTGGCGAGCTTGGACACAAATCTGTCAAATATTACACCCCTTAAATTTTCCAGTTTTCAGACTTGTAGTCACAGAAGTGAGACGAGAGCTAAGCTGGATCTAAAAACAGCTTTTAAAAAGACTTAAGTTGATTTCAGCGAGGTTCATCTAGATAGTTTGATAAACATCATCCTTTTTCTCTCTCTCTACTATCAGCTTCTGTTCTTTCCACTGATGAATAATCTAAATACTGGAAAAAATGCCCAGAAAAAGACGAAAAAGTTGAAATGTTTAATCAGGATTGAAAACAGGACGGGTGAGTCAGGGGAATGACATGAGGAACGCTACCTCCAAAACAAGTTCAGAGATAAGCTCTGGGAAGTTTGAGCTTTTACAAGTTATAACAAATGTACATAAAGTCGTTTGTTTTGGCTGAGAGGAAGGTGATTTTATCTACCACACATGAATGACTGATTCAGAAAAACCTCTTTGAAATCCAAAGATAACGTGTTTAAACCTGCTGAACCCAGATCAGATTTCTGTGACTTACTTTGTGCCTCTGAAGAAGTACGTCTGTCCTGTCGGGGTGTAAAAGAGAGCAGCATCGATTTTATCTTTAGGCAGACCGGTCCCGAGGTCTTTCAAGCTCTTGGGGGAGTCTTTGTCCATGGTGGACTCACTGAAGACCCAGTACCTGTCGCCTGGAGATGAAGAGGGTGAAAGATCAGAGAGGAGTCATGATAGGAAACACGTAAATCATCAGCCGGGCAGCTGTCATCTTTCAAAAACCTGGATTTAATCTGAGGTCACATTGGACCAACCTTTGAAGAAGACAAATTTCCCATCATCCCTCTCGTAGGCGGCGTTGATGTTTGAAGGCAGGCCCTTCCAGAAGTGACCGATGGTCATGGGGTAACCTGTCAACACTTTGTTGTTACGCACACGCCAGAACCACTTATCCTGCGGAGACACAGACGCAGAAACGTCAGAAATACAGAATCATCGAGATCAGACTGAACGAAACACAAAAATATTCAAGTTTTCTTTTTGTTTCCTTCAGATTTAATGAATCGGACAGAATAGTCATGCAATTATCCGTGTTTGAAAACTGTGAAACTTTGAGAAAACAGTTTAACTTGACAGATTTTTGATGACGGCTTTCATCAATAGTTGTCACCCCGGTTGTGTTTTTTACACTAATCAAATAAAAAAGGTGAGTTTTTGCATTTTACCTGCACAACTAAGTCACTACGTACAAAACTGAGCTCTGACAAACTGCTTCATATGCATTTATTTCTAGAAGGAATCAAATTTCAGGTTTTTTTTTAAGTATATTTTTTGGGTGTTAAATTAGGACAAGTCACATTTAAGTCATTTTTGAGAATTTCTCTTTCTTTTTTAAAATCACCTTTTTTAATTATTAACAAAAACCACGACTAAGCGAGCCAAACTTTTCTGTCTTTCAAACGCTAACTCTTTATGAGCCTCAACAGGCCTCGTCCCCCAAAGACATATTGACATGCCACAGCAGGTGAAGTTCAGGTGTAAATAACAAGATTAATGTGATGAAGCTGATTAACAGTCAGGTTTCTACTACATGTCGACTCCCTTAAATATTTCAGGACCTTGACTAATTACCTTAAATACGAACTTTTCCCCTCTCAGGATGGCAATGGTGTCGAAGTGTCCCTCGCAGATGTCTGGACCAACGCCAGGGTAGGAGGACTTTGTGGGTCGAGGTGCAGGAGGAGGAGGAGGAGCCCCGGACTTGGTTCCTGTTGGAGAGAAGTCGTGAGAAAGGTAAGTAAAACAGTTACTGGGGAGGAAGACGAATTTATGCATGTCAACAAGTGTTTATTATTTTGCTCTAGCTGTTGAAACATTCAAACGGGCTAAAAAAGTTCCTAAAGGAAGTTTTATTGTTTTTAAGGACTATTTCCTCTGTCTGAAGTGTCTGATTTACCACAAAGCCAAAGACTTTAGACAAGCTCCACCATCAAGATTCAAGATTAAGATTTTTGCGAATTGTCTCAACAATCAATAAATGGCACAATCATCAGTATTTTATGTCTTCTGTACTCGATATAACGGCAAAATATCAACAATTAGATTCAGCTGCATCTCCTTTTTATGATACATCAAATGTCTGCATGATAAACGTGAATTTGAAACCCGTCCAGGCATGAAAATGTCCATGATGTGCTTCAGTATTTCAAAGATCTCAACTAGACCACTGAGGCGGTACGCAGTCCTGTCTTTTATTTTCGTTTAATACTAAGATTATTTGGATGTTCTTTGTGACGCTAATATTTCTCAGAGGTCGGTAAAAGAGCGAACACCGCTGAAAATATGTCCGGTGAAATCTCGATTCACTTCGCAAATCAACCTACCGTAAATCGCCTGGATGCCTCTGCGATCATCGTCGGGCAGCTGGAAGTTTTCCGTCTCAAACCATTGGTAGATAGGCGCCATGATGGCGGAGGGGTCGTTGGAGTGCTCTAGACCCAGAGCGTGACCCAGTTCGTGGACAGCCACCAGGAAAACATCGTTACCTTCGGGAAAGAAGAGAAAGAATCAAGTTTCGTATTTGGTTTCCATCTACGATCTACGACACATCACGAACTCCTCTCTGTCTTACCCCCCTGGTCGACGGTGCCAGTTGTCCATGGCTCAGCAAGGTCAAAGTGCGTGTCTCCCCCGATACCGTTCCCAGGGAAGTAAGCATGAGCCAGGAAGCCGCCCTCGCCATCAAACGGCGTGCTATCACCGTGGAAACCATCGGCGAAAGAGAGCATGATGTCTGCAAACTTGTCGACCTTGTCTCTGATGTGGCTGTAGGGGATTTCTCTGAAGGTGAGCGGGATGGCGCTCTCCCAAACCTTGAAGGCTTTTCGGATGGCCTCATTCGTGGCTCGTTCGCCGATCTTCGGGGTGTAGTTCTGTATGCTGTTCAAACAGACGTCAGACAGGGAAACCATTAAGGAACCAAGAACGCCAAGCCAATTGTTTTCACATCGAACAACTTGGTGGTTAAAATAAAAGCCTGATCTCGATTAATCTCTAATCTTAGTCTTGGTTTTAGTGAATTAGAGTTAAAAACGCAAACCCGCCAATATTATGTAGATTTCTGGACTCTGAAACAAACTTTTCGAGTTTTGATTTCAATCTTAAAAAGCGTCAAACTTCATTTCAAGTTTAACAAATTCGGCAGGTGAAACTTTGGTCGTCTTTACCTGAATGTCACCTCAGACTTCTCCCACTTCAAACCCTGGACGGCGTATCTCTTCCTCCTCAGGTTGCTTTTTAACTCTGGGCCGAATTTGTCAGGGACGCCACATCGCGGCTTGCTCATCGCCCTGGAAAACAGAATAATTCAGCTCCTCTAAATGACAGAACTTTCTTTAGATAATAACCTCAACTTTCTGTTCACCAGGACTCACTCTAACGTGTTGCTGTCGATGGATCCGGTGACGGTCAAACCATAGAACCTCTGCATGGCTGATATGGCGGCTTCGATGGACTTTGGCGAGCGGATGGCCTGAGCTCGGACATCACCTGGAGGCAGGTATCCATACTGCTGCAACCATGCCTACAAGAAAGCGAAGGACAATAATTAAAACCATGTTGTTGTTGAGATTTTGATCAAAACTTAAATGTTTTAAAGACAAGACTTGAGAAAAAAATGTGTTAAAAGCAGAACAAACAGGGAGGGCTCCGTGTACGTGGCGGCCAACGGATTTTCGTCAGCCTCCCTACGATCAGTAAGGAATTGAAAAAACGGAAAACAAACCGTTTTTCGTTTTGTTAATAAAAATCGGAGATTGAAAAAACAACTCAGCATTTGACTTTCTGTGATGTGGCTTTAAACGGAAATCTACGATCAAAATTTGCGCGTCGAAATCTCATGTTTCAAGTTTTATTCACTTATTTGTTGCGACCGGAAGTTGTGACTCGGAGCGACTGAGCGAGAGGCTCCCGTTAGCACAGATACTAGCTACACCAGCGCGCTGTTGTGGCCCACTTAGCGACGTGCTTACATAGCCGCCATCTTGGTGAGGGCAACGTTCCCATTAAAGGCATTAGGCGTACATGGAAAACAAATATCCTGCTCGTTTCTCAATGGATTTTCACACGGTTTATTTTGATTAAAAATACACAAATAATGTTCTGTTTTGACGGCTCGTGTCCCGATTTTTGTTTTTTCATTAAGCTAAGTACACGGACCAGGGAGGTGAGTTCCTTTAGATTCGACTTTTAAAAGGTTTATATCAACTTGTGTCATTTTTTTTGTTTTGATGCTGTAACTTAAGTCGCACATTTTCACTTCGTTAGCCAAAAGTTTCACAACTTTCAAAGTTTTATACAAGTAACCCCGCTCTGTAAACTCTTTGAGATGTGCATAATGAGATAAGATATAAAAATACAACAACCTATAAAGTTAAAAACACTTTTTTTTCTTGTAATAATTAAATATTTTTGCACATCATGTTGTCTTTTCATGTGAATACAGACTGAGGACATGATGTAGATGACCTAAACTACAAAAATCCAGTTTTAAAGAATTGAATTTGTGATTTTCAGACATTAAAAGTAATTAAAGGACAGACTAAAAGATGTAAAAATATATATATAATAAAAAAAAAAAACAGAACCATTGACATTGTACCACTGGAGAAATGACTCCATAGCAGCTGTCCCATCTATCCGCCAAAGTACAAACATGTGACTGAGGCTTTTTTTGTACTCCGCTGTAACCGGGAGCTTTCCGACGAATCATTCACATCGACTGTGCAAGTCAGCTCCTGTGTCAGACGTGCCAGAAAACACACAAACACCACCTGAATACATCGCACAAAAAAGTCAGAGTAGACAAAAAAGACGGGGTTGGTCGCCAGCGTTGAAGCGTGGGTGTTTCACTTTCAGTCGTTTTTTTCAGAGCTTGTTTGAACCTGCGTCTGTCAGCCGTGATGTTTCACGCTGATCGTAGAGCAAATAAAGGAACTAAAGAGGTTGTGAGTGTGTGTTTGGGTTTTTTTTGTGTCCCACACTAAAGTAGCTAAAAATGCCACATTTATAGTCTTTTCTTATGCGACTGTGACATTATGAGGCTAATAAAGTCTTAGAAACCAACAGCGAATCCTCACATGCCCCTGTGATTTAGGCGAAATCTATTACGGGGGACTTTGTTGTGGGGTCATAAGGAGGGATGAGAGGGGAACTGAGAGCCAAATTAAACACAGGATCTGAAAACACTGATGTCATTTTAGCCACGGTGACCCAGAAGGCTGTCTAGACTATCACAGCCAAAGACAACTGGCGGTCATAAGGCTGGAAAAAAAAAAAAAAAGTCACATTTTCAGCAACATTTGGGTTCCTCTAAACTTGAATTTAAGATCCCCCTGCTTCTGTCTACGTCTGTCCTCCTCCTCCCTCTTTTTCTGTCGACCAAAACCACCACTATTTATCTTAACACATGAAACGAAAGTCTATTCTTTCCACTGCCCACTGCTGGTGGTCTCTTAAAGGAACAGTCCGCGAAATTCGCTCTACCGCCAACTTCTTGAATCGTGGTTATCCTGTCGGTTTTTGGTAAAATAACCAACGCTAGCAATCGTAGCTGACTCCAAGGTGACTGGTCCTAGTTTCCAAACATCCAAGACTTGTCTCTACTTCCCCTCCCCTCTTGTGTCGTCTTTAATCTATCTGAAATGTGTTTCCACTTATGTAACCACGCACACAAACTGAGTTAACACATGTCTTCATCTTCACCACGGGTTAAGTCGCTAGAATTGCCCTAAATTCCTTCGTTAGCGGCGTCATCGAAACCTCAGATATCTTTTATGTGCCGTTGGTTGCGCTGCTTTTCTCTTTAAGTCTTCCTCCGACAAGCGAAAGGAAAAGCACAGAGAGAGGGGGAGAGAGAGGGGAGGGAACAGCCCGAGCAGGTCTACCTGGCCTTGTGCTGGCTCGGCACACACAGCTACTGTTAGTCATGTGGTGGGCAGAGAGGCCAGGGAACAAGGTTCGCTTATGACGACCCACGGAGGCGACTCTTCCCCCCGTTTTTCCTCAACTCGACTCCAACCACCCTCATGAGTTCCCTGAGATTTATCCGGATTATTTGGGCATCTAGTTAATCTAATTAATCCCTAAACTGTCTGAGAGTCAATCAGGATCTAACAGCGATCAGATTTACTTCCTCCTCCTCTGCGCTGACTGCTGCTAGTGTTCCTGCGGCTCCGGCGTGGAGACGCGTCTGCTTCTATAAAAACACTCCCGCGAACAGTCTCCCCCCACACCGTTGAAGACCTCCACTTCTCTCCCTCCGCTCCGCACACCACCACCACCTCCGGTTACGACGCCAGGTATCCCAGCATGCACCCCTCCTCCCTGGATCTCCCAGCAGCCGCCATCAAAGCTTCTATTTATTGAAGCTCGTACATGGCTGGTATTGTTGGCCTCGGTGAAGCCGGGTAGCCAACTACACGGCCATGTGTGGTCAGAGAGGGGGGGGTTGGCTGCTGGTTTGGTAAACACACCCCTGAGTCTGTGTAGTGTGTTTGTGTGTGTGTGTGTGTGTGTGTGCAATGACGTGAGGTCTGAATATACATACAGCACCGACAAGCATGATGTAAAGTAGACGAGGAGGTCGTTTTCTGTGACCTTGCTGCGCTCAACCATCTGACGAAGAGGGTTATTTATTTGGCGATGTAATTTGAGAGTATTTGCAGCTTTTTCTTGAGTTAAATTCTTGTGGACTGAAATGATAGGAGTCTGAACTGTTGCCAGGACAGAATAGAGGCCTTGTGGAAACTCTGACGCTTATTTTTCACATTCAACAACATTTATAATCAATGTACAGAGAAAGTGACAGCAAATTTATACATCAGAATTCATATTTGCAGCTTTTAATTTGCAGATGTCTCATTACTTGCGGTACTTGTTGGATAAATACATAAAAGTAATGACAAAATATCAAACACTAGATTTATATAACTGTTTAAATAATCATCAGTTGCCGTTTTGAACTTGTAGTGTATCGCAAACAGAACAAGATCAAATTGATAAAAACTCCAGGGCTGTGCCAACTGTAGAGAAGACCCTGGGGCTAAAACAAGCTGCTGGGCCCCCATTAACCCCCCATTTCCCCCAAACTCTGTAAAACCTGTAAAATTCTCTTGAATACAATACCTCGGTTTAATGTTTGGAAGTCAAAAGTAAATCTTCAATAGGAGGAACTCTGGGTTTGCCGTTGTTTCAGTGCCTGTTTTTCTTGGCTAGTTTGGCTAATTTCTGGCGCACACTTATAAGCACAAAATTGCTCAAGCAAAAGCTCAAAAAGCCCGTTTTATCATCTCTTTAAGTTTCAGATGATAAACTAGGACTAAAGGTTTTTACACCGGGTCCGTTTTTTACGTGCGAACCCATATCCTGTCAATACAAGCGTTCACATCAGCAACGTTTTCCCGTCCTGCGATATTGCGGCATTTATTTTTTCGCATCACGGTTGATTTTTCTAAAGTTTCACATACTGTGTGTCCACTTCTGACCAATCAGATTGCATGTTGTTGTCAGATTCACCGGTATATCCAACATGTCCGACCGGCTGGTTGTTTTCGTGTCGGAGAACAGAGTGCTTTTTGATAAAAAAACACAAATATTACAAAGATAACAACCTGAAGGACAACTTGTGGAGAGTCATAGCGTCGGATTTCTCATATGACGATAGTTTATGTGTTTTAACAGTTTGCTAAACGTCTTTGTTTTAACTTTCATCTGTGCTAAGTAACTTTAGTTCGTAAGCTAACCTGTTCAGATACAACATACCATATGTATTTTCACTGTCTCAAACTCAATCACGTTGCTGTCACAGCACCGTTAGGTCTCGGTTGTTACCTTACGTTTATGGATTATAGTTTAATGTGCTTATCTGGTTCTGGCCCTGACTCAGTACATGCTATCATTACAGACAGACATCTTAACACTAGAGTCTAATCAGAACTGAAAAACAGTCAGTCTGCTGTTGATGAGCCCTTACACCTGGGACGCATCTTTTTTCTCCCCGGAAAGTCGCAAAATCGCATTTCGTTTAATGTGTATAGTCAGGCGCGTCAAAATTCACCTCCGAATATTTCGTAATTTCGTGTCGTATACTTGCGTCGTTCCCTGTGTGTAGGGACCTTTACTTGTTAAATCAGCTGATGCTAAAGCTAACAAAATGTAAACATACAGCTTTACTGCTTCTGCTAAGTTACCTTATTTGTACTGGACAATACAAAACCACTTTTTAGTGTCGATTGCGACAGGAATCACATACGTCATGTCTCAGGAAATGTGTTTGCAGCATATTGTCACATACGTTTGCTCACAGTCTTGTGAGCCTGAGCCATGATTTGTTTTCCGGATGCGCAATAAAAAAAAAAGAAGACGACCACAAGATCCTGTCAGTCATAAACAAAAAAATTCCCTCGTGCATTTATAGCTGCTGCGGTCACAAACAAAAGAATGACAACATTTTTATAGGAAGTGAAACTGTGTGACATCAATCATGTGGGTGTACGCAACAAAGAAAGCAGAAATTAAGTGGATGAGGCAGCTTGTGTTGAGAGATTTAAGTTTACAGCACTTTGCTCGCTTTGTATAGACTGTGTCCTGCAATTATGTGTCTGTTCAGCAAAGCTGGAGATTGTTTTTTGTGTACGATAACGCTGCCAAGTGTCCAAACACTATTTGCTTCAGGCTGCTTCTTGGAAAAGTTCATCATGAGTGTTTTTCTCCCGCCAGACAGTTTCGTTGGATCCCTAAATCAGACCAGTAGAGAGGGAAAAAATGGACAGAGGAGAGGGTAAATGATCTGCCGTGCAGAGTAACGTTAACAGGGGAGAGGTAAAGACATTAGGAGGAAGAGCGGTGAAAGAAAAGGAGGAGAGAGAGGTTAGAAGTATGGCCGCGTTTCAATCTGAGAGACTGAGTCAGTTGTTCCTCTCGCTCGGTGCCAACGGAAAAAAACTGGGGATCGGGCTCATGAGTGGTTGAATCTCACATCGCCTTCATTTCTTGGCGTCTCTGACCCAGTTAGCTCCCAGTCACACCAGTGGCATGCAGTATTTATGACTGCATTAACAGCTATAATGGGTCAAACAGGTCGTATAAAAGAGTAACTGGTGCATTAAAACGCGGCTGGAGAGAAACAGCAGTGATGATGAAAGCATAACACACAACACACCGCTTCTGCGTCAACAATTCAAAACAAACACAACAAAACGTGGCTGGTTATGTGCAAAGAAGTATTTCTAATTTTCGTCTTGATGAGGGTGACCATATTCTGACTTCCCAAGAAGAGGACATGACCACACGGGGGCGGAGTCTCAGAGTTGCACAAAGTTAATTTTAAGAGTTTTTCAGGTCGGATCGAGTGTCTTTTTATGCGCTTCTAACTCAGTATGTCCACGTGACACAAAAGCAAAACTCTCGTACAAAACCGTGGACATTTAAAGGGTTGTATAAACTTTCTCAGACAAAGCCGGACAAGCCTGGACAGCCCCCCAAAAAAGAGGACATGTCTGGGTAAAAGAAGACATACGGTCACTCTAGTCTAGATTTCTTCTCCATAACCAATCAGAGACAAATGTCATAGTCGAGCCATTATTGAGAAAGTGTGTAGATTATAAGTTGAAAAAGAATCAATACTGTAAATGGCAACATTAGCATTAGCATTAGCACTGTACCAGACATTCAGGGACTAAAACGGTACAAAATCTGCTGTCAGTGGACACAGGCCCTAACTTCCACAACTTTAACTACCGTATTTTTCGGGCGATAGGACACAGCGGGATAATGTGGCGCACTGTGAATTAACGTGTCTATGTTCAAACATAACGCGCATTAAGCAATGCCGTATTAATTGGTTTATTGTTGCTAGCGCGTCTCCGGGCCCAGGCTGCCTTACATTAATGCACCTCGACTTTAGACATTACAGTCAGGCAGTCTTGTAGACTGCTCAGGGGTCCTGTTATGGGGCTGATCAGGTAGTGACACAGCATACTGTAATAACCATTGAGAGGAGCGGCTTTGTCGCTTGTCAAAGCCGTACTTACACATTTTGACGGATTTTTGAGCGCATTGTTCCACATAAAATCAGTTAGTAAGCACAAGTAATCATACATAAGGCGCGTTGGATTATAAGGCGCACTGTCAATTTTTTAAAAAATTTAGGGATTTTAAGTGCGCCTTACAGTCCGAAAAAAACATAATCTTTTCTCAGTTTAAATACTTCATATTCAAGTTGACCTGCATTAAAGTGATACTTCAGTCCATATTAGTAGTGTTCAACTAGTACTGGTTTGTTAAAAGCCAATGCAGAAAGCCCATAAATAACACACAGTAACTGTTTATGATTTGACCTGCTGTCATTTAGGATGTAAGAAAAACATTTTACGATTAAGAGAAGACCAGGGCGACTCCGGGAATGGAAAATTTAGAGCAGGTGGTTGAGAGTAGCAGCTACAGTTAAGGCACGGGGCTCAAAAATAACATTTCTACCACCTTCCCAGAACTGTCCGGCAGCATATTTTTATGTTTGTGGACAGACTCAGTTACAAGCCAAACAGAAAATCTGTGAACAAACACATAAAAAGTTATAGCCTCATTCACTCCCATTGCTCATATGCCGTGTACCATTAATCAGGTGACTTGGAGCAACACTGATGAGGCTGCCTGCAGTGTCTAAAGACTTTTTTGTTTATTTTCTAATTGGCCTTTTGAACCCAGGCCCTGACTAACCAGCCTTTCTTGACTCCTGGTCATTTTCTTTATTAGGGCCCGAGCCGAGAACGCAGCTCTGCGGTGAAGCCCTATTGTAATCCAAGGGGTTCTCCATTATTATTATTATTATCATTCCACATCCAAAAACGCAAATTTGACCCCCTGAACAACCTCTAAAAATCGCAATGTATTCAAGTGACCCCAAAAAGCGATAAAAAATGGCTCGCTAGCGCCCCCTACAGAGCACCACGAACATCGACTTTTTCCGATCTGCCCCAAATTTCACAGGCACATTCATCTTAACAAGATCTTTGATTTTGCGTGCTTGGACTGTTCTCTCAGACACACGGTTAAAGAGTTATTCCGCTGTTTTCGGCCCATTTTGGCCATTTGCATATGTCACGCCAAAAGTATTGTTTTCATGTTGAATTTTCATGTTAATCCTCCCAGAAATAAAGCCGTTTACAAGCGTCAACTGTCTCAAATAATCCTACTAAAAATAAACCAAGTTACTTTCCACCACTGTCTGGGATCTTTTCAAAGATCTGTACAAGTCTGCACCTCTAACAGGTGGTCGGAAAAACCTTCAAACTCTGCAACATCTGGCCCTCAAGTTAAGCCTGATCAACCACCTGAGACAAAACGGAAAAATCCATCTATCTCCAAAACTTGCTCTCTCTTTTTGGTCTCCAGCATTAACAAGGACTGTGTCTCAGGAGTGTGTACAAAGATAAGCCTCCCTTTCCTCACTTGAAGTCCATCAGCTTCTCGTTAAGGCCGATCCAGCTGATTATTTTGACATTTCTTGAATGACTACCGCTGCACAGTGGAGACTCTTTCTTTTGATGCTCCCTCCACAGTCACTCAAGTCGAGATAAAAAGAGAAACGAAGCCAGATGTGTTTTGACCAGATCTGCATGGGATCAGCAGACATGTGTCTCCAGATGGCAACGGGAAATCTCAAACCAGATACGGAGAGATCCTGTTTTAGACGCCGGTGTTTTCTTTTCTGCCCACTTCCTTTGCTCACAAGGTCCGACTAAGCTTTTTATTTAAGCGAAGAAGGGTTAGACAAGGCAAAATAGAGGTGACTGGAAACAGATGCTGGAGGCCCTGAAGGAGCAGGTATCCTGAAGCACAGAAAAAGTTGTCAAGACAGAAGTCAAACAAGGATGTTCAGATATTGAGCAATGCTACCGACCACAAGAATCCCTCTTCTCTAACGAGGAGTTTCATCAACTTTAATTAACATTTGCGCCACTCGCTTGTTGTTCTGTCTCTGCATTCTCCAAACATGTCTCTCTTTAGATCATAGGGTTCACAAACACCCCTCCAGTGACGCAACCCTGACCCCATCATTAACTCTTATCCTCTTTCTGCATCAGGATTGAATTATGTGTCTGAAAGCATTGTATCGACAGCGTAGAGTCGGATAAAGTTTACTCAGGAGCAGACAGGACATGCACTCACAGTGGGTTATTACATTAGGGGTATTATCCTACATCTGCTTCAGACAAATCTCCTGCAAACAGTTTAATTTGCAGACATTCATCACTGCCCCGGTGAGTCCCGCCACAGGAGGGCCTCTTGTAAACTGTCTGTGAGTTATCCACCGCGTCTGGCTTGACTCACACGCCAGCCACTTGCGGTCAGTGACTAAGGTCCTCCTCTGTGCATCCTGTCCACGCAAACTACGGCAGAAGACTCTTGGGCAACTTCACCAGGTGAATTGACTTTTTTTTGCCTCATGAATTAATTTCCTGTGACAGCTGGAGCATCCTGTCTTACAGAGAAACTGCAGTACCTGAAAGTATTACTAACTCTGATGCAGTCAAAGTAAAAGAGGCGCCCGTTGGTGCTTGTTTGCAGTCGTTTACAAGGATGCGTGAGACTTAATCATGAAGTATGTTCCTCAGGTGAAGGTTAAACTGCACTTCATCGTCTCCAGGTTGGAGTTTAACAACCCGAGGCCTCATGTCTGGCTACTTTTGCAGCTTCAAGGCCTATACAGTCTACACACAAGCAGATGAAAACTATTAGCCCACTCCCTCCCCCTGTACCACCACCACCACTACCAACACCACCCCATTTTTTTTCTCCTTCTTCTACCCAGAACAAAGCATCTCAGCTGAGGTTTCTGTCCCCTCCTTCCAAAGCCACAAGAGTTCAGACTCATGACATTTTTTCCTCTCATCTCTTGTTACGGTTTGAACTCCTCTGAACAGCTTTCGGTGCAGAAAGGTCAGGAGTGTTTGGAGGAAGAGGAGTAAACACCAAGGGAACATAAACAATCCCTCTCTGGCTGTTCCAAGATGAAGGAAAATCTAGTAAACATTGGAGACACTTTGGACAGTAGAAAAGCAGGCTAAAAATGCACTGTAATACTTGTTTTTTTGCGACAGAACATTATAAATACACATCTTAGAAGAAACTTACATTGGAAAACTCACCAATTATGAGTTACAACAAGATATTACTTCAATTGTGACACATTAAAACCTCAATTGTGCCTATTTGCATTGATGTAATGACTTATTTTCATCCCATTGTACTTACCTCTGCTTTAAGTACATTTGCAGATACTGAGGTAAACCCAAAGCAGCAGAGACCACAGACCAGGGTGAGGAGCTGGAGCAGCATTCTTCTATCTGCAAACTTCCTCCTCCCGAAAAAAACAAGAGTTTTAAAAACACTAAATGTACACAGTTCCCGTCGTCCTGACTGCAAACGACGAGGAATGTAACAAATAGAACAATTCACCGACAAAAAAGTTCGGTGTTACTCCGCGAATTGTCAAAAAAAAGTGGCCAAAAAAACTTTTTTTTTCTTTCTCCGAGCTGCGTGCAGAATTTGACGGTGGAACGATCCTTTCAAAGTAAGAGCAGAAATGAAAACACCGAGAAAAACGCGAAACTCATGGAGCAACCGTGACAAATGCTCGGTTAGTGATCGTTATAGCTTCATAGTTTGGCCTCTTTTCGTCTCCTGGGTTTGTCTGTGGACGTGGTCAGAGAGAGAGAGAGAGAGAGAAGGAGAAAGAGAGAGAGATGGATTTTCCTCCGGGTCCTCCTCCACATGCACAGACGTCATTTTCTTTCATGGTTTACCAGATTTGTGTCTCATCCACTGATTACTCAGAGTAAAGACCAATCAATGCTTTAAAAAATGAGTGTGACAACTAAATTACACTCTTTCGTCAACTTTAAATACGTTTAATTAAAGGGATATTCAGGTGTAAAATTAATTTAGGGTCAAACACACCGTAACACCGAGTTAGACACCCCCTCGAGAGAACGCGGACCAGTCCATTATGGACTGCTGCGGGGTGACGCAGCTCAAGGAAGAACATTTATGATCATTACTTCATGGAAATGCAATCAGACAAAGACACCAAGGCAGAAGAACTACCGCTTCTGCAGTGCAAAATGATAAATATGGTGATTATTACTTAAAGGAAACGATAAAGAAATGATCATAAATGTTGTTCCTTGAGCTGTGTAACCCCGCCACAGTCCGTAATGGACTGGCCTGGGGTCTCGCTACAAACAAGCGGCTGCTGGAAGAGAGTAGGTGAGTTGTGTTTGGTCTTTTTGTTAAAGAAATTAGGCAAAGTTAAAAAGATGTTTGGTGGCTAGTGCTGTGGCCGGGACCCTATATATGATGTGTTTGACCCTAAATTAGTTTTACGCTGGAAAATCCCTTTAATGCATTGCTTAATAACACAATCATTCAAAGTATTTGTGTTATAATATTTTGTGTTAATTCTAAGATATGATGGGAATTTGTGACATGCCCAGTAGCTAAACCTACCAAATTACTGCACTTGCCTGCAGATGTACCGTTTCCCCCAGACTCACTGTGGCAAGAAGCATTTAGTGAACAAATGATGGAAAGTGTAGAACAGTCTTCAAGAACTTCATGTTCTCTTGGCATAGAGATACTTCGTTTTTTGGATGCAGGGGCATGTCTAGAAACTATTACCTGGGCTGAAACACTGACTTAAGCAGGGCTGACTAATCTTTTAATGCAATATAAACCAGTCAGAAGCAATGTAGACATGGCATGGACGTAAAGACATCAGTCTTAAGGTATAAATCAATGTTAAAAAGGGCAGAATTTTTTTTGCCGCACACATCATAACACTGAAGTCTCACCCTTGTCTTTTTCTGAAACTTGGCAGCCCTGATGTTATAGTGTAGGTGCACAGCATGGACCTGGTGGGGTTATACTGGGGCAATTTGCCCTGCCTTTGATCATCCTTCAGAGGTGGTAGCAGAGGCGCAATGGGGAATATGGTGGCGAGATGTGCCTCTAGTGCTTTTGCAGCTTTATTACAGCGCTGATAACAACATATTATTGTCTGTTAGATTTCAAGGGGGCCCATGCTACCCCTGGCCACCATTTTAGACACACCCCTGATTATTGAGGGTTCTTGTCTGGTGGTTATTCACAAAGAGCAGTTTCAGTGGCTCCCCAATATAACTTCTGACAGAACTGAAGGGATTTTAAAATGCTTTGATTAACAATATAATAAATTGTGAATGTATAATTGAATTTTCATACATATTTACGTGTGGCAAAGGTATAATAATTCGATTATAAATCAAATTAAATACAGTTGAATGAGAAAAAGAGTCTGTTTTTGTAATGAAGTTCCCTGAGTTTTGTGAATCAACTTGAGCTGCAATTTTGTGCGACGCCACACTGACCCCTTGTGTTTGAAGAGAAGCACTTCACCCTATCTTCATTAAAAGAATTCCTACCATAAATGTCGTCGAAATAAGTAGTTTATTTCTCCTGTAAACTACTCAAATCCATTAAAAATCACGATGTATAGTGGGAAGAAAACGCGCAGTTAAGTTTCTGAATGAATGTTGAACACTTAGGCCCCGCCCCCCCTTCGTCACGAGCGAAAATACACGGAAGTGGGTCTGAACTTGTCAACAAGAAAGGCCGACTGACATGGTAACGTACTCGTCTTCTTCGCTTTTTAAATGTCATTTTATCACATTATTACCGCCTCTTAGCCACATATTATAGTTTGTTTAGGTAGTTAACTCTTCTATAAGGTACTTGACGGTATTTTTTTGCGGTGTCGCCACCTGAAAAAACGCGTTTTAACGAAGACAGAAGTGAGGATATTAGCGTTAGCAGCTAGCTCGACAGGATGCTAACTATTAAAGCTCTTGTGACTGAAGAGGGTGAGCAGCTGCTCCCTCAAAACGAAACTATCCCACAGCCTTATCTCTACTTACAGGCGACTGAGTTTGACATGTGAAGACTAAAACAAGATATCCTGGTAGTTTTATGTAGCTGGGGATGAAAGAAAAGACTTAAAAACGGCGCTTTTGTCGGGGGTTTATTCTCGGAAATGGTAGTGTTTCTGGCGTCATTGTGAGAGGATTAGAGGAAGGAAATCGCGGTTTGTGTGTGTGTTCGTGTTCGTGTGCGTGTGTGTGTGTGCAAGATCAAAATAAGGTCCACATCAACAGGCCCTGCTTATAATTCCCGTGTATTGTCTTTGTCAGGAAACAACAATGAAGGGTTTATTCTGTTCACTGCAGACTTATTACCCAAAAGTAAAAACATTAATGACTCAATCAGTTGGTTTACAATCCTCAATCTTTTTAATAAGACCTTAGAAAGTTCAGATTAGGGTGGAAATAAATCCCAATTTAAGTTCCACAGACATAAATCAAAAGAGTTATAGGAATCAAGCTGATATGTTGGAAAAAGTTGCGATCATAACCCTGAATGTCCATTTCAAGACACGTTGACAGAGGTGGGGGCTTGACGACTCGACTCAAGACTCGACTTTGACTTGAGTCCCGTTTTTGACTTGCTTGATGAAATCAAGAAACGATTTGGACTCACTTGGGACTTGATTGCTAAAGACTTGAGACTTGACCTGAGCCCAGTGACTTGAAAAGTCAAGTCAAGTCTTTTCAAGTCATTTAATACCTTACAACAAGCCCAAACCGTTTAAAAAGTGTCGCATCAACTGATAGTCAGAAATTACGGCCGTTGGTAACACTGTGTTGTGTTGCCAAGTCTGCTTATTTCCTGCAAAAATTTTGCTTGTTTCTGGAGGTCTGTTTCCTTATTTCTCTCACGAAACTTGGCAACGCTGTCTCAAACTCTAGCCTCCCTCATGACGACAACACCGGGAGGACTGAACATATATCGCTCTGTAAGGACTTGATTGGGACTCGAAACAAAAAGTTCAGGACTTGGACTTGACTTGGGACTTGTCTGTGTTGACTTGGACTTGACTCGAGTCTTGAGAGCAAAGACTTGAGACTCGACTTGGACTTGCAACATAACATAAACAACATGCGTTTGTTTGTGTCAGTGTTTTAACTGTGTGCCCTCTTTGTCATCTAAAGTGCTCCTGTTCTCACATTGCTGTGTATTTGGTGAATAGAAGCTGCTGCTAATTAGAGACGTAACCATATGAAAATTTAACATCACCATTATTGTGACCAAACTTATCCCGGTTATCAGTATTATCATGGTATTGTTGAAATATGTTCACAATGTTTAAAAAGTACTTATAAACACCCTGAAATCATTTAACAAAGTTTTATTTTGAAAAAACAATCAAAATAACACGCAGAATGAACTTTTCCTGAATGTTAAATAACAGGGGAACGATAAGCTTAAAAAAAACAAAGATGGGGCCTTAAAAGAGCCAGAGGTAATCAACACTAGCACTAGTAATAACAATGTAATGTGCCAGTGGCATAAACATAATAACAAATAGATAAAATGTAAATAAAATGACATTCATTATTGTGCAAATTGTAGGAGTCTTCAGTGCTCAAAAATGTCTACTCTTACAAATATAAAACAATACAACATGTAAACAAATATGTAGTGCAGGTCTTTAAAATAACATAAAATATGTAAACTATTAAAATGAACCACACCGATTGTCTGTTTTCTCCATCATAAGGTGCTGCTGACTTTGTTTACTACTTGTGACTGAAATTTTAAAATATCAGCATATTTACTTTCTTGTTTGAGCCGTGATCTGCGAGGGGAAACTGTGAGCCCGCTGGCACTGAATATTCACTCGGATGGCACGCTGGTTGCTGCGATGCACAAACGCTTCCTGGCAACCCTCGCAACAATAAAAAAACATTCAAGTTTACTAAAGTGCTGCACAATAAATTAAAAGAACAGACACTAAAGAAAACATCAAGAGGAAATAAATAAAACAGGTAAAAAATAAATAAATAAATGAAATAAAAACACCAAAGGCATAAAAGACATAAAAGGACAGAGATCACACAGCTTTCATGCTGAGCTAAAAGCCGAGGAATAAAAATGAGTTTTAAGACGTGATCTTTGATTTATGATCAATCTTTGTTTCCTTCTCTTCACAGGGGAAGTCTTCCTGAACAAATCTACAAAAATGGCTCCTTTCTGATCATTTTTTTTACCCCGTCAAGCCCTCAGTTTTTAACTTTATTTCCTGCATCTCAGAGGAGAGGCGTTTCCACCATGACCGTCACTTACAACCTCTGCGCCCTTTTAGTTTTCACTTTAACAGGTGAGTGAATACGCTGTTATATCAGTGCGTGTTGATCTTTGAGCTCTGAGTGTATCAAGCTGAGGTTTGTTGACATTTGTCATGTCGGAGAGCTTTCATGATCTGTGAAACACCGGCCTGACTCGCTCTGTTATCTTTTTTTTTATTCGCAGTGTGCAGCCGCCTCGAGCCCGCCCTCTGCTCTGGTAAGGAGACAAACTAATCAGCTCTTTATTTTATGTTACGACTGTGGATATACGACTGTGCACTATTCTAACTTCAACCCTCTTCCCTCTTGCCTCGTTGCGTCTTAGCCCGCTGTGGACACACCCTCCAGGTCTTGGACAGTAAAGTGGGAGAGATCAGGAGTTCTGCTTACCACAGCTGGTCCTACCGCTTTGGCTCCACTTACGACTGCTGGATCATCAAGGGGGAGGAGGGAGAACCCATCATCTTAAGGTAAGGACATCATAATTACAATCATTTGGCTCAAGCTTGATTTTGACTCGGGATAAAAACACTGCATTGGGCTGAACGTCTCGAAGGTATCCTGACAAGAATAGACAATCACAGAGAGACTTAGGATCAGGAACAGGTTAGATTTACTCGTGTCGCTGTATTGGATGATGTCACCTGAGAACAAAGTGGACTAACTTGTCGTGGAGGAGAAGATTAACACGCTCAAAGTCAAATCACAGCAAGACAAGGAGAAAAATCCACACGCAGACAAACAGCTTTTAAAAAATCAGAGACTTGTTTCCAACCAAGTTCAGGTAGGCGACGAGCTGCAACGTGATTTTCGTCGGCTTGAGCTGTTCCGCCAGCGGGACAACCTGCGTACATTGGCCTCTATGCAGAGTTGGCACCGTTTACCTAGAGCCACATAGTTATGTAACAGGATGGGTGTAGTGTCAACAAAATCACCGCACACATTAAGAGCCTCCTGTTAGTTGTACTACGAGTTTTAGTTTGGGAAAAAGTACTTTAACAGATCTGTGGGGTCACCCCCAACCATAACAAGCAAATGTAAGAATTCATGAGTTCAAGTAAATTTCAAATCATGTACTTTTGCTTTTATTTAATCAAAGTGGCTCTCGTTCTCCATAACCGGGAATAGCAACAGCAGTGCGGTTATATCTACTCGGCATCCTCGCTGTCAACGTTGGGTGTTAAATAAGGGACCATCAATAAACTACTAGTTGATGATCTCAAAAAAGGCTGTTTTCCTTCAATAACTTCCATGTCACGTGACCAATTGACCTAAAATTGATTTCAAATAATAACACTAAGGTCGGACGATAAGACACAACTCTTTATTTCCCGAATTTGTCCTCTAAACAAATTTTGTGTTAAATTTGTTGGCAAATTTTGAACATTTCCTTCAATAGCTTCCATGTCATGTGACCAAAAGACCTTAAATTGATTTCAAATAATAGTACTTATGTCGACCAATAAGACAAACAGTATTTGATCAGTTTTTATTGCGTCCCTTAAGTTCTTTGTAGGGATGGGAATCAAGAACTGGTTCCAAATGGTTCAATCCATCGACATTGTTTACACTTCATTTTAACGATTCCCTTAACGATTCCTTTCTTCCGGGTGCTTTGGAAAACAGTTTTGTGAGAGAAGAACAGAGACTTTGAGGAAAACAAAATGGTAGATGGAACGAAAAGTAGGCAGAAACCATCTAAAGTGTGGCTTCATTTTACTAAGAGAGACGACAACAAGTTTTGAGTTTGTGTAGCGTGGACTGAGTTAGAAGCGTGTAAAAAACACTCAACCCGACCAGAAAAACCCTCAAAATTTTGCGCGGGACTCCACCCTGTGTAGCCGTGTCCTCTTTTTGGAGATCCAGAATATGGTCACCCTGATTTGACTTAATACCAACCAAAGTAACTGCTGTACGAATAGTTTGGCGTTCGATTGTTTTTAGACTCTCACTGAAGGTGGCATACGTCTTTTTCTGTTATCAAAGACTCAATACAACTTTGAGTTAACATTGAAAACTTATAGTCTATTTTTTTAAAATCAAAGAAAGGCATCAATAAGGGAATCGTTAAAGAATTGAATCAATAATCAGAATCTTTAATGGCATTGATATCGATAAAGTCTTATCAATTCCCCTCCCTAGTTCTTTGTGTGCTCCTTACTTTTTTAACTTCGGAGCACCTTGTGAAAAAAGTTTGTGTAAAGCCCTGTGTTTTATTGTCTCTAACTTTATTGATCGATCTTCTCCTCAGCTTCTCCCAGTTCTCGGCTCGCTGCAGGAAGGAATGGGTGACGATAAAATCCTCGGCTGGCGGAGAGCCCATCGTCCTCTGCGGCTCCAAGCTGCCGCAGCCAATCGAGTTCCCGGGGGGGAACATTTCAGTGACGCACCACTTCCTCCCTCATCAGTTCCCCGTGTCATCTTTTCTGCTGAACTACGCCAGAGGTTTGAAATCCTGATGTTTTTTTTCTTAGAGTAAAATCTTTAAAGATTGAATTAAACTTTAAAAAGTTTCCCCTCTTCTCTGCAGACACTGGTGAGTGCCCGGTTACATCGTTCGAGTGCCTCGGGGGCCGCTGCCTGCCCCTCTCTTGGCGCTGTAACGGTCAGGTGGAGTGTCTAAACGAAGGCGCCGGCCTCGGGACAGACGAGCAGGGCTGTGACACGGAAAAAGACACAACAGAACCCTTTAGTAAATACGGCGACACAGAAGTGGACGACGCCAGAGCCGAGCTGAACACGGTGAGGAACTACGACAGAGACTCAGAGAGGAGTAAACCCGCAGGCTTCGATTCCGAGTCCGATCTGTGGTCACTGCTAGGAGATCGGAAGGAGGAGAAGGCGCAGGTGGATCGAGAGCAGCCCCAGACTCACAGGGAGCCGGTGGTGACGCCTGCTCCCATCGAATGGCCCTGCGGTGGGCTCCTCCAGAACTTCTACGGGACTTTCTCCCCTCCGGCCATCCGCGGCCCCGCCATGTTCTGCGTTTGGACTCTAGACCCGCAAGACTCGAGGCCCCTGAGGTTGGACCTGCAGCAGCTGGTTTTAGGGCCCGGGGATCGACTCACAGTGTACAACAGAGAGCAGGGGAAAGGAGACATCATCAAGATCGTGAGTTTCAGTTCCACCAGAAATCAGCAGATATTTGAGTAAATTAACCCGCCAAAGTCAGAAATGTCACGTTAGTCAAAGCTGCTAAAATCCCCAAAAACGGCGTCGCTCCACATTTTTTAAATCACGCTAATGTCTGACAGTTTCTCGGTTAAAAAAAAAACTGGTTTGGTAACATCGTGTCCACTCCCCTCATTTCAACAGATCACCAGCACCTCCAACTACAAGTCAGTCCAGGTTGAATCCCACACCGGTCTGCTCTCCATGACTTACGAGACCCTCCCGGGCTCCGAAGGCAGCGGCTTCAACGCCACCTTCCACGTCGGGACCTACTGCCCCCCCTGGGAGGGCCGCTGCGGAGGAGCGGCGGGAGGTTGCTTCACCCAGGAGCAGCGCTGCGACGGGAAGTGGGACTGCCCGGAGACGGGGAAGGACGAGGAGGGATGCAGGGGCTGCAGCCTGAACCAGTTCGCCTGCGGGCTCGCGGGGCAGAGGGCGATGGCGTCCAGCCACTTCGCAGGCAGACCGGTTTGCTACCCCGTCTCAGAGAGATGCAACTACCAGCTGTACTGCGCTGACGGCAGCGACGAGAGGGACTGTACGGTGTGTCAGCCGGGAACCTTTCATTGTGACAGCGACAGGTTAGTGTGTTTTTTCATTCATTCTGGCTCCAAATTTAGAGGTTTTAGGCTGATCCCAGACCACGAGGGCAGTCACAGTCCCTCTACAAGTTCCAGTTCGTCACTGTTTAGCTGTTGTTTCGTTTTTCTCCAGACTGTATTGCCAAACGAGTCCTCATTGTGGTCAGGTTAATTATCCAGGCTAGGTGTGTTTTGTCTAAAACACAAGGGTGTGAGTCAGAGGGTGTTGTGTGTGAGAATAAAGATAGATATTTTTAAGTTTGGGACCAAGACTGGAGCTGACGTTTGAGAATATCTGCATGTTTGTAAAATTGAATGCGCCTATGAAGAACTTTGGCTTTTTAGAACAGCCTGAAATGAACAGTGACGTCTTTTCATGATCAGTAAAAGTAGACCAAAACCACAACAGACAAGAATGACAGTGTCCGTATTTTTCGCACTATATGGTGCGCTTAAAATCTGTTTGGCTTGCCGGAGCACTGCAGCTACCGTAGCCTCGCGGAGATATTGAATGAGATAAATAAAGTTTGACTTTTCTGACTGTTTTGTTTGGCTTAATGCACTTTATAAACCGATGAAAATAGTTGGGAATAGACACATTCGTCGATGGTGCGCCTTATAGTGCGAAAAATACGGTAATTGTATTTAATGGGCTGTGAGCAGGGAGGGGTTTAATGAGATCATTAAATATTCTCAGCGACGCCTTAAAAGACAGCAGGGTGACATTATTTATTGTCAGAGAACATTACATGCAAATATACGGTACAAAATCAGCAAATATGTAATGACCACTTTGTCCAGAGGGGGCGCCAAATTCAACACAGACAAAATGTTCCTCATAGGAGCTTTAAAAACTTAAATAATCTGATACTTTGATACTTGATTGACTTTTTTACATTTTATTCTAATGTTAATTTAACAGGGACAGTACAAACAACAATGCCACAAGAAATAGAAATAAAGGACGTCTCGCTTCGGTTCATTTGCAGTCTTTGTTCCTGGTCAGGCTTTAATGTAGGATGAAATATACTGAATACGATAAATGCAATAATACAAATACAGTGGATAATATAGTGAATGGACAGGTGACACGAATAAATAAACACAGCAACAAAATTTAGATTAAACTATTACACAAGTTAAACTTAACACGAACATGAACATCAGCGAATCGAGGCTAAAAATTCTGATTTTAATATAAACTTAACTTACTCTGGATTCATTCTGAAACTGCATTAATGGAAATAAAAGATTCAGAATAAAGAAAGAGCTAAATTTTTATATTTTCACTGGAGCATCAGATTGATTTGAGCTAACGTAGTCAGACTGGTTCATCCTGGTGAATTGTGCTGCATGTACGGTTGTTAATTCTACATCATCCAGCTTTTTAAAAACAGCTGATTTGACAGACCTCCCTGCGGTAGAGGCGGCCATCTTGTTTGTTGTTAGTCGTCATCTTTAAAGAAGGGACTGTGATTGATCTAGTATCCACTGAAGGGAAATGACAACGCTTTCAGACACACCTGCCAGACAAAAGTGAGGACGAGGCGAGGATTTAGTAAAAAAATAACAAACTTAAGAACTTTTTAATCTGACCTATCCAGTGTCTTTCCTCAAATCAGCTTGTCATCCTGTATTCTGAGTCGCCCCTCAGCGTGCAGCTCCACCTCTCTCATTCTCACATTTTCCGACACACAAACGCTGCATTGTACTCTGTCCGCAGGTGTGTGTTCGAGAGCTGGCGCTGCGACGGCCAGGTGGACTGCAAGGATGGAACGGACGAGCTAAACTGCACAGTCATCCTGCCCCGAAAGGTCATCACCGCGGCAACAGTGGGCAGCCTGGTCTGCGGGCTGCTGCTGGTCATAGCCATGGGCTGCACCTGCAAACTGTATTCACTCCGGACCAGAGAGTACAGGTAAATGTTCCCGTAGTTCTCATGATCGGAGACAGTCTGTGTAGTCGGAACACGGCGTACTCCACTCAGACAAGACAGACTCTGCTGTTGTTGTTGTTGTGAAGTGAGTGTGAGCCTCCCACATGCAGAGTAACAAAGCCAGAGTGTGTTACATCATGTGTACTCCTCTGACAAAGTTTCAACTCTTTATGAAGTGAAAACTTTACAACAAAAACGTCACATGCACACTGAAAAGATTCACCCTAAAACACAAGAATCAAAGTGCTCTCAGCGTGTGACGACGACTTCATGAGTGGATGTGTCTTTTGCAGCTTGTTTGCGCCAATCAGCCGCCAGGAAGCGGAGCTTATCCAGCAGCAGGCTCCTCCTTCGTACGGTCAGCTGATCGCCCAGGGCATTATCCCCCCTGTGGAGGACTTCCCCACAGAAAACCCAAACGAGGTGAGAAGAAAGAGCACAGAAGAAGCTTGGACTAGTCTGCAGAAAAGCACATTGTTGTTGTATTTATCTAGAAATTAGTCGCATTGGAACGTCCCCTCCTTTGACTCTGATCCAGGGTTTGACACAAACTTTTTTTCACAAGGAGCACACAAAGAACTTTAGGGACACAATCAAAATTGATCAAATAATGTTTGTCTTATTGGTCGACATAAGTACTATTATTTGAAATCAATTTTAGGTCTTTTGGTCACATGACATGGAAGTTATTGAAGAAAATTTGCCTCTAAATTAAACACAAATATTTTAGAGGACAAATTCAGGAAATAAAGAGGTGTGTCTCATTGGTCGACATAAGTACTATTATTTAAAATCAATTTCAGGTCAATTGGTCACATGACATGGAAGCTATGGAAGGAAAACAGCCTTTTCTGAGAACATCAACTAGTAATTTATTGACGGTCCCTTATTCAACACCCGACATTGACAGCAAAGGTGCCGAGTAGATTTAACCACACTGCTGTTGCTATTCCCGGTTATGGAGAGTGAGAAGACACCGGTAGACCCGCAGTGAATGTCCGTCAGATATCCAACCTAAAGGTCCTTACACACTGGGGCTGACGCGAATATAGAACGCAAAATTACAAAATATTATGAGGCGAATTTTGACGCCTGACTATACACATGATTTTGTGACTTTCCGGGGGAAAAAGACGCATCCCGGGGAAAGTCCTGCCTCCTTCGCCTCTGATTGGTTGGAAAAGCTGGAAACGTCATCACACTCTCAAGCCAAACGGTCAGCACTTATAGCCAATGAGAGGTGATAAGATAAGCACATGAAACTATTGTAACAACTGTTAGCTTACGTTAGCACAGATGAAAGTTAAAACAAAGACGTTTAGCAAACTGTTAAAGCACACAAAACATCATCATATGAGAAATCCGACGCTATGACTCTCCACAAGTTGTCCTTCAGGTCGTTATCTTTGTAATGTTTGTGTCTCTTATCAAAAATCACTCTGTTCTCTGACACGTAAACAATCAGCCGGTCGGCCATGTTAGATATACCGGTGAATCAGACGTCGCAACAACACGAAATCTGATTGGTCAGAAGTGGACACACAGTATACGAAACTTTAGAAAAATCAACCGTGATCCGAAAAAATTAATTCTGCAATATCACAGGACGGGAAAATATCGCTGATGTGAATGCTTGTGTTGACAGGATACGGGTTCTTAAAAAAAAATATTGACGTCTGAAATAATCGCACTAAAAAAACGCTCCTGGTGTGAAAGGACCTTAAAACTAACTTCACTGCGGTATTTACATGAAAAAACATTTGTTGCTGATTTTGTTATATACGCACATGTGCCCCTAAATACATTTTACGATACACACACATCTATATTTAGTCGCAAATGTGAGTGAAACAGTCACACTCTCGAGCCCTGTGATCCCTCAAAAGTTCAAACCCTTAAAAGTTTTAAAAAGTGTTTAATTTATGCGACATATTTAAGTTTAAATGAACCCAGTTTGATAAACTTGTTGAGTCTGTATCCAGAGTAGCTCTTAGTGCCTTAACTCATGTGCCTCTCTGTAGCGGCCTCATTAATCCTCAGCAGGCTGTGTGGGCTGCAGTACGAGGAGAATTAAGACGGAGCTAATGTGCTGCGACTGTGCTGGTTCACACTGAGGTGCTCTCAAACTCGTGGGGGAGGACACACGAGGTAGCAGAGGCGGACGGATTAAGTGTTTGAAACAAAGTCTGCTCCCTCTGAGAGGATTTGGCAAAGATTCGTACTCCTCGCTGACCTCGGCTCGGAGTCGTGTTCAGGGTTTCAGATGTCGGTGAAAATGTTTAAGCGTCTTTCTCGCTCTCTTTTCCAGACCTCGTCTCTGTCCCTGAGGGGAATTCTCCAGCTCCTCCGCCAGGACGCCGCCAACTCCCCTCACCGCAGACGCAGGCCCCGATTCGTCCGCCGGGCCGTTCGTCGCATGAGACGATGGGGTCTCATCCCCAGACCCCCCTCCAGGCCGAGTCAGGCATCGAGCTCCAACCAGCAGCAGACGGACGCCGCTCCTGCCGGTCAGGAACCCCCTCACTCCACCCCCACCAGCTCCTCATCGGCCGTGGAGGCAGTCAACCAGCCGGTGCCTCAGAAACTCGGTTTATTGGCTCAGACGGAGCAGCAGCAGCAGCAGGAAGCCCCGCCTCCTCTGCTCCCGCCGCCGACAGCTTCCCCGCCCCCGCCTCCGTACGCGCCCCCAGCTCCACCGCCATCCACTCCTCCCGTCCCCCCCAGCAGCCCCTCTCTGGCCTCCATCTTCCAAACTCTGGGCCTGAGTATCTCCCTCTTCAGAGCCTCGCCCTCCTCTTCCTCCTCTTCTTCCACTAACTCCATGCCCCTCTCCGCCTCGCCATCCTTCTCCTCGTCCTCCTCAGACGACGAGGTCTTGCTCATCCCTCTTTCCGAAGACACCACCTCAGAGGACGACGTACCCATGCTCACCTGAACGAACCCCTCCCCCACCCAACACCCCTCTGTCGTCTTCTTCACCCGCTGATTAAAATCGATCGTATTCGCATGGCGGCCGTTTTTCCGCGTCATAAGCAGGAAGCTCAGACGCTCCCCGCCTCGAGAGGAAAGCGGCTTCCGCGCGAATACGGCGACTCGAACCCCCCCCTAGTCTTTCCACGCTTGTTTGAACTTGAGCACAGGAGTGTGGCCCACAGCAAGACTCACCCCACACACACCGTGCAAGTCTGGTGCCTTTTTGAAATTGAGTTGTGGACTTAACGGAATCAAAGTATTCGACTTTTTCCTCTTTCGTTATTTTTCCAAGAGACCTCCTCGAGAAAAGTTTGAGACGCGAGCGCACGGCCGACCGCGACGTACCTTTGAGCGTCGGATGTGCACTTAAAGAAACGCCAGGCTGCACATTGAAGGTAAACTTTTGCACAGAAGAATCTTCCCTATCCTGAAATGGAGGCAGGCTGCTGTCGGATTGAATGATTAGAGTTTTTTCTTTTTTTTTTTAATTTTAGATGATATGATGGAAAATATTGTGTTTGTATGACTGCATCGGTGTGAATGCATTAGCATTTCAGTCTTATGTTGACAGTGGAGTACGTTCGTAGACGTGGATTATCTCATACTTCCGCCATCTGCATCCAGTCTCCCGTTTTATCACGGATGATTTCTAGAGAAGCGAATCATTTCTCCCCTATTTAAGTGCCTTTTGAGGAGTTCCCCCCCCTGTAGACGGTTTCGAAGAGTTTCGGATTTTTCCTGATTCTCACACTGCACACCGAAAAACACACAAAGGCACGTTTTTCTCACATTACGGCACGCATTGACACATCAGAGGCTTTATTATAAGAGAAAAAGTAAACGCATGTCTACTCTGCAATAACTATTTGGGACCCATATTTTCATACTTATACCTTGTCGTACCTTTCCCAAGTGAATGTATGTAATCTACAAGTGTCAAAACGACAATCCGGTGCCTGACTATAGGACGTGTGTATGTGTGTGTGTGTAGTGTGCACAGGAAGATGAGGTGTAGAGGGCCCTGATTTCATAAACAACACCTCGACTTGAATCTTCAACCCTTGAGGGGAACCGATCACTACAGATCTATGGTGTGCCATTTGTATTATTGTACATTTTATTGTGTTTTATTTTTAACAGTTCCCTTATTTCCTTTCCTCTGTTTTTTAGTTTCTGTTCTGCTTCGTTGAATGTATTTCGGGTCGACGCGGAGGTTTTAAATTTGCAAATGTCCGGATGATGTAATTAAGAGAGAAATTGATTTTATGGTTTATTAGGGTCGACTTCACTGTATATAAGTAAAAAAAAATGTGGCTGAGATTAAACAATTTGCACTTTTAAGTGATGTGTATTGTGTGTGTTTATTGGCGTCTGTCGCCTCAGAAACGGACCGCTGACTCGCCGCATTGTGCTTTGTATTCAAACGTCTCATGGAGTTTCACAGACTCCTCAAAGAGCCCCTTAGAGGTGGGGAGGGGATAAAGCGAGCGGTATTTGATCCCACGGAGGACTGAGCTCCCACGGCTGTACTTTGGATGCATTCACTTGCAAGGTAAGTCTATCGATTTCTTCATATTTGATCGGTTTGTACAGCGAGGGAAGGTTTGGAAGTTTCCTCACTTACAGCAGCCATTTAAATATTAAATCTAATAGGGAAAAAAGCTTAAAATAACTAAAAATTTTGCCAAAGAGATGACTTAAAATTGTGAATTTTGATAAAATTAATGACTTAAACTTCATTAACTGAAAACTCCCTCCTACCCTCACTTTATTATGCCTCTGCTGAATGTCTTTTATTTCTTATGCTGCTAGAAACTTAGTTTGAGCGGGACACATGCTAAAGTTTCCATTTATGTTACATTTTTCTAACTATAACAATACAAATCACAATCATGTACTTTAAGGTGGCAGAAAAAAGTACTTTTTGGTCCTTAAAGGGATACTCCAGCGTGAAATTAAGTAAGGGTCAATCGCATCGTAACACCGAGTTAGACACCCCGCCAAGAGATGAATGTTGCCGACCGCTTGTTTGTAGGGCGATTCCATTACGGACTACAGTGGGGCGACACAGCTCAAGGACGAACATTTATGATCATTACTTTATCATTTCCTTGAAGTAATAATCATCATATTTATCATTTTGCACTGCAGACCCGATTGTTCTTCTGTCTTAGCGTCTCGGTCTGATTGCATTTCCATGAAAAAATGATCATAAATGTTCTTCCTTGAGCTGCGTCACTCCGCTGTAGTCTGTAATGGACTGGCCCAAGGTCTCGCTACAAACAAGCTGCTGCTGGAAGAGAGTAGGTGTGTTGTGTTTAGTATCTTTGCTAAAGAAATCAGGCAAAGCGAAAAAGATGTTTGGTGGCTAGTACTATGGCTGCAACCCTATATGTCCTGTTGATGAAGTTAGGTGCTGTTCTGAGCATTATTTGTGGCTATAGAGTGGCGTTTTGGTTGAGCGCGTGGCGTGTGGTCATTACTAAAGTTGGTAACTAGAGAAGCAAGTGGAGGCAACATTCATCTCTCGAGGGGGTGTCTAACTCGGTGTTACTGTGTGTTTGACCCTAACTTAATTTCACGCCGGAACATCCCTTTAAGAAACTTCGAATCCCAGAAAAATGCTTTACTGTTCTCTGTATTTGCTAATAATGATAAAAGGCAATTTTTAACATGGTTTTTAAATAATGAAATTATCAAATGCAATTACTAAGTCAACGCTTATTTTCAAGAATTAAAAGTTTTTTTACACATTAAAGCTCCTATAAGTAATTTTTGATGTTATGAAATATACATTGATGAATACTAATGCCTCTATGTCTTATTCAATCCAAGAGGAAAACCTATGGTTTTACCCCCGACTTGGAGACTCTGGGTGGGGATGCTGTTTGTGGTGGTTTCAGAGCAGAGGTGCATCTTTGATGAGGTCCAAGCCCAGGCCAAAGTGGTCCAAGCAGCACCTACTGAGCTCAGACTGTTACAAGCAATGAACCGTGTAGGTCGGATGGCGTCAGCTGAGAGGAGGATGAAACTAGGAAAACCAGCCCTGTCCACTCTTGCTTCCCCCCAGCCAATCAGGATCCGGCTCTGGATTGTAAAAGAGAGTGGAAACCTATCAGGGAACGAGAAGGAGAGAATGGAGGCTGTGGTGGAGGAGGCTGTGCGGGTGGTGTCGTCTTTACTCTCAGGTGACACACATTCACATGCATGAGTTGAACCTTCCACTAGATGGGAGTGGAGAGTTAAAACGTTGCTTTAAAATACTGAATATTTATCAGAGCCAAAAAAATTCATTCAAGCAAGAGTGTCCTCAAAAGAGAAGTTTTCTATCATGGGTCGATTTTCACAAGTATACAAACACATATATACACACATACACACACATTAATTCTTAACTCTAACCACTTCTGGGGACTTGACACTGATTTACTGAAATTTTTTGGGGACTTAACCTGAAATTCATTTTAGAAATCATCATTTTCTCCCTGAATTGTTTAGAAAATCAACTTTGCACAAATATTTGCACAGAATTAAAGGACAGTCTATGTGGACATGACAAAATCAATGTAGTCAAAATAAACACACAAAAAGACGACGATCAGGTGATCAAGCAAAATAGCAAAAAGAGCGAGATTAAAAAAAAAAACAGAATGTGGAGTTAGATGAATACACTAATTTTAGCTTTACATATTGAGCTGTAAAATGGTCCTGCCTTGTCGAACAGCCCTCGGTTAAATTGTCATTTGTCTGAAAATGTACCATAATGAACACAAGCCTGAAAAAAAAAGATAGAAGTTCGGTTTAATTATTTTGTACCTTTCAATAGTGAACAGAGTTAAAGGACCATTACTGCTCAGTCGAGACATCAACAAATACTGCAAGTTTCTCTGGAAGAATTCAAGTACCGCCAACTACAACAGGTGTGTATACATTAGACATTTTTGCAGCCAAGTGTCGAAAACTTTATACTAAAAATCACAACTTAAAATCTGTTTGTGGTTTGGTTTTATGACAACCTTTTTGCTTTTAAATCTAGAATATTCAGTGAAGCTAAAACATTTTGTGTAAGTCAACAGAACAGAGGATTATTTTACTTTTTGAGGCTCTTTTTTTCAGGTAGGTATTCTGTGTAGTGTACATGCTTTAAAATTTGTTTTTTAAAGCTACCGTTTTCATGCTGCAGGTGTGGTCGAGCTAACAGCAACTACAGGACAGAGACCTGTCTGGATGTGACGGTAAGTTTAAGCTGTTAACAGCCCAGCACACGAAAGCACAGAGTGTCTTTTCCTAATCTCTGCTGTCTCCAGATCCCAGATGATCACTTGGACGGATGTGATATTTACATGAGCGCTGATTCACCTCAGAGGACTGAGCTCCGTCCTAAAGGATCAGGACTCCCTGACACTGACTTCCTGCTGTACCTCCATATCCAGTCCACTGACAAATGCAGAGCAGAGGTACCCAATTCACAACACCTTAATGAACCAAAGGGCCAGTAGTGGTGGACGAAAGATTCAGAGGATCGTTTGCACCAACAGCCATCAGACTTTACAACTCTTCTGTAAATAGTAGATAACTTTTAGAGACATGACAAATGAGACGACAGACAATTGAATTTCCCATCAGGGTCAATAAAGTTCTTCTTATTCTTATTCTTACATAAAAACCCTAAAAACCTTTCTGAAAGTCTCTAGAATAATTATATAATTGTCAGAGTCAGACTCTTCCTGATGTCCTGTCCTCCCTCAGCCCGGCGTGCTGGCTTATGCCGCTCACTGCCGGACGGATGCTCAAGGGCGACCTCTGGCTGGGGTGGTGGTGATCTGCAGGGACAGACTGACAGGAGCGACTTACAAACGCCAGGCTGCTGTACAGGTATGATAAATACAACTACTTCTACTCCTGCTGCTGATTATTAAAATAAAAATGACAGTACTTATACATGGAGGTGTTTGAAATCACGTGTTTTCACAGACGGTGATCCATGAGCTGTTTCATGTGCTTGGTTTTTCTAAAGAGCTGTTCCACACCTGGAGAGACTGTTCGTCCACATCTCAAGGTTTCTAACTACGTTTTGTGTTTTAATGTCTCTGATTTGAGTGTTTGTAGTTGTGTAGTAGCCGGCACATATCTAATACCAGCTGATTAAAGTTCTTCTTCTGATGATTTTCAGCTGATGGTTCTGGTTGTTCCCATCGAGGTAAAGTGACTCACGCTGATCAATCGGGCCAGATGAGGATTTTCACTCCGTCAGTCATCTCAGCCCTGCAGAAACATCTAGGGTCCACTGATCCTGAACTCGGGGGGCCGTTAGAGAACCTGGTACAGATTTGAACTCTTCAACTTGAAGGGATATTCTGGCGTAAAATTGATTTAGGGTCAAACACACCGTAACACCGAGTTAGAAACCCCGTCAGGAGATGAATGTTGCCGACTGCTTGCTTCTCTAGTTAAACCAACTTTAGTAACGAACGCACAATAGCAATACACAGCGGTCTGAGGAGCCATAAACAAACCTGCCGGAATATCCCTTTAAGCCCAAAGTTATAAAGTGCCGTCTTTCATTTGTTTTTGTACTTGTTCATGCAGGATGCACCTTTAGGTAGAGTGTCCTCACACTGGGAGTCCCGGGTTCTCCAAGGATCCATCATGACAGCGGTGCTGGGGGACTCAACCACAGTCAGAATTGACCCTGTAACTTTGGCCGCATTGCAGGACACAGGCTGGTACATTGTAGACCTGAGCCGGGCACAGAGTCTAGTGTGGGGAGATGGTACGGATAAATAAAGTGTTTTTATACCACGAGGAGTTTAGAAAAATGAGGTTGACAGTCGTGTATTTCTTGAATGATTGTGTTTGTAGGTGAAGGAGGCACGTTTGGTTCTCTGTCAACCTGTCAGAACAAATCAACATTTTTCTGCTCTGGCAGGTAAAACTATCACATCACAAATTTATAGATTATCAAAAATATATATAGATTATGGAATTTAAATTATGTTTCTTTTGAAGCTTTAATAGCTGTATTGTTTCCTCCTTGAAGTGGATTTGGGTGTCATTTTCTTCACCTCCACAAGGGGGCGTGCCAGACTGATCAATACCTGGAGGGATGCCGAGTGTATAAACCATTCAAGAACGGAGTAAGTTTTATTTCTTTTAATGTAACCGTAAAGATTATGCCGACTAAAGTTGGAGTTTTCTAATTTTGATGCAATCAGGAAAAGTCTAATTTTATTTTAGGTAATCTTTTTTGTCATTGTTGAATCTTTTATGACTTTTTTCTCTTGTTCTTTTAAGAGTGAGTGCTGGAAAAAAGAGGATATGGGACAGTCCGATGAAGAGGACTCAGGCGGGGAGATCTTTGGTTTTGACAGCAGGTGCTTCTTCTCCAACCTGACCAGACAGGTGTGTGAATCTGCATGTGTCTCTCTGTGTGTTAATAAACTATGTGTGTCAATCCCAAACTTTTTCATTATTCAAACACCCTTTTCTTTTTTCTTTACCTGTAATTTTGTTTAGAGCCAGAGTCAGTTTCTTTCGTTCAGCAGCTCGGTGAAGGGGCGTTGCTATAGACACAGGTGCACTGGACAGAACAGATACCAGATCCAGGTGTCTGGCTCTGAATGGATGGACTGTCCAGCAGGGGGCAGCATTCAGGTAATAACAGACCGCAGAGCACAGTAAACCATTGTTGTTCATTTTACTAGTCAATATACTTTTAATAGTTTATAGTTGTTCAGAAATACTGGTAATGCTCATTAATGCTTTGACATATTTATGTATAATTTCAAAATTTTGTGAAAACATTTCAGATGGTAATAAAAAAAGAGTAAAATTAAAGTTTACAGGATTATCATAAATGTAACAAAAAATATAAATTTACAAAATTTTTCATAAATTTACAAAATCTTTCATAAATTTACAAAAATAATTGTAAATTTAAGTCCTTAACCTGGAAGAATCAAATTTTAAATATAGCATGACTAATCGTGTTAATTTAAAAAATGTAAATAAAAAAATAGAGTCGATAAAAACAGACATTGTAAATTCACAAGATAGAAGTAAAAAATTTGCAAAAATATAGTAAAAATGTAAGAGGAGGAAAGTTGTCTGCCTGTAAAAATAAAGTCAGAAATTTATTGACAATTTTTTTTTCTTACAATTGTAAAGCTGCAGTTTATAAGAAAAAGCTGTAAATTACAGGTCAAGTCATAAATGAAAAAAAAATCATAAATTTGCATGAAAATCAAAAATTTACAAGAATTCAGTTGATGGTTTAGAACAATAAGAGTCATTTTAAGAGGACTGATTGGTTCATGTTGAGAAATTTCAAAACTTGATTTCAAAGGAAAAGTACAAAAAATAGAGTGTAGAAAAACAAAAAAATAGTTTTGAGTGTAAGAGAAAAATATGTTGAGAGTTGAAAATTGGAATAATGTAGAAAAAAACTGAAAATCTATATTTACCACAAATAAACAAGTAAATTTCTAAGAATAGATTTGTAAACCCACTAGATTAAAAGCATTAATTGGTGAAACTGAAGTGAGGAGTTCATAAGACTTCAGTTTTGAGTTTATATATCTTATCTTTATCACATCAAATTTTACCTTGGACTTAAAAAATGCTCTGTAGACTGCTATAGCGAAGTCTTAGTTAAACCATGTGATCCGGTCTGATTTTGTCAACAGATCGAAGGATATTTAGGTTCAGTGTCCTGTCCAGACAGAAGGTTATGTCTCTACCCTGACATCAGTCCTCCTTCCGACCACATCCCTTCTTCTATCACCAGGTGAGTCTGACTTTACACAAGCTCTTACTTTGGAGGAACTTTTGACTCAAATTCGCTATCTTTTATTTTGTGGTCAGTGCTCCCAGTGAGAAGTTGACCTCCATCCAGACTCCGACCCAGCTGCCTCACACTGCCACCAAAGCTTCCTTCATCATCGTTGCCGTGTGTCTCCTGAGTGCCGTCCTGGTGTCTTTCAAGAGATGTTGTTCCTTCAGGATTCGGATTCACACTTTTACTGACGACCACAGTGATCCTTGAAAGCACTTGGTATAACCTTCAGAGTGAATAATTGTGATTTTTCTTTTCCTCTATCCGGTTTTTAAGGCTAAACTTTGAGAGTAGAATCAAACACACATAATCCATTCGAAAAAGGGATGCCTTTTTAATCAAATTTTTATTTGACAAGATCTTTCTAATACTGACTCAGTTAAAAATCAATCTTTTTTTAAAAAAAGTAACACCAAACAGAGCAAAACCAACAAACAATAAACAAAAAACTGTAGAGATTTTGGGCTCTATTTTCGTGCCCACTGGTGGCGCGGTGGAGGGTGGCGGACCCCATGCAGTGGTATTTTCGTCTGGCAGAGCCCGGCGTAAAGCTAGTTAGGTATTTTCGTAGAATGAGGCGCACCGAGGTCCACCAAGGAGGAGCTGAGTTAGGGAGGGGGTATACTGACGCCGGGTTGCGCTGCACACCTAAATACCAAAATGTGCTTGGGCACGCCTTGTCGGCTGGCGGACCTGACTTCCGCCGCGTATATGCCACGCCGCCAGCGAGGCACGAAAATAGGGCCCACTGTGTTTACAATCTACATAGAATTGTAAGAGACAGACATTTTAAATATTAGATATTATAGAGTTTAAACAAATACAGCCGTGTTGTCTCCCTCACACCTATCTTACTTCCCTTTCTTCCACACAGGTATGGATGTCTGTCTGGGGGCGATACCACTCACACAAGCAATGTAATGTGGATCTTTGCCTAGATTCAAAGATAAACACTCTTCAGTGAGCTTCAAGCACACAAAACAGAACTTCACCTTACAACGCCGACATGTGATGTTTTTGCAGTTCTCCTTGTTGTGCTCGATCAACAAACCACAGGTGGGACAGGCACGGATGGACGGACAACCAGTGATGTTCACCATATCTTCAAAGATGATCTCTGGACATCTTCTCAGTATTTCCAGTGACAAACTGACACAACCAGGCTCTGCACAGCGGTCTGAGTATGGTGATGGACGTTTCCATTCCTTCAAACACTGCCAGCAGAACTCAAAGGAATTTGCTTCGTTGGTTGAGCAAACTGGGCAGAACACCCTCAGATCATTTAGGTTTTTCCTCATCACCAAACTTTTGCAGCCAGGACACTGTTGAGTAGTTGAAAGAAACAGCTGATTTGAAAAAATATCCTTGATTAAAATAACAAAAGAACAGCCTCTGACTTAAATACTCACTTTTTTGATGTCCAGGTAATCCTTGGCTCTGTTGAACAGTGTCCTGTCAAAATAGTCGATTTCTTCAGGGGTCATTAGAGCTTTTTTGTAAACCTCTTCACAGGGCCACTCAACATTGCAGCCTGGTTGACCACAGACGAATCTGGTCTCCCCCTTCAGAAGTGAAAACAAGATCAACCAAGTAAGACAGAAGGCTCTGGAGTGGGACAGAAAGTCAACCTGATGTAGATACGACATAGATCACTGGTACTTTACCTTGTCTACCAACACTTGAATCCATGTCATGAGAGAAGATGGAGTGACAGTGTGACCACAGGACATCTTTGTTCTGAGAGACTTGTACTCGTTCAGCTCAACTGGGATACAAACAAGTCGAAGGAGGAGACCATGAGACTTGAGTTTTGGTTTGTCACAGTAAAACAAGAACACAAGACCTTTTCAGTTTCCCACCCTGAGTATAATGTCTCAAGAAGATGGCTGCTGCAGGGATTATTCTTACCAATTATCAACCAATCACTGTTGAGTATTCACCCAAACCTTGGCGGTTTAATATCGTTCAACATCCTTTTGATAAATTCACATCAGTACTGGGGTTCTACTTACAGTCCATGTCATCTTCTCCATCCACGAGCGTAAGAGTGGGGTCGTTAGGATCGTAACATCTCTCCTCTTGATCAGCTGTCATGGTGTTGCTCTCTTGAGTTGAGTCCTTAGCTTTCAACTTTGCCAAATATTTCTTACTTGCACGTTGTGCAGTATTCCGTCTTCTGATTGCTCGATCAGGATTGCGTTGTTCAGGTGCCGGCGTGTTGGTAGTTTGCTCAGGAGTAAACGTACTTTCTGTTGATTTCGGCCTCTCTTTGGGTGGTTGTTCTTCAGGTGCCAGCGTGTTGGCAGTTTGCTCAGGGATAAACGTACTTTCTGTTGATTTTGGCCTCCCTCTGGGTGGTTGTTCTTCAGGTGCCGGCGTGTTGGCAGCTTGCTCAGGGATAAACATAGTTACTGTTAATTGTGGCCTCTCTCTGGCTGGTCTGAATTCGTATGGATTACTCATTTGTCTGGGAGCAGTTGCAGAGATTCTTGTCCGAGCAGCTGGAGTCTCTCTGGGTGCCTCAGCCTCACCCGGTTTTGGAGGATCGGTCCCATCATGTTCAGGTTCTGATATTTTTCTTCTTACCCTGATGGGGACAGTTCCTAAGTGCTTTCTCGTCTGCGGTGGATCATCAGACCTGTGTTCAGTTGAATATCTGTTCCCCATCTTGATTCGATCTCACTAATAGACGAGCCTCACAGGATCATCTGGTTTTTACCTGCAGTCATGAGATCCTCCTTGTGGGCGAGGCCTCAGTCCCGATTTAGAAATCGCAAGCACCTTGAATTAAGTTTCATATACTTTGCAGTTGTCTTGACTGGCTTAGTCGCAAAATGGGTATCCAGGTGAAAGTACACGATCCCAGAGGGGAAGAAAAGATTGTCACTGTTTGTGACAACGTGGAGCAGATGAAGAATATCACCGTGGTCCAGCTGAAAAGGATAATCATGACACATCTAAAAATAGGTAAGTCTTACTCTGATTATTTTCTTCACTTTTTTATCAGATCACAGAGACAACTTTTTTATCAATGCAATAAAAAAACAGATCAATACTGTTGTCTAAGAGCTCCTTTAAAACATACCGAAAGAAAAAGCCCAGAGTTCAGACTCTCTATTTCTGCTCAGGTGATGACATCCGGATGGTGTACAGGACCGAGACTCTGGAGGAATCGTCTCTCCTGATGTCCTATGGGATCCAACATATGTCCACCATCCAGTGTCTGCTGATACTGCCGGGAGGACACTAAGCAGACAGAGACACAAGACAATAACCCACAGATCCAGACCACGCCGCCGTTTTGGACATCAATTGTATTTCAATCTAAGGACAGAATTAATGATTTTTCCTGTACTCTCATCCTCTTTGTCTTATCTTCGTCACTAAATCTATTTGACTATGTTTGTATATTTATAATAAATCAGTATGATCAGAACATCACTGTGCTGCATTGTCTATTTTATGTAGGAGAGCAAATATCTCCCTGTCCTGTTGCAAAGAAAACATTTTAAAAAATCAACAAATTCAGATTTTCTGAATGACCAAATGTGTCACTTTTAAAATTAAATTTTATTACGCGTTTAGTCATGCAGTTTGAAAGCAACTTAAGTCCTCCAGCTCAAAATTTTACCTCTGTAAATAACATATTGGGCCAAGTTTCCAAATGGATTTAACTATGTCAAGCTTCGCACACCACCCTGATATCAATAGAATAGAATAGAATAGAATATTCCTTTATTGATCTCCCATGGGGGAAATTTTTTCTATTCTATTCTATTAACAAATATTAAACATCATTTTAAAGCATTGTAAAAAAAAAAAAAAAACTAAAAACAAACCTGAAGTTACTGAGTTTGACATGTGGGACATTTCCTTTTGTAATGTAGCTTGTGTTCAAAAGAAACAGTGAGACTGTATCACCACACCTTCAACTGTGTTATTTACTGTCTTTGCCAGCTCTGACTGGAATTTACCGTACTTTTCGAACAGCCTTGTTCAGTGTAACCTTCTATTAATACACATTAGGCTTTGAATACTCTGGATCCTAGTTTTGGTTTCTGCAGCAGAGGACGCTGGAACTGGTTCAATGGTAATAACTTTTAAGTGCCGTGAGAGAGGTCAAAATTAATGCTCGTTACAAGAACAGATGACACATTAAACGTAATTCATTGACTAAGAAACATCTTTTATTGAATTTACTGAATCAGCATATGCAGAGAAAAATAATCAAGTTTGGCTTGATTTGTATTTCTGTACATGAATACTAGCTGGTATCTTTGTCTTCTTACAGGAAAAGGATTAAGTCAAACAAACAGTCATGGCTGAAGCATGCATCCATACTTAATAAATGAGACTCATGAAGAGGAACTGAGCTGGTTTTCTTTGCAGAGAGCTCAGTCACCATGGGTGGAGTTGCAGCAGCTGAATTATAGATTTCAATGGAATAGAAAGGGTACAAGAACGCATCCCTGTGGAACACCGTAAAATCACACAACTTCAGATCTTCATTGATTTATATTCAGTTGTTAAAATAGTAAGCCTGAAAATAAACTGAGGTGTTTTCATCAACATGAAACACTGCCAACACCTGAATGCAGTTGAACAACATACTGACAGGAGCAAGAAGCAGGAAGCAGTTCATGTTGTGAGTGACGACAAAACATAATAACAAACAGAACAAGAAAGACTCCAGACATTGTTCTTTTGATGGTTAGAAACAAGGATGTAGCATTTTAAAAAAAACTACAGTGCAAAGGTGGGGTAGGCAGGATTTACAAAAAAGCATATAATATCAGTCAATAGTTATTAGACATTGATGACATTTGATAATATAATAATATCTCTGAATTCTCTTATTCCTGTGAAGTCAACATTTTAAAATTTTTGGGCGACCCGCTCTTTTTGACTGTAAACAAAGCCATTCTCTGCCTCCTCGACCTGATTGGATGTGAGGCAGACGCTGCTCCCCCGTGTCATTCACGATCCCAAACAAAGTTAGCGTGCTACGATTTCGGACTGGAGAAACCAACCCGAAAATAAGGAATTTTCTGAATCCTCCTTTGACCACAACTGCCAACACAAGCAAGAAAACAAGGTAAATACCGGAGACTCTGGCGGAATAACAGGCGCGTAAAATGGAGGTAGACCGGACAAGAGCTAAGAAGCCGGGTCAACATCAGCATAAATGATAGGGGACGCTTTAGGATCTTGCGGACCCTGTAACTTTTCTGCTGGACAGGTAAACCACTTTATCAAAGTAAGCCAAGTGTCTGTCACAGAAGTGTTTCTTGTCAAATGGGACCTGCTGCGTGTTGTAGCACCGCTACACTGTTTACCTCGGGTCCTGGAGTTTGTCACTTTATGCTAGTTGTAGAAGTCCTGCAAACATTGTGTTTGCTGGTACTCTGTTGTCATCTACAGTAGCACCAATGCTGAGCAGGAGTGTCTGTTTGTGGGCGGGGCTTGCTGGAGCAGGGAGGGAGGAGGAGCTGAGGGGAAAACTGGTTGGGAGGGGTCGAGTTTACATTCAAGATTTCTCTGAAAAACTGGCACTTCCTCAGATCCTGCCTACCCCACTGTTAAGCTGGACAAGGTGCAAATTTTGAAACAAACAGAATTTGAAAGTTTTTTAAAATCGGAGAAATGCTTCATTGAATTGAAAAAAAAAATGTTTGAAGACAATAATCCCATTGTTGAAACTGTAAACATATTGTTTTATGAAAAGTATAGAGGCTTGTTTAAAAATTTTTAAACTTTGGAAAACAGTTTAGGAGCAGGCTGGACTCTTCTACTACAGAGCCATCCTGTTGTACTACACACTGAAGCTAATTTAGCATTGTCTAAATGCTAAATAAAGATTAAACTTTGACTCGGCTTGTCTTAGATGAGCTCAGGCTTGAGTTGCTGGTGTTTCTGAATCGTATTCCAAATGTAAAGTTAGATTTGTAGGTGCAGCAACAAACTGTTTTTATTGACAATGTTGTTTTTTTTCTGCTACTTTCTTTTTGCAGGCTTGGCACTCCAGAGTGGCCGTGTGATGTCAGAGTAGAATAATGGACAATCTTGACTCCTTCATGCAATATCTTAACTCCCTTTCCTCCACACAGGTATAGATGTCTGTCTAGGTGCGACACCACTGTTTTGGCAGAGTATGAAATATGAATATAGGTTCAAAGATAAACACTCTTCAGTGAGCCTCAAGCACACCAAACAAAAGTTAACTTTACAATGCCGACAGGTGATGTTTTTGAATTTCTTCCTTTTGTGCTTAATCAGGAAACCACAGGTGGGACAGGCACGGATAGATGGACAGCCGGTGACATTCCTCACATTCTTTGAAGATGATCTCAGGACATGCTCTCAGTATTTCTAGTGGTTGACTGACACAACCAGGCTCTGCACAGCGGTCTTAGTATGGTGATGGACGTTTCCATTCCTTCAAACACTGCCATCAGAACTCGGAACTTCGGAACTCTTCCAGAATGTTTTTGCTATTCCTCACCCCCAAACTTTTGCAGCCAGGACACTGTTGAGTACATTTAGTTGAAAGAAACAGCAGATTTGAAAAAATATCCTTGATTAAAATAACAAAAGAACAGCCTCTGACTTAAATACTCACTTCTTTGATGTCCAGGTAATCCTTGGCTCTGTTGAACAGTGTCCTGTCAAAATAGTCGATTTCTTCAGGGGTCATAAGAGCTTTTTTGTAAACCTCTTCACAGGGCCACTCAATATTGCAGCCTGGTTGACCACAGATGAATCTGGTCTCCCCCTTAAGGAGTGAAAACAAGATCAATCAAGTAAGACAGAAGGCTCTGGAGTGAGACAGAAAGTCAACCTGATGTAGACATGACATAGATCACTGGTACTTTACCTTGTCTACCAACACGTGAATCCATGTCATGAGAGAAGATGGAGTGACAGTGTGACCACAGGACATCTTTGTTCTGAGAGACCTGTGCTTGTTCAGCTCAACTGGGATACAAACAAGTCAAAGGAGGAGACCATGAGACTTGAGTTTTAGTTTGTCACAGTAAAACAAAAACACAAGACCTCTTCAGTATTCCATTTAAAATAACACACGAGTTTCCCACCCTGAGTATGATGTCTCAAGAACATGGCTGCTGCATGGATTATTCTTATCAATTATCACATCATCACTGGGGTTCTACTTACAGTCCATGTCATCTTCTCCATCCATGAGCGTAAGAGTGGGGTCGTTAGGATCGTAACATCTCTCCTCTTGATCAGCCGTCGTGGTGTTGCTGTCTTGAGTTGAGTCCTTAGCTTTTAACTTTGCCAAATATTTACTACTTTTACGTTTTGCAGTATTCCGTCTTCTGAATGCTCGATCAGGATTGTGTAGATCAGGTGCCGGCGTGTTGGCAGTTTCCTCAGGGATAAACAGAGTTTCTGTTAATTGTGGCCTCTCTCTGACTGGTCTGAAATCGTATGGATTACTCATTTTTCTGGTAGCAGTTGCAGAGATTCTTGTCCGAGCAGCTGGAGTCTCTCTGGATGCCTCATCCTCACCCGGTTTTGGAGGATCAGTCCCATCATGTTCAGGTTCTGAGATTTTTCTTCTTACTCTGATGGGGGCTGTTCCTAAATGCATTTTCCACTGCGGTGGATCATCAGTCCTGTGTTCAGTTGAATGTCTGTTCCCCATTTTGATTCGACCTCACTGACAGATGAGTTGTACAGGATCATCCTGTTCCTACCTGCAGTCATAGATCCTCCTTGTGGGCGGGGCCTCAGTCCTAATTTAGAAATCATTAGCACTTTGAATTAAGTTTCATATACTGTTGGATTGTCTGCTCTTGCAGTTGTCTGGACTGGCTTTTTTGCGAAATGTAAAAAAATATAGGTGATGGGCTTTAAAACTCTGGATCCTAGTTTTGGTTTCTGCAGCAGAAAGTCCTGAAGCTGGTCCAATGGTAATTAGTTTTGAGTGCTGTAAGAGATTTCCCTTTAAGCAGGTGTGTCAAATATAGCTTGTTACAGGAATTGATGACACATAAAAATAATTAGTTCACTGAGAAACATCTTTTATTGAATTTACTGACTCAGCATACATGGAAACAAAATCCCAACCGTTTTTTTTTTCTCTACATGAATGCTACTGGGTATCTTTACTTAAAAGAAAAGGATTAAGTCAAACAAGTAGAGTCATAGCTGAAGCATGCATCCATACTCAATAAAGAAGACTCATGAAGAGGAACTGAGCTGGTTTTATTTGCAGGGTGAACACTGGGTGGAGTGACAGGGACAAGACTTGGAAAAAAAGAACTGAATAGTACACAAAAACATACTTAACCTAGATTATCTTGTGAAAAACACTAGCAACAATGCAAAAAAAAAAAAAAACTGTGTCACTTTAATTGAATACTGTTACTACTTTGTACTTCTGGATGATAGACATGCCTCACACACAAATTTACAACCAATGTTATTTATTGTTGTAGATGTAATGACATAGTTTTGAGTAATGACTCAGACCTAACAATTATAAAAATAAAGATCACAGAGCAAATGGAAACACGACACACTTCAACTTAAGTCGGGCAAGTTACAAATTTTGATATAAACAGAATTTGAACATTTTTCAAATCAGAGAAATGCTTTATTGAATTGAATTGAAAAAAAAGTGTAAAGACAATATTCCCAGTGTTGAAACTGAAAAACTCTATGAAAAGTCTAGATGCTCGTTTAAAAAAAATTTTCAACTTTGGAAAACAGTTTAGGACAGAAGGCTGGACTCTTTCACTCTGTTGTACTACACGCTGAATCTAATTTAGCATTGTCTAGATGCTAGATTAAGATTCAACTCTGACTTGGCTCGTCTTAGATAAGCTCAGGCTTAAGTTGCTGATGGTTCTGAATCATAATTCCAAATGTAAAGTTATATTTGTGGGTGCAGCAACAAACTGTTTTTATTGACAATGTTGGGTTTTTTTTCTGCTACTTTCTTTTTTGCAGGCTTGTCACTCCAGAGGGGCCATGTGCCATCATCTGGTATCCTAAAACAACAGAGTAAAATAAAATACAGCCATGTTGACTCCTTCATGCAGTTTCTTAACTCCCTTTCCTCCACACAGGTATAGATGTCTGTCTGGGGGCGACACCACTGTTTTGGCAGGGTATGAAAAATGAATATTGGTTGAAAGATAAACACTCTTTAGTGAGCTTCAAGCACACAAAACAAAAGTCAACCTTACAACGCCGACACGTGATGTTCTTGCATTTCTTCTTGTTGTGCTCGATCAGCAAACCGCAGGTGGGACAGGCACGGATAGACGGACAGCCGGTGACGTTCCTCACATCCTTGAAGATGATCTCTGGACATGTTCTCAGAATTTCTAGTGACAAACTGACACAACCAGGCTCTGCACAACGGTCTGAGTATGGTGATGGACGTTTCCATTCCTTCAAACACTGCCAGCAGAACTCAAAGGACTTTGCTTTGTTAGTTGAGCAAACTGGGCAGAACACCCTCAAGTTATTGATGTCTTTCCTCATCACCAAACTCTTGCAGCCGGGACACTGTTGAGTAAATTTGGTTGACACAACCAAGAGTTTGCAAAAACGTTCCCAATTACAAGAATGCACAAAGTATCTAGGAACGGCCTGTGATAGGTGGATACTCACAGTTTTGGCATCTAGCTGGTCTTTGGCGACTCTGTCGAACAGTGTCTTGTCAACTTGCTCAATTTCTTTTGGAGTCATAAGAGCTTTTTTGTAAACCTCTTCAAAGGACCACTCAATATTGCAGCCTGGTTGACCGCAAACAAAAGTGGTCTCGCCCTTCAAAATGAGGAGAAAAGTAGTCTTGATGCAGTTCATGACATAATCAAGAAGAGGAACAACATAAGAAATCCCGAAAAATCCCTAAACAAAACATTACTACAACAAAAGTCACCCTTAACAGTTGAAGGTTTATGTCAGTCAAAATCAGGACAACATTTCACTTTCAAAACTTCAGAAACTGTTCTCCTTGGTTATCAAATTTGTACAGTCTTGTCACTTTGGTCACCCCAGCTGCTCGGCCCCCAAACAACATTTCATTCAGCGTACAATTCTGAAACCTTTAAAATAAAAAAGAGAAAGAGAGGTGATAAAAAATGTACTACAAATATTTTACCTTGTCTAACAACCTGTGACACCAGTTCATGAGGGAAGTGGGAGTGACAGTATGACCACAGGACATCTTTGCTCTGCGAGACTTGTACTCATTTAGTTCAACTGTGAGACAAACAAGTCAAATATGAGAGAGAGTAATGGACAGTTCAAGGTCAGAGGTCATGCCTAACAAGGTAAGAATTACAGGTTTTCTGGGTCAATTGAATGGAAGATCCCGCTCTCTTTACATTATCAAACAAACCACGGATGGTTGCTGAAACTTGGACCAATATTTGGGTTCTTGTCCTACTTACAGTCCATGTCATCTTCTCCATCCACAAGCGTAAGGGTGGGGTCGTTAGGGTCGTAACATCTCTCCTCCTGTCCCGTTGTCACAGCCTGTCTCAGAGGCTCTGAATGGAAGCTTGGACCAGGACCCAAAGTTGCTCTCCGTCTCACAGTGGTTCTGGGATTGGAAGTTAAAAGAAACCTTGCCAGTAGCCGAGCAGGATCCTTGTCTTCAGGTGTTGTGTTGTTGCTGGTTGCTTTAGTAGAAAATGTTACTTCTGTCACTTTTTCTCTTGGTTGTTTTAGTTTACACCGCACCGCCCCAATATGTACTAATGAATTTGGAGAAAACCCCCGTTCAGGTGCAGGATCCAGCCTGTCATAATGACCTCTCAAAGCACTGTTCAGTTGTGCCGGTTTGATCTTTTCCCTTTTTGTGCTCAAACCATCTCTCAGCCTTTCCGCACATTTTCTGAATCCCTTTCCTTCCGTCTTCTGGGACCAGTTGCAAAAAGTGTCATCCAAGAGCTGTCCCTAGAGGTCGAGGCATCCTCCATTTCCCCCTTGGCTGTACTGACACAGTTTAGCTGCAGAGGATCAGCCGGTTTTCATCTAAAGTCATGTGATTTTTTTAGCCACCTTATGGGCGAGGCTTTTCACTGGCACTGATCATCTGACAGATCAGGTTCAGTGCCAGACAGCCTTTGGATCATTCGCTCTCGTGCAAGTGTCTTGCCGTTTTTGAACCAGCTTTGCCACAAAATGGGTATCCAGCTGCAAGTTCACGATGCCAGAGGAGAAACAAAGATTGTGACGATCTGCGACAACCTCAACCAGATAAGGAACATGACTGTGATGGATGTGAAACAGAAAATCATGAAAGTTCTGGGAATAAGTAAGTCTTTCTTTAAACTCATTGCATGTACAGATTGATGATATTTTGCAGATCACATTTGTATTGGTACTTAAAAAAAAAAAAAAAAGTTGTCCAAGAAGACTGTGTGTGCTTTTATGTTTAAAGAAAAAGCCCAGAGTTCAGACTCTTTATTTCTGCTCAGATGATGACTTCCGGATTGTGTACCGAACTGAGACTCTGGAGGAATCATCTCTTCTGATGTCATATGGGATCCAACATATGTCCACCATCCATCTCATACTGATACTGCCAGGAGGACACTAAGCAGACTAATCAAACAAGGAAGAAAATAACTCACAAACTTTTGACCTCACTGTCATATCAATTCTTTGTCAGCTGTCCTGCACTTATACGCACTTTTTCCTGCCTTCCATAAACACCCTGAATGTGTTTATTTTGTTTCACAGCATGTTCTGTCTTTGAGCTCAAGTAAATTTTAAAAAATCTGCTGTTGTGTATTTTTACAGAAAAATCTGTAATTGAATAAGCATGTTATTGGATATGAAATGTAAGTTTGCACCTCACTGAAGCTTTGAATAAGGATTTGTTCATTTGCTGAGTGATAACTACATTACTTTTATACTTTCTATGACATTTTTACCATTCTATACTATGACATAAATCTTCATACAAAAATATGAAGATTTTTTAAACCTAAAATTTGAACATTTTAACATGCTATACTATGACATTTTTCATCATACTATAGTATGACAAATTTTCAAACAAAAATATGAAATTTTATTTCACCCTCAAAATTGAAATTTTTTCCATACTATACTATGACAATTTTTGTCAAGGTAAAAATTAAAAAATTTTCACCCTAAAATTTATAACTTCTATCATACTATACTTTGACATTTTTATCATACTATACTATGACATAAATTCTCATACAAAAATATGAAATTTTGTGTCACCCTCAAAATTGAGATTTCTAACATACTATACTATGACATTTTTTGTCGAGCCAAAAATTGAAATTTTTTTCACCCTAAAATTTTTAACCTTAATTATACTATACTTTGACATTTTTATCATACTATACTATAACATAAATTCTCACACAAAAATATAAAATTTTTTGTCAACATCAAAATTGAAAATTTTAACATACTATACTATGATATTTTGAACATACTATACTATGACATAAATTCTCACACAAAAATATGACATTTTATTTCACCCTTGAAATTGAATTTTTTAACATACTATACTATATTTTGAACATACTATACTATGACATTAAATTCTCACACAAAAATATGAAATTTTTTTGTCACCCTCGAAATTGAAATTTCTCACATCCTATACTATTACATTTTTTGTCAAGCCAAAAATTGAAGTTTTTTTCACCCTAAAACTTTAAACCTTAATAATACTATACTTACCATACTATACTATGACAATTTTTGTCAAGGTAAAAATTAAAAAATTTTCACCCTAAAATTTATAACTTCTATCATACTATACTTTGACATTTTTATCATACTATACTAAGACATAAATTTTCAAACAAAAATATGAAATTTTATTTCACCCTTGAAATTGAAATTTTTAACATACTATACTATGATATTTTGAACATACTATACTATGACATAAATTTTCATACTGAAATATGAAATTTTTTGTCAACCTCAAAATTGAAAATTTTAACATACTATACTATGACATATTTCATCATACTATACTATGACATAAATTTTCAAACAAAAATATGAAATTTTATTTCACCCTCGAAATTGAAATTTTGAACATACTATACTATGATATTTTGAACATACTATACTATGACATAAATTTTCATACTGAAATATGAAATTTTTTGTCAACCTCAAAATTAAAATTTTGAACATACTATACTATGATATTTTGAACATACTATACTATGACATAAATTTTCATACAGAAATATGAAATTTTTTGTCAACCTCAAAATTGAAAATTTTAACATACTATACTATGACATTCTTAACATACTATACTATGACATAAATCTTCATACAAAAATATGAAATTGTTTTCCAACCTAAAATTTGAAAATTTTAACATGCCATACTATGACATTTTATCATACTATACTATGACATAAATTTTCATACAAAAATTAGAAATTTTATTTCACCCTCAAAATTGAAATTTTAACATACTATACTCTGACATTTTTATCATACTCTACTATGACATAAATTTTCAAACAAAAATATGAAATTTTATTTCACCCTCGAAATTGAAATTTTGAACATGCTATACTATGACATAAATTTTCATACTGAAATATGAAATTTTTTGTCAACCTCAAAATTGAAAATTTTAACATACTATACTATGACATATTTCATCATACTATACTATGACATAAATTTTCAAACAAAAATATGAAATTTTATTTCACCCTCGAAATTGAAATTTTGAACATATTATACTATGATATTTTGAACATACTATACTATGACATAAATTTTCATACAGAAATATGAAATTTTTAGTCAACCTCAAAATTGAAAATTTTAACATACTATACTATGACATTATTAACATACTATACTATGACATAAATCTTCATACAAAAATATGAAATTGTTTTCCAACCTAAAATTTGAAAATTTTAACATGCCATACTATGACATTTTATCATACTATACTATGACATAAATTTTCATACAAAAATTAGAAATTTTATTTCACCCTCAAAATTGAAATTTTAACATACTATACTCTGACATTTTTATCATACTCTACTATGACATAAATTTTCAAACAAAAATATGAAATTTTATTTCACCCTCGAAATTGAAATTTTGAACATGCTATACTATGACATAAATTTTCATACTGAAATATGAAATTTTTTGTCAACCTCAAAATTGAAAATTTTAACATACTATACTATGACATATTTCATCATACTATACTGACATAAATTTTCAAACAAAAATATGAAATTTTATTTCACCCTCGAAATTGAAATTTTGAACATATTATACTATGATATTTTGAACATACTATACTATGACATAAATTTTCATACAGAAATATGAAATTTTTAGTCAACCTCAAAATTGAAAATTTTAACATACTAACTATGATACTATATGACATTATTAACATACTATACTATGACATAAATCTTCATACAAAAATATGAAATTGTTTTCCAACCTAAAATTTGAAAATTTTAACATGCCATACTATGACATTTTATCATACTATACTATGACATAAATTTTCATACAAAAATTAGAAATTTTATTTCACCCTCAAAATTGAAATTTTAACATACTATACTCTGACATTTTTATCATACTCTACTATGACATAAATTTTCAAACAAAAATATGAAATTTTATTTCACCCTCGAAATTGAAATTTTGAACATGCTATACTATGACATAAATTTTCATACTGAAATATGAAATTTTTTGTCAACCTCAAAATTGAAAATTTTAACATACTATACTATGACATATTTCATCATACTATACTATGACATAAATTTTCAAACAAAAATATGAAATTTTATTTCACCCTCGAAATTGAAATTTTGAACATATTATACTATGACATAAATTTTCATACTGAAATATGAAATTTTTTGTCAACCTCAAAATTGAAATTTTGAACATACTATACTATATTTTGAACATACTATACTATGACATAAATTTTCATACAGAAATATGAAATTTTTTGTCAACCTCAAAATTGAAAATTTTAACATACTATACTATGACATTCTTAACATACTATACTATGACATAAATTCTCACACAAAAATATGAAATTTTATTCCAACCTAAAATTTGAAAATTTTAACATGCCATACTATGACATTTTATCATACTATACTATGACATAAATTTTCATACAAAAATATGAAATTTTATTTCACCCTCAAAATTGAAATTTTAACATACTATACTATGACATTCTTAACATACTATTCTATGACATAAATTTCATACTGAAATATGAAATTTTTTGTCAACCTCAAAATTGAAAATTTTTACCATATTATGACATTTTTTGTACTTTTATACTTAAATTTGACATTTTCATGAAACTTTACGATGACATTTTTTTTCACACTAAAATTTTTGAAAATTTTTTGTCATCCTATACTATTACATTTTTATCATACTGAACCATGATTAATAATACAATGCCATGACATTTTATCATACTATATTATGGTTTTTCAATGTACTATACTTTTGGCTTTTTTTCATACAATAATGACATCTTTATCTTACTATTCACATGACACTGTGTAACATTCCTGGTTATGATTGAAATGCTGTCGAGAACTAGTAAAAGCTGATTGGCCACATTTTTTCTACAATTGTTTTTTAATAATTCCTGTAATTACCCCCCAGTAACAAAGCTCCACCCATTCCCCGAATGTCACAGAGTAAGTGAAAGTGAAAGAAAACAATAAGCGAGGTGTGTATGAAGGGAAGTGAAAGAACAAGGGAGGCAGAACCTTCGAGGAAGCTAGATTCGGGTTTTAGGCTGTCGATCTACTTCCCCTTACTCCCTAATTTCCCTGTAAGAGTTTCCTAAACCACAGAGACTGAAAACCTGTTTGTGACAACACCTTTAAAAAAAACCCTGTAACCATAAACCTTAAAATAAAAATAAAACAGCACTGAGTTCCCGAAACAGAAAACAGGTGTGTCTATGACATCTAAAGCATCTTTGCTATCTTGTTTTTAACTTTTCCAATAGGAAAATTTAAGTAAATCGCCTCTTCAAAATCAAGCACCACCAACATAACCTGTAAAGTACAGTGATGAAGACTGCTGCTTTCCAATGAATCAAATCTGGTTCAATTCAGGACAGAGTCATTTCATAGTACTTCCTGTAAGCAGAACAGGACAGAGATCAGTGTTGTCATGACCTCATTTATTTACAAAAAAAAATGGTTACAGTTGAAAAAAAATCAAGAGCCGAACAGAGAAAATATGATCGATACGAGACTCTGATGAAATGCATCACAAGAGAAGTCGGGTACTTTTATCTGTTAAAAGAAAAAACACATTATTTCTGCTAGTCTAACAGATGATTGGTTTTGCAGTCTATATCCTTTGGAGTAAAAAACTAAGCATCGCTCTGTCCTTTTTTTTTTTCATTTTCCAGCTGTGGCTCATCCTCTGCAGAGTTCCGTCTCCGTCTCTCTGATCTAGAACTTGAACTCTTTGTATTTCTTGGCACCGCCTCTTGTATCCTGCGGCTGGGCCTTCCTCTTCTTTTGCTGTTACAGAGAACAGAGTAGGATAATGTGGGTTATTGATAGGGGAAAGTCGTACAATACACAAAGGCCTGTCACTTAGAAAAACTGTCATGGATGTGTCGTCTGTATACCTTCTGTTTGGCAGCATGTTCAGCCACCATGTCGCTGAAGTCCTCTTTCTCCACCTGGGCCTGCTGCTCTCTGACGTGCTCCTCGTATTTCTGCGTCATGGCCATGGGGTCCAGCTCCAGCTCCTCTGGGGCCAAGGCCACCTCTACGCCCTGCGACTCCTGCCCTCCCCCAGCCTTACGACCTGCCATGGCCTGACGGGGACAGAGAGTAAAGGCTTAATTATGGACAAAGCTCTACAACAGTTTTAGTCCACTTTGACGCGTCAGACTCTCTCACAGTCATCTTACCCCTGACACGTCGTAGATGTGCGTTGAGGCCATCATGGCGGCTCCTACAGCACCGGTTCTTCTCTCTGGGAGAACGGTGAACAGCTGGGGCGTCTCGTTTCTGTTTTTACAAAGAGAGAGAGAGATCAAAGCTCAGTTTTTCGGCTTTTCTTAGACATGAGTAATTAACCCTCTGTTCCTACTATGTCCGTTTTGTGGACATTTGCCATTTTTTTAAATCTTTTTTTGAGCTGACAGTCACATTTTTAAAAAAAGAACGGGGCATCAAATTTGGTGAGAGTTCATTCATAGACTGAGAGTGTTTGAAGCGCTGTTTCATCCACTAAAAATCATCAGACTTGGATGAAACTTTACACGCCACAAGATATGGATGTTTAAGAGTGGGATATGTTTGTCTGCTCCTGCGTGTGTGCGTTTCTGCGCCCATATTTATAACTGGGCGTGCCGTGAGTGCAGTTTTTACAGTCGATAATCCAACGTCCAAGTTCTGCAGTGTGGGACAAAGAGAGGGGGACATTTGGACCTCACTTCAGAGCAAGTGGATGGACATGCATGAGGATGCACAGGTCCTTCGGATCTTTAGGTGAGAAGATATCATGTCCCAAATATGCTGTTATTTTTTACATGCGCGCAATCAGCGTAATTGCGGTCATATTTTGGTCAGAGGTGGTTAACCACGTGTAAATGATTCCTATCTTACATATATCTTCTGATTTTATATGCCTGTATATAAAATCAATTTAATATGAACAAATGAATTCGGTCGCATTTGATTTGGGAGGGGTAGAGGCTCGAGAAAAGGGGGTGAAAATGGCGTGTTTTTCCGCGTCGTTTAGAACGCACACTTCATGAATAAATATGACATGTTGCACAAAAACTGGCACAAAAAGGTTAATACATCAAATTTTTTATTCATTACTTTTTTAATGCTTAGGGCTGAAGTTGTTCAAGAGATTTGAGTAAAAAAAAATTTTTAAATGTTAAAAAATTTTTATTTTATGAGCACTTATCTGCATGTCTGCTTTGGAGATAAATAGGCTGGATGGAGTTTAAAATTAACAGAAATTGAGGGTTATATATCTTTTTTAAATTTTTTTAATCACCTTATCTTCCTATAGGCCTAAAAGAACAGATGGAGTCTGTTTATTTTCTCTTTATAATTTCTCAAATATATCACTGCTGATTTGTAGATATCATGCTAAATGTATTTCCATGACACCACAGCGGAAACACTCACCCGTCCATGGCCTCCTCGATCTTCTTCTTCCTCAGCTCGATCAGCTCGGGCGTCTCCATACCTGCGGGTACCGATGAGAAGCCTCCAGGAGTTATCAGCCCGCTGAAACACAAACACAACAACAAGAACCAATTCATTTAGAGTTCTCCTGTGCTGGTCCGTGAACGCGTCTTTGTGTGAACAGAAAACAGCAGATTAATCAAGAAGGTGATGGTTTAAAAACCTGTCAGCCGGCGTGAAGAATCCAGTTTCATCTGGTTTCTCCTCATCGCTCTCCTCCTCCTCCTCTTCCTCTGACGACTCCTCATCTGAAGGCTCTAATTCGCCCCACGGTGTGTGATCAACCTCTTCCTCCTCTGCTTTAGCCTTTTATTAAAAAAAAAACAACCACATGAGTAATCAATATGTGATGATAGTTCAGACCTTTTTCCTCCTGATTGAGAGTTTCGGTTCCTGAAAACAATCGTGTAATCCTGACCTGGAAGTCTCCGGCGTTGGTCCCGAACACGTCGCCGTACAGAGGTTTGCCCATTTCGTCTACAGGCGGCTTCCCCCAGCCTCCGGCGTGGTAACCGAACGTACAGTTCTAACGGGAAAAGGAGTAAAAACGAGGGTGAGAATAAAACCTTTGGCTTTGAAAGTGTTTTTAAAATCATTCGTGTTTATGTGCAGGTGTCTCACGTCTGGGATGGGGGAGTTGAGTCCGGGGATCTTGAGGTTGGGGTATGAAGGAGGGGGGCCGTACCTCTGCATGGCGATCAACCAGGGAGGCGGGACTTTGTGTGCGTTCTAGGGAAGGAGAGAGAGATGTTGAAACTCAAAGAAAACAGGGACAGAGCTAAAACTGTTGGACTTGGACCCAGAGCGACACTCAGGGTGCTCCATTTTTTCTAAATTCCGTCCCACTTCTTTGGAAAATACTTTGAATCTCAATTAAGAAGCTGTTATCATCGTGTTTGTGGATCTTACAGGTCCCACTGGCATGCCCAGAGCGATGCGCAGCTCGTCAGACAGATCGCCCGGCTTCTTCTCTTTCAGGCGGGTTTCAAACTCCTTCCCCTGCAAAGACACAAAAACACAAAGATGGTCACTTCATGGATCGTCTTGAGGGTCTGACTGCTGAATTCAGGGTGCACCAAGGAACTAAATGAGGAGAGAAATGTCCAAAAAGATCACATATCAAACCTCGTAGTAAAGGTCTCCGTGGATGGTGAGTTTGGGTTTGATCTGCCATTTGAAGAAAGCGTCGTGCAGCTTCTGGTAGTCGATGTCGATCTTCCCCATCTTCGGTCGGACCTTCTCCCTCATTTTGGTTTTCATAGTTTTGGCGTCCTCCTGCGAGCGGAAGAAACAAAAAGTCATCAAACACTCATTCCTCCTACAAACAGAAGACGTTCATGAAGCGTCTGCGCCGCACCTTCTCCTGCAGCGCCTCCCTCATCTCCTGGATCCCCGTTTTCTTGATGAACTCGGGGAGCTCGAACGGCGGCTTCTCTATGCCTCTCTTTCCCTGCAGGTATTTCCGTTTGAAGCACCAGTGGCGGGGGACCGGCACCGTGTTCCTGGTGGCCTTCAGGTGGACCAGCAGCTTGGGCTCCTGGGCGGTCACGTCGTGCATCTCGACCACGTCTGGGCGAGCGACCAGCTGCAGCACAGACGGACAAGAAAAAGAGGGTGAGGATTAGAAAGTAAAAGTAGGATAGTAGTCAAAGAATCTGTCAGAGTTTTGTTTTACCTGTTTGAGCTCCGCCACAGTCAGGCGGTTCATCCTCCTCAGCTTCTTCTTGGAGAGTTTGGGGACGTCTGGTCGGATTTCCTACAAAATAAAAACTATTAGAAACAAAACTCGGTTCTTACTGCTTAATTTTTTTAAGAGATACGAACAGAATCGAACCTCATCGCTGTCGTCGCTGTCCTTCTTCTCGTCCTCAAACCCTTTCTTGCGCAGCACAGCCGTCTCCTGCTTCTCGGCCTTCTCCGGCTCCTTCTCCTTCTCTTTCTTCACATCGTCAGTCAGCTGGAAAAGACGACAAAAACAGAAGCTTGTAAGAAAAAGAAACCCATGTACAGCGCTCGAAAGAGTCGAAAGTGTCCTCGAGTCACCTTAAACGCCTCGAAGATCCTCTTGAAGAAGATATAGTTGGGGTCGTAGATCTCCGGCTCCTCTGTGATGTACTCGATCTCCACCTCTGCATCCTTTTCTTTCTCCTTCTCTTTCTCCTTCTCCTTGTCGCCTCCTCCCTCTTTCTTCTGCTGCTCCTGCTGCTGCTCGGCCTGCTCCTTCCTCTCCTGCGCTCGCTTCTGCTTGCTCTTCTTCTTGCGGTTTCTGCGCCTGCGGTTTTTCTGGAGGTACAAGGTAAAAATGAGAATTCAAACAACTCTGAAAAACCTTTTTAAACATTTACATCTGGAAAAAAAAGAGTCTGTCTGAACAGTTCTTCTGTTTAGAGACTAAAAGCTAAAGCCGTTTCATTCTGTAATTTATGAGAACCGATCTCCAACTCTTCAGGAATTATTCTTTTATGTAAAACAGTAAAAAGAGAGAAAGGTTATCTAAAAAGTTGGTAGAACTTGGTGCGAGAAAAGACTTACATCTTTCTTGGACATCTGTCCCTCGTCCTCCTCCGTCTCGGACATGACTGCAGCAGACGAGTTGTTCATGTCCATCTCTGCTCCTTCGTCATCCTCTTCTTCTGATATTAAGAAAACAAAAAGTGAACACAAAGTGCAGATCTTCAACCTCAGTTTTAGGAGAATAAGAATATTTTTCTCATTCAGGCCCTTAGAGATAAGAGATCCCTCTGTTCTGACCTGCGGGGTCGGTCAGCTGCTCCTGTCTGATCTCCTTCAGCTGGAGGATCTTCTCCAGAGCTTGAGGGATCTTCGGCCCGCTGATGCTCACCTCCTCGCTCTGCCACATCTGGAAAAAGAGCAAAAAGACATCCTTACAATTCAGTACATCCTTACAGATGTAACCCAGAAAGTGTAATAACCAGCCTGAATGTGTAAAAAGCTCAGACAGACGGTTTACCTCTCTGTTATCTTCTCCAGGAGGAGGTGGAACTCTCTGTTTCTGCACCGGCATTGAGGTTATACCAGGAGGCAGCGGCCCACGAGGATCCAAACCTGCGAGACAAAAGTTTGTCAATTGGGCTCTAAAGAACTGCTGCAAACCTTTGATTTTGTAAAAGAGGATCAGAAACATCTGAAAGTGGACAAAGCGACCAAGTAGCTCAAAAAAACCTCTTATAGGACTCATGTCCAAGATTTATACTTCACTACTTTATCCTGATTCTTCAGGTTGTGACTCTGAAGCTGCTGTGGGATCTGAAGGTGATGTTTAGTCGTGCAGACTGGGACAAGATTTGCAGTGGGGTTTTCCTAAATGTACTTCAATCTCTATACGTGAACAGAACTTTAAACTCTTTCACCACCTTTATCACACTCCTGTTTGCCTCCAGATGATGTCCCCTGGCATCGCCAACCTTTGTTATAAATGTAAGTCGCACAAAGGTACTTTCATTCACTTGTTTTGGTCATCTGATCACATCCAGACTTTCTGATAGGGGGTTCACTCTGTAATCCAGGAGGTCACCGGTAAACAGTTTCCATTGACTCCCTCTTTCTGTCGACTTAATTATGTCCCAGACAGTTTCCCCAGATCCCTACAGTCGACATGTGGATATCAAAGATTTCTGCTCTTATTCCTCTCAAGAAACTGACTCATGATCTTCATCAGAAATCTGAAAAATTTTGGAGAACCTGGGAACCTTTGAAATCCTTTTTACACAAACTATAATTCATCATTTACACCTGGAAGATACAGACTGTCTGCCCTTTCACTTATTTTCTGTATGTGCCCTTTGTTTACCTGTCTCCTGTCGGCTCTTTGTTCTATTGTTTTTTTTTTCATCTTACGTCTATGTAGATATATAAAATGCATCGCTCATTTTTAGTTTGGGGTGGGATTTCTTTTGGTTTTGTATGTTTTTATAATGTATGTTTATAAAAGTGGAAAAAAAAAAACAATAAAAAGAGAATAAAATTTTAAAAAATACCTCTGATAGCGGTGACGGTGGGCATGCCTCTGGCCCCTGGACCCTGCTGCATCTTGACCATCTCCTGCTGACGCTCCTGCTCCATCAGCACTGCAGCCTGACGTAGAAGACGGGAGGTTGGAGTTACTCACATGATTCAGGAAAAAAGACTCAAGAGGATAGGAGGGAAAAAAGATGAGAAAAAAGGAGAAAGCCCTACCTGATCCAAGACGGTTTAAGATCTTTTCTGTTTATTATCTATTTAATATTAAGGGGATCGTTTACGCGTTGAGAACACTCTACAGGAACTCAAGGACTTTAAGGGGTTTGTTGAGTGAATCTGAATCCCCAGGGTTGCTATTTTCTCTAACAGGTGGACTATCTTTTATGTCTCACCCTCTTCTGTTGCTCCAGAAGATCCTGTTCATCCATGACACGGGGTTCACCCTGTGATACACGGAGACAATAACGTCCGAGTAACAGTCAAGTTAAAAAAGCCTGAGATGAGTCCTGCAATTTCTTAAAAAAAGCAGAAGGTCCTCATGATTCGTCTGGAAGCGTCACCTTCATTTGACCGCCAGAAGCAGAATTTTTATTTTATTTATTTATGTTTTAAGATTGGTGCTCAAAGCTTTGCTGAAAGATCAGTTTGTGATTAAAAGATGAAATTAATAGTTAGAAAAAAAGGAGAAAGAGTCGGTAACATCTGGGTGCAGTCGGCCCCACCTGCTGCTTGGCTCTCTCCTCCTGCTGTAACACCATGGCCGCTCTCTGCTGCACCATCTTCAGCTGATCGTCCTGCGACAGGCCCGGCGGGGGCAAACCCGGGGGCTCCATGCCCATGTGCATGCCGGGTGGAGGGGGCCCGCCAGGTATCATGCTCATTGAATGCATCATTCCCATACCTGGAGGCATGGGGGGCATGGGCATGGGGGGCATGGGAGGCATCCCTGGTATCTGAAGGAGAGGAAACATGAGAGACTTAGAGGCCGACCAGAAACCTCCTCTGTTCATCAAAACCTGATTTTGACATGAATCTCCTGCAGACATAAATAAATAAATAAATCTACATTTACAGATGATGCAGCAACAGTTTCTGAATCCATGCAGAGACTTCCATTATTCAGTCATGTCTGTTTTTCATACAGCGCCACCTTATGGTCCAAAATCTCAGCAATCAGGTCTTAGTTTTGTACTTTTCCCCATTTACTATTTTAAATCCAAAATGGGTCTTCAAGTGAAACTATGTTCAAACCGTCATTCTGTTTGTAACAACACTCGATCTAAAAGACCACTCTTGAGCCTGGTGGTCTTACTTGCTTCTGATGGTCACATATAGGCCCCAGTTTTGCTCCCTAACTGGCTAAACTCCACTCACAAGAGCTTCCAGCTGGTCTGTTAAAGGAATATTCTGGCGTAAAATTAATTTAGAGTCAAACACACCGTAACACTGAGTTAGACACCCCCTGGAGAAATGAATGTTGCCGACCGCTTCCTTCTCTAGTTATACCAACTTTAGTAACGACCGCAGGATAGCAATACACAGCAGTCTGAGGAGCCATAAACAAACATCAACCAAAACGCCACTCAAACCACAAATAATGCGAAGAGACTTAACACAACTCACCTACTCTCTTCCAGCAACAGCTTGTTTGTAACGAGACCTCAGGCCAGTCCATTACAGACTACAGCGGAGTTTCGCAGCTCAAGGAAGAACATTTATGATCATTTCTTTATCATTTCCTTGGAGTAATAATCATCATATTTATCATTTTACACTGCAGACGCGGTAGTTCTTCTGCCTTAGCGTCTCAGTCTGATTGCATTCCCATGAAGAAATGATCATAAATGTTCTTCCTTGAGCTGCGTCACCCCACTATAGTCTGTAATGGACTGGCCCAAGGTCTCCCTACAAACAAGCAGCTGCTAGAAGAGAGTAGGTGAGTTGTGTTTAGACTCTTTGCTAAATAAATTAGGCAAATTTAAAAAGGTGTTTGGTAAGTGGTGGGGCTAGGACCCTATATGTCCTGTTGATAAGGTTAGGTGCTGTTCTGAGCATTATTTGTGGCTATAGAGTGGCATTTTGGTTGAGCATGTGGCTCTCTGTATTGCTATCCTGCGGTAGTTACTAAAGTTGGTATAACTAGAGAAGCAAGCGGTCGGCAACATTCATCTCTTAAGGGGGTGTCTAACTCGGTGACCCTAAATTAATTTATACCGGAATATCCCTTTATGTCATAATTCTAAAAGTCAATAAGGTAAAAGTAATTCCTGTAAAAATAAACATGACAATCATTAGTGACTGTCTCCATTTGATGTATGTGACATACCTGTGGGCCCATTTGTTTGTCATCATTAGGTTTGCTGAGGAGGATCCCAGTCTGGAGAAGAAAACAAATCCATTAAAAGTACATCAGAGGTTTGAATGAGAGCAGCATGTATACAGAGGTGAAGTTGTTCCATGTTTGTGAATTCAGACTCTGGTTCTGAGGTCATACCTGGATCATGTAGCCCTTCAGTCTGTCAATCAGCTCCTCTCTGGGACCTGGAAAATGAGAATAACTATAATGAACTGAGATTTTACACATCTTATAACACTGTACTGTGGTTTTTATGAACATAGACTTGAAGAGTTTTGCTAAGCCCTCAGGATATAACAGCAAACATGAACTGTGACCACAGCTAAGCTCGAAGATATAGGTTAGCCTACATGTTCGAATGAGCATGTTACACATTTTTCATCATATTAGTAGTTAATCTGCATGATATGCAACAATTAAAGTAGTTTATAAAGTGTAAACACACCACAGGCCTAGTTTTAAAGTCTCTGTACAACGACTATGCTGCGTTCACTGAGCTAACTAGCATTAGCACTCGTTAGCTAAACACAACCCTCTCTTCGGCGCTCTCTGCGGCTTTTCTTACCCATGTTTGGCGCTCCCAGCTCCGCCAGCTTCCCCTGAAGCTCCTGGTGGCTCCATGTGTTCAACCCGGCGATAGCGCTCCCTAAATCGGACGGCAGGACTTCGGTTCCCGGTGGTCCCTCTGTCGCCATGTCGAGTTTCTCTCAATCAAACAACGGCGGCGCTGCGGAAGACACGCGAGCGGCGCAGGACGGAAATGGTGCGCGCAAAGCATGATGGGAGTTATCCGCGCTGCCTGCTGGTACATGTAGTTTAACAAAAGAGGACGAGCACTCACACTTTGTAACCGTTAGATGTCAGTGTTGAATCGTTGCATTTTCTTTGACTCGTTGACAAATTAGCCAGTGTGACTTTATAAATACTGATACTCAAACTAAATACTTATACTCAAAATACTTATACTCAAACTAATCAACTAAAGCTTGATAACATATGGATTTTCAAGGAGATATAAACAACTATAACAGTATTTGGTGACTCTCCTTAGGCTGCTGAAAGCCCAAAATGCGTGTATGTACAATGAAGGGTTACAAATCTGAAAATTGGTAGACCCTCTGTATTTTTGTATTCATAAACAGGATTGAAGCAGGTGGCAAAAGGAGAAAAAAAGCAACAAAAATAGCTTTTGAATGTACTTTTTGAATGTAAATTATTATTATTATTATTATTATTATTATTATTATTATTATTATTATTATTATTATAACTTTATTTTTGTAGCACTTTTAAAAACAGAAGTTTACAAAGTGCTTTGACAAACAGTTGCAAAGCATCAGCATATGAAAATAAAAACCAATAAAAACAAAAGCTCAGTTAAAAACAAGGCCTCCAAACTGAAGGCCAATTTCATTTGTCATAAGAAACCAAGACAATACAAGAACCCTACAACATAAAATGAGACCATGAGGACAAAAATAAAAACATAAAATAGGTAAGAAAAAGAAATGTAATAAAAAGGGGGTAGAAAGCAGGAAACAGGGTAGTAAATATAAAAAGACGATGTTAATAATGATAATAAAATCAAAATAAAATAATTATGATGGTTATATTAATGATAAAATGGAATAACAGAAATTAGCAGGAAAAAACAATAAAAACAATAAAAGGCCTAAAAGGTTAAATAAGAAAAGATTATAAGTAAAACAAAGGCTAAAAGGACAATAAGTCAAGATAGATAAGAGAAAAAACTCTCAACCTCTTTGACTCCTACACCTTCAAAAATATGTCTGTGATTCTGTAAAAAATGCCAAAATAACATTAAAATACAAGGAAAACTACTTGCAGCCCATTTAACACACCCTAGTGGTTGGTTTCAACATAAGTCCTGCTTCTGAGTTGTCATTTAGTCAATCATCAATAAAAATGTCAGGGTGGCCAGTCATATTTCAGGGCCATGGCTCCCTCTGGCAGCCCCTATGATCCGCCCCTGCTCTCCAGCGCAGACGCACTATAGAGAGAGTGCATTACCTCCAATAGATGAGAGCGGAGGCAGCAGGGCGTTTCTAAATAATAACCGCTGGTACAGCAAAGGGGAGGGGACGAACCTTCACTAAACATGGAAGGCAATAGAGAAAGCCAAGTTGCACATTGAATGTCTAAATATCTGCCTTTTGAAGAGAAGACCAGACAAGGTAAATATCAAACCTCCTTCACTCTGATTCCGATGTAGAGTTTGTGCTTCACTATGTGGGAGGGTTTCAAACTGGAGAGCTAGACTGAAAAACCTCCTGACATGACAGACCCAACTTTTTTTCTTTACATGAAGACGGAATGAAGTTTGTCGGCTGCTCTGTTGCGAAAATTGTAACCAGTCGAGTGAAGAAACTCCTCTCTGAGAACAGTCTCTGCAAAGTTTGGCAACACCACACGGTTATTTGTTGAGCTAAACCCCCCCGATAGAGCTCGGCTTTCTCTCTCCTCCATGTATGCGGATGTTTTCTTTGCAAAAACGGGGGTGGACGGGGTGTTTTACCCAGCTGTTCGTGTTGGTCAACTTGTGAAAGTTGCGCTTTGACAGCCGGACCTCCTCCCTGGGACCGCACCTACAATCAGGACTGCATGCTTATCTGACTGAGACATATGTGCGTCTGAAAATGTTACATGCACGAAGCTCAGATGACCCGAAATGCTCTGTTACCAACCCGTTTGAAGGGAATGATCGCTATCTTCATGCACAACCTGTTTTCAAGCTGAATTCTGATTTAGATCTCCGCAAGAGTCCGAGTTAATAATGCCCACATCAGACACTCTGAGTGTCCCATTGCAATGCAGGTCTATTTTCTCCATGAGTTTATAGCAAACGCTTTGGATATTTCATTTCACAGTGTTTGGAATATGAACCCAGCATGCAGAAATACACTAGACCACACACACACCCACAGGAGTTAGAAGAATCAGACAGTCTGAACCTTCATGATGTGCATTTTGGACGCAGACATGCATCAGCAGAAATAAGCAGAAGTTACAGTAGAATATTGATGATTGTGTGAGTTTGACATCTTTGTATGACTTGTACAAACTCTCATGACACTATCTTTATCCTTTATGATGATGTTTTGCCATTATATCTTTGACAAATGCACATACATATGCTCTACTCTTCCTCAAATCCTCAGAAGTCCATTTTCATGAATACACTAGTGCTGTTAGTCTGTCACAGTTCTTTGTTATGTGTCTGGACAAGCCGTCTGCAGCTCGTCACTTCTCTTAAATGTCACTACCTGCACTGAGGTGGAGGATTTCCGTGTGTGTGGGTGTGTGAGTGTGTGTTTGTGTGTCTAAAGGGGAGGGGGGGCTGTCTAAGTGTATTTCACATGCATGCAGGAGGAAATGAAATATTCATCATAACCAGATTGGTCTCACATGGGGCAGGATGCACCCCGAAAACACCGAGCAGAGATGAGAGGAAAGGAAAACGTCAAATGGTTTTTGCATGTGTGCATTTTTACAGCGATGCTAGCGAATTTATTTTGACTTCATATACTCTGAGATGATCTAATTTTAGACTATGACTAAAACAACAACAACAGTACAGGATTACAGTACACTGGGGTGATAGTATTTAAAGCTCCTGTGAGGAACTTTTGGGTTGTGCCAATTTTAGCGCCCTCTGTGGACAAAGTAGTCTTTGCTTTGTTTCTTGAGCTGATCGGCTGACACCTACCCCCTCACCTACCCCAACCACCAGGCCCCGGTCTAGTACCGATCTGTGGATCAATAAGTACTGGGCCGCAAATTAAAAAAAAAAAAAGATGTTTGATGATTTTTTTTTCCTTTTCATCCATCCTCCCAATATTTTATTTTGAAAGACCACCACTTCCTCCATCGCCTCACTTTCGCGCTTGACTCTTCGGGTCATTTTCCTGCAGCGTAGTGTAATGAAAAGTGCCTAATATAAAATGTAATTGTTGTATTCAGATTACATACTATGAACTGATTATGGTTTTTGTTATTGGAACCTCTGCGCCCCTACCCGGTCCTTGGAAAAAGTTTCCTGCATGAAACTGGTCCCTGGTACAAAAAGGTTGGGGACCACTGTATAAAAACCCTCTGGCTTGTTGCTGATGGTCTTTTTTGCTTTTGTTTATCATAATAAGGCTTTTATATGAATTTTGGTCAATTTGATAACGCCCAAAAAACTCCCCAATGGAGCTTTAAGTGTAAATCAAACTTTTGGTAATCTGTAGATCGCTTATAAATCAATTTTTCAAATCAACTTACAATGCAAAATATTTAATAAACAAAACAGAAAAGGTCCCATATATATGATACGTAGAGGCACAAAGTTATCAGAATATCGGGTGCATCTATGGTCTAATTTATGGACTAATTTTTTGGGACATACTGTTGCTAATATTCTTAGTTTTGGCCCATAATAATACAAACTGTTAGACCTTTAATGATAAAAAGTGTAAACATAAGTTAGTGTTGTGTCATTCGCGAATGATTGGTTCAAAAGAACCGAATCTTTTAAGTCAACGTACTGAACTGAATTACTTCCTCAATTGATTCGTTCGACCAGCAGCTGGCGAACAAGAGACCACCTGCACCAACGCCTGAATCACTTGGTGAACGAATCACTCATTGAACTTCACTCTCTGGAATCATTTTTGTCGGACAAAACTAACATTTTCTTTTACTGCTAAATTGCCACCACAACAACTTTCATACAATAGGACACAGCATGTAACAAGTAGTGCATCAAACCCGCAGCATGCTAAATGATTCGGTGATTTCGTCTTTTGAACGAATCTTTTTAGTGAACTGATTCTAGTGATTCAGTACGTCTAAAAGAACTACCATGCCCATCACTAACATGAGTAGCTATATCAGTATTTAAGCTAGCTAGTATGATAAAATGTATCAGAAATTTATGGATTAGATAAAATAAATCAAATTTCGTAAAGAAGAGTACAATCTCGCTAACAGACATTGCTAGCTCGCTGTAGTTTCTTCAAGTTTCGTAGGCCTGTCACGTTTTGTTTTTGTCACGTACCAAAAACAAACAAACAAAAAAATGTATTTAGAGTTTTGAGCCCAATGTAGGAGTAAAAAATTAGGCCTATTTGTTCATGTTTGTAGTTTTACCTCAACAGGTTTTGACAGATGTAGAAACCTGTTGTAGTCGCTACATGTTTCGTCTCTGGCTCTGATAGCTGGAACATTTTTCTCTCTGTGAACCGGGTCGTTTTTATGGGTGTGGTTGACGGTGAGCAGTGGAAACAGTAACAGGTTTATTTTTTTTTCTGCTCTCTGTTCGCCAATAAGAGCCAGACTCTTCTCTACTCCTGCTGCGACCGCTTGGGACTCGAAACAGGAAGAGTGTTTGCTCCGGATAGAGGAGAGTTGTAGCAAAGAAAAAAAAAGAGAGAGAGAGAGAGAGAGAGTGCTGTAAGACATAAACAAAGAGATGATGTTATAAATAAACCGTGGAAGTAGCAGAGCGAGTAGCTACGACAAAGACGGGCAAACTCGAATGAACTCTTCAGGAAGCTCCAGATCTGTCAAGAGCTTCAGTGGCTCTAATGACAGTTTACACTTCCTCGTCCTGGGCTCTGCTTAATTAAAGAGTCAGAGAGAGAGAGAGAGAGAGAGAGAGAGAGAGAGAGAGAGAGAGAGAGAGAGAGAGAGAGAGAGAGAGAGAGAGAGAGAGAGAGAGAGAGAGAGAGAGAGAGAGAGAGAGAGAGAGAGAGAGAGAGAGAGAGAGAGAGAGAGAGAGAGAGAGAGAGAGAGAGAGAGAGAGAGAGCTTTTGCTTGTTGCTGCTTTCATTGTGCATCAGTCCTCACAGTAAACCACACTTTGTGGCAGCCTCCTGCATGTAAAATACACCGACCCCCGCTTTGTAAAACGCCTTTGTGATTAAACATTGACTCTGATGCGTCTCTGACTGACACTCAGCGGTAAAAGTAGCGCCGATATGCCCGTTGTGACTAATCCCTTAGCTATGCGTAGCGAGCACGTGTGTATATGGTTGACTGGAAAGAAGTAGGGAGTGTCCACCTGCCTTTAAAACCCGTTACAGTTGCTGCTTTTGTATGTTCAGTACAAACAGGTATAGAATTATCTATGGACTTGTTACTCTGCATACTTCTGCTCTGCTGTGTCTTACTTTCGGCTTCTTTCTTTCAGGGTTTATGTGCTGGTGGGCCAAAGAAACGACAGAAACCCCACACTCCTGTTGGCGTCTTCCACCTGGACGGAAAATACCAACAAACTGAGATTGTTCAGACAAAATCTGACCAGATTTTGAGACCCTGTTGTTGGATTTGAGGCATCCAGCTACTCTAGAGCCACAAGATCCTGTCAATATTTGGCAGCTTCTAAATGGCCACAGATTTTACGTTCTGATTTTGTCTCTAAAGCTTTTACGACTTTCTCCGAGAGTTAACTTGAGGCTGCAGTCGGTCAAAGTTGTCCCATAAGTTATTGAAACATCTCTTCATCTTTCTGTAACATCCAACAAAAAGTGACGTCCACCCCACGCTCTTAAGTCCACCACCTCAGGATGGAGTCGCACATTTACTCGGCGACAGGCATGGCTGCCAGGCTGAGGAGCCAATGGGATCGAGACGACGGTCTGGGGCAGAACCACAACGCTGTGAAGTTCCTGGGTCAGGACTTTGCTTCCCTCAGAGCCCAGTGCGCCCAGAGCGGGAGGCTGTTTGAGGATAGTTTGTTCCCTTGCGCTGCGTCGTCTTTGGGATTCAACGAGCTCGGACCAAGATCGTCCAAGACCTACGGAGTGCGCTGGATGAGGCCCACGGTAAGAGAGAAAAGGGGTGGGATTGAAAAAGTCTTTGGGTGAAAATTTTTCTCCACAAGACTGATGTAGCGACTCCACAGACCAACCTTGTCGCTTGAAAGGAAAGTTGAGGGTCGCTTTCTCCATAGACAATCATGAGGCTAAGAATGCACTTTCATGGTGTTTAATGATACATCTGCTAAAACGGTCACACACACAGGACTCCTTTTGGTAACCCGTACGTTACCACAGCAACCACAAACACCACGTGACTCAAACAGACTTATTACCTTATGGCCCCTACAACTTAGCCTGGCTCGGCCATCCAGTTGCGTGAATCACTTGCCGTTCCTTCCCACAACAGTCTGGACTTCGGCCAATTGGGAGCCCTAAAAGTGGGCGGGACTACTTTCCTTGATAGACAGACTACTGTAACCAATCATCTGACGTCATCACAGTGCACAACTGTGTTCCCTGCTGGGCTCTCAAGCATCAGGTAATGGCTTGGTAATATTTCAACGTGTGCGAGCAAACAATGTCTTTTACGTCTTCTTCTGCGGATATAAATGATTTCTGCCGACTTTGCGAAGTCACCTGCAGAATTAACGGCGTTCTGAATGAACGGCACTTTGAAAAGTCCCTCAGCATGTGTTAGACGTCACCGTCTACACATGGACCAATCAGAGGCTGCCTTTCACTGTTGTCAGGGGAACAGTGGAAACACAGTCACTGATTGGCCCGGTTAGTTTCTGATCGCTAATACATGCTCCCAATTGGCCGAAGTCCAGACTGTTGTGGGAAGGAACGGCAAGTGATTCACACAACTGGATGGCCCAGCCAGGCTACCTACAACTCAAATATTGAAGAGTCACTTCATTGGGAATAATCTGTATTTTGTAGCAGAGCTTCCTATGTGTTGGTCGTGCGCTTAATTCCAGTAGGAAACAACCTTTTTGGTGTTTTTTTTGTTTTTGCTTCTCTGGTCTGATTTTCTGATAATATAGCAGGAATGACAGCGTCCAAACAATGCCTGAAAACAACAGTGGGCTTTAGCTGTACTATTCATAAATAATATTATATAATCTGGAATTTTAATATGGAAGTTTAAGTTCCTTTTAGACGGTCATGTGCTGTAGATAAAACATTAGCCAGTAACTTCCTGGAGTGAAAAACAGAGACCAAGTTCTCTTATTCTAAAAACGATCTTTTCCTCACATTAATCCTGACCTTTGGGTTGACCTTTGACCCTTTGCATAGCTCACTTTGATTTGATCCGATTACTCTCGCTGTAAAAAGCGCTGAAATGACCAGTACAATGAAATACTGAGTCTGATAATGATTAATGATGACATTTCATGGTCGTTTTTGGTTTAACAAACATTAACAGCATTTATGACATTTACAAAGCGCGGCATCACAGTGACTCCACTTTGAAGTGAGGCGAAACGAAAGTGAAGGAGGTACTTGGTTACTGTCACTATGTCCCTTTTTCACTTATAGGGCAGTAGTGACTTAACCACAGCAGTGAATCTGTATAACATGGTTAAAAACATGCAGGTCCTTAAACTTTGAGGACAACTGTGAAAGAATTATTGACACTAATGTCCTTCTTTCTGTTTCACATTAATTAATGACTTCGAAACTGAAGAGAAAACGATAGAATTTCAATTTGCTACCATTTTGTTTTGCTAAGATAACGAATAACCTGTTAAATAATCTATAACTGCAAAGTAACCTGTCTTAAAACTGAAGTAATAAGACTGTCTCAATGGTAAAACTCAGCTACTAACATCCAACACTCCCTCTGTTCTCCACCAGTCAGTGAATATGTCACACATGGATCACAGCGCTCCATATAGCTGCATTTGCATGTCTTCATTAGGTGTTATCACGACAGCTCTGAGGACGGCGCTCCCTCACGCTGCTGGTCTGGCACATGCCGTGTCAGGTCGCTCTTGTCAGCGCCGTAATCGAGAATCAGGGAGACAAGTCTTGATCTTAAAAGCTCTCAGGGTCGGGATCACCAGCGTGACTGCAGCCTCTCGGCTCTCAGCCCCTGTTATGTGTTAACACGTGTATGTCGCGTGTTCGGTCCTGATGCTTCCCGGGGTCTCGACTCTCTCCAAAAAGTCTTGTGTTGTATAATGTATGGGCTCAGGCCTGTAATATTAACGCTGCACAAGAGGGTTCACGCTGTTCACATTTCTCCTAAAATCAGTGCTCTGTGCGAGTCTAAAAAAAGACGGTTTTAGCTGCTGTGTCAGTGAATTCAACCGTGTTGATCTGATGGTCTGTGTGTTTGTGGGCCACGAGGATAAATGGGAGATTTCTTTTTATAGCCTCATGTGGAGTTTCTCACGCTCACCATGCTGAGCAGGAGATGGTTTATGAAGGAGGGCATTATGGGAAACAAGAAAGACCAGAACATGTCAGGGTGTTCTTGAAATGTTTGTCGTGAAAATCTCGACAGCAGGAAAAACAAAATTTTCACATTTTGGAAAAAAAACTCTGAAGGTCCTTACACACCGGGAATGACGCAAATATACAACCTGAAATTACAAAATATTCAGAGGCGAATTTTGACGCCGCTGACAATACACATCAAGCGCGATGCAATTTTGCGACTTTCCAGGGGGAATAAAGACGTGTCCCAGTTGGAAGTGAGAAGACTGACACAACAGCAGACTGACTGTTTTTCAGTTCTGTTTAGACTCTAGTGTTGAGATGTCTGTCTGTCATGATAGCATGTACTGAGTCGGGGCCAGTACCTGATAAGAACATTAAACTATAATCCATAAACGTAAGGTAACAACCGAGACCTAATGGTGCTGCGACAGCAACGCGATTGAGTTTGAGACAGTGAAGATACATATGGTATGTTGTATCTGAACAGGTTAGCTTACGAGCTAAAGTTACTTAGCACAGATGAAAGTTAAAACAAAGACGTTTAGCAAACTGTTAAAGCACACAAACCATCGTCATATGAGAAATCCGACGCTGTGACTCTCCACAAGTTGTCCTTCAGGTCGTTGTCTTTGTAATATTTGTGTCTTTTATCAAAAATCACTCTGTTCTCCGACACGTAAACAATCAGCCGGTCGGCCATGTTGGATATACCGGTGAATCTGACGTCGCAACAACTCCAAATCTGATTGGTCAGAAGTGGACACACAGAATGTGAAACTTTAGAAAATTCGACTGTGATACGAAAAATAAATGTCGCAATATCGCAGGATATCAATACAAGTAGCGAAACCTTCAACTGGGATACCTTTTCAAAGTTTATCTTTAGCGAGAGTTCGATGCAGTGTAGCCGGACGTAAACATTAGCTTCAAGCAGAAACAAAACCTTCGGTGATCGAGCAGCATGTCTACGAAATGTCGACATAAGTCTCGACTTACCCTGTTAGCTCTAACGTCACCATGAACGTTCAGCCTATGTAGGATGTAAAACCAATTTTAGGTGATTTCACTTCATTGGACTGGATTTCTCAAAAACACGTTGACTCGTCTTTTGTGTCATTTCCACAGCTCTACAGACATCATAAGATAACAGTAAATCAAAAGTAAAGATAAGACAGGTATAATAGCACTGATTTGTTTTCTTTGTGTCCTCGACAGGAGTTCTGCAAGAGGCCCGAGTTCATCGTAGACGGAGCCACTCGCACAGACATCTGTCAGGGAGCTCTCGGTAAGTTCAATCACAAGAATTTCTTGTTACTACTGCAAGATTCAGCTGCCAGACGAGACGAAGAGTTCGGGTTTAATCCAGTAGAAAGTTCTTGGTGAAAAGTCAAAGAAATATGTGGCTGACTGGAGGATTGCCAACATGCTGGGGGAGTGTAGGACATGAATAAATAATATCGTCCATGGATTAACATTTTTTCCAACTCCTTCTGTGGATTATGGTTTGATATAGTGATTATATTACCATGATGTTATCACTATAACATAAAAACCCTTTACAAGGTCTCAGAAAATACAACAAAAAGTATATTGATGTAGTGGAGCTCAGTTACTGCCCTTAGCATTAAAATTAATGTCATATATCTCTAAATTTACTATATTTTAGCTGCATTAACCCAGCTGTCAGGAGATAATTCAAACTGTTTACTGACTCCTGTTGTAGAAACGTCAGTAAACCTCCTTCTTTGTTTAAAAGAGACTGAGCTCTTAAATAAACATGACAGATTACCTTCAGTATAGATTAACAAAAGACCTCAGGTCAAACTAAATCGACAGGAAGGACAGATGGAGAAGCCGTCCTTGCGGAGAGAGAGTAACCGTCCACTCAGCCGCACCAGTAACAGCGTCTCAGCCCGGGATGTTTCATGCTCGACACAGAGGTACATTTATAATTCATGCTTTGTTTTTCCCAGCCTCACATCTGTAAACAAGGCCGGCGCTCCCTCTGTTTGAGCAGATCTGGCAGAGCAGGAAAGCCGCTTCCTTCATCGCGAAATGCAAAACTAAAACCAACAGTATCACTCCCCGAGGGGCTGCTGAACATGATAAACAATACAGGCTCAAAACGCAGAGCCAGAAGACATTAAGCTTCATTTTGTCGTGCAGCCAAAACGCTGCGGACGGAGTGTTTTTATCAGTCATTGGGGGGTTATCTGTTAGACGACTGGTGTGGATCTGTTTACAGATAGTTTGAAGGGGAAGTGAAACAGCCTGGATTTCTTTTAGCGTAAAAATGAAACCAGCTCTTCAAACAAAAACTACCAAGAAGTGACTTATCTCACATCAAATGAGAGCGGTGAATCTACTCAATCAAAGAGTGGGAGTTGATTTACTTCTAGATCCAAGTCCAAGAGAGGAAAGATAACAAAACAAAGACCCCTGTTTGTGTCTTTGAGGGGATTATCTGGACGAATGATGAACATCGATTTAAAACAGTCGCCCCTCTTAAAGGTGAATCATCTGGTTTTCAAGGAGTCTGAAAGAAAAAATCAGACAAACAATGGCTCTTGAACATTAACCCACCCACACATAATTCACAAAAGGCCAACACACCCACAGAGACTTTTGGACACGACAACCCCGCCCCCAACTCCTGATGGAAGAACTTCTTTCTTCTAGCCTGGCAAAGAGTTGGCGCCACTCTGGAACCAGTTTTTCTGAAGAACTGGTTCTGAATCAGGCGCTGGTTCCAAACTAGCACTAGCACAGGCTTGTTGGAGAAAGGGTATTTATGTGTTGATGGGTTTAAAAAAAAAACATACTAATGAAGGTCATGGTTCATGGTTTTTGCCCCAAGTGTGGGACTTCAAGTATCTTAGGAGTGAGGGTGAAATGGTTCTTGTGGTTGGCTGGCGGACTGGTCAGCAGCACTTTGAGTGTTGTACTCATAGACTGTATGTAGAATGGACGCCGTCTACCTCCTCGCTGGGTAACGGCACCCTCTGGTGACGGGCTGCAGTATAGGTCATAAATCTTGCCTCCTCCAGCAATCCCTATGGAGCTGTGGACAAACTTTAGAAATTAATTACACAGAATATAAATTTTTCTCCCTCCTGGTTGCGATGTTGACATGTAGTTACTGTAAGACTGGTTTGTGCTCAAGTCCCCTTTTTTCTGTACAGCTCCGTTTTTAAAAGTTATTAGGGGGTTCATGTTTTCTATGATTGACACTTGATACAGCCTATGGGCGGACGAAGATTGTGTAGCTCACCAGGGGAATACACTATTTGAGCTGAGCGTCATCACAGCGACTCTCTGCGACTCTCCCACCGAAGGCGTACAATGCTGCTGCACAATGTTGGTTTTCGGAAATGGAAAAAAATTGCGAAATACCGAGAGCTTTTCAGCTTCATGTCCGTATATCCTGGCGGAAGGTGGAACCAAGTTGTCCAGAGTATATACAGTCTACGGTTGTACTGGACCTTCATGGTGCAGAGAGATGAGCCAGGTTGAACCAGTTCATCTACACGCCAACCCTCACCTGTGGCCATGAGGTCTTGGTTGTGACCCAAAATATGAGATTGTTGATTCAAGCAGGTAAAGAGAGTTTCCTCTGAAGGGTATCTGGACTCAGCCTTAGAGATCAAGTTTGAAACTCGGACATCTGAAGGGAGTTCCTGCTCCTTCGCGTCTTGTCTTTCCATCATTGTCTTGTCTTACTTTCTAAAATTTCCATCATGAAAATCTGATCGCCCTCGCTCTACACTTTTACCATAAATCATATCTCATTCCTGAAAAGTCTCCATTCTACAGTATTTTTCCGTAAACGGCCGCAGTTATTTTTGGAGGGCTGTCAAAGTCTCATGTCCTTTCTCTACTCCACTGGAGCCAGCGCCTCTCCCATTACCCAGAGGGCAAAGCTTGTTCAAACATAGCTTCAAACTCTCGCCTGAGCTGTTAAAGGGTGAATTCCACTTTCATGAGTTTCTTCTCGCTGAGCGCATTCCAGTTTTATCTCCACGGCGTGAATGAATTCTGGCTTTAGGAATAAAAGCTTGAGTTTATTTTAGAAAGACTGGGAAGATTTCAAAATGATTGAATGTGTTTGAACGTCTCGACTGCAGAAGTGATCGAGGGTAATAAATCTGTGTGTATGTGTGTGTGTGTGTGTGTGTGTGTGTGTGTCCTTAGGTGACTGCTGGCTCCTGGCAGCCATCGCCTCGCTGACCCTGAGCGACGACCTCCTGCGCAGGGTGGTTCCTCATGGTCAGAGCTTCGGGCAGGGATACGCCGGCATCTTTCACTTCCAGGTGATGAGAATTTACACTTCTGAATCTGAACACTGAAGATAGAGACACAACAAACACAACAAACGCCTATTAACACAAACCAAGGTCCTCACAGGAGCTTTGAAGGTACAGAGGGTGTCCGCCTCCCAGACTCTGACGATCCCACAGGAAACAGAACATGGTCTAGACCTGCTTTTGATGATCGGGGGTTTTTAGATAAGGATTATATGAGTCATGACTTTTACTTCCAAATGAGTAAAAACTGATATTTGCCCAAAACTGGGACTTTCAGCTCCAGAAAACGGAGGTCAGTAGCTCGATGCTGCCTTGCATCATGAGGCGTCTTTTTTTTACGCCAACACTTCCTGTCGTGTTGAGAGCAACACTGGTTGTGCAAACCGTTCAGCTTGTTTTAACTTTGCACAGTTTCATTATCTGTCATTCGTTCAGCTTGGGAGTTGGTTTATTTCTCGTTGTTCTTGGAGGCTGTGGCGTTTTTTGGTGTCGAATCACAAGTCAAAGGAAAGTCCCTGACGCTATCAGTTATCAACATTAGCCTCTTAAATCTCTTCCTTGTATTCATAACTTCTTTTATTTTCTCTTTTCATTCACTTATTCCTGGCAAGAACACCTTATTATGACTTCATGTTGTCCGTGTTCATGCTTTGGCCAACACCCGTTTTTGTTTTTAACACTTAATGGATGACTTCTGGACCGTATTATAATACAAAGGTGTCGTCCACTATCACCTCTCACATGTGTCAAACTTCTCCTCCCGCTTTGATATATATTCATAGAAATATCTCCTTCTATCTCTGTGGTTGAGCCTCTGGCAAAGCGTCAGGTTTTTACAGCTGAACTTTGCTCCGTACCTAAAACCAAACACTCCAGATTCACTCGGCTGGCAGCAGCAAATAGGTGTGTCCGCTCACAAATCCTTCCCCGCCGTAGGTAAACAGGGAAGTGTTCAGCCCGGTGCGAGGGAGTAAAATCCAGCATGATAAGAAGATAAGTTTGAATACGAGAGAAATAAATGCAAAAGTTTCCACACAGTGGAATCAAAACTCTTATCAACTTTTAGAGGCGGGATTCAGCGGGACCTTGTGTCGGTTCATAAAGTGATTAAATATTAACTGATTAAAGCTTCAGATTTATTGTTTGATTATTATGCAGGTTCGTTTTTATATTAGATGTTATAAGTAGAGATTTGGGGTAAGTCCCCAATTATGCTGCGTTCCAGTTTGGGGTGTCCCAATGCGATATTGATATCAGATATTGGTCAGAATCAGCCAAAAAACAAATATCAGATTATATCGGCCTGCATCTAAAATATCAGATATCAGCTCTCCGATACAAGCAGTCCATTCCAGACTCCGCTTCAGCACCTCTATCTAGCCACGTCCTGATCCAGCAAGCTGAGCCAATGTGATCACAACAACAGTGTGTACTGAGGTACTAACAAAGTAGCAAGGAGTAGGAGTGATGTTGGCCATGTGGCAGAAAAAGATGTTGCAGCTGAGTGAAAAACTTGTTGTACGCAATTTTGTGCCAATATCGGATCAATTTCGGAATCGTATTGGAAGTAAAAAAAGTTGTATCGGGACACCCTTAGTTCCAGTTACCTCAGAAGTCGAATGTCGGAGCTGGAAAAAACGCTACACCCGAGTTGACGGTGTTCCAGTAAACAAGTCGCAAAACCAAGATGGACGCCTACTGTTAGCTGTTGTTAGTTGTTGTTAGCTATACCAGTTGTAAACAACACACAACACAGTATTTTACTCTTACAAACACCATAGCACCGAGTTCACAGTCTGACGTTTAGCAGTACAACATAAACCACTTAGTGCTAATAAATAAAACATTACGAGAGCTTTTACTGTTACTCTTTACTGTTGATGCACTGGGCTGCCATCTTGGATTATGACGTTGTCGTCAAGTCGGGGTTGCTAACTTTTTTTTGTAGAACTGTAGGGTAAGGTCCCGCCCTCCTTCGCCTCTGATTGTCTAGAAGTGCTGGGCTGCGATTGGTTATTCCTTATGGCTGTGAAACGTCATCGTCTGTTGGGTTAGGGTTAGGTGATTCAGAAGTGCGATAACGTTCTGTAATGTTCCGTTGGATGTACAAGGCCGACAGCCTGCATTTGTCTTGATCGTGTGATGACGTTTCCTGCTTTTCTAGCCAATCAGAGGCGAAGGAGGCGTGACTTTTCCCTACCATCCTACAAAAAAAAAAATATTGCGTCGGGGTTGGAGAGGATTGTTCGACTTTCTGAGTCGGATATCCGACATCAGGGGGGCGTTCCAGATGAATTTCCGACTTCCAAGTACAACTGGAACGCTGTATAAGAATAACTTATTTATCTGGTTTATTCTGAATCTGTGTCATGCTGGTCGGCTTAAATACGGTTACATTTCACGGCTACAGTCACCAACACAAGTGGAAACCAGGTATTCGCCCAAAATCAGACTTTGATTTAAAATCTAGTAGGAGTGTAATAAACTGCAGCAGTGTAGATCAGTGTGTGTCTGTTCTGTGATCTCCCATGTCTCACAGTCTGTACTAAAGTGCGTGTTTGAGCCCCCGTCTGTGTGTGCGAGCTCTCCCCCGTTTGATCTCACATCAGCGTGTCTGCAGAGCAGGAGAGGTTGTTAACCCTTAAACTGAGTTGCTAAGCAGACTTTCATGTCGTCAAGCGCTCTGGATCTGCTTTAAAAGCCGGAGAGAAAACACACACACACACACAGGGACAGGGGGCTTTGGTATTTCATGATTGTTGCTTTTATGTGTCTAAACAGTTCAGGTGTTTGTGTGTTAGTTTTCTTGACCTGCGTTGTCACAGAGAGCTTTGAAGCTGAGGCGGCTTCCTCTTTGACGCAGTGAGTCCTGTGCCAAGCAGACTGTCAGCCTGCCAGGAGAAAACCGAGGGGGTGAGGAAGTGAAACACGGAGGAGAGAGAGGGGAAGCTCTCGTTGATCAAAGATGTCTATTACATGAGACAATGTGGAAGAAACATGTACAACATATCCTCTCAGATACTTCACGCTTCAGTCAGCGATCCAAAACATCAAATCGTGACACTTTGGGACTCCTCTCAGTTCAACAAATAAAATCTACATCCATAAAAACTTTCAAAATGAGATTGCTTAATTATTAACATCTGAAACTTTTTAGTCCATCAATCCAGAGGCGAACAGACGATGTTAATCCGACTATGAGGAGTTCAGTTTAGAGTAATTTCAGTTTAACCAACATGTTCACGTGTCAGGCAGATGTTTTTGGGGATATCCAGTCTTTTAGAGATCTGTGAATCGTTTATTTTTCTGTCGTGTCCTTGAAGAGTCGAGCTTTGAGACCGCTGTGCTGACTCACCAGAAACACACACTCACTCAGAGGGATAATTTAGCCGAGCAAATATGGATTTTGGCCCTTTAGAAAGAACACTTAAAGCATCAGTATCAGAGTCAGATGTCTTCCTGGTGCTGTTGTGATACCTCCCCTTCTTCACAGAGGTGGGGGCTTGACGACTCGACTCGAGACTCGACTTGGACTTGAGTCCCGTTTTTGACTTGCTTGATGAAATCAAGAAATGACTTGGACTCACTTGGGACTTGATTACTAAAGACTCGAGACTTGACTTGACTTGAGCCCAGTGACTTGAAAAGTCAAGTCAAGTCTTTTCAAGTCACTTACTACCTTACAGCAAGCCCAAACCGTTTAAAAAGTGTCGCATCAACTAATAGTCAGGAATTACGGTTGTTGGTAACACTGTGTTGTGTTGCCAAGTCTGCTTGTTTTTGTCTTGTTTCTGGAGGTCTGTTTCCTTATTTCTCTCACCAAACTTGGCAACACTGTCTCAAACTCTAGCCTCCCTCATAACGACAACACCGGGAGGACTGAACATAAATCGCTCGCTAGTATTGCCCGCCTGTTTCCACGTGTCGCCTCGTGTCTCTCTTTTGTTTTGTTTTGGAACAGTGAATTAGAGTATCAGTTTAATGTTTAATCGTATTTGAGTCTTCCTTATTTTTGTGCACTTTGTCTAAGTTTCCAATTATTGAAGTTTATCTGATTATTTTTCGTATGACATGTAAAATAGTTTGGTTAAAGCTGCACTGTATAACTTAACACAAACAAGAACCCTTGTTTAATAATGAATGCAAATAGCGAAAAATGATCATGATTAATGTAAATCTTTACATATAACAAATGGTTTTTGACTTGAAAGAAACGGTAAGGACTTGGTTGGGACTCGAAACAAAAAGTTCAGGACTTGTACTTGACTTGGGACTTGTCTGTGTTGACTTGGACTTGACTTGGGACTTGTCTGTGTTGACTTGGACTTGACTTGGGACTTGAGAGCAAAGGACTTGGACTTGACTTGGGACTTGTCTGTGTTGACTTGGACTTGACTTGGGACTTGAGAGCAAAGGACTTGGACTTGACTTGGGACTTGTCTGTGTTGACTTGGACTTGACTTGGGACTTGTCTGTGTTGACTTGGACTTGACTTGGGACTTGTCTGTGTTGACTTGGACTTGACTTGGGACTTGTCTGTGTTGACTTGGACTTGACTCGAGACTTGAGAGCAAAGGACTTGGACTTGACTCAAGACTCAAGAGAGCAAAGACTTGAGACTCGACTTGGACTTGCAACATAAGGACTTTCCCCCACCTCTGCTTCTTTGTTCCTGGTTATTTCTGGCGCTCTTCATCAGCGATCCCCATATGCCGCACAACATCTCGTTCTGCTCGAGTTGAATCGGTGGTTTCATTTGCTCCAGAGGCTCATAAACACACGCGTGCGGTTAATGTATGCTAAAGCTAAATGGCTCGTAAGTCCATGTGGCTGCTTCCATTTAACGAACAGTCGCCCTAGTTTCATCGCCCAGTTACGTCTCTGTGAGTTGTGCGTTTGTACGGCTGCCAATTAGATTTTCTCAGGCTCTTGTGTTTCCATTACTTGCAGTTTTCTCTCTGCCTGAGCATGTTTCCCATTCTGTGCTTTTCCTGCGCCGTTGATTCTTTCAGGGATTCCTCTGTTTGGATTCCTGAAGCCTCCGGGTGAATTACTGCAGACCTGAATGAGTCATAGCAAAAATGTAATTATCGGCACCAGCAGTGGGGATCGTACTCGAGAACAAAAAAGAGGAGGGATGAATAATAAACCAGGTAATCTCAGCTGTGAACTGGCGCAGAATTTCTCATGATATTCTTAATTTAGCGCAGATCGCTGAATCGTACTGGCGGTTTGTTTCTCAGGCTTTACTGCCTGGTGACTGCGAGTCATGACACAGATGTGGTGAGAGCTTCCTCCCCTCAGTGAGGCGGGCTGTCACTCCCATAATGCTTTGAAATGAATCAGCCATGTGTGTGTGTGTGTTTGCCAGGGGCGCGTTCATGTTTGTGTGCTATTGTGACACAGCTCCTCCCGGAGGTGGATTCAGCTCTGCAGGGCCACTCAGAGGACCTCTACATAGACATCCATCATCCTGCTGAGCACAGTGAAGAGAGCGCTGTCTTCAAATTCACAAACACGCGCTCACTCACAGCTGCGGCCGTTATCCGCCAAATTACAATCCTGCAACTCCCTCGCCCCCCTTTACTTTTTCCTGCAATTGAATTACCCAGTCGTGGAAATATTCCTTCACTCTGTGCTCTGATTTGCATGAAGATTATTGCATTGTTCCTGCCTGAAGGTCTTTGCATGAATACAACCGGCTCCTGCACCAACACCCACTCTTGTAGATGCTCAAGCAATAAACATTCGATTAGAGTTAGTTATTCATTTGTTCTGTTATTATTGTGGGTCTGAAATGCTGTTCGTATCCCGATGTAGCTGAATGATAGAGCAGAAGGAGGTTTCGCTCTCTATTGGAGTTTAACTCTGGAGCTTTTTAGTTTAGCTTCAGTCTGCCAAAACTGCAAACATGAAACTCGAGTCCCCAGAACTCTCGGGTTAGTAATCGGTCATTTTTTCCGTGTTTCTGCTTGTTTCTTGCTCGGTGTGCTGAGGGAAAACAACAGAGAGCATTTTGACCTAATTTCAAACAGTTGTGCCTGTAAATAGGCCCTCGTTCACCTCAGTGTATGATGCTGGTCTCTGCTGCCCCCTGGTGGCTAAAAGACACTTCTCACCCTGTTACTATCCGCCTGGTTTAGACTGATCCATGAGTGGAGTTTATTAGTTTGTCCAATATTTGCATTTCTCATCATGTTTCCTGTTGTAAAATCTCATTTCTGGGCTCTTTTCCGATGCAGTTCTGGCAGTTCGGCGAGTGGGTGGAGGTGGTGATCGACGACCGGCTGCCGGTGAAGGATGGGAAACTGTTGTTCGTCCACTCAGCAGAGGGGACGGAGTTCTGGAGCGCGCTGCTGGAGAAAGCCTACGCCAAGTAAGTCACAGTGAATCACTTTTATAATCACTTTTAAAGTAGGTCACAAAGTTTATCCCACATTCAACTTTATGTTTCTCCTCACAGGGACAATTAGCAACTGGTGTAATATTTGATATTTGAAAAACAGGCGGTGATTATTGGAGTGTGTAAAACTGGGAAAGAGTTTCTTGTCCACCATCTTTGACAGAAGGAGTGAGCGAGGGAGCAGTTTAGTCTATCTGCTGCAGAAGACGAGAACGAGCGAAGGTTTTTCTTTTTTTTATGCACTTTGTTATGTTGAGATAGTGTTGAGATAGATAGATAGAGAGAGAGAGAGAGAGAAAGAAAGAGAGAGAGAGAGAGAGAGAGTGAGTGAAAGAGAGAGAGATAGATAGATAGATAGAAAAAGAGAGACAGATAGATAGATAGATAGAGAGAGAGAGAGAGAGAGAGATAGATAGATAGATAGATAGATAGATAGATAGATAGATAGATAGATAGATAGATAGATAGATAGATAGATAGAGAGAGAGATAGATAGATAGATAGATAGATAGATAGAGAGAGAGAGAGAGAGAGAGAGAGAGAGAGAGAGAGAGATAGATAGATAGATAGATAGATAGATAGATAGATAGATAGATAGAGAGAGAGAGAGAGAGAGAGATCGACTTTATTAATCCCAAACTGGGAAATTCACAAAATTTCACTCAAGAAAATGTTGTTTTTGGTTATCACGAGATCACAGTGCATAAAAAAAAGAAAAATCTCTGGTTGTTCTCGTCTTTCTAATCTGCCAAGTATCGCCCAGTGTTTCCATTTTGACGCACTGCTCCTTTAAGTAATAATAAACACTGAAAGGTCACTAACTACCTACACATTTCTGTTTTAAATGATTCTTCTTGTGCCTTCATGCTTCCACATTTTCTGTCTTTTCTTTTGTATTTTTTTCCCTCCTTTGACCCAGAAAAGCGTGTTTTCTTAAGTCTCAGCTCCACTTTAAACTCCGAGTCCGCTGGCAGAAATTCTCAGTTTGTAACAGGATTCAGAAACACTTAGCAGCTGTTCAAGTTAACAGCTGCACTCTGATTTGTATGCAGAGATTTATGCGTGCATAAAGTGTCCGCTCACGTTCATATATGGTCATAGATTGTTCATCTGTGTGAGAACATACTGTTCTCTCATATACCTCTACATCATGTCTTTAAAGGACTTAACTTTTATATAAACACTGACAACCTGTGCCGTATTTTCCCTTCATTCAAACTCTTGATACTTCTTTTCCTTCACAGGCTGAACGGCTGCTACGAGGCTCTGTCAGGCGGCAGCACGTCCGAGGGCTTCGAGGACTTCACCGGCGGTGTGACAGAAATGTACGAGCTGAGGAAAGCCCCCTCTGACCTCTTCAGCATCATCGGCAGGGCCATAGAGCGAGGATCCCTGCTGGGCTGCTCGATAGACGTCAGTACTTCAGCATTTATTCACCCGTCATCATGATTATTGTTTTTCCAATAAGAACAAGTATGCAGAAATCTGGACTCTGAATCTAGGATATTATTCCGATCATTTAGAGGTTTGAGCCTTAGATATGACGAGGGTGAAGGTTATGTAACCTGCAGTAAAATGTTTGTAGAGGTCAGTGTAATGCTCAAGGACAGGTCAGAGCAGCGGATGTTTGCAAAGCGAGGGTATTGAACCCTGTCCGTCTGTCTAACTTGTTGCTCTATTTGGAGAGGAAAAAACAGCCAGACGATCTGACCTGATAGGAAAACAAACACAGACGCTCTGCAGTCAGGATAGTGGCGTAATGACAGACCCTAAAGCCAAAGTGAAATGTTAAAATGCTCAATTTTACAGCAGATTTAAGTCTGTGGCCTCAACTTCACCTCTTGGCTACTTACTAGATTAGCTTGGAGTTAATTGACGTGATGTTTTCCAATATGGCGACCACCATCGTTGGGCTTTATCACATTTCTCGGTGTGCTTGAATGTTTTTTGATCTGTCATTTAGACATCAGCGGCCTCTTTTACACTTTTGTTCATAGTTCCTTCCTGTCATTTGCAGATCAGCGACACCAAAGACATGGAGGCCGTTACGTTCAAGAAGCTGGTGAAGGGACACGCCTACTCTGTGACCGGCGTGGACGAGGTGAGAAGGGATTAATCAGATCACGGAGGGACTGTCCCATAAAAGAGAATTTAAAGAGAACTTTTTACTATGTTTTTACGAGAAGGGCATGCAAAAGGTGCCTTCTACTTTTCTTTCAGACTGGGTGGGAATCAAAAAGAGACATTTTTTTCCTTTAACAAACTGGAAGGACATCCAGAGGACAGGTGTTCACTTCTGATATGCTGAAAAGGTTTCAAGGGGGCTCATTTTAACTTTTTTAAAAACATTTTAAAACTTGTTTTAACACAATTTTACTTGTCTTATAATGGAAGCGCATCCAAAGGAACGCATTTTACTCATTTTATTTTTGAAGGGTATCCAGAGGACATATTTTTACATGTTTGATAATTGAAAAGCATCCCCGACGGGACAGTCTTTAAAAAATTTCCACTGTGAGGGAATTTAAAGGACTCACCTTTACTAACTTTACATTACAACATAATTTAGAGGACATTATTTAACTTTAACTACACTGGAAGGGCATCCAGGAACACACTTTTACTTATTTTATACTGGAAGGGCACTTTGACATTTTTCAACCTTACACTCAAAAAAAAAGAATCATGGCATAGTTTATTTTTAAGTTTTCACATCTATTTGATTTAATGTAAATAAAAAATAAAAAATTTAGTTATTTATTCTATTTTTTAAAAATCAGCATAAATCTTTTATTTTGAAATCAATTCAATTTCATCAGTTAAAATGCATGAATATAGAAAACAGGAACAAATTGGATTTATCAATAATCAATACATAAATCATCATTATTTAGTCTAAACACATTGGGTTTATTGGTATTATTACATAAGTCTAATTCTTAATAGTTTTATTTACATTTGACTGACAAACATGCAGCACATGAAGTTTATTGGCCTTTTAATGTCAAATCTACGTCATTCAAATTGATGGAAATTTTGTCTTCAATGAGGCCTAAATATTTCTGTGAGTACGAAGAACGCCTAACTTAGCTAATATTTTATTTAAAAAAATCACCACTGAGGGGATTGATCGTCTCCTTTAGATTTGTCATAGATTACATACTGAACATTAGAGGTCAGAGAATTTTTGGAATCAGCTTTGACAAAAATTTTAAAAACTCTTTGTGTCTTCTTGATCTCAGGTGGTGTACAGAGGAAACATGACAAAGCTGGTCCGCATCAGGAATCCCTGGGGAGAAGTGGAGTGGACTGGAGCCTGGAGCGACAAGTATGATTCAACAGATTCAATTTAACTCCCCAAATGCACTCAAACTGAAAGCTTTAAAAGATGCAAAATATACAAGAAAAGGCAAATACTTTTGGTTGCAGTGGGAAAATATTGAATTCAGATACACACTGCTCAGGTTTAGTCATTAAAGAAACAGTTCTGCCTCAGAAAGGTTTCAGACTTTCTGTGTTCGATCATTCGCTCTTTTTTTGTTGCAAATCTTCAGCTCCAGAGAGTGGGACAACGTGGATCGCTCTGTTAGAGGTCGGCTACAGAACCGGAGCGAAGACGGGGAATTCTGGTGAGTTGAAACATGTCACATATTAGCAGGTATTTATGCTAATTATACCAAAAAACTAAATTTTCTTGAGTGAAATACTGATTATTTTTTAATGAAGCTGCAGAGATGAACCCTCTCTGACTCACTCTGACATGTTTCATCCTTTACATGAATGTTTTATCTCATGCACCCTCCGCACTAATGTCAGAGTTATATATAGATGCGCTGAGCAGTTAGCTGAACACGCTCAAAATGTCAACATCGTTTTTCATCTGCAGTGAAACAAAGTTCAGCTCTCAGGCTCTGTAATGGAAAAGTTACTCTGAATCAGCGCGCCCACACCTTGTCCTGACAGTGTTTTCATTCCCCGTCTCAGGATGTCGTTTAGTGACTTCCTGCGAGAGTTCACCCGTCTGGAGCTCTGTAACCTGACCGCCGACGCTCTGCAGAACACGCAGCTGAAGAAGTGGAGCTCCTCGCTGTACCAGGGGGAGTGGAGGAGGGGCAGCACCGCCGGAGGCTGCAGGAACTACCCAGGTATGACGAAATGGAAGGACAGAAGGGGGAAACTTGGAGAAGAATGAGTTATGAAGAGGGGTCGTTTCATAAATGATCCGTTTTCCTGTCTCCTGTCTTTCTCATTTATCAGTTTTGGATCATGTGACGATGTTAAATTTGGCCCCACAGGCTCCTTATTATGTTTGAAATGTTTCAGGATGGAGGGTGCAGAAAGATAAATCAAGGATTTGGATGAAATGACTAAATTACAGGAACAGATGACTCACATTTGAACTTCTTCTTTCAAGCAACCTTTTGGCTGAACCCTCAGTTCAAGATCGCGCTGCAGCACCCGGATGCTCCCGGCAAATCCGAGTGCAGCTTCTTGGTCGGCCTCATGCAGAAGGACCGCAGGAGGAAACGGCGAGAGGGCAAAGACATGGAGACCATCGGGTTCGCCGTCTATGAGGTAGAGAGAGAGAGAGAGGAGTAACTCTGCACCTTTAGTTTCCTGGAAAAAAAGTTTGTTTCTGCTCTCACTCCAATAATTGTCTTCTCTTGTTGTCCGTCCTGCACAGGTCCCAAAAGAGGTATGTATTTTACTTCTCCACTTTTCCCTTGTGGTTAAAAAATGTCACATAGACGCTTTTTGTAAAGACGACCCTCTCTTTCAGTTCGTGGGCAGGTCCGGCGTCCACCTGAAGCGAGACTTCTTCCTCACACACGCCTCCAGCGCTCGCTCGGAGCTCTTCATCAACCTGAGGGAGGTCAGCTCACGGTTACGGTTGCCGGCCGGAGAATACGTCATCGTCCCGTCCACCTTCGAGCCGCACAAAGAGGCCGACTTTTGCCTCAGGGTTTTCTCGGAGAAGCCCGCCAACTCTGAGTGAGTAACCGAAGAAGACTTTGTGGGAATGAGGCAGAGGTGGGGGCTGGACGACTCGACTCGAGACTCGACTTTGACTTGAGTCCCGTTTTTGACTTGCTTGATGAAATCAGGAAATGACTTGGACTCGCTTGGGACTTGATTGCTAAAGACTTGAGACTTGACTTGACTTGAGCCCAGCGACTTGAAAAGTCAAGTCAAGTCTTTTCAAGTCACTTAATACCTTACAGCAAGCCCAAACCAACAAGGCGTTGATATGACTTGTTTCTGACTTGAAAGAAACGGTAAGGACTTGGTTGGTACTCGAAGCAAAATTCCTAGGACTTGGTTGGGACTCGAAGCAAGATTCCTAGGACTTGGTTGGGACTCGAAACAAAAGGTTCAGGACTTGGACTTGAGACTTGTCTGTGTTGACTTGGACTTGACTCGAGACTTGAGGGCAAAGGACTTGGACTTGCCTCGGACTTGAGAGCAAAGACTTGAGACTCGACTTGGACTTGCAACATAGGGACTTTCCCCCACTTCTGGAATGAGAAATGATGTACTGTTCTGGCTTTAAATGGCTCATTACGTTTTTTTTCCCATGTAATTACAAATTTAGACGGATAAGTAACATGAAGTGTTTTCTTTGTCCGTTCAAGGGAGCTCGATGATGACATTAAAGCAGAAATTCCTAAAGAGGTAAGAGAGTATTACACCCTGCACTTGAATTGAGTCGCGATGACCCAGGTGCAAAAGAAAACCTCTGAAAAGTCCAATATTTGTGTTTCAGACGGAGCTGGATGAGAGTCAAATCGATGCAGGTTTCAAGAGTCTCTTCAGACAGCTGGCAGGACCGGTATGCAAACTTTGCAGTGGGGCAGAGATTGTACACACAGTCATGTTCAAGTTCTCTTGTGTAACCTTTTGTACTTGTGCCGACAGGATATGGAGATCAGTGTAACGGAGCTGCAGACCATATTGAACAGGATCATCAGCAAACGTCAGTAACAGCCGATAACCTGTGGTTAATCGTTTATTAAATTTGACGATTTGTAATCTGTTTTTCTCTCTCTGTCTCTCATGCTCACAGATAAAGACCTGAAGACAGACGGCTTCTCTAAAGAAGCGTGTCGCAGCATGATAAACGTCATGGACGTATCCTTTAAACAGAATGAAAACCTCCTTTTTTTATCATCAATTCAAGATGATGAAATTTCAAAACTGTATGATCTGATGAATTCTGCCTTGGCGGTCGCACCTATTGATACGAACTGATGTGATATGTTACATTACAATAAGACACAATAAGATAAGATAAGATGTAGTAAGACACACTATATGATGTGAGAAGATACAATACAATACGACATGATATGATACGACCCGAACCAACATGATACGATTTGATAAAATCAGATAAGCTATGATGAGATACTACATGTTGTGAAAAGATATGATAGGATACGATACAATACGACACAATATGATACGATTAAATATGTTACGATATGATATGAAAAAATAAGATAAGGTATGATGAGATACTATATGATATAATGTGACAAGATATGATACCATATGACACAGTATGATACAATATGATACAACATGATTTGATATGATACGACATGACAAGACGCAATACAATATAATATGATAAATTTAGTTAAGGTATGAAGAGGTACTATATGATAAGGTTTAAAGGTATGATACCATGAGACAATACGATGAGATAAGACAAGGTGTGAAAAGATATGTAAGTACACAACACGATACAATATGATAAGGTATGATGTGATACTGTACAATATGATGTGAAAAGATATGTTACAATACTATATATGATTCTGCAATGCAAAAGGATATGATGCGATGGAATACGTTAAATACGGTGCGTTAAGATACCATCCAATAGTCTTGAGTTAACGACCTGTAGCTATGATTAGGTTTTGTAAGCTCAACTTTTTGTAGCACCACGTCTAAATTTGAGGTTTTAAAATTGAGTCACTTCAGGGAATTCATGAGTCATTTTTTAAAAACTTATTTAGTAGCACTTTTCAAGGTTCCTCGATACAGTTCGCCTCTTTCATATCATTGAATGAATATGTACTGTAGTTGTAAATGAAGACGACACTGTTTGTGCTTTAACTGTTTGGCTCAGACTGACGGCAGCGGGAAGCTGGGCCTCACAGAGTTTCATGTCCTCTGGGAGAAGATTAAACGATACCTGGTGAGTTTGAACACTGATGAATCGTCTGGAAATCTGATTCTGATTCTGAATCTATTCTTCATTTTTCTAACCTATCGTCCTATCTGCTATCCTCTCCATTTTTTCTCCTGCCTTCGCCACCATGCCAGACCATTTTCAGGCAGTTTGACTTGGACAAATCGGGCACTATGAGCTCCTATGAGATGAGGATGGCTCTTGAATCTGCAGGTACTGCTCCTTTACATTTCAGTACACTGAACACTTAATGACTCAGAAGCATTGGTGACATGTTTTTAAATAGACATCCAGCTCAGTTTGGGTATAATGCCTGTAAAAAGTCTGATTTTTCTGTTTCAGGGTTCAAGCTCACCAACCAACTGTTCCAGCTGATCATTCTGCGATACACAGAGGCCGACATGTCTGTCGATTTTGACAACTTTGTTACCTGCCTGGTCAGACTGGAGACCATGTACAGTGAGTCCCATTTCTGCACACCTTAAGTGTTGATTTAGGAACAGTTTTCACACTTGACTTCTGGTCCATCTACAGTTTGTGTTATGCTAAGCTTGATAAATGACCAAACACAGCGAATATTATCAGTTTTTTGGGTTGACTTCATAAAGTTCCGGTCATGTAATACATACATAATAATGTGATGCAATCCAAATATCAGCAAGATATGATGTTTCGTAAAGAAAATTTCAAAGGTAGGGCACCGACAAGTCCTCAAGTAGAGTTCAAGGGGTTCAACTTCAGCTCAAGTTCTTGTCTTATCAGGTAAAGCTCAGGATTTCAGTGACCTTTAGTCTCTGTCTGAGATGGTTATATCCAATATTCAAGATCTTCTAGTCTGCCAAAAAGTTTTACACTTATCTGGTTTCTTCCCAAAAAAAGCCAGCAGCAGCCTTTGAAAATTTTATACCCTATATTAACACATTTAGACGCCATGAGGCAGGGACACAGCTAGACCTTTTTGACTGGGGTGGCCAAACTTGGGCAGCGACTTTTTCAAGGGTGGTGTTAAGTCTGTGTGTTCCCTGACCCATTCTGTCAAGCCATCAACATTTTGACTGTTTACATTTAATCATTATTCAGATACTTAGATAATACGTAATCAGTTAAAACATGGCCCTAAAGGGATATTCCGGCATGAAATTAATTTAGGGTCAAACACACTGAGTTAGACACCCCTTCTAGTGATGAATGTTGCCGACCGCTTGCTTCTCTAGTTACACCAACTTTAATAACGACCGCACGATAGCAATACACACCGGTCTGAGGATGCATAAACAAACCTCAACCAAAACGCCACTCTATAGCCACAAATAATGCTCAGAACAGCACCTAACTTCATCAACAGTACATATAGGGTCCTAGCTAAAGCACTAGCCACCAAACATCTTTTTCACATTGTCTAATTTCTTTCGCAAAGAGACTAAACCATCTCACCCACTCTCTTCCAGCAGCCGCTTGTTTGTAGCAAGACCTTGCGCCAGTCCATTACGGACTACAGTGGGGTGACGCAGCTCAAGGAAGAACATTTATGATCATTTCTTCATGGAAATGCAGTCAGACCGAGACACTAAGGCTGAAGAACTACTGCGTCTGCAGTATAAAATGATTGATATGATGATTATTACTTCAAGGAAATGATAAAGAAATGATCATAAATGTTCTTCCTTGAGCTGCGGCACCCGAGCAATATTCATCTCTCTAGGGGGTGTCTAACTCAGTGTTACGGTGTGTTTGACCCTAAATTAATTTTACACAGGAATATCCCTTTAATAGCTGATTTAAATATAACCCTAACCCTAACCCAGTTGCCACACCCTGCCTCTGCCATAAAGTACACTGTCATTTGAACCTTTTTTAGGCTCATCAGTGGAGTCAGTTTTATGGAAACAAAACTGTAAAATAATAATAAATCTTATTTGTTTTTCTGCAGAAACCTTTAAGACGATGGACACAGATAACGACAATGTTATATCCCTCAACTTCTTTCAGGTAAGTCTGTTCTTTCTTTTTCTCATTTTGTGTTGGATATTTAAAACTTTGTCTCTCGTCGAAGTTCCTTTTATTTGACTTACCCTAATTCACTTTTCTGTTTGTTTCACAGTGGATTACGTTGACCATGTTTGCCTAGAGCCGAGTGGACTCTTCACTAACTGTTGCACTGCGTCTTGCCGCAGCTCCAGGCCCCAGAATGAGTCATTTCAGAAGTGCCTTTTATCCACCAGCTCGATTTCTGAGGCCCTCGGATACTAAAAGACTGTAAATTCATCTTTACAGTGCCTATATGGGAAACATGTGCCATCTTCTATTTGTTGCCTGTATGCTTTCGTCTCATAGCCGGGCCGTGAACTCTGTGATAGCGCTGACTGTTAGCTTGGCAGACTGTTTAAACCGTACATACATGTCTGGATGGTAGCACTACTTTAGGAGCATAAATAAACATGTTGGTTGAATATCAGTGTGTAGAGACAACAAAGCCTCATATCTTTGAACCAGTATTTAGTTTGCTGGGTTGAGAAACATCTATCTTTATATGTTCCTTTCACAGCTACCAGGGATGGGAACGGAATAGAGCAAACTGAGAAATATTATCTATCCATTTATGATTTTCTAGATTTGCCCAACCACAAAACAGAACTTTTTGTCCACTTTTTGCCTTTATCTACATGTTTTTGACATACTCAAAGCTGGAACCATGTGTTGTCTTTGTTTACATTGCGCTGAAAATCAACCAATATGATTATTTTTGCCCCAATTACTCAACGTGCGACTAAAAGTGAAAGTGGGATCTTTGTGCCATTGAAGCGGGTGAATTTGGAGGTTTTAAGTCAAACCGTAGTTGTGAGTTTTAATACTTTTTTTTAAAGTTTCTGTCAATCAGTGATAATTAACAATAATGATTACATTATTTTAAGTTGGTTTTCAAACATACTTAAGTGTGGCAACAGCCATCTAAAAATTAAAAAGGACCTTTTGAAGTCAAAAGGACAAGTGGTTGGAAATTTAAGTTGCCAAGTGTCAATTTTAACTTCTCTACGCCCCAATTTCAACATCCACAATAGTTTTTCTTTGGCCCAAGTAGCAATGCTGCCAGCGTGGCATTTTCTGTTTACATCTTGTGCCAAAATTAGCTTTCACCAGAGCATCAAGGGTCCAATCCTGAACTTTTTTCTGGGCCCTGCAGCGCTTACACAATAGCGGCGTACTTAATCATAGGAGAATGTGTTTTGTTATATGTCTCTCGAGCTTATCCTGATCAGCTTTACGAGTTTCAGACCTTGCTTATCTTTATGCATGGCACTTTTTACTGACTGTTGTTGCAAAATACGAAAAAAAAAAAAAAAAATCCGTAACATGCCTGGAACTGGATGTTATAACTGTTGTAAAAGAGTTGAGTCAGCCTCGTTTGGTAAGGGCAGTCAACAGTTACGCTGAAGGTTAATAATTGCAAGATGTATGGATATGTCGTGTGCATGCTGTTTGACATAATTGTCTGCCTGCCTTATTTCTGTGTAACAAGGGGAGCAAGCGTTTAAGTTGAGTTTCGTTCTTAAGTAATGCCACTTAAAAAGTCTTGAAAGTGTTTAGGATCTACATGTGACATGTTTTACCAAAAGATATTGTTTTGCCAACGTTTGTATCCCCCTGTATTTTTTTTTCTTTTTGTACACGGAGGAATTAAATTTGAAATATTAAAGAAAAGTGACAGCAGAACACTTGAATTCATGCCAGCATTGTTAGCTTCACTTTTTGCAGTGTAATGCTTATGTAACATTAACTGCTTTTACATGAGTGGTTTTCAGAGTCCCTTTGGACCCATTCATCATGAAGCGCAGTGTGTCTGTTCAACGTCAGCGCACACTGTAAATAAACTGGGGAAGACTCTGTTTGTGTCTGGAGTACTTGATCAGTTTATGATGATTTATAACTCATGTTGCGTCGATTTCAAGATATACATTTATTTAACCCTCTGCACTTTAAAAAACGACAAAATCACGCTTGTGTAATAATAAATAGTATTTTTAGTAACAACATTCATATTAAAAAAACAAGCACAGCACAATACCTTAATGTACACGTTTCAACATCACAGTATTAAGATCTTTACAGCAGATTTTTGCTCATTGTTAAGTTAAATCGCAGACATTTACACAGTGGATCAAATGTTTTAAGTTAAACAAATATTTTGAAAATGATACAAAAAACTGATGCTATTCTGGAGCCGCTCAGGACAGGAATGTAAAGACATCACATGAGGCAAGGTGACAGTGAAACAAACAGTCCAACGTTCACCTTAATACTAAACTTTGGCACATTAGCGTTAAAAACGAACTAACTTTGAGTTCCAGCATTAATACTAATCAGCTCAAATCTCCAAGACGAAGAAGAAGTAAAATCTCTTAAACCAAGTTGTTGTTGTGCTCAATCCTGGTCACCATGGTGGAAACGAGTCGCTCCAGCTGTTTCCCTCTCTGCTTGCCTGTCTCCAGGACCTCCTCGTGGTTGGCTTTCTCTTGGCTGTCATAGTCCATCACCGCCTGATTGGTGATCAGTGAGAGGGCGAAGACGCGCATGCCGCAGTGACGGGCGACGATCACCTCGTGGGCCGTGCTCATGCCTGATCGGAAATGAGAAGATTGAGATAAAAGATCAAAAATGACCCAAGACAACTGTTTACATGTTAGTGGACAAAGAACCACATGAGAAAATGAGAAAAGGGGGAAAAAAACCGACTAGTTAAAAATGAGAAACCATGAGATTCTCATTTTCACGTCTTTGTTGATTGATTGACTTAAAAGCGATAAACAGACAGAACAGCTAGCGGTAGTCTTTTAGCTTAATGTCGCTTATTTATTTCACTCCTGTCCCTGAACTATATAACGGTAATATATCACTTTTTGGTTGCTAATAGCAACTGTTTTGTAAAGACAAACTCACCGACAGCATCAGCGCCCAGTTTGTGCAGCATTCGGGTCTCAGCGATGGTCTCAAATGAGGGTCCACCCACCACGCAGTACACCCCTTCCTTCAGGAACTCTCCGTAACCGAGCTCATGTCCCACGTCCCACGCTAGCTGCTGCAGCTCCCTGTCGTAGGCGTCAGACATGCACGGGAAACGCACACCGAACCTGAGAGAGGGAGAGGAAGAGGGGAAGAAAGGGGGATGTTATAGCCAGGGGGTCATATCGCTGAATTTCTGCAAACTGGTTTCGCAGGTTTGAGTTATGCAAGAAAGAGAAGTGCGATGATTTCCAAAGCCTACCTCTCATCATTCGGTCCGGACAGTGGGTTGTTCCCTGCAAATCCAGGCATGTTGAGGTGGTCTTTGATGATCATAACATCTCCAACTTTAAAGTCCTGATTGAGGCCCCCTGCGGCGTTGGTTAATATGACCGTCTCTACACCCAGCAGCTTGAAGATGCGAATGGGGAGAGTGATCTGAACAGAAACACGTAGGTTATGTAACTTTGGTTTCAGGGTCTTTCACTGGCATGATTTACAGGCAGCTGACTTCAGGTGAACAGTTGCAAGATTTCAATCACCCGTACGACTTGTTGCGTCATACTCACTTTCTGGATGGGGTAGCCCTCGTATAAGTGGAAGCGTCCTTGCATGCAAACACATGGCCGCCCCTTCATAGTGCCGAACACCAGCCGACCAGCATGTCCATGCACTGCAACAAAAAAGACCGGTCAGTGAATTTGAACGAGAACTTTAATGTTCGATGACTTCGTCTTGGTTGGGATTGAACTCACCGGTGCTTTGAGGGAAGTCTGGGATGTCCTTGTAGTTGAAGGCCACCTGGTCCTTCAACATGTCAGCCAACCCTCCGAGCCCCGATCCACACACAACACCAACTGTGGGTCGAACGTCCGTCTGGGCGAGAAGCCAATCGGCAGTGGCTTTGCAGTCCTCATAGGTGTAGCTGTATGGCACAAAAAGTAGGGTCAGAGGTTAGGACATCCTGGGAATCAATGCAGAGGTTGGAGCTGAGTTACTTCCTCTACAAATAATAAATAAGCTTCCTTTGATGGTGTTGGATCAAGAGAAAAAAAAGCCCTGACCTCTATGCATAAGAAGTTCCGTTTTAATACTTTCTTGCACATTCATCAAACTACCAAAAATTCCTCTTTTTCTTGAGCCCTTTCTGTTAAGTACTTCAACTAATGTGGTGTCTTAATCACATTACAGAACAAGAGCCTAATCTGCTGCTGCTGCTACTCATACAGACACGACTTTTGGCGTCACGCTAACACACATTCCTGTAGAGTCAAAGCAGTATTGCGCCCCTCTTGCGTGGTGACACACACGTCTTATAAGTGTTTGCTGAACACCAACTCACCACCCTCCAATTAGAGTAATTCCTACAATAAACCGCTGCTTTCAACCCCAGATAAACGTAGATCAATGGGTGTAGTGTTCAGGTCTTAAACATACTCAAGTCCTGAGGGGTTAATGGAAACCAGCATGTTACGTAAGTCGCCACTCTCTGCCCAAGGGCTGTCCAAATCAAGAATTTCTACATCAGTAAAGGCGTCATCAGCATGAAAAAGTCCTTTTCAATGTCACCTCCCTCAGTAAACCAAAAGGGTTTCATTGCTTAACCTCTGCGGTTCAAAGCACATGTGCATACTTCTTTTTTTTTTGGCCCCCCGCCACACATTCCTGGTATTTTCATTCCCCCTCGCTCTCACTTGCCCATGAATGGGCCATGTGTCCCTCAGCGTGGGGAAAGTGAAAATAGAAAGTTCAGGGTGTTAAAAAGTGTACTCACCTTTTGTTTGCCTCTGGATACATCGTAGAGAAGTTTTTCAAAAAGTGGACGCCGGAGAAAAACGTGTGAAGACCGACTTTTTAAAATCACGAATAAGTTCCAAAGTAGAGAATCTTCAGGATGAGAACCCCGCTGTGGAAAAAGTAAAGTATGATCGAGAAGCTGGGTGGAGGAAAAATGTCGAAATGTCTTTTCCTGAGTTCTTGTAGTTCAGAGTCCTGTTAAAGTCTTCAGTTCTGTCTAAAAGGCGCCAGTTGCCAGCTCTATTATAGACCCTGAATCCCCCCTCCCATGTCATACCACTCCTCCTCCGCTCAAAGTGACGCATGATGCTTCTTTGCCCTCATTGGCTGCTCAGACACACCTTTAAAAAACCACCAAAATGAGGAAATACACACTCTGATTGTCAGTACACCCCCCCTCTTCCTGTTCCCGGCAACAGTTTTACAAATGAATTTTGAAACTGTTGACATCAGTGAGCAAAGGAAATAACACGTACTCAGTTCTCAGATTTATTGAGCAACATCACGGTTACGGTCGCTGATGCAGATCCAGATATGATCTGCTTCACTGACTCCTCTTCTTCAGAGCTGTTTTGTTTATCACGTGTTTAACTCTGACCTGTACATCAGACTGTGTTTACACTGAATGAGGGAACACACACACAGACACAGACAGACACACGCACACGTCATAACACAGATTTCCTTGTAAACAAATGTATTTGAACAGCAGGTACCACGAGTATTGAGTATTTTGTTTGCGTAGGAGTCTGTGTCCTTTTGTTCAGATAGTCTAATGTGTCGACATGTGTTTTAAAAGTCCTGGCAGAAACCTTGAGCAGAACCAGACTTATGTAAGACAGTCATCTGCTGCTACTTCACTAGGTTTAGAGAGGGGGAAGTGAGATTTGGGCATATGGTTGGAGCAGCTGGAAAGCAGGCAGGTCCAGAAGAACCTACGGCATGATGGAGCTCATGGAGAAGTGTCTGTATTTAAACATGATGATTCAAAGTTAATGATACAGACAGAAAGAGGATAAGACAGCCATTTATCCAAAGTTCATTAGAGGAGCTTTAACACTATGATGAAAATACCTCCCTTATTACTGTTTCACTCTAAATTGTGTCATTCATTAACAACTCTTAAACAATAATTGGCGCAGGGTCAAACTTCAGTTACAGTCTCTTTCCGTGAAGTATTTATTGCACCCCTTCCCTCCACTTGCACATTTTGTTCTACTTCCTGATGCTGCCTGTATTTTTGTTGACACACCTCAGTTTGAGAGCTCCTGTGTTGTTAATTTAGCAGATTACAACCTGGTAAATCATGAGTAAACGCTGCGTCCTTTAGATGGACTCATTTATGGCTCCTTGTTGCACTCATGGGACTTTTATCATTTCTACACACAAACACACAATCACGAGGAAGATCAGCCACCTGGACTGAACGTCCTCTAATCGATGTTCCTTGAATTAAATGCAAGGAACGGTTGAAGGTACGGTGTCCTGGGTTAGACAGCAGAAAGCACACATTGGTACACTCTGCAGTAATAGGGAAGTCAAAGGGATTGGTAGCAGCTGAGAAGCTGAACAGTTTCTTCAATCAATGATCCACAGTGTGGAAATATTCCCCTGCAAGTAAAAGTACAAATGTGTGATAAGCAAGATGGTGCAGAAGCTGGTTTTGTTGTTTTATCCAAAAACTTGCCTTGTTAGGGCCGGATCTGTATCACAATCGAACTTTTTTATTGTCATCAAAATGTGCAAAACGTCATCGTATACCACTAACCTGAGAAGTTTGATATAGAGTGATTTAAGTTGGACTAATGCGTTCACGTTTTTTAAAAGTTGGACTAAGGCTACTTATCAGTTTTTTTACAAAACATAAGATTACCAACGAATGACATCCCAATTTCATGCTCTAAAAGGATGCTTAACCTACCTGTGACCTCAAAACGATTTGCTTATTTAACATGGAAACACAAGAAGAACGGCCTTCTTCTTTAATGAACCTAAGAGTGAACTACAAGTTCTGCAGGTGAGCAGATTTCTGGACCTCAACTCAACTCAAAATTCTCTTGGGAATGGATTCAAGGATGTGCAGTAATGATGTGGGAAAATAAGGAACAGTTCAAGTTTGAACCGGTGTTTGTTTTGTCTATTGTCCCACAGACAGAGTGACTGAAGAGAACCAAGGTCACCTGGAGAATAAACCCTGCTGATAAAGTCACTGAGACGCCGTGACCTCCTAAACAAACTGTGGAAAGGATTTGCTAGTGTCAAGGTATTTTCTCTTCATTCAACTTGTTATATTGTGAATTGTTTGATCTTCTTTACCATTTGTTTGGTTTTTGTCTCCTTGTGCGGGAGAATGCAAGATGTCCGCGACAATTCTTTAATGCTAATGTCAAGAATGTTCGTTGAATTGACAAAAGCATTCGTTGATCTTAACACCCGAGGGATGTGTTTGTATGCAGCCTACCAACATCAGGATTGGTCCACCCAAGGATTTCTTAGTAAGGTTGCCACTAGGGGTGTCCCGACACAACTTTTTTGCATGAAAAGGTTCGCAACGTTTTTTTTTGGACTTTAACAAAAACTGCTGCCACACGGCCGACATCACTCCTACTTCTTGCTACTTTGTTAGTACCTTAGTACACACTGTTGTTGTGATCATGTGGGCACTGCATGCTGGATCAGGGCGCTGCTAGAAAGATGCCATCTATCGGAGCGCTGATTTCTGAAATTTTGGATGCAGGCCAATATAATCTGATAATTGTTGTTTTTTTTGCTGATATCGGACTAATATCTGATATCAATATAGGTTTGGGACATCCCTAGCTGCCACAGGGGAAACAGATTCAGAATCAGAAACTCACCTGGAGGAAGTCCAAGTGCTTCCAGAAGATGTCTGTTACCAATGCTAGACCTGGTTCTGATGTAACCTTGACCTTGGATCACCTATATCATCATTTACAATTGGGTGCTTCTAGACGACACACAGTAGGTTGCATTGTGTATCGTTTGGTGTATTATAAAATATACAGTACATCAAAGTTCACCCTTTGAAGGCTTGGAGGGATTCCAAGTCCTCAGATTGATTTAGGCTGCTATCTTTACCTGGTGCGTAATCGAGAAAATCCTTTTTTCACTGTATGTTGGTACTTAATATACAGTTGGTGGAGTTTGTTTGCAGTTTCTGTAGTTTTAACTTTTTGTCAACCACCATGACTGAGAGCACGCTGCTGAAAAAGTCGCACCAGAAGGAAACTTGTCACTGCTGCTGCAGTTCATGCTGATAACTGACAAAGATTTCATAACTCTAACTCCTCCTTTCTGGGTCAGCACGAGATTGATGTAATCTGGGTGTTTTTTCTTGATAACTCCAAATATGTCTTACCCATCCGGTGGCGGTCTACCACGAGGCATACTGCATGGGGACCTTGTCCACCGAGAGGCTTCATAAAGTTTGTCTTATGAAACTTCTAACTTTCTCAAAACTCTTAAACTTTGATAATTTTGATATTTGCTCTATTTGTGCAGTCTGAAAACTTGAAGTCTCGTGAAAGAGTGCTGGTTAAAAACGGTCTTTACAGATGGTCACAGAAGCCACTTATTGACCTTTCTCTCGGCTCACTTACAGGATCACAGGGGTCAACGTAGACTCAAGACCACCAAAGTTTTTAAAAGTTAAACCCCAGTCAAAACATGGAGGGACCACAACACAAAGCCTGATGCCCTTCGACCTTGAGCTGTTGTTTGGCAATGAAGCATTAGAGAACAGTCGTCAACCTTGTTACGTATCATGATTGCTGATTGAGTAAACAATTGCGCTGTTTGGGTTTTGGCAATATCTCCTGTTTCTCCAAGGGCAGGTTGTTAAATACATCTGATAACACGGCAGGAGTGACCTGATAACTCCCCCCCATCACAAACACAGCTAAAGCTGACACCCCTTTGACTCAGCCAATGAGAGCAGGCCATCTGATGGCCGCACGATAGTTCACAGTAACCTGCTTAACTATTCCCTAGTTTTTACAGCCACATGTCAATAAAGATGTTCCGCAGTATTCTTGTGATGGAAAGCCAAAGAGTAAGGTGACGAAGGAGCTAGTCGGGTGCTATTATCTTGTTTATGAACAGAACAACTTTGCTCAAGTCCTTTCAATCATTTTAGTTCAGTTAATACCACAGAGTTCTGAAAAACTCAACCAATATTTCGAAGTTAATGCTCTTTTGAACCCCAAAATACACAGTCATTTCATCGAACTTAAAATAGTCGAATTTTGCTTTAGTTTTCAGACAACTAGAAGTACAAAATTCCCTACCGTGGATTTACAGTTTAATTGAAGGCTGTCTTGCTTGATTATTATCATCATTTTTATTGCTTTATCTCCATTTTACTCTGCCTAATTATGATATGATGATGATCAATTTGTGGTTTTGAAAAGAGTCAATAACATGCAGGCACCTGTCCAAGATAAACACATATGAAGTCCAACAGTGGATCTCAGGGTTTTTCTGACAGATTTTGTCCGTGATGAACAAGCAATGGTAAAGCATGGGATACAATATCAGCAGACTCTGCAGAGCAGACAATCTGCTGAACAAGGTCACACTTCCTGATATGCATTCCTCAACAATCATCTACCATGTTTGATGCCATTTGCAAAGTCAACAGAGCCAACAAAAATTGATTTTTCCCACTGGATCAAGCTCTGACTAAAAATCATGGATTTTTGCAAAGAAATCTTTCGTACTTCTCCACTGTGAACTACAGCAATTTCATGAGACAGCTTTTGAGATGGACACGAGACCATGTCATGTTTTCAGAAGGTCAGAAGGTCCTTCCCGTGATCTTGTAGTCTCAAAACATTTCAGATTTTCCTGGCATTAATTTAAAGTGCCAATCCAGTCTTTGGAAGATGCTCTAAACTTTCACTTCAAAAACCCTGATTAACCATTAGTATTGATTTATCTTGATGAATTAAGTGGTGGATTGAAACTTGTGATTGTCTTCCACAAAATATATATTATAAGCTGAATGAGAAAAATATGGGGTTCCCCAAGGCTCCCTTCTCTGACCACTTCTGTTCTTGCTGTGTGCAAACCTTTTTCTTACATGTATTTTTACAACAATGACGACATATCTAGGTCAAACTAGAGAGAAAAAAAACGTATTTGGCAACCTACCAGTGAGCATGTTTGGCCTTGGATGCACAGCGACCTAAATCTAGGTTAAAGCTGGATTGGCTCCAAAGTGTGGTGT